GCTTGACCACTGACTTTATCTTGGTTTCTTACAATACCATGAAGGGAAGGGTTGTTCATTTCTACAACAAAAATGCACGGACGCAGCGTAACATACAAGTAAAGTTCTGTTGTTAAAGTTCGCGTTCGGTAAAAGGTCAACGCTTCATTTTGTTGTTAGAAACGAAAAACGCTTTTAGCATCGTCACTCAAACATATTTCAATTCCGACCATACGATCGATTTCTGTGTAGTCAAAGTCTTCAAGGTATGGTTAGAAACCAAGAAAGAGTTTCTCAAGCTTATGAAATGTCCGTGAGTAAGAAACGAGTACATACCAACGAACAACGCTTTATTTTGTTGTTAGAAACGGACAACGCTTCCCTTTGTTGCAAGAAACGAACAACGCTTTTAGAACCGTTACTCTAACGTACACTGAAATTCTGATGTTTTTAGTATTTGTTTCTTTGGTCGACTTGACTTTTTTTTCGGGCGACATAACTAAAATTTCGGGCAACCCGACTCAGATTTCGGGCGACATGACTTCGGGAGAGATGACTCGTACGGGATTTGAACCCATGACCTTTGCGATACCGGTGCAGCGCTCTACCAACTGAGCTAACAAGCCAACTGGGAGCTGGTCATTAAGTTGGGTCCAAATAAACCATACAAATGATGAATAATGATTGTAGATATATGAAAATCATATGAAATTTATGCCTAATATGTATTTTCCTTAAGAAAAGGTACTGAACAATTCCGTAATCCTCACGTACAAATAATAAATTTCCCAATTTTTCTTGTTTAGGTAGCAACTGATCTGTTTTTGAACGTTGCCTGAATAGTGCTCTGCATAGTGAAGACCGACTTTATTTTGAATCAAGCAAAGCAAATACAAATGAAAACTTGCAAAACTTGTCAAAACTTTTTGGTATGAAGTATATAATTGATCCGTCTGAGAGAAGTGTCCTGGTCTTATTCAGCATCTTTTTCACGCCGAAAAAGTTACGTGATCGTTTTAAGGAAACGACGCCTACTACTTTATGTACCCTACTTCCGGAAAGAGATCATCAAGAAGTTTCGAATTGTTTGAAACGCACTGACGTTACACTAGAGAGGGGTAAAAAAGTCAACGTGACTGCGCAGAAAATTCGCCTTGTCATCCGTTCCGCGCACTGCATGCTGGGTCAAGGCCAGCTGGTATATAAACAATTCGTGCACGCAAAAGTTTGTGTCGACACGCGACAAAGTTTATATACTTGTTGTCATTGATGGTGTTTTACTTAGATCTTAAGACGCAAGACAGTATGGTTGTGGCTCGAGGTGTTACCCGTGTTGAAAAGTCCCGACAGATGAGGGAAGGCGGTGGATTTCTCGTTCGAAGACCTGTCGGAGATCGCATCGATCATTGTGATCCGTTCCTTATGTTGGATCATTTAGGACCGGTGGTTTATGGACCAGGAGAGGCTGTAGGAGCGCCTGATCATCCTCATCGTGGATTTGAGACCGTTACTTATCTCATTGACGGTAAGACAGGAGTTTCTTTTTATTTTCAAAATTAAGATAAAAAATAGGGGTTTACCGATCGAATTATAGCGTGACACTTATCAAATTACGTAATTAGTGTCAAAGCTTTTAAATCCTCTCCAAAAATCGACCGAAATGAGTACACATAGATTGTCTGACCAGTTAACATCGTAGAATCGAGATCTACACCTCAAGATAAGATTATGTCGAAGAAAATTAGGCCAATTTGTGTTTCGATGATTTATTTACTCAGCATTTCCGCAAATATTAAATCTCTTCGTTTTATTTGATCAAATGTTTGGAAACAAGCTCAAATGGTCAGAATAAGCAAAAGGAAACTCTATTTCCTCGTTTTCCTTTAACAAAAAAATCGAGACCAAATTTATCGTCATTATTTACGCTGCAATGACAGCGGGGAGGGAGCAAATTTAGAATTTTTAGGTCTCTACTACAAGTGGTTTTGTGCAGGTTCTCTGATTTTCTGACCTCTGCAAAATTCTCCAAATTCTTTTCATACCTAGGAAGTGTGTGTGAAGAAATTTATATCTCCTTGAGAAGACGGCACAATGCTAAAATCCAGTTTAATATTTCAAACTCTTATTCACTATTCGGAATTGACCATTTAAACCCTAGGAGTGTCCAGCATCTGCTGAATCATTTATTGAGAATGTGAGAATCGAGGAAATGATCACCAACCTAAGAGGCTTTGATTGTTAAAGAAATTCTTCTCATCAGTACCAAAGGAAATGCAGGAGATGAGTATGGAGAATATAGGGGTGTTGAAGGTTGACCTAAATCATGTCTTTTTGTGTATAGGAGAAATGAAACACCAGGACAGTGCTGGAAATAATGGTGTTTTAAAGGAAGGCTGGGTTCAGTGGATGACAGCAGGATCTGGTGTTGTCCACAGTGAAATGCCATCTGATGAATTTCTAAAGAGAGGTGGGAGATCAGAAGGCTTTCAACTCTGGGTAAACTTGCCTGCAAAAGAGAAGATGATCAAACCAAGGTACCAGGACACTGATGCTAAGAAAATTCCAGTAGTTAGCAGTCCAGGTATGATTTGATCTTGTAAGATTTTCTTCCAATCCTTAAATATGCTTCTAAAAATAACTATTTTTGTTTTATCATGATCCTAGATGGCTTAAAACTTTTCCATTGAAAGCTTTGAATCATTTAAAGGGGTTAATTTTTTATTGTAAAGAACTGTTTTCGTTATTGACTTTTAGGGTTCCTAAGTCTTACTTTGGATACAGTTTGAGTGGTTTTTAAGTTTTCTTTTGTGGTTTCAGTGCCTCCCTTGCTGTGGGTTTAAGAACAGTTTGGCCTCTCTTTCTTTGTATAACAAACTATTTATTCATGTTTCAGTATGCTTATCAAAATAATAATGCAAGGAATTTTAGTTACTAGAATGAAGTGGGAGAAAATTTGTATTGAATGCAGCCAAGAGCAACTCATGGTTTGAAGTTGGTCAATTGTTCATCATCTCTTAAATTCTTTTTTCTAATAGATGGGAAAACCAAGGTGAAAGTTATAGCAGGAGAAAGCTTGGGAGCCAAAGCTGTTATAGACACACGAACACCAATCATGTTCCTGGACATTCATATACAGGCTGGTGGATCATTTGTTCAGGATGTTCCTGAGCAATTTGATGGATTTGCTTATGTTTGGAGAGGAGCTGGTTCATTCACTGATGAAAGAGTCTCTGTGGAGATGGGAATGGTAAATAAAAAAAAAATTTGCCAAAGTTATCTTAAGCCCTTTTAAAAAACTCTTTGGTAGAAATGAATTTGGAACCTTTAGGCCAGTTGGGTATACTACAAAGAGGGTCACTTATACCCAATTGTAAAACTAATCATATAAAAATATAAAATATTTATAAATATAAATATCACAAATAATATCAAAAACTCTTTCATGTTCACGCAAAATCAAGACAATCACATTGAAATTATATTTTTACTTTTCTAGTCTTGACAAGTCTTAGGTGTCAAAGTAGTGTCTTATCTTATTTGTTCAAGAACCATTGGTGGTCTGTTTTATGACCTTTATCAATCCATATGAAGTCCCTATTTGTGTCAAACTCCTGGTCAAAATTTAACCACAGTTGTTTGAGAACCATACCTTCATTTCCAAAACAATAAAATAGCCAGAAATTCATCACCCAAAACAAGATGATTTATGAATCAGGTTTAGTTCAGCACTTAATTCATGATTTTAAAAAATAGTTCACATGGACATGATTCACAAATAAAAAAAGTCAGATCAGGATTTACAAGAAAAAAAATCAAAAGATTTTCATTGAATTTCTATGCATTCTCTCTGGCCTCCACATAACTCTACATGTTGGAAAATTTAAAGATATTTCATTTTTCCAAGTTCATGTTGAGCCACTTGAACAGAAAATCCCAAAATTGGTTCCTAGCCGCAAAACAGAAAAAACAAAACAAAACAAAACAAATCCACAGATTGAAACCTCCAGAATTTTACTAAGCCTTATAATAATTTTCTTCCTCTCTTGGATCTAGGGCCCCCTTCCCTTAAAGGTTGGGTTAATTTTTAATAATTCTTAGGTTGGGTTAATTTTCATAAGTTTAAAACAATCATAAGGAAAGAAACTTGAATTAATTAAATTGTTCATAAAGGAAATTCATATTTGTTTCCTTTTTGCAGGTGGGTGTGCTTGGAAAAGGAAACACTTTTCAGATAAATGCAAGTCCCAATGAAGACATTCATGTGCTCTTGATTGCAGGGGTACCAATAAATGAACCAATTGCCAGGCATGGACCATTTGTTATGAACAAATGGGAGGAGATAGAGCAAGCTTTTAGGGATTATCAATCTGGCAAACTTGGTTCCATTGAGGGATCTGAAGAACGTTATGCCAAGACACAGAATGCAGTCAGTAAACAGAAACAGACAGGAACATGGAAGAAAAAATAAATTTACATCAATAGTTCACTTTGACTGAAAATGAAGAGTGCAATTTTTCTGAAGTAGTACGTCAAAGATGCCATCGGATTTTTTCACCTTGAAAAATTAAGTTTTAATTTTTTCAACTTCATCAATAATTGATGATTATTATAGTCCTTTTAAATCTGTGATAAAAATTTTTCAACACATGTTTAATAGTTAGCACCTTTAACCAAATACCACTCTTCCCCTACTCTGTTTGTTCAATTTTACCCTTGAAGACATTTGGTAAAACTCCTTTGAGGATATATATATATATATATATATATATATATTGTTCCTCAAGGCTTTTGGATTTAGTTCCATCTCTCTGACGAAGACATTCACATTGTGTTATAAGTTAAGTTCTCTAAATGTTTATTGCTGCAAAAATTCAATTTGAGGATATCAAAGTTGTAATATTTTTCTTGATCTTCTGTTGGTTGTTATAAAGTTATTAAGGAATATTTATATTTCATCAGTTTTTTACTGGGTACAAAAATCGCATTTTAAAACACTGTAATCCCTCCACCTAACTTGCCACTCTTTTGAGCAATATAATTTATCTAACCCCATTTCCATATCAACAGGCCCTCTAGTCTTCTGTTTGGAAACAAAAAATTAATCCCAATTGGAATAAGTTGAGAGACTTGATCAGCTACAATCAGTCAGTGATGTCACTTTGACAATACAATGATAAGAAGTTGTTTTTACAGGTGTGAGATCAAGTATGATTTAATTTGGCTTAGGGTTCTGTTGAAGAAATTTTTCCTTAACATTTTTGTATGTTTATCACGGCTATGGTATTGGCCTAGTATTCTTGTATGCAAATAAAAAGTGTAAAAACTCTGATTTATTGTCAGATGATATTTATTTATCAAACAGTTGAGGGATGCATTAACTTGCCAGTGTTGACCTTGAGAGAATTGACGATCAGGAGATACTCAAATTAGTGATCATTTCCTTTATTCTTATAACCTTAATATTTAATTTAAGGGGCATACTGTTAGGAGAAATTAGAAGCCAGTCACTTTTCAAGGGTTAAAAGGTGGAGCACTGTGATCTTTATGGTAAGGATTGTCCTGAAAAGGACTGTTGTCAAAGAAAGAATCAAGCATTTTGAAAACCAAAGTGGATGTACAATTAAGAGTAAATTTACTTCCTGGTCCTGGCTGTAAAAGAAGAAGGGAGTGGACAAAGTATAATACCAGAGTGATGCAAAGGATAACAACAAAGTTGATACCATATTTTATTTATAAAAAAAATTCATGTGGCTTTAAAGTGCTTTTTACAAGTCTGCCATAATTTTAGCTACATGTATCAATATTCCAGATTTTTAAGGTTAAAACTAAATGTTTACCCTCATTTAGCTCTCTCTTCATTAAGAAAAATAGCAAAGTCACCCTTAACAGTTCTGGCTATTGATTGTAAAGTAAACAATCAGTCACCAGCCAAAGAGGAGTTTACCCATTCGGGAAACAAAACACGTGACAAAACAAATATTTTCAATAAAGACCTGATCTGTTCATAAGCAACCTATGACCAAAGTATGAATGTACACCAAAAGTAAAAGAGTAATTAAGTTCCAGCAGAAATGACTCTTTTTAGTTGCCCATTTACCAGCATTTTCTTTTTCTTATTTCATGCCCTAACTGTAGTATTCTCCATACATTTCTATGGTACTAAGTAGGAGGATTTCTTTAACAATCACAAACTTCACAAGTTGGTGATCATTTTTTTTCATTCTCATGACTTAAATGTTTGGATCAATGGTGATAAAGTGAGGACAAATTGGATGCCAGTCACTCTTAGGGATTAAAAGGTTAAAAAATTGATTACTACCAGAACTTTACTGAACCAAGGACACTTAAGTCAGAAACATTAGCAAACCAAATTGGAAATCAAAGGACTTTTTGCACCAAAAGAGACATAAAGCATAAAATAAGACAATAATGTAAAATTAATTCATAAAGTAACAATCATAAGTTACAACATCAATAAACAATAATTAACTCTTAAAATTGACTTGCAGTTCAAGCTTATTTAAACAATCAGCAAGCACCCTTAAAAATACTATTTTGGGTAAAACAAACCAGTTGACTATTTGCTGTAACAAGACAATTGAACAGGTTCCAAGGAAAATTATCTTCATAGGACATGGAGAATTTTGGTCAGAATCTTTGTCCTAGCTAAAGAACAAAACAAGTTGCCCAGGTTCAAACTGGTGCTAATTTGTTTGTATACTTGTGGAGAGGAAATTAATTATTACGTAACATTCTGCCAATTTATTTTGGAGTTAGATAAAAGGGGCTGTCTGTAATAGAGACCTGTGATAGCAAATTGTTGCCCACTGTGGTTCAACCTTAATGTTACACTTCTTAACATCTTATTCAAAATTTTTCAATGATAGCGAAATTTAAAAAACTTTCATTTTCCCATCAAATATCACACATCTGTAACTATTCCTTAACCTTTTTGTAACAAATTATCACCGACAAAAGTATGATATGATTCAGTTTGTACATGGTTGGGTTGTATTATACTCATATAAAAGTTGATACAAAATCCACGAACGGAGGCTGTATGAAATTATTTCACATACCTCACACTTGTACAAAATTAATTTTGGGCCTTGGAAGATGGCACAAGAACCCTCAATCTATCAATGACTATTCTGTGTGAGTTTTTCAATTTGTTGATTCTAAAAGTATCAAAAGTATTCAAAAGTATGAAACCAATACAAAATAATTCACTCATCTTCCCCATCTGACCATTCAGAACCTGTCTCACTTTCATCCTCGCTAGAGGAGTACTCAACTGCAATACGACGAGCCAAGATGGTCGCCACATCCATGATACCGTTTGTGTCACTGTGCTGCTCTTTCTTTGCTTCCTGAACTTGGACTTTCCTGAGCTCCATACCTCTTCTGATGGCAGACAGTAAGTCACTGCGAGCATCAACTTGTTCCTTAGGAGGGAGGGGTGTGTCTCCACTTTGAACACTTATACTTGACTCTGAGGTTGTCAGTGAATTTGAAGATGGTGAGATTGTTGGCTGTAACCCAACAGAAGACTGAGATGCAGCTTGCTTTAGAGATGGCATTCCTCCTGCACCTGGTAAGGGAGGTGGTGGTGGAGGGGGAGGAGCTGCAGGAACCCCTGGTGGCGGTGGTGGTGGAGGAATTGCATTTCCAGCAGGTGCTGCAATAGGAGCTGGAGGAGGAGGAGGCCCACCCCCAATTGCTGGGACTGGTGGGGGAGGTGGTGCTACATTTGGACGGTTTATGTTATTACCAGTGTACCGTCTAGACTGTCTTCGCTGAGCTGGAGAACCTGATTTTCCTGCTCCATCACCTGGACTGATGATATGATTGGGTGGTTCACCATCAGGGATGCCACCATTAGGCTGTTTAGAGTACTCTGTATTACGTCTTTCAGGCTTATGATTATCTTCTGTAACAGTAGCAGGTGTTGTTGTAGCAATGCCAGCAGTTTTAAATTCCTCACCTTGTGCACAGTAGACTCTCTTCTTCACAGCCTTGACAGGTTTTTTCTCGCTGGTTCCAGCCCTCACCCGGCCAGCCCGCTAAAACAAAACAGAATCTAACTTATAAATGCCTGGTGGCTCAGGTCATTGCTAATATACCCATAACTCAATGCTTACACATTCATTAGCACTAGTTTCCTTGGCATTAAGAGGCTAAAAGTTTTACAGCTGACTCAGGTTGCATGTGGGGTAAGGTTAGTCACCCCAATAAAAGAAATTTGTTGGGTTTCACTGACATTTGTCAACATCCATTCCTTCTCCCAGGGCAAAGAGAGGTACTGTCAATGGCAATTAATTGTGCAGCCCAGAAATACAACATCACAGGATGAGGGGATGATCTTAAAAAGAGGGCTTTTTTGAGTACAGTATAACTGTCACAAAACAAACAACACGGGGTTGAACAAGAATGCAGAGCTGAACAAAAATAATAACATGGTAATCTTAGGGTAGCAGAGCTGCAACTGGTTTTAGTTCTACACCTGATCTGTCTGTTGAAAAGGTGTCAAAGTTTCACAACAGCAGACAAAAGCAGAAATACCTACCCTTCTTTTCTTCTTTTTCTCTACTTCTTTTCTCATCTCTTCACACCATAGCTCAAAGAAGTAAGTTGGATCAGTGTAAAACTTGAGTGCATCCTTTTTGTCATCTCTGTAAGGATTCATATCTTGAAGTCTTGGAGGTTTGTCACAACCACTGTACCTCTCCTTCATTGCTGAGGGAAGAGTGCTGCTTGCCAGAACCTGTTGTTCTGTCACAATTGTACTCCTGAAGGCTTTGCGCAAGTTTATGTCTTGTAAAGAAACTAAATTCAGGGAAGAAATTAGAACAGTTAAAAATGGAAAATCAATGTAAAATGAATAAGACATTCATGGGAAAAAGATGGCAAAGAAATTGTTATTAGAAACCTCATTTCTCATCAAACAAACTCTAGAACATACCATCTTTTCATGACCAATATAGTAAATTTTGAAATTTAACAGGAAGCAAAGTTATGGACTCTTCTCAATGGAACACAATTTCTTCAAGGAATTGTGCAATCAACAGCACTAGTCTGACCCTTTCCGAGAGGGTGTCAGAGATAAAGAGACAAACTTCCTTCCATTGTTTTACATTCGCATTAATAGCCACAAGAAACAAACCATAACCCATCCAAACTCCTTTTATTAATCGTTATTTCAAGACTTAAAGTATAGAAGCAATTAAACGTACTTGTCAGTCATACAACAAACAAGCAAAATGTGGGAAAGCTGAAACGTTAATTAGGAAAACAACTGAAATTTTGGAAACAATTAACCCATTTGACATATTTCGTATTTGTATCGAAAGGCAATCACTGTGACGAGGAATGACCGTAACCAGATTATTCAGAAAACACGATTTTAAGCTTATGATTAGAGGGTAAAGTTTTCCGAACAAAATTTATTTCAAGGAGAACAATTTCGCGATTTAAATCAGGGTAACCCCTCAATTTAGAATGGTGTTTTGTCCAACCAAGACGAGAATAAGAATAGCGACGCTTAATTATTCATTGAATCAAGATAAAAATATCAAGTTTTATACAGCGTAAGCTCATGAAAAAGGTGATATCGACAGTAAGAAAGTGTATTTTTAACAAGCAAGATTATGTCGATTTCCGTCGTCCACGAACAAAGGAATTCAACAAATCTGGCCGAGCAATCCAAAGTAGGCAATATATTCTTTCAGCACCCATAACCTTGATCACTTACTTTCTTCCACATTGGAGTCCAGTTGTGTCACTTTAATGGACAAATTCTGCATTCTTTCATGAAGGGAGTTCGTTCTTTGACAGATATTATTCGTTTCTGCAAATAACTCTCCAAAAAGGTCCTCTGCGTGTTTAGAAATGCTACTAAGTTGTCGCATGATTCCACATAACGTGTTTACAGACACCGCTTCCAATTCACTCTTAAACCCATCTTCTAACTTTCCACGACTTAATTCGGACGGACTGACCTGTCGTTTTATTAACGGCATGGTTGATTAAAAAATCAACCAACACCGTCCGATAAACTCCAAGATCCCAGTCTTTTATCCAACTCCACTGAACGGTGACAATGCCTGGCAGGAATTGAAAACCTACCGCATAACTTCCACCCTCGCACAAACACCCAACATGGCGACTTCCTCCTGCCCAGGGTTCTTAGCGAGCCACGTGAGGATGTCAGCTGATCTTCGGAAAGCGACCATTTTCACATTCTGTACGAATGAGTTCCGACAATTTTTAAAGAAGAAAAAGCACCATTTTCCTCTGGATCAGGGATTCGGAGGGTTTCAAGAAAAAAAATTGACCTGAACAAAGAATAAAGCCTGAGAACAGATAACTATGGGATAGTGTGTAAGTGTAATACAGGTAGTAATAAATATAGGTCCGTATAGCGTACGCAAACTCTTCATTTTAGAATATGCATACCGATGTTCTGGTGTAAAGGATTAACAGAGAGAGGAATGAAAGGGGAAGGGATCCTAATGCAACAAAAGCGGGAAATAAAATAAAAATGGTTAAAACTTAACTAAGGAAAGTGTTGAATACATATCTTTGCAGTAGCAAGTTCTTTGCTTTACTAGGTCAAGAATTGATAATCAATTAATTGACAACACAAATAAGTCAAGTTTTGTCCATTGGTGGATGATGTTTTATTTTTGCAATTTTATCAATATTCTTTCCAAAAAAGTCATTTAACATTTGCAATTTATCATTTAAATATTTCAATGAGAGACTGTTATGTTTTGGGAGCTTAAAAGAGTTCAAAATAATTTAATTATTACAGATCGTTTCCCTATACATGTTTTTAAATTATAAAATTTAAGAAACTTCAAAATAAGAACACTAAAGAAAAAAAAAGGACAATTAATCCCATTTTATTATTTGTTATCATTCCATTTTCTCCCACACCATTGAATACCGTCTTGTTTTATCCATTTCATTTCTGCTGGAAGCAGTGATTATTTACTCCTTGGGCCAGTTGTAGGTGTGTGGAATGTACGACATGTAATCTGGACTGTACAGGTTGTCTTTTACTAACTGTTCCTTATCCTCGGGTTCAGGATGAATAGTTGCCAAACCACTGGAATATGCAAGTTTCACCACATCAACAGCCACTTTAGTGGATACCTCTCGAATTTCTTTCAGTGGAGGGAATAGGCAACCTTTCTCCAACTGAGATGCTTCCACTTGATTGGCTAAGGACTGGCGTGAGAGATAAAAGGTTTGTTAAGATAAAATTGCTCTAACTAAGACAATCTTAAGACTAGAATTTGCAAATATAGTAATTTGAAATAAACAGATTTTACTTTAGCAGAGGCCCATCTGAAGGTGTAGCTTTTGTTCCACTTTCCCCCCCTCAAATTTGACAAAGACAAAGTTTTGTTGAGAAGGAGGAGGAGAGGGTCAGTATCAGTTTTGTAAAGTTCTTGCTTTAAGTTGTTCATGTAGTTTGTATCATTGATATGTGATTCACTGTTTATATTGTTTTTGTTGTGTTAAAAAAAGGTTCTATTGTTTCTTGATTACCTTAATTTGTTTTTCATCATTGAGAAAGAATTGCATATCAGTTGCATACGACCCGATAACAGGGACCTGTGACCTACAATATGCAACCTGTCACCTAAGACCCACCACCCATGGCTTGTGCCCCTGCACACCGTGACCTGTATTTAAGACCCCCCATCAAGGGTGCCATCTAAATGGGACTTCAGCTATGGATAACTTCTCATACATGCAAATTGGGTTTAAATCATTATTTCAGCAAAGAACATTTTAAAAATTACCTCTGCAGCAAGAAGGAACATGTCATCAGTCACATGTTGAGCTTTACAGGCAATCACAGCCAATGCCACACCGGGAAATATGTAGGCATTGTTTCCTTGGCCAGGTATGAAATGACGACCATCAGCGAGAGTAACAGGAGCAAATGGACTACCACTGGCAAACACAGCTTTACCCTAACAACAGCAGGAATATTAAACCAGTTGAATTTTCTTCTCTTTATTCCAGGGTTCTCTATGGAACCTTTCAACAACCCCCTCTGGTCAAAAATCTCTCCCCCTCTCCCTTCCTTTACCATGATGGGAAACAATAACACTCTTTACATGCATAATCACAAAACACCCACTAATAAACATATATCCATTCAAATCAAAGATTCATTTTGCCAAACTATCTTAACTTCTAACATTTGTGCAGGTCTTCTTTGTTTTGTTTTCATAAATAATGATGGAGATGACAAATTATGAATAGCAGGCAGCCCTTAAAACCAATATCAAACATTCTGTGTTACCCCTTTGGTCAAGAGAGGAAGTTGGTCAGGGGAAAAAAAGATAAAAATTTTCCCCCACATATTTTGGGATCATCTGGACTGACCAAGAAGTTGGCTCCACTAACTAAAAGCCTAGCACAGACCACATCAAACTCAATTTCATCTCACATCAGTCCACGTATAAGCTTGTTCTGCTGTGCATTCTGCTTTGGAGGTTGGATTGCTCAGAGCAAAGATGACGGGTCGGTCATTAAAGGAAGCCATAGCTTTGACAATTTCTTCAGTGAATGCTCCAGCCACTGCTGCAACACCTGCAACAAGACAAGACACACACACAAACAAAAATGAAAACGTTGCATTTAGTACCTTAATGAATTAAAAAGAAAAAAGTGCCAGCAAAATGTAATCATAGCAACCTTGTTTGTAAGGCAAGTTTAGACTGAATTAATTAATTTTGTCAACAGACAAATTTAATCCATATATCAGGAAAAGGTAAAAAATGAAAAAAAAAAGGAAACATACATTTTCAACACTGTTGACCTCAAACCACCCCCAACCAACTTGCTCTGAGTATAGTTTCAGAGAGAACAATTTTAACTTATATTTAGAAAAATATTTTCAATATTGCAAGGTTTCAAAAAAACACTGTTACCAGTTAGTGATCTACTGTCTGTCTGTGAGACCTCTTACCACTGTCTATTTGCCTTCCAAGAAGGCTCTCTTATTTGGATTTCATCACACTGCCCCTTACCAGCCATTGCCACCTATTAGCACCTGCTTATAGAAAAACTTATTGAAACCATTGATACTGCAAACAAACTGTATATGATTAGATGACCTCACCAATTATAGCAGTTGGTTTAATGGTTTTGACAACTTCTGCAAGAGTGCTGATGTGATTTGCTTCATGGGCATATTTTAGTTTTTCTTTATTTAATCCTCCAACTGCACGATCCTGAAAAACAAAGTTTTTTCTCAAAAAAGAACTCTTATGACTAATGAAAAAACAACAAAACATATGGGATTACAGATTTTCAACAATTAAAATACATGTACATTTAAAACACACGATCATACTGCCAGTAAGTGGAATACACAACCATACAATTATAGCTAAAAAATTATGGAGAAGGATTCAAGGCATTCTCTGTTTTCTTGATTGTGACTTAACATGCATGTGCATTCTTTGATGAAGCAACCAAAACAAAGCAACTAATTCTCAAGACTCTTCCTTTTTTCAAAAACTTTTCCCCAAAATTTTACATGTCAAACTCATGGTGCAGCTAATCTGCCACTACCTATATGCTGGTGTTGACAGAGACGTTCCATAATAATGAAAAATCCTGAGGGTTACCTACAGGAGACTAACAACCCCTCTCCTTTTCATGTCCAGTACAATTTAACAGAGGATTCGTTTTATTAAACTTATTGTTTTTAAATCTCACTGTAAGATGTCTGTTCACAATCATAAAATGATCATGACCAACCTTAACAACCAGTCCTCTTGAATCTACCAGCCAAATTCTCTTTTTTGCTTCCTCTTCAGATAGTCCTGCCTTTAACATGGCTCGAACAAGCAAATCAGCAATACCAATGGCAGCCTGTAAAAATATAACAAAATAGCTCTTTCAGTTCCACTCAAGAATGTCCCAAATATAATAATGAATTAATATGTCAGTGGTGCACACTCATGGTGGCAGCCGCATTTGTTCTCCAAGGAAGAAATGATTAAGAGTGGTGTGAGAAAAACTACCTTTTTTTCTATTAAGGAAGAAGGAAGAAGGGTGAAAAATACTTGTTTGATTGTTAGATCATATCAAAATATAGGGAATGGCAACCTATTCCTGGCCACCTCTTCAGTTCTGCTATGGAGTGGTAACCCAATCTGAGTTGAATTTCAAAAACTTTTCTTTAACCTCTAAGCCCTAAGAGAGACTAGCATTTAATCTCTCCCCACAATGTCATCTTGAATCAAGAATAAAGGTAATGATCACCAACTGGAGAAGCTCTTGACTGCTAGACAAATTCTCTTTACCAGCACCTTTAGAAATGTATAGAGAACAGTATGGAGAATATGCACACTAATGTTAGGGTATAAAGGGTTAACCCACCTCTCCTGCACCTTGAAAAAGAAACTTGTGATCTGCAAGTTTGTTCTTGGTAATTCGCAATGCTGCAAGAATTCCAGCAACTGTGACAGAAGCTGTTCCTGTAAACAAAGAGGCAGTGTGAATCCAGTTGCCAATTTTAAATCCACAGATAGCAATGGAATTGACTGAACTACTTTGTATGCCTGATGCAAATGCTTAGTTGGTGAAAAAAGCCATTGTTATAGAACAGCATGTACATCACTTTTACATTTATGGGTTGGTGATAAATTGCACCTGATAAAACAATTTATTCCAACCATTTCAATTTACCTTGAATATCATCATTGAAAGTGCATATCTTATTTCTGTACTTTTCCAAGAATCTGAAGGCATTGTGATTGCCAAAATCTTCAAACTGGATTAAAACTGTTTCACCAAATCTATAGGGCACAAAAATAACACATCACCATGATCTCACATCACTGACTACTCCATTATTTTGGTTCCTGATTACATAACTGGCTATCTAACATAAAGGATAAAACTTTAAATTCATTTTCTCATGATTGTATGGTCTTTAAAAAAACTAAAATGAACAAGATCAGAAATAAAAATGGGAAGTTGAAATGTAGGTCTTTTGTTGCTGGGGTTACTAATAAGTAGAACTCACCGTGCAGTTGCAGCTCCAATGAATTCATCAATCAAATCATCATACAGTTGACCAGTCACACGTTTCTGGGGTACTCCAATATAGAGAGGATCATCCAGTAAAGCCTGCAAAAATATATCAATGCTGTTGGCTTTGGAGCAAAAGATGAGAGTTTTTTGGCAGGGAGAGACTTCAAGTTGCAATGCTCTATCCCATCATATTGGGTTTAGTTTAACCCTTTAACTCCTAGGATCTGATTGTTAATTCTTCTCTCTATACCTGCTATACATTTCCTTGTAAATTAGTTGCAAGAATTTGGTGTTTGATCAACACAACAACTTCTACCTGATACATTTAAGTATTCTCATTACTTTTTTGCTGGTGGTGGATGGATATTGTAGGGAGAAGTTACATGTGAATCTCTTCTGGGAGTTAAGGGTTAAATAAACGGAAAATATACAATAAGAAAAATCTCTCAGGGCTGTGGACAAACACAGAGGAGGGTAGAATCTACCAGTAAGGATCAAAGATGGTCACAGAAGAATAGAGAGGATAAGAACAGACTATAAATAAACAACTCAAATAAACCCTGATATACCTGATTATTAGTTCCTACATCGATCATAACAGGAAGACACACTCCTGGGTCAATGCCGCCGCAAACTGTGTACAGTGCTAGCTTACCAACAGGTATCCCCATCCCACAGCAACCAAGGTCACCCAGGCCAAGGATACGCTCCCCATCTGTTACCACTATGGCCTAAATTTTATATTGAATAAATTTGAAAAAAGATTAAAGTTTATTAATGACAACACCACCATTACTCTAATGAGCCTTTAAAAAATAAAATCAAGTTATACATTTTTGAGATATTGATGATTCCCATTTGCTGACAAAAAAAAATTTTTTTAATGATGTAACAACTGAACCTAATTCTTACATTCACTATACCTTCACATTTTCAACCGGCCAGTTTGCTACTAGTTTGTCAATATGACCTCTGTCATTAATGGAAACAAACAGCCCTCTTGGTCTCCGAAATATCAGACCATACTTCTGGCAGGCAAGCCCAACTGTTGGAGTGTAAACAATTGGCATCAGTTCCTCTGTGTGTTCCATTAAGATTTTGAAGAATAAGGATTCATTTCTTTCTAGAAGCGACATCAGTTGGATGTATCTTTCAAGATCATTGGCCTTTCTGTGAAGTTCTCCATACATTCTTTGGACCTGAATCTCTTGAGTTGATATGCATGGAGGAAGAAGACCATGAATTCCGAGGATTTGGCGTTCTTGTAAGGTGAATGCAGTTCCCTGTTATCAAAAAGCAAATATGCAACTAAATCAATCAAAGGTACTCAACAGCCCCACACTGAATTTTATTAACTATAACTACTGTCTTGAAACACCTCAAAGCCTGAATTTTTCAGGCTTCTTTTTGGAAAGTGCTTTAATTGCAGCTTAGTATATAACCTACCAAGATTGCTTCTTTACTTTTTATTTTCCATCATACAGATAGATCCATGAATCTCAGACCAGGAGAAGTACCCCCCCCCCCCACCCTGCAACACTTACTGTGAGGGGGGGGGTGTATAGACAAATCAGTAAGAATCAAGAACTGTCCAGACTTTCCATAACATTATGAATTTAGAACAGTGCATTAAATAAAAACAATTGAAGACGATTCAAAGAGCTCTGATTGCCTGCTCTATAGCTCCATGATAACCCGATTCAGCCACACTCATTCATGAATATTTATGAGAAACTTAAAACTTTATCACGGTTTGATTTTTCATTATACTCATAATTTAAAAAGTGCATGAAATTACAGACAAAATAATCATGATTCCAAAGGATGAATTGTAATTTACAAAATTGAAAAAACTAAAGATAAAAGAAACGTTGGGGTAAGAGAGAAAATCTATTATCCATTGACCAAAGAAAGTTTTATGCTAATTCCTCACGAGCACTATTTTTAAACCCTGATCAACCAAATTCCCCGAGATACAATATACAGTGCAAGTCACATGATAAAGCATATTTTAAAAAAATGTTATCACACAAACCACATCATTTATTTTTTTGGAAATTAACTCAGAAAAATGTTTAAAGAAAATTTTTTCCTTACACGGTTTAATAAGAAGTAGCAAATTGAAGAGATTTCTGAGATTTGCATAAAGATTGCCAACAACTTAAATGGTCACCAAATATGGGTACAGTACAAAAGCCGAAAGAACAACGACCTTTTTCTAAGTGTAAACTTACTTTAAAAAAATACAACGTATGAAGGGTACTTCGTATGGCGTTTTAAACTGGAAAAGCTCCAAATTAAAATATCAGACTTGATCGCATGCACAGTATCACGAACCGTATGGACACTGTGGTCTCAGGTCGAGATCGGCAACCCGGCAAACCAAGGTTGCATTAACTATATTGAGTTACCTTGTTTAGCCTTGCATCTCTCATGATATCCGTTCCTCTGATAGTTGGAATCTTGTTGACGTGCCCTACCGCCGACATGGTTATTTCAGAGGTTTGAAGCACGGATAAAGCTTGCTTGTGCAGTTGACTAGCTCCGACCAAAACGGACTCCTGTCTGTTGGTAAAAGTAGTCACGGATAAAATTAGTGTACGTAGTTGGATTGCATGACAAGACAAATATCATACTGAGATCATCAAGTAAATATATCACTTGATGAAAAAAACAAACTGAAGTAAAAAAAAAAAATATGACAAAGGAGGAATAAAAACGAAAACCCTTCCGAAACAGTATGATTATGTCAAAGTTATGATTATAGCAATTGGTTCTTTAGGAGAAATCAAGATACATTCAGCTCACTAACTGTTTTATCGACATTCTCCGTAAAAGTGTTATACGAGCATAACAAAACCATGAACTTAGCATGTCTTTAGAAATTAAATCAAAGGAATGCAAGCATTCTCCAACTTAACGGACTTTTCAGCTGACATCATCCTACTGAATGGAATATCGCCCAGTATATCGCGCGTAAACAAAGTGAAGCGGAGCACGATTGCAATGATAATTTTTTTTTTGCCGCGGATGAGGGGGTGGGGGAGCGGGAGCGGGTGGTAATTTTGTATACGGCTCGCTGGTTTTATCATCCACTAAAGACATTCCAATACAGAAGGCAAACCCTTCACGTCCTTTTCTCTGACGTTTATGTTGTGAGTTCTGGAAATTTAGCATTTATCAAATAATTAATAATTGGTTCATACGTCAGCGTGCGTTCAAGATCGAGATATGAAGCACGCGGGAAGTTTGGAGAGCACGACAGATGCGTAAGAGTTGCTCGAGGCGTAGCCAAGAGCAACTCTAGATTCTTGAGTGCTACCCAAACTTCCCAAGTGCTTCATATCTCGACGAACGCACAGCTGATGCATGAACCAATTGTTTTAGTACACTTTCAACCCGATGGAAAATTTTTTTTCTCGAGGGATTTGTTTGCGACGTCATGAGCGTGCACAATAGGAATATGAAGCACGCTCGCGCAATTGAATTTGATTAGACAAATTTACTAGCTATGTTCTAATCCGATTTGAAATTTTACATCACACTTCTTCTTCCATATATGTTCGTTTCGGCCAGGCACCAAAAATTCCTCACTTCCATAAAAATGCAAAGAAAGAAATACAGTCACACAAAATCTTCTCGGAGTGACACGCAAAGTTGCATATTCCCGATTAAACACCTGTAGAGACCTGGATTAAACGGAGAAAATGTGACTAATTTCTAGGTCGTTTAGCAAAATAATGTCCCCACGTTAAATCTATATTAATGTTAGACAGGCCATTTTTTAAAGTTCTACAAATGGTTTTGCAGCATTACCTTGATTTTCCCTCTTCTTGTCCTTTGCCCATAATAACAACTGAGAAATCTTAGAAATAAGGATCGATGTTCCACCCAACACGATTGGATGCTACAGTTATGCGAGCGGACCTGTTGTTCCTAATTATTTGGAGTACTTGTACTTACCGAACGACCTGTCGTGTTTATAAATCTATCTTGTCTTTCATATCAGGCACCTTTCGATTATTTATCAACAAAACGCCCACCAGCTGTCGCAAGTGAAACATAGTTGTTTCGATTTTGACGGACTCTCAAATATGTATACAAACCTTTGTTTTTTCATAATGTTAATAATTCAGTCTGGGATAACAGCCAAGTATTGGATAACCAAATCGGGTTATTCTCGTGTCAATCACGTTTCTGGATCTGACGTTCGAATGTAGCCAGGTAAAATAGTATGTTGTTAACTCTATTTCGCTTTCATATGAGCGTGTAAATTCACTACGCTGCGTGCGGAAATCTCAAAGTTCAACGGTAAAATCTCAAAGTTCAACTGATGGCGAAACACAATTTTTCTGTCCAAACTGGGCTATGAGCCATTTACAGATTTCACAGTCTAGACTTGACATTCAACAAAATAATAGCCTAAAAAGGCAGATAGCTTCTCTGCCTTTTGTTTCTCGCTTGCGAAGCAAAACGATGAAAGGTCATGAAAGGGAGTTCTTCTTCTACGGGTCGGAAACCATTGGGCATTGGGATCCCTGCTTTTATTTGATAAAAGTTCGTCAGTCTCAAACAGGCTTTCATAACAAGCTCTTAAAAATTCTAGAACTGTTACCGCGGTAATAAATAATATGGCAGTGGTTACTTATTTAACTGTTTTGAACCTCTTTCTCAGTTTAGTGTGCGTCCTTAAGACGATTTTCACAGAACTAAACATCTTCCTTGCATTTGGACAAATCTGTAGAGAAAATCCACTTGAGGGGTCCTGACGCAGGAAGTAAATACCAGGAGGGGCTAATTTTAGAAACTGTGTCCTTTTCATATAACTGATAGACGCAATATCTGTTGTCCACAGGTTTTCTTTACAGAAAAAACTAAAGGAAATAAACAAGGCTTTATTAGTAACAGTTTCAACTTAACACCTTCACAACACAGCGGAGTGTTTCTCATTAGGACAAAAAATCCCGAAATTTCGGTTTAAGGTCAATGTTAAGGCAATTTTCCGGAAATTCCGTTGGGAAATTGTGAAGTGCGTTCAGAGTTAATTCTCCTTTTCCATTCGGAAAGTAACGGTGGAAAATTCCTTTGCATTGAAATGAATCCTCTTCATGTTTTCAGGCTAGAGGACGACGAAACGCCTAATGGATAAATGGTACGCGCAATTTCATCCGGTTGGTCGGTCGAATTCGGAAAATCCCCCAGCATTGTGCAACAATTACACCGACCGTAATTCTCCAACAAATGGCAAGCATCCCTCTGGCTGTCTGCTTGGTAGGAAGTCTCAAGCACTTTAACAGTTTTGAGAAAAGTGAAGTTCAGTAATGACGGTTGATGCTCTTCTATCTCCAGAGCACACCCTTCACTATTGGACCACCACTATACGAAAATGGCCTTAAAATCACAGCTGATGAAGTTTAAAGATATAAACAAATCTATCCTACGCGATTCTGGCGTAATAATCTACTGTAAGCAGGCTGTGTTCAACGATAGACCCAGACAAGGGAACTTGATTACCTTAATTCTTTTTCTAATAAATACCCTAAATTTATATTAGTTGCTGTGGTTTTCTTATTTTGACAGATTCATATTTCACGCCTCCAGAATCCTATATCCTTCACTTAGAGTCTGATTCACGCGCATCGCCCAGCCACTCAGATATACAACTGAGACACTTCAAACACATCAGAACGAGACTCATCTAAATAAAATTCGATGTCCGAACTTTGGTTATGGAAAAAAGTCAAGTACAACAAAGATTGCGATTGCAATTAACTTCTCATAATTGTCATTACCAGGACCAAATCCATTTGGTAAAAATGCATAAGAATGCTTTACCTATTCTGGACCTCGTCTCTAGTTACGTTGCGTGTAATTCCTTCGTTTAGAGCTTCATTTAAGTGTCGCTGAAAACGACATCCTTAAAATTGCCTTTACACCTCATAAATTTACAAAAACTGATGCATTTCGGAGAAGAAAGAACGAACTAGGTTTCCCAATCTGTTATTTGCAATCTGTGTTCACTCTTAAACCCCTAGGAGTTACTTAACATCTAGCTTCTCCTTACAAAATCACCCCTGAATCTAACATTAAAGTCATGGGAAGAAGCTCTTGATTGTTACACAAATTCTCAGCACCTTAAGACATATACAGAGAACAGTATGAAGAGTATGCGTACTGATGTTAGGGTGTAGAGGGTTAATCTTGGCCATCCCTAATCATCCTTTTTCACCGTCTTTTGGTTTATTCTCGTTTTTCATACATTATATGTATATACATTTATTTACTTCTCCCGTTACTTACATGGTGGTCAGTTGAAATTCCAAAAACTCTTATTACTTTTAAAATAAGGCGAATCACATTCGCCCTCTAATTGGTTCTTATAGATGATCAATGATTAAAAAGACTGTGCTTCTTTATCACATACAACAAATAATTTTCATGTTGTCGTGAGTCTGTTCAGTAACAACTCACAGATGACGTCAAAATGTGGTCATAACATCAGTGCCATTTCCTTTCTTAGCACATTGTGACGTCGTCTGTGATCTGTTACTGAAGAGATGCGTGGCAGCATAGGGTCTATTTCTTAGTTGAAATCGAATCACTTACTCAAGTTACGTATAAAAAACTATGTACAATACTACAACTACTTATATGACAATTTTTACATAGAAATAAGTTTTTAAACAACATAAAATTACGCTATTATCATGCTATCGAAGTTTTCAAACAAAATTTTTAACTATTTCTATCAGTCATCGCAAGCTGTATTCGGTTCATAAAATATATCAAATAGTAGAAGTGTTTTAATGATTTCTTCTACTTAAAGGAAGGTAATTCAAGTTGACATCATGAAAAATACCTCAAAAAAACGTTTAGACATACCTACGTAAGGATTAAAAAGAGTAATGCATTTTCAGCTTTGTCCCCCTCCGAAAAAAATCCCCATATACATTTGCCTGCTACAGTGGACCCTGTTTGCGATGAATAACAAAAAAACGATGGGAGTGTGGGGAAAACGTGGGGGACTAACCTCATAGATTTTCTCTTGCCCCCCTTATTCCATCGCCTCCACTACAACTGACTCAGGCTATATGCGCATTTAGGGTAATTTAGAATTATCAACCGAGTTAATAACGTAAATTGGCCACCGTAAAGAGTTTCAAAGCTGACGTTTCGGGGGTTAGCCCTTCGTGAGAACAACGCTTCGTCAGTTGATGATACTAAATTACCCTGTTATACTCTCCCACCAACGCAGCACCAAAGTTTCTTTAGAAACTTACCCCCTTTATACGTGCATTAGTATATACAAGTTAGCCCCTATATACATGTCTTCCTGATACAAGTCCTTTAACTTTTCCACATCCTGGGTATTTTGCCCGGCTAAGCCTCGTCCAGTATTTGAATACGTTGTCCATTGTACAGCCAACACGTGCGTATATTTGGCGTTGATTCACTCAGGTAAATAGTCTCTAGCCTTTATGAACTGCACTTCACTAATATGTAAGAGGTATCTTCGTCTCCTCCTATAGTTTAGTTTTATAGTGCTGCATGGATTCGTGATGCTGCCACACATCCCCCAGGGCTTTCGGATTTTTCAATGAACTTTTCATTTCCAGCGCACAAATCTCGAAGGCTTGCCGCATTTGGAAGGCACATCTCCTAGGAGGCATCCTGCCAACAGCTGTGCCAAGGCCAGGACACAACACACTGGTGATCTGATTCTGGGTATTTTGTTCTGCTTTGTTGTGTTCCTTTACTGCCAAAAATAAGCAGACAAGATTGACATGTTAAAGGAAAAATATTTTCCTGTTCTGAAACTTGCAGGGAATGGGAGAAAGAAACACGGGCCTTAACGTTGGGGTGTTGGTCTGACTGAAGCCCATGCTAAGCTCTCTGATTTGTTCAGTGGAGATGAGAACAGACTTTGGCCAAATGGCAAAGTTCAGGGGTTATCTTAGCCCACCATGAGTTTTGCTTTCCCACAATTCCAGTCATACACACAAACAACAAATGTATGGAACAGGCTACCTGGCTGAGGTCATAAAACCATGTTCTTCAAAGCCAGAAAGGCTGTAAGAACATTTCTTTTCTTATTTCCTTGGTTTGTTGTATTCTTTTCATTCCATTGTTTTCTAAATTGGTAACTATTTGTTATTCACTTGGGTACCAAGTATTCCAAACAAGAATTGTTCTTGACAGAACAGGCACTTTTTCTTGAGTTCATGTTTGTATACCTATCACTAGCATTTGTGTTTGTGGTTGTTTTGCCTAACAGTCATTTTGCTAACAACCAGTTTACTAAACTCCTAGGTCATTTTGCCAACATCTCAGGTCAGTTCACATATATGTACATCTCATAGGTTGTTTTGCTAACATATTGGTCTGTATTACAAAACATAGCATGGCTCCATCGGCAGAACTTGATTAACTTCTAATAGATGGAAAGTTGTAGAGGGGGCTGAGTCATTTCAATACAAACTGAAATCAATTCTATACAAGACTGACTAGCATGAAGTGACACAGTGGCATTATAGTAGGTGTCCTTGACCCCAGATTTCATAGTCAGATTTCAAGCCCAAGTCATGATCATACGTTCATATCTTGTGTTCTCCTGCAAGATGCTTCACCCTCACAGTGTCCCCTGCCCCTAGGGAGTCTACATGTAAATGGTAGTGGTGGCAATTTGTGCAGGAAACCTTGATAAATCTGCATGGGGTATGACCTTCAAGGAACTACCATTTTGTCTGGGAAGAGTAGCAATACTCCTTGTTCCTTGGTGATTTTGAAAAAGAGGTTAGTTCAGATATAGAGGGCCTGTGCAGTCCTCCAGATAACTACAGGCTTTAAATTTTACACTTAGAAATATATATAAAGTTCATTAAACTAACCAGCTCTTATGACTGCTCTGAATGCCAGATAAGCATTGACAGTATCACTAACATTCATCGGTATTCTCATTGTTGGTGTGCTGATGAGATACTTAATAAGTTTTCCTTCATTAAACTCAGGATTTTTAAACTTCTTCTCATTATCATCTGGGGACAGTGTCTCAATAATCACAGCTAGACCTACAGGTAGTTCACCATCATGATTCTGTTTCAAAAATGCTTGGAGTCTGTGTTGCATCTGCCAGCCAAAGTGATTGATGTAAACCTGTGGTTCAAAACAACAACAGAGGCAATGATAATTAGACAAGGTGAAAGGGGGTGGCCAAAGGGGAGTGTCTAGGGTGCTATTTGTTAAGTGAAAGTGGCAATTTATCATAATCATGATATTTGGGTACATCAGTGGATAATACTCATTATAAAGTTTTAGTTGTAGGAAAGAGGAGGGAGAGGACCTCGAGTGGAAAACTTTTCCTGGCAATGAAGAACCTATCCTGTGGACTACATACAGGAAAACCTCAATACAACATCCCTTTTGTTTAGTTCCCTTTTTTTCTGCAATACTTTAAATATTGCTTTTCAAATCTCCATAGGACCTGCCCCCAATAAGATAATTGTTTATGATGCCTTACCATGTCAATACCTCCATCCATGAATCCAAAACTGTTTGCTGGGGACACAATAGCATCTGCTGCAGGAGCCCCTTTAAAAATGTCTCCACAGGATATCTACCAAAAATTAAGTCAAGAAATGTCAAATCTTAAAAAAGACAAAAGCTAAGTTTGAAAAAATTGTAAAACGTGTCAAGAAGTGTTATTCTCTCCATAAGTGTTACAGTAGTCTAATAGCTGGATTTGGTCAGATTAAATTTCATATTCCTGGGTTGTATATTTGACCCATTCAATTGGCATTCCTAATAAAGTCCACATCCTTAATGGCGGGTATGATTATGCTCTTGCATTTATCTAGTTATCTCTTACCCAAACCACAGTTGGGCTGACAGCCCGAAATAACCTTAATTTAGTTAAAATGCCAGCCCGAAATAACCTTGATCACTTAAAAATGCCAGGTTTTTCCACTATATGCATACAAATAAACCCACTGGTTTCGCTTCTGAGGGAAAATCATTTGATTTTACACTTGTTGACGAGACCAGGCTGTTTTACGTATAAGTAACAGCCCGCCATCTATGAAAGAATTTGGTATCAAATGAAATCATTCGCCTTTTCTAACCTTAACGGTATTGCTGTAAGGAGCAAATTCTTCCTGCCATGCATCAACCATTTCTGCCTTTATGTCCCTCAGATGAAAAATCACTTTCGAAATATCCATGTTTTCTAGGCGGTCTGAAGCACTTCCATCCCTTTTCTGTTAGCTTCCGTTATTGAATGTTTGAGCCTGCACTCACGTTGCAGCGGTATCACCTATGATTGTTGGGGATTACAGAGATATTACATAAAGTAAAAAGCTGGCAGCCCTAAAATGGCGAGTCCAATGATCGCACTGAGATTTTCCAGCCAAAATTTCTCAAGAAGTCTGGTAAATTTTTAACAAATTCGACAATTTCTCAATTTTTTATCCTAATTTATCCTCCTTTTACTTAATGAGCAACGCCTTTGTTTCATAGTGCTGGAATGCGTCCATGAAGCTTTTCTCTACGGTTCCAGGATTACACGTGGGTATAACGAATGTAACCATGTTAAACTTCTACAGTAAACCTGCCAAATTTACACTAAAAGTATATTTTTAGATTATCGGTACCATATTCAGCCATATTCTTGAAAAATTTTCACTTCTTTTAGCTTTGGCTTTGATGGTTATGTGGGGGCAAGTTTCTAAAGATAATATTAAATTACCCTTTAATGTGCAATTAAAAGGTAATTTTGATTTTAAGAATTTGCATCGTCATTCAACGTAGTAATTTTTTTTTCTTTACATTGTTATCGGTTTTATGGTAAAAAAATTGACTTACTTGAAATTAACTGTTATTTTGCCGATGGCAGTTCATAAGAATGAACCTAGATACAAAGTTTTGAACTATGTCATTTGGTTGTTTCAATTTTCAGGAGGTGGTTATTGCAAGTGCAGTCAGAACACCAATAGGATCCTTTAGAAGTTCACTATGCAATTTTCCAGCCCCAAGATTAGGAACTATTGCAGTAAAGGCTGCAGTAGAAAAAGCAGGTGTTGTATTAAGGGGAATTTGAACCAGATATAACAAGGTTTTCCTTCAGTTGTTTTAGTGCTTCTGGAGAAACACTGTTTTTATTCTTTTCATTGACTGAATTAGAGTTTTTATTAACATACTCTGTACTAATTACTATGACCTAATTTTGACATAAATCTTATTTTATTTTTTAAGCAGTTATTTCTCATCTACATTGTTAGCCATCACCAACTTGTGTTCAGTTAAGACAAGTTTACCTTAATTTAGCTATGTTTTAGAGAGAAACTTACCTCAAATACTCAAGAGGTGGATTTTTCAGTGTGTAAACCCAGCTAAATTAGTATGTAGCACAAGACATTTCTTGCTCTTAGAAGTTATTTGCTGTTCTACATGTGAAATTGGTTACCAGTTGTTTTATAACCACAGTTGTTTCTTACCTAGTTGATTCGTACCCTGCAAGGACCATTCATACCCATACTAGTAAAGAGTTTTTACCCTGTTGAGCATGTTTGAAGTAATAACAATAACAATATAACCTGCAATATAAACAAATGACTGATATTTAAGGCAAAACCTTGTATATTTTTTAACAACTAGTGAAGTGTGCCAGCTCCTCACTGCAGGCTCTGATATTCAATCTTGTAAAATTTTTACCATGACTTTATTAACTCTAATTAAGGTATTAAACCAGAGGATGTACAGGAGGTCTATATGGGAAATGTGTGTACAGCTGGTGAAGGTCAAGCACCGACAAGACAAGCAACACTTGGAGCAGGTAATACAGTTACTAGCAACAAATCTCTGATTACAGTATCACCCTTGAATCAAACATGAAGGGGTCGCAAGAAAAAAGGGAAATGATCACCAACTAAAGAAGCTCTTGATTGTTAGACAAATTCTCCTTATCAGCACCTTAGGAAATGTATAGAGAACATGATGGAGAATATACATACTGGTGTAAAGGGTTAAAGCAAAGGAAGGTGAGAGGTACAAAGAAATTTCTGTGAAAGTGTTGATCTTCAGGCTGTCCATGACAGCTTGCCAAATGATCATAAACTTGAAATATTAAGTTTTATCCTTTGGTCTGACTGTTGGCCTTTACAACAGGCAGTCACTATTTCATGGGTCATATTTATACATAATAACCTAACACTAGTTTGAGGAATAGCATTTTTTGTGATGATTCCCAGGCTTACCAATATCAACTCCATGTACAACCATTAACAAAGTGTGTGCATCTGGTATGAAGTCCATCATGATGGCAGCTCAAAGTCTTGCATGTGGAAGTCAGGTTTGGGCCGATTTTTTTTTGTGAGTGTGTTTACCAAGAGGTTGTCTTCAAATTGCTCTTTATCCATATCTGTCTTGGGCCTCCTTCTTACCCTTCTCCAAAGACATCCCTGTTCATGCCCTGATATCATCTGTTCACTTCTCCCATGGTACTCATCCCTCTCCAATTCCTTACACCTTTCCGTCCACAATATCCTTTCACACACCAGGTTCATGAATGGTATCATGGAGAATGGAAAAGCCATAATGAGCCTGTCAAAGTGTTTGAGTCAGAAGCATAGGATTTTTTTCTTTAGAATTTGAAAAGGTAATGTTGTGTGAAGGCTGCAATTATAGCAATGCATGTCCAAAGACCTGGTTTTGAGGATTTTCCTTTTGATTCTCTTTTGAAGGAATCCTGAAGGGAACTTCATTTCTTTTATGCTTTTAAAAGTTTTTTAAATAGCTAGTTAAGACTTAAAAAATTGACTTGTTGGTCTGCTGAATGTGAGAAATTGATCAGTTAACATGAGCTGGTGCAAGATAAAAGGTTGGTAGCTATGTAGTCAGAATTATTCCAAGCGGCAAGAAATGCGATCACGTATTTTGTTTTAACTGTTGAAACTCTGATGCACCAGTGAAATTCTGGTGCACTCTTCATTGTAAGTTTTTCTCTCCCATTTTCTATTTGAACATAACATTCTTTCCAGTTCATGTTTGGATTGAATAAAATGATGCATTTGTTGAGTTCAGGTGACTTCAGACTGATTTAGTCACTTGGAATTAAGAATGCTACAGAACCAAGACAATTGAACAAAAAAGGGTGAAAGCATCTCCATACCTTGCTCTGTTTTTCTTATTGCTCATTGTCTCACATGTTTGTTTTATTATATTCTTTACAAAGCCATCCTGCAATATAAAATCTTGTTCCCAAAGAAAATATTTTGTACTCATCGACTAAGAAGGAGTGGCAGGTCATGTAATAAAACTGGTGATCAAGTCAGAAAGTTACTTTATCTTGTGCTTTATGTTACTTGTGTCGTCAGGAAGTAATGGTTGCTGGTGGAATGGAGAGTATGTCAAATGTTCCATTTTTAGTTGGGAGAGATCCACCAAAGTATGGAGGACACAAAATGGAGGCAAGTAACATACTGTAAAAACTCTGATAAGCCTCTGGAGGGCCCTCTTGAGGGCTTATTACTCTGGAAGGCCTATTACCCTGGAGGGCACCCTGACAGGGACCTATTAAGAGAGTGTGGAGGAGGTGGGGAGGGTGGGAGGGAGGGGAGAGGGAAGTCTTATTATTTCATGTCGGATTGGTTGCTTAGTTCAAATGGATACTGAACACAAACTAATTTTTAATGAAAACTTATGGTTACTCTATTTGAATTCTGATATTTCTTCTATAATTATTTAATAAGATGAAATTAATGATTTTTTCTTGCTTTTCAATCATGCACTTTAAATAAGGTAAGGTGTATTTGTTCCTTTGTAGGATGGGATTGTTAAAGATGGCCTATGGGATGTATACAATCAGATCCACATGGTATGTAGAAATAAGTATCCTATAAGAAGCTACCATGCTTGGAAAAAGAGTATTAGATTTCAACTTCTTTCCCTATTTTGCCACATTGGAAAGAACAAACATTTTTGTTAATTTTTAATTTCAGCTATATACAATAGTTTCTGCATTCCTTGTGTGTACAGTTGGCTTTTTGATCACTTCAAGTCATCTGAATGGCAGAATGCTAAATGAACTGATGAGACGTCCATACAGAAACTTATCAAGCTTAATGCTGTTTTTGTATACAGACCTTGTCAAATATTACATGTTTTGAACTCTGTTCAGTGTTGCTGAAGTGCCACAACATAAGAAACAAATCTAAGAAAAGGACCCAGAAAATCTTTCAACTTCTTATATATCACTATAGTGCACTTATTTTTCATTGAAAAGTTGGAAAGAACCTTTTAAGCAATACATATTTTAACCCATTACACTTAAAATATTTAATCCTTTATATCCTAACATCAGTATGGATATTCTCCATACTGTTCTCTATACATTTCCTAAGGTGGTGACGAGGAGAATATATAAATAAAATCAAGAGCTTCTTTAGTTGGTGATCATTTACTTCATTCTCCGGAACCTTAATGTATAATTCAAGGGTGATATTGTAAGGAGATGATGGATGGATAGATGGACATATAAACTTGAAGAAATACTAACTAAAGGAACTAGAATCCCATCCATAGGAAGAAGAAGGAGTAATACTGATCTCGTCATCCAATAAAATTTAGGTCATGTTCCCTCAGCTTTGTGCCTTACCCACACATGGAGAGTTTTAATTCCAGATATGGTAGTCACTATTTAAGTGGTGACACTGACAAGCATAGTTACAGTAGTTACTATTTAAATGAAAAAATAATACTTCCTGCTATTTCTCAGGGTAACTGTGCAGAAAATACAGCTTCGAAGCTGGAACTAAGCCGAGAGGAACAGGATGAATTTGCAATAGGCTCTTACAAGAAGACAGCAGCAGCCTGGGAGGTAATTATCCTTTTTTGTTTGAGGGAATAACATTGAAGAAAAGCTACCTGAGTACCAGTATTAGGTCCAGGTTGACACCTTGTGTTCTTCACCTGACTGAACAATTGTGGAAGACACAAATGAATATTAAGTTTGAGGAAAAGAGTAATGTGACCTGACATAAGCAGTTAAACAGACCTACAGTTTATTTAACTCTTACATGTACATCCAACTGGTCTTATTCTTGTCAACCTACAGGCACCTTAATCTCTTTGGGAGAGTAGGTTATGTGTCAAACCACATCATGCAATATCAAACATGACTTCAAGTATATGGATTTGTGTGGGATTGATATTGGATGTGATTGATGTTGTGTGATACATACATACATACATATACTTTATTGATGCTCCCTAACCCTATGTGGTTTAATACATAATCTACTCTCTGAGGAAGCTTAGGGCACCTGTGGTCAACCTCACTATTCCACCAAAGGTTATTTTCCAGCATTTTATTCAGCCATTTCTTGCCTTATGTGAACATTTGGTTTCCAAACTCAGCACTCACCAGTAAAATTTAGGAAGCTAAAGGTAAAACTATGTGTTGTTGAGCTAAACATTTTGGCTGCCTTACATAGATATTGTACAATAGCTAAGACAATATCCACGAAAGTTGGATGAAGTGCTGATAATACAATATTAGTAGCACTCTTAAGTCATTGTTACCATGGGAAGGGAAATATTTTGCTTTGTGTATTCCATTTTAGGCAGGGAAATTCAAAGATGAAATTATTCCTGTACCCATTCCTCAAAAGAAAGGTATGTCTGTCTATTACTGGATGAAGAGGGGGGCATTGGGGTGTATTAGAAACCACAAAACCATAGAAAAATCACCCAAAACTGCAAGACTGCAAAAAAAAAATTAAAAAACTGAAAAACTGTCAAAACCAATAAATTTTCCCATCCCAGGTATTAAAACCCTTATCAATCTGATGCAGTCGTGATAGGTGGAGCATACAGAGGTTTCACAGCTATTCAATATCAGTGGAGGTGCAAAATATTGCCACTTGGATTGAAGAGAAACTGAATCCCAAACAGGAAAAACTGAAAACCACATCGAAATCTAAATCTGAAAAACCATAAATATTTTTTATAGAAACTGAAAACCAAGTGCTAAAACATGGAAAATCCGCAAACCACAATGAACAGTACAGTAGTTGTTTGAATATTGTAGTCACTAGCTATAGAAATCAAAGTCCAGTGGAATTGGCCAAAATTTTATATTTTGTTTGTTATCAGGACAACCTGATGTGGTATTTAGTGAAGATGAGGAATACAAGAGAGTTTCATTTGATAAGTTTGCAACACTGAAGCCTGTTTTTCAGAAAGAAAATGGTAAGCCCTCTTATTTTATTTTAGTGATTTAGTCAAAATTTGGCCAGAGAAAGTGTGGCTCCTTCTAGCAAGTAGATTCGTTGTTTGTACAATTGGCCTTTAGATCACTTCAAGTTACCTGATAGGTGAAATGCTAAATACACTGACGAGATGTCCATACAGAAATTTGGCAAAACAATGCAGTTTTTGTATACAGACCTTGTCAATTATTATCTGTATTAATACTGTTTAATAGCTGAAATTCTTTGATAACTAATGCTTTGCTGAATATGAGAACTTCCCTTCATCAAGCCTAATCAGGCAGTCTGTATTTAATGGCCAGACTTTCATTGATGCATTTAGTAGGTGGATAATTTTTTTCTCCATCTCTTGAAATAACTTGATTTCCTATCAAATAATCAATATTGAAACCAAACATTCAGTGATGATTACAGGGTGTGGTAAGGTACTTTTCTCTAATATCAAGCAACATGTGTATTCATTTTACTGTAAGAAGACTTGAGTTAGTTCATAACTGTAGGCATAAAGTTAGTGATTAAGCAATTCTGTCCTGAATAATGAAACTGTTCTGAGAAATTACAGCGATAGTCCAATAAAATTTAGCATTTTGATAACAGAATATAGATGTGCATGTTGACTGTTATGTGCTTCTTCATATTTAATTCTTTAGGTACAGTAACAGCAGCTAATGCCAGCACTCTGAATGATGGGGCAGCTGCTCTTGTGCTCATGACCAGACAGGCTGCTGACCGGCTAGGAGTGAAGCCACTTGCCTCCATCATAGGTAACTTGAGAGAGCTGGTTGAATAACTTTATTGTCAGTCAGTCAGGAAATGTGACCATCCAGAAAAGGGTTGCTTGCAAGCTGGTCTTAATAGTATTAGCCCTGCTACACAAAGGTTTCATCAGCAGTGAAAAAGTTTGAGGTGAGCTGGCAAGATGTCTGGGAGAGGTCTGGCACTAATAATGGTGCCATACTCCTTCAGACCTTTCACTGGCTTTCCTTGCACAAGGCCTCAAACTTTCTGACACAGTACGAAGTGCTTGTTCCCCAGCTCTATCACCCTTTAACTCCCAGACCAAATTTGTAATTCTCCTTACCATCAACCATACAATTCTTATAATGTTAGTTCAGAGAATTTAGTATTAGATCAACTAATTATTCCCAAAATTGATAGTTTTCTTTTTTCTCATTACTTGTCTGGTTGATATTGTATTGATATTGTAAGGAGAAATTCTGTCTTGGTCACTCATGGGAGTTAAAGGGTTAATAAGGGCCTCCTCACAGCCAAGATAAGTCTTTTAAAGTACTGAAAAAGACTGTGATTAGTAACAGTGATTGATGTTTGAGTAATCTAAGGATAAACTGACATCAGATTCAAGGGAGGAGTCTTTTTTTTTTCTAAAACATTATTAGTTTAGTTCATGAGAATTGATTGATACACTCTTGTTTACTTGCCTTAAAGGGAGATATCTGTATTTTGTTCTTGAGGTTTTGCTGATGCTTCAGTTGCACCCATTGACTTTCCCATTGCACCAGCTGCTGCCATGCCCAAGGTATTGTCTTGTACTTAAAACGTTGAGTTCTTTTCAAAGCATTTTACAATTTGGTGTATACTCTATTATTTGTGATATTGCTGATGCTGGCAGAGCAAACACATTTGTCAAACGTCTGCACATGTGCAAACCTTGTAGAGTCTAGGTGAGGCTAAGTGGTGTGCTTTTATGGTGTCAAAAACAACTTATCTTATAAGCAAACACTCAAGTAAGTAAGTTGCAGTGTTTGAAAAGCATAAAACTATTTTGGTAAAGCTAAAACAAAATGGCAAATTAACAGGAAACCCATAATCAAGTAAGCTTTGTGTAAGAAAGTCTTGCGTTTTCTTTTTACCTCATTTTGTCTTTTTTACAGATTTACATGAAGCCATTAATGTTTTTTTCCCGCGTATTTGGCACGACAGTGTTTGTTTCTTCTATTTTCCTTTGAAATTTTGCGCGGGAAATTGGCGAACAGCTGACCAAAATTGATCCCCTTGTGGATGCCCTACATTTGACCGTTGTGTTATGCAGAGCAGTTGTCACATATGAACGTAGTAGTGGCCTAACTAGCCACATTGTTCTCTGTAGTTCAGAGGTAAAACAGAGTACAGAATTGGAAGGTCTGGGGTCGATTACTTGTGGAGGACGCACACGCCCATGACAAGATGAATAACACCTTTTACTATTTTTGTCTTGTTTTTGCTTGCCTTAAGTTGTTACAACAGACAGGATTGAAGAAAGAAGACATTCACATGTGGGAGATCAATGAGGCTTTTAGTGCTGTTGTTTTGGCCAACATCAAGGTCGGTATAAAATAGTGAGCAGTGGAACTCCCAGAAACGTCGAAATATGTTCACTTTTAGTATAAATCTACTAAATTCTATTACAAATGCTGCGACTGATCTGATTGGCTTCGCATCTTGCTATCTATTCCGCGATAGATAGAGACTTAAGTGATTAGCCTAACACTGTGCGGTTGAAAATAAAATAGGTGTGACTTGAAATGCATTTTGAGTAAATAAGTTATTGGTCTTGTTGTTTACAGTTGATGGAGTTGGATCCCGAGAAAGTAAATATTCACGGGGGTGCCGTGTCCATCGGCCATCCTATTGGGTAAGTTTTGTTGTTGATACTGGTTCAAGATAAAGATCAGAAAAAAGGCGAAAATAAAGATCAGTAGAGGCTTGACCCACATGGGCTGGAAAAGTTTAGTTTACGCTCTGGCAGTTATGCAAGTTTGTCTCGTATACAGACTCTACTAATTACACTCGTTGAATTATCGTATCCAGTTTGCTGATTGCTTGTTTCAACCTTACAGTATGTCAGGTTCACGGTTAATAGCTCACTTGACTCATACTCTACCCGAGGGAGCCCTGGGTCTAGCAAGCATCTGTAATGGAGGTGGAGGAGCATCAGCTATGGTTATCAAAAAACTCTGAGGTCAGCTGACTTAAACGTCATAAGACAAACCTGACGTCAATTCAAGTCTATGGCGTAATCCCTCTGTTGTGGCTAGTTATTACATCCAGTTCAACTGCTGAAGTTAACTAGGTGGGGGCTCACTAGAGGAAATGATATCCGGCTAGGTGTACAGTTTATATCGTTGCAACACAAGTTCTGTCCGCACAGATTGGATATCTAAAGAATTCTACTAAATTTTATGTCTCCTTATTAATTCTTAATTGGTTAAGTCACTCGCGTCCAATTGTTAGAAACAGGCTACAGTTTGGCAATAGGATGGAAGAATGCAAAAAAAAAAACGGTTTATTTTATGTTGATTTGTGTGCTTATCTCCTCAGTAAAAGAAACAATGCAAACGAAACGACAAAAGAACTGTAAGACTATTATTGTTGTCGAGCACAAGGTGTTCTCAACGAATACTTCTATTTCAAATAGTGCTCCCTTTTAAGTCCTAATGGGTGTAAAGTTGTAATAAATGTCACATGTTGCTTTCACTTGAAGAATAAAAATTTGTAACTATGAATCTATCCTAGAAGTGAGCGTAATTTCAGCCGTAACATTTAATCATTCAGCAGCAGCGTTAGATTTCAAGCGTTTACAAAACCATTCCCTTAAAGTTACACGAAACACCTTTCATGGAAAGTGAAACCAATACTTTATTTTTACACGAACTGTTCACTTCCTGTTTTACATATATGTAAAATATACAATAAAAGTAGAAAGTAGTAAATTAAATATACCTTTGAAGATATCACGTTCTTTGTTCACGAGGTCCTAAAAAATGGACCATGGAAAATATTTTTTTTACAAGACAATAAACAACCAACAAAATAATAATACTGTACATCTCAGTTTTGTTCCAGGCCTTTTGTTATTTTTTTGTTTTGGTCACAAATTCCATTATCCTGAAAGTCTTTTAAAAAACTAGTCAACGTACCATTTGTTTTTCAAGTCACATAATTTTAAGCTATCCCCGCCAACACACTTGGAAATAAAGCTTTGTAGAAGTTCTCTCATGAATTTCAAAACTGTTCGAATAATTCAGTTCGAACCTAGGGATAATACAATTTAATAATCCAATAATTTAAATGATGTCACGTTACGTGGTAACCCTCGACGCAAACTGAACGTTAAGTCCATTCTTAACCCTTAAAACTCTACGAATGACTAGCATCAACTTTCTCCCTACAATATCACCTCTGAATAACACGTTAAGGTCATGAGAATAAAGGAAATGATCACCAACGAAAGAAGCTTTTGATTAGTAAACAAATTCTCCTTGTCTGTACCTTGGGAAATGTTTGAAGAGCAGTATGGAGAATATGCATACTGATTGTAGGGTGTAAAGGGTTAAGATTGCTATCGCTAAAAGGGGTCACAGCATTACTACATCGGTCATACAAAGCAGTCACCCCCACGAGACATCATCAGCATTTGTTCGAGTTCACAGATCCTGGCGTACAGAACTCCCTGTTCCTCCTCTGCTTTGGCTCGCCACCAGTTTTCCACCTCTTGCATTTGACGCTGGTGGTGCACCTATGGAATCAGCATCGACCAATCAGAAAAAAGGTCAACATCACAAGGAGCCAATAAGGAACCAGAGTAATAAATACGCGTAACCGACCTAATACGCGGGAAAGCGCAGGTAAAAAAAACTAGCGAGAGGGGTGAATTTGTATCAGTTTCGCGGAAGACATAGCGTGAGTGTTCCAGACCACTCAGAAAGCTGCGAATTTAATAAAATCTCTTCGTATTCGAGGAAACAACGACCCAAATTTGATGTGATATCTGAAATTTTAAAGATGCAAAATTACATGCAGCACTGTACTCGAATGGTAAAGACATGCACCCTTAAAAAGATGTCGCGGTTCAAAACTTATTCTCCACAGTAACTAACGCATACACCCGGTCTTACCACACTCCAGAACCTGATGAATGTTTAAAGTAAGAGGGAGTGATTTCTTGGCAAGTAGAACTAAGTAATTTGGGTATTGATGGGTAAATTCCTATCAAATATTGTGTTGAAACCTGCATTCGTTCCTTCCTATTTTTCATCGTAAGTAGGCGATGATGAAAAGAGCTTTAAAAAATCCGCGCACCTGTGTAGCAGCTAAAGTCTCGTGCACTTTATGAGAATTTTCGTCTTCAATCACTGGTTGCGCCTCAATCACTGTGTCTAACACTTCTGCAACAGGTTTTGCTTCTATGATTGTCCCCGAAGAGTGAAGGCCGGCTCTGTTGCCAACAGGTCTAGCTTCGATGACTGTTTCCACGGACCCGGTGTCACTGATCTGTGTACGAGAACTTGAGCAAGTTCCACTTGAAGCCAACTGCGAAAAAGGTGCTACAAAAACAAAACAAACAAAAAGGACTTCATAAATAAAAAAAGAGTTGTAATCGGACAACGGCAACACCGTACAGCATGAATGTTTCGCGTACTTTGCGGAATGTCGTCTATCAGGCACTACATTTAGTGAATTTTGGCGGAGTTCTTTTTTTTTTTTTTTTTAACCAGCGGATCGAAGTTTACCCGCAAATCCTGTAAAATGTCAAAACCCATCAAACATCCTAGCATGCTTTACAGTAGATAAAATGTCATTTTGGTAAGGTATGAATTAACGTGAATTTAATACTCCGTATACTACACTTGTGCTACCTGTTAAATGTACTTACGGGACATCCCTCCACTGTTTTCCAAGTGGTGCATGCAGTCTTCACACGGACTCCTCCCAAGGTGAGGGGAACTCATACTTCGCAAACGACGGATCCCTCGATCAGTAGCACAGTTCTTTCCTAATTCAGGATTACATCGTTCGTTTTGATCGATAAAAGGCATATTGTACCCCGCAGAAATCTGCCCAAGTCTTAATTCCAGTTTACTCAAACCTCCTTTAATTACACCGCGCATTTCTTCCCGTATGTTATTGCTGCTATCTTTCAGGCTTTTACTAACTAAGCGACTGTCCGTGGTGCGTTCATGTTTTTTACTCCTACTCCCTTTCTCTTGTAATTTTTTCTCTTCTTTTAACTGTTCCGTGAGTCTGTTTTCAAGCCGTTGCAATCTGTGTTCGAGTCTTCGCCGAGCGGAGTCGATTTCTGCAGTACACCGCTCTTGCCACGCCTCAAGACGGCTCAGCTGCGTCTGACACGTGCTGCAGTGACTTTGGTTACAAGGTGTAGTTTCAAAGTCAGCCTAACGAGCAGAAGGTATCAAGTTTATCAAGTTTGCATCACAGAAAGTTAGCATATACCAAGCCCTCAGTCAGTGGGGGCGAGAGAAAGAGCGTGCGAAAAACAAACAGTGGTGTTTCTTTGCCTGAACCCCGGTATTTTCGCTTGTTTCCACTAACCAAGAGTGTGGCACAGGCAACACCAAAGGAAGTAGCTCGTCGTTACATTTCTAGATCGAACAAATAATATTCACAGCGAAACCCGTTTGTGATTTTTAATGGTGGTCTACACGTGGATCTAATTCCTAACGTCGTTCACCTATCGTGTGGCAATAATATTTTGAGAGTGCTGAACAGGCTTCAAGTACTAGGACAGACTATGCACTTCTTTTTGACATTTTTCTTAGTAGTATTAAATTAGAAAAGAGTTCCACCCACAACACACCCTACTTTATCATGATCAACTGATTTAGACAATCACCTGAGTAGACTTTCATTAAATGAACGTTTCCAAGACTGTCACTGATTAGAAAGGGAGCCGAAACACAGGTTCCACTGCAGTTTGCATTCGAATTCAATAGTTCTTTGATTTTCTATCACTTTCTATGATCTGGTAGTTGCACCAGTAAAATTAGGAAAACAGAGAAAACTGATGAAGTTCATGAGGACCGAGCCTAGAGCCTAGTGACTGGAGGCGTGGAAGGGAAAGGTCAATTTTGTTCCCATCATACCCTTCCCACATCTTTTCACCAAATCACTACTTACCCCCATACGGTGCACAACCTCTTTTCGCTCGTTACTCCTCCCGTGTTCTTCGGTTTTTCTTTTGTGACTCTTGTCCCGTCTGGCTCTATCTTTCTCCTTCTCTTTTTCTTTGTGATGTTTCTTTTTCCTATGTTCTCTGTCTCCATCGTCTTTGTCTACATGTGTCTTAAAGTCCTTTTCATCTGAGTCTACGTCCCTCCGATCTCTTTCCCGTCTTGGTTCCGATTTAGATCTGCGTTCTTTGTGTTTCACTTCCTCGCTGCGTCTCTTTTCTCGGGATTTTCTCCGTTTTTCCTGACAAATAGTGCAGTCCGATTCACTTCCATCTTTTTCGTCACGAGGTGGACATTTCTTTTCTTTTCCTTTGTCTTTCCGTTTTTCTTTCTTTTCCCATTTTTCCCTTTCTTCCTCGTGACCTTTTTTATCTTTCTTATCCTTTTTTCTTTTATCTTTCTTTTCTCTGGTCTCTTCTTGCTCTTCTTTTTCTTTTGACTCTTTTTTCACTTTATGTATCCCATTCCCCATCACCTCCCCTCCGGAGGGTGGAAATTTCTCTTTAGGTTTTGTACAGAATAAAGCGTTTTTCAAGTCTGGGTCACTTGCGCTCCTGAACAAGGAGAAAAAACCTTTTTCCTTTTTGGTCTTCTTCTGGGAAAGGCTCTCCTCGAAATCGTCTCTGCTTGGAGCGCTTTCGGAAAGAGAGAACACGTTTAATCCTTCCACTAAGATCTCCAAATAATCTCGTTATTATCTAATGTACATTTCTTAAAATGTTAGTTCTTAGTATTTCTAGGCTTAGGCATCATCCCCATTAAGCTATCAATTCATTCTCGTCTCCTATCCACTGGTAATTTGTTGACAATGTAAAAGAAATGGTAAATAGATCATTCATATAAGTCACTGTGAAGGAGTTGAGAGAAGACACAATTCCACGTAAAGTTAACAACCTCCCATGTGTGCCGACCTTTATTCGTCCCATTCGCTCGCGTCCAAACATATCGGCGGAAACTGGGCTTTCTGCTACAAACCTGCTCTTGTTTTGAAAGAACTTAAATGAACCAAAACGAAAACCATAAACAAGGTAAACATACACGAGTCTGTGTCATAAAATCTGTTGGCTTAGAAAACAAAAATCCAAGACAAAATATTGACACGGAAGCTTTCGAAAAAACATACGAAGCACTAACATTCATTTCCATTTTTCTATCGTTCGTCATTTTCAAATTTTATTGCAACTGTTTTGAAACTTGGCGGAAAGTATTAAACCGCGTGTTAAATTTAAAAACCTGTGTTAAACACGACATATCATTAAAAAGTTTCTTGGCTTAGACTTTGGTCAGGAAAGATTTATCAAACTGATGCCCAACTACTCCTACAAACTTGCTCGAGAAAATGAACCCTCCTAGTAACGTAAATGCCATCGACTGAGGATCTTTTCTGTGAGTGAAAATAGCATGAGAGCCTTTTTCGAGACAACTATTTTCTGAGGAAAACAGGAGAAAAAGAGACTTTTATTACAAGATATTACCTAGAGAATATAAACTATATATTCTCTTGATATTACTAAGATAACGTTAAAATGATTTATCATTTCCAAATTCATCATATTCCCATTCAAAGATAACGTTCATTCCTCTGAGAACATTCGATTAGGGAAAATCTTATTCCATACGGAAGTCAAGAACGAGTAATGTTTTTCGCTAGTGATCGTTTGCAAATTTCCAAGGGCAAGAAAATTAGCTTTATATATATTTTAAAGAATATTCTTTCTTTGTGTTAATGAATTTGTTTATTAAAAAAAATATTAATCAGAACACCTATTGAGGCAGTGTTATCTTCAGTCACAAGAATGCCATTCTTTCAAAAGTTGTTCTAGCAAATTCTTACAGCAGCCAACAAAGCCAGTTTGTAATAACAGTCCAAAGCATCGTCTATGCTTTTACATACGTTATAACAATTGTACCTCGCCTGATGAAGGACAGAGACAGAATTTCTTTCTTCGTTTACATGTAGGCAGTTTAGCCTCAGGCAAAAGGTCATATTGTTTACCAAAACTTTCCAACATTCAATTTTTCTTTTCTTGCAGTTAATAAAACCATAATATCAGTTATACATCTTTTAAGTACCAAAATTATTTCTGATGACACTTCACTACACGGAGCCGTAAGAAACTCAACCTCATTAATTGCAATCCAGACAACATTTTTGTCTAAATTGTACTAGTTGGTTCAACCGTGAAAAAAATTCAGATAAAATCAAGATTTTCATAAGCGGCAATTGATTGGAACTATTGCCCATGTAAATTTCGCGTTTAGAAAATGAGTCCCTTACAATTCTTGTTACCACATGATTCGTCATTAATAAACTTAGACGATTTTGTAATTAAGTATTTTTGAAAACACCTTGCCTATCTTAGAAAAAGCTCCAGGTAAACTTCATTGATTTAAGTGCCTTTAAGATCAACTGCTTATCTTGGATGGCATTCTCAATATCGGAGACGTTTCTGACTCTTGTGAAAGCAATGTACTGTGAAATCGTGTAGTGTCGATTTCTACTGTGTTTAGTTTGCAAACAGGCGATTGTCGAATGCAATTATCTAAGCGATGAATTGTTCTACGCTAGTGAATTCAAGTGAAGTTTAATGGATTTACTACACATCGGTCTCTAGTGAACACCACCTTCCTTCGACCTGTGAAAAACACTGGCTGAAACACGCAACGAAGAGTAGGGCTAACCTCGTTTCCACATGAAAACGAATTATGCTTACACGACAATAATTTGTGCTTAAGGGACTCCCTGAAAGGTAAGGCTGACATAAACAGCGTATATAACCTAACTGGCTACCCAGAAAAACCTAATAACTTTGTTTTAAAAGGAAAGATGCGATGGCAACCCTATAACATTACGTTCCGTCACCAAGAACTTATCGTCTAACCTGCTCAGCGCACATATCCAAGGACTTAGTCCTCCTCTAGACATCCAGTAAACCTTGAAATTGTCGATAGAGTTTATAAACTTAACTGTCGACAAAGAACTGAGCGCTGGTCGACGCTTGAAGAACGTGTTCTATTGAGCGCGAGTGAAAATGGCTGACAAGTGCGACACCTTGTTCTCCTAAAGTGTTTGTCGTGTGAATTCAAATGAAACGACTTCACACACGAAGGAACAATTTCAACATCTCGACAAAGGACCGCCCACAAAGCTTCCAGTAAATATACTCACAATGGCCATGACGTTCAGCTCGCACAAATGCTAATAACGCGGTTATAACATTCCCTAACACAAACTGGCAGCTTGTGTGACTGAATTTACATTGTCATAGTTTTCAACCCGAAGTTGAATTAACTGGGTCAGATGCTGACTCACAGTCACTTAATGCATATCTCACTCTGTGGTATTAAAGGCAGAGTTGTTAACACATTTTTAACATCTTATTAGGGTTCATTTAATTAAATAAAACCCCAAAACTAGTCAACTCCTTGTTATGGAGGCTTTCAATGGGTTTCATGAGAAAAGCTCTCAAATTGACAGGAACTCAAAGCTACAATTTGCATTTGAACAAAACAAAGGAAAAGCTTTCAGAAACGATTTCAGAGCATTTAAAATCGGAAGCAGTATAATCATTCAACCATCAACGGAAGCCACGATTCTCTGAAGACTTAATCCCTTGTAAATTTTAGAGCAAACAGTTCATTCAATTGTTGACGTCTTGGAAATAAAAATGAAAGTTTCGTCTTCGCTGGTCACGCTATTTCTTTTCGTCCTCGCTCATCCGAACCTCGTATAATTTTTTTACTCCACAAGACTGTGATCATTCTATAATAAGCCGGAAAAAACCGACCCCTCAGGCAAGTCGCGGTATCTTTCAAGAATCTAGTCTGTAACCCAAATAGATGTTTTAGGCGTTTGCGGTAAAACTCCAATTTCCTGTTTTCAGTAATACAGTTAAGTAAATTGATTATTTATTCAAGAAAATCCACGTGTATTTGATTCGAAATGGATTTTTACAGTGAGATGTAAAATCCTTCCCACAGTCTTTATTTCACATCTGTCCTTTGGCGAAACCAAAAATGCTAACGCAGCTGTTCTTTTCGTACTTAAGAGCCTGGAAACGAGAAATTTATGATTCACAGTTGCACGTGTAGTTGCTGGTCTTTTGATTGGCCGGAAACTTGACGAAACAAACCAAAACAAATTCAGAATTGGAAAGTGTTTGTTAATTTTCCAGGAGTTAAACCACTGATTCCCACTAAATCGAGGTTACATGGTATCCCCTCTATACCAACCTTTCAGCTTTCTCCTCTTTACCCCGGGAATGCAACCTCTTTGATTCCCGTCGTCCGCGATGAAGGCCTGGGTCAGAGCGAGCTTCTTCCTACAATGATAAGGAAAAAGAAAGAAAAAATAATGCTAATTTCTCCTTGTAAATACTGGAAAAGAGTCAAAGCAGCACTAATTTATTGCCTGCCACCTGTTTGCCTATTTAAATTATAACGAGAGCTGTGAAGGTCAAACCTCATAAAACAATGAAGTACTTTATGAAAAGGATGTCAATCAAATAAGTAAGTCATTTAAGAAGGTTCAAAGGTGCTGTCCATGAATTGTCTGAGATATGATTGATTGCCGGATTTGCATTACAAGTGATTTCTATTTCAAGAGCTCCATGCCATGTCAACCAGTTATTATGGACGGCAACCATATCGTACAAAATCGTAAGTTAAGCTAGGAACTTACTCATATTATCCTAAAGTGCATCAAATCAACCGGAAAAAATTAATTCCCGCGAAGTTTTTGATTCTTGCTGTCTTAACTTGCAATCAGCAGATCAACACAAACATTAATTTGTAATAGTTTACTACAAAATCCAACGAAATAGTTGAGAACATTTTTAAAACAGAAAAAAATGAAAAAACAAAATGACCAAAAAAAAAACCAAAAACCAATGTAATAGAATGTGTCCTGACTTTCCAGTCATTGCCAAAAATTATTTTCTACCAATCAGGTTAAACAAGAAAAACCCATCGTGAATTGGTCACATGACTTTTCCCGCCGTTGACGCGGCTTGCAAACTCTCGTTTCAAACAGCAAGCCTTATTGAACTGAACCACATTTAAATCTAGTTTGGAAGTCTTTTGTTTAAGAAGATTTAAAAAAACAGGAGACAGGAAAAATCTTTGGCGAGGAAAAGGCTAGAGAGACCTCATACCTGTGATTTTAAGCTACTCCTTGAACGAGTCTTACGCGATTTTTTCAAGGATGCTTTCCGCTTCTTGACGAAGTCTCGTTCAATGGAACACATCTCGTCGTACTTGATGGTGAGAATTTTGGATTTTCTCTCCTCTTTTTTCTTCTTGCCCCAAGAAAATCGACTTGAAAAGTCTTGTTTACGTTCTTCTTTCTGTAGGAAGCAAATGATAAATATAGGATATTACAAGGTTGCGAGAAGATATGACATTTTCGTTCCAGCAGCAGAACAAACTAACAAGTGAGCACAGGGAACGAGTGAGGTTTTCTCTTGCCACGAGAACACATAATTCATATCTTTGAACTAACGTCTAATTTTCTTTTTATTATATGAAAAATTTATATACATGATAAAGACTGAAAAGCTTATCAATACAAATCATTTCAAACGACGAAAAAACCTAGTTCATTCAGCAAAGTTTTAGAAAGGCGGGAATACCTTACTCAGATCCCGGATATACTGGTCGTACTGACTCAACAAGTGTTTTAGTTTCCGGTAAAACTGTCCCGTCCTTATAATAAATAGATTGAATTGGCGTTGGCCAAACAATTATCCTTAAGAAACATGAATGAACTGCAATTATGCAGAAATGCAAGTGAAAATGAGAGCACAAGAATATTACAAAACTACTTTACTCTCTGCGTTTGGACCGTTAACCAACGTTGTAGTAATTTTACTCGACCTTACTCCTTACTCCTTACTCCTTACATTTGCGTGACACGTGTGAATCAGCTTCAAGACAAAAAACTCTGTAAGGAAGGAGACGGTCAATTTTTTTAAAAACGCGACCTCTGTGTCTCTGATCTGATCAAAAGACTAACCCTAACCTTCAGTAGATTGTTGCCAGTTTTGCATTCTGGATATTTTGCTTATTTTTAAAAGATATCTGAGTGTTGAAAGAAAACAAAAATATTCAACAAAGCAACTAAAAAAAGGAGGATCACATTGCTTTCCAATGAAGGGTAATACATCAGACAATAATTCTCTTTTGTGACTCACCTCGGCGTCTCGGCCCTCAGACAATGGTCCTGGTCTCCATAGCTGAGAAGTAGTAGTGTTAATTGTAGAGTTTGTCATACCATTGAAGAGTTCAGACACATCTAAACTATGTGGTCTTCGCTTCTCTTTCCTGTCGTTTTTCAACATCTAGGGGTGAAAATTATAGAACAATCCATTGGTAACTAATCCCGGGTGGAAACCCTTTTTATCTAATTTAGTGACAGACTATGGTTTTCTAAGAAACCAAGCCCAATACTTGTCTGTATCTCCTAGAAATCTGAGATCCGGTAATTGTGGCTTAATCGACCACTATCACTGCTAGAACTTCCGCATCGGGTAAGCCGCCGGATTCACCGCTGTTTGTAACGCAAATAATTCAAAGAATGGAAGTGTTGTCCACTACTAGTTAAAGGATTTTCAGCCAGAACATTGCGCAATGAGCCCTGATGGATTGAGTCAAACAGTTAACTGATTGCCATTTATCCAAAATTAGTCGTTTAGCCAGCTAACTTTACAGAGAAGACGGCTACGAATTCTTCAAAGATCTAAAATGCATATAAGATTTATTGTAATCAAGATTGTATGTATCGCGTATTTCAACGCGTTGAAAAAGTACCACAATGTTGCCTTCAAATCTCATAACCACGTCGCCCTTATTGTTTGCGTTTTCTATTTTGATAAAATTTTTTAGGAAATAATTCACAGTGGCTACAAGCGGTCTTAGAGTGAACATGCCCTGTTCCCACTTGAAAACCCTTTTAACGCGATAAATGTTCACTTGTACTATGTTGCTTACCCTTCGTGTGTCTCCTTTAGTTGGACCTAATAGCTTGGCAATTGCTTTGAATCCATTTTGAAGGGCTAACTCCCTAGCAGTATCACCAACCTTATAAGGAGAAGGAAAACATAAACGTAGTGAGCTTACATTCATAAATAACTATGGGATAAGTTTGACTATAAACGTGTACTCATTAAATGGATTATAGCCATAGGTGTGTGAAGTTGACCTCGAGGGTAAAATCCGAATAGATTTAAGGGGAAGTATGCAAAATGATACAGCCATGTAATATGTCGAGACCTAGTTTTAGAAAATTGAAGTAAGTATAAACAGAGAACTTGAAAAATTATATTTTTACTCGTGTCTCCTTAGGGTTGGACCCCGAAACGAACCAGAAGATTCTAAGGGTGCTCGTGTTGCTTGTCAGAATACAGATAAGGGCGACGTGACACGGACAGGACACTTGATGTTAACCGATTTCCAATGTAAGTACCACACAATGGTGAATTGTCATATTAACTACTGGAATGATTTCAAATGAAGACAATTTTCAAAGGCATAACGAAACTTATAGACATTTGAGGAAATGACTAGTGTTTCCAGAAAAATTCTTGGAACTGACGTCTTCCTCAAACAAGCAGCGTGAATTAAGAATCAACTAAACGATTATCATCTAGTTGCGACAAAATGCAAAGGTTAGAAACTAAATCTTGTTAAATGCGGAAGGCTTCCACGATATTCTCTTAAACGAAACTTCCTTCCTTACTTCAAATTTCACCTTTTAATGTGTGCTGGCAGAAAAGCGACAGTCAGAAATTAAACAACAAAAAGATAACGATGGCAAATCCTATCACTGTAAATGAAATGAATCAAATCGGATTACCTAAAATTTGCCCATTTAAATTGTAAAGGATTTGTGAACACCAACCATCTTGAGCCCCTTTCTTCGGCGGTAACGACAAGGAAATACTTCTTAAAACTGAGATGAACCAATTCTAGACACAGAGTTTATTTATCGATATTACTAATAAAAATGTTCAAAGTAAGCCGTAGCTGAATGGCTTACAGGAGGTGAAAAACTTTGTCGATGACAGTTCCGTTTTTTGTCGCCAGTGTTCAGCTGAAAATTTTGATCTCGTCAGTTCTGGTTGCATTGCAAGCCATTTCAGAAGAACAGTCGACGCTCTTCTTCAAAGAAATCGTTTACATCGAACACATCTCCTCTCAAATCTCATTAGATCGCTTTTAGTCACTTCTCCCACTCCAATTCTCCTCTGATTTTTACCTCAAGAGACCATTTCTAACTATCATCAGGTTTTCCAATTGCTTACATTATTTCTGACAGTAGTGGAACTTCCTGCATTCAGCAACATTTCGATGAGTTTTTCGTGTCCCATACTGGCAGCAATATGCAGGGGGGTGTTACCATCCTGGTTAAAAAAAGGAATCACAGTTACAACGAATGATTTCTTATTGTCCTCTTCCTCTATTTCCTGTCACCGCATGCAATATTCTACAAATTGAAATTCCCCTCCAAAAATATAGCAAAATTGTACTCTAACTAGCTATCTCAGGGGGAATTCACGCATATGGTATTGGCAGTAAATAATAACGTAATGTAACGGGTGCTGGCGAACAAGAGGTCGGCCGGAGAAACATAGAGCGCGAAAAAGGCAAGATAACGTGTGTTGACAAGGAGAATGGTCAGTTGGCCTTTTTTCCTTTTCTCTGGCGAGGTATATCGAGTTTTAGTGAAGGAAAATTGGAAAAAGATAGCAAATAAATCAACAAACCGAACAACATTAAACGTATTAAATCCCGTGCTTAATATTCCCGTTCGCATCTAGTCAGCGCTTTCTGTGCAGGCGAACCAACAAAGAATAATCGTCTCATGTTGAATGACACAGTTATAGAACCGACGGTTACATTATCATTTACATTATTTTGTTCAGAGATGTTGAGCTCAGTGGCCAAAAGTGCTTTACAGACTTCATCGTGTCCATAGCGAACCGCAATGTGCAGAGGGGTGTCACCATACTAAAAAGGAAAAATGAGCAAAGCGAACTAATTAAACAAAAAGAAACCTAAATCACAAATAATTGTTTGCTCAAAACATAAGATATTTAATACTATCCTTCAAACTTAGAGAAAAAAGTCGGTGGATTTTGTGTCAATGACGAACAACCATTTAGTCGGAGAAGCCCTTTTTACTATAGGACCATCATTACACACAATCTAATTCATACTCTAAAATCATGTCCTTACACTTATTCTCTTCGTTGAAAAGGTCAGGTAAGTTTCAATTCACATAGGGTCTTAAAGGGATATAAAGTCCCAGAGAATTTGCATAGTATTCCATCGTCACTATATAAACCTTTTTTGTTAACATGACTAGTCAAGTATTATTTGTCAAGAACACAATAACCACTTACATTATTCTTTACAAGTGCATTGCAACCTCCATCTAATAAAACTTGCAGAGTTTTACAGTGACAGTTTTGTGCAGCAAGATGTAGACTGGTATAACCAGTCTGAAAGCAGAGAAAAGGAATGAAAATCTATGTTACAAATTTAATGAAACTTCTTATTCTTAGATTCACTCATTACCAGCCATTACTGACCCTGATTGGGTTTGTTCAAGGTCACTCAAAAGAGTTGTTTGTTTGTTGCACATTTCAGGGTTTCAGTTTAGTTAAATGAATCATTTTGTATCTCTCAGGGTATTATAAAAGGAAAACAACATCCTCAAGTGAGGTAATATTCTTGTGCTCTGTTGACTTACCCGGTTATGAATATTTATGTTGCACTTTCCTGCCACTAGAAGCTCAACACATTTACTATAACCATTCCAGGCTGCCTCATGAAGAGCTGTATTTCCATTCTAAGAAATAATCATGTGGAAATCCTCCAAAACGAATTAATCAACAGAGTTTCTCTAAAACGTATGACTGAAGTCTACACCAATAAAATACAACAAGAATATAGAAACAAAAACAAGGAAATACTTAACCTTAAATCTTTGTACACAAGAACTGTGAACAGTACAAAACATAAACTAACTTTACCTCATCTTTCTGATCAATCAAGCAACCAGCCTTTAATAAAATGTGGACAACATCTGTATGGCCATGAATAATGGCACGATGAAGAGCAGTCATTCCATTCTACCACATACAAATTTAGACATCAAAACCAATGTAAAAGAGTTTCTCAATGAAGGCACAAAAACAAGTTGAATTTTATGGTATTCAAGATTTTTGTGCAAAGTCAAAAGTTTTCAAGAGCAAGTGGACAACAGTACAATTTTCCACTCAAGAAAGCTTCTTGAATAAACAAGAAATACATTTCAAGATTCCTCTACCTCATCTGTTACATCCAGGTCAGCTCCTGCCTCTACAAGGGCCTTCACAGCTACTGCCTGGCCTTTGTAAGCAGCATAATGGAGAGCAGTCTTACCATTCTGGAAAAAAAATCATAAAAAGTACAACATGGTAAATAAAGAAAAATATAATATCCAAAACTGCAATGATTCTGTCCATATTAGGCAGTAATCACATGAAATTATCATAGCAGTTTCCCTTTAAATAGGAGTTTAGATAGTCTCATAAGGTAAGTTAAGTGAAGAAACCAGCTCACAAATCTGACAATTGAAACAATGTCTTTTGTGTCAAATTTACAACTGAAATTGTTGATCAATCTTAATCAAGAGCAGTAAGTAATAACCATATGTCTTACACAGATTACATAACCAGATGTTGGGGAGGAAGAAAACTTCCTTGTTTAGCCTAGGAAGTTTTGTGTTGCACAATAGGTTTTGGGGTCTTGAATCAGGGTGTCTTAATGCAACAAAAGCCTTGAAAAGGGTGTGAACTTGGTGATGTGCCATCCAACACTGTCTGAATATAAGAAAGGTGGCTTTACTATCAGGTGATATACCACAATCCATATGTGCTTTGTTGTCTTAAACAACAGGTAGGGGTCAAATTTTTTTTGGACAGACTCAGGGTTTTAAGGACTCAGTGGCACCTATGATATGCATCCAGCCCTTTGGGCTGTGCGTATAAAAGGACTTAACATGAAGGGTTTCCCAATGGAATGTGACACCATGAGATTACAGTAAGATCCTTCATGAATGAATCCCATCCAAACTCCTCCTTCAATTACCTCATACTTCAAAATACCAAAAAAAAAAAAAAAAATCTTGTCACCTTGTCTATTCTGGAATTGACATCAACACCCAGGGCAACAAGCCGTGAGATTTCTGATATTTTATTGAGCTTGACAGCAATGAGAAGTTGATCACCAGCATTGCTCTTTTTGAACATTCGTAGAACGTTAGAGCCACGCAATGTTAATCATTCAGTACATCACAAGTTCAGCCAATGGAGTCAAAGTCTCAGAATATTGTTCACCTACAAAATTGATTTATTTTTCAAAAATTAATATTAGTCATTAACTATTGTCCTCCAAAAGCAAACACTTTTTCTTTTTGACATACTGGTAACATAAAACAAGGACAAAGTTGAACAAAAATCATTGGATGGACCCTATTTTTTCTTGAAATTTATACCGGTATCTCTGCACTTCTACCCTGGATTGAGAAACCCAAACAGTTATGCTTCCTATGTGATTTTTATGAGTAGCCATTTAAGTACAATTTAAAGTTTTTGAAAAACTACTAAGATTTGTTTACTCAAACTAATGCCTGATATAATTTGATTAAATGTAATTAACAAACATTTAATTTCAAGTTTCTGCACTCAATTTCACCTTTTTACACAGAGTTTGAACTTTCCTCACTGTTTGGGATGATTGGAGTGCCCTCGCCCAATTGGTGTGCTGAAAGCGTTGTATGTGTATCACAACAGACACCATAACACGCACACAGGTTTGCTCCGTTTGATCAGAGAAACCATTGAACGGAATCCATGCTCACTTTGCATAATAAGAAAGAATTAAAATTATCTCTTTAAACTTGCAGTGTTACACGAGATAATATATATCTCCCGATTTCAGTCTGAAGCATCTGGTTTGAGTTATCAAGAGGTCTGATAGGATCACAGTGCTTGACTGAAAAAGAAAGATTTGAGAGACCGGGGTATCAAAACAATTACATTCAAGAGTACTTAAGAATATATTGCCAGAGCACTACTAGACTGGAGACAAGGAAATTAACCAATTTTGACCCACAAATCTGGGTTACAATATGCGCAAAAACTTCGTTATCTAAACAGCCCAATTTAATATGATGTCACTTGATAGTTAAAGGTGCTAATTTTCATACAGTATGTGTTGCTGAATGGTACACTCACTAAATCATCACAATCGATTACAAGTTTTCTAAACACCACATTGCCTCATTACAAGATACGAAACGATAATAAGGAAGGAAAATTGTTGGCGATCACACCATGGATATTCTTATCGTACAAAGCACCAAAGCATAAATTTAACATTCGAACGACTTGCCGCAATTGGGTCAAGTTTCACGCATGCATAAAATTTTGAAGATTTTATCTTCAATTGGCGGTAGATATAAAAAAACTATAAGGTACTCGTAACAGTTCCGACATGTACTTGTATCGGTGAAATGAAATTTTCAAATAAACCTGACTTCAATTGCTCAATTCCACAACGGAATTCATCGTAAAGCGAGCACATTGCCTTGATAATTTATGACCAGAGAACAAAAGCAAATTCTAACATGGTTTGTAACTGATCTCATTGCGTTGAAAGGTTCTCAAAGACATACCATCATACCCTTAGGACTATAAGCAAACGCGTTAAATTTTTACTACGATAATATAAAATAACAATCAATAGTATAAATGTTGTCACTGCTAATAGCCCATGGTTTATGACGTGTTTTCAAAAGCGAAAACGATTAAGTGTTCACCAAGTATCACCGACATTAACGAAACAACGCAGAAGATCACAGAGAAAGTCTAAAGATGGTCGTACTGAGGATAACGCACGAATTATATAATGTTATTGAGCGATAAAACAAATCGGGATCAAAAATTGCAATGGCTTAACATTTATGACATTCCAATATCAAAGAAATGGATTCGAGAGCTTTATTTGCGTTTAATTCTAGTGAAGCTTACTGTGTGTAAACATTAGGCAGAGTCACTTGAGTATTCGAAAATTGTCCACAAACTCATTGTCGACACAATAAATTGATGCAGTCTAACCACATTATTTGATTGAAAGTCGTCGTCAAGTAATTACAAGTTCCCATAAATCAATCCGTTCAATGTAAACATCTCAGAGGAAAACATACAAAAGTAAGCATGCTTACCGGCCGAGCACCAAGGGTGTTTTGTTGTCTTGCTATGTAATGCACTAAAAGAGCATTTCTCTTTCGTCGAAAAATTAATAAAAAAGACACAAACGTTCGTTACGTCCCGAACAGTACACACTGTACAGAACACTGCACGCAGACAATAGGTGAAAATTATCAAACACAATCGACGATAACTTCGACAGCCCACCAAAGGTGAACAAGACAAATAGAGCGGAAACCACAAGCTTTGTCGCAAAATCAAAGCAACGTAGCGTGACCAAAGCAGAATGCGTGATCCTCTAGCCTTGTCACGCACATAACGCAGTGGGTAATCGTCCGCCGGCTGAGGACTGAGGATTGTCCATAGAGGAAAATTATTCCGTCGAAGCAGCATGTATGGTAAACGGGGTCTCCTGAAATGCTCAGGAAGTAGACAGTAGCCGACATAGAGGAAATAGTAAATTTAGAACAAATTGTTTGGAGCCTACAGGGTTTTTTGAACTGAGAAACAGTCGATACATTGCGAGAGCCTGAGTAGTAGAGCTTCAGATCTGAAAAGGGTTTCTGCGGAATTTGTGCCTCCAAATATCCTGATTATGTGAAATAATTGGATTCGTAAATTTTAGCATACTGATTTCGGTGGTCGGTTCGACCTCATCCAATTTTGACATTACTGAGAATGCAATGAATTGAAGAATTATTTTGATTCAAGATAACATATTGGGACCAATTACTTTCCCTTGTAAACGTTTTAGTCCCTCCCCCACAGGAGAAACAGCTCAGGTTACGAATTAAATTTTCAAAAGGAAAGGAGACGCTGTTATCCATGTCACAAACATGACTCATCCCGGTGATCATCCCTTTCCTTCTCATTAGTTGGGGAAGTTTTCTTCCTATATTTGTGTTCTCGTTTCTGAGCGCGCCGTTGAAGTGACGAATCTGATTGGCTACTTACAGCACGCGCGATAGCCTCGTTTTGTTTCGTCACAAAGCAAAGTTGTTTCCTACAATTAGAGAAAGGAAAGCGCCTCTGTTTGTTTCATTAAGGCACTAATTTTTTTTCGTTGGAACGGCTAAAATGGGACACGCTTGGAGTTCCTTTCACTCGAGAAGAAAGGAGAGAACTGATTATAAAAGGTGAGTTTATTTTTGTTAGGGACTTTTTTTAGTCCGTATCAAAATTCATTGTTTTGTTTCTTTTTGGCAAAAAGACGCAAAACAATGAATTTTGATATAACTGACATGACAGCAATTCTGTCGGCGTTCATGTTAGTATCAGATCAAGCAACCATGTTCAGGTGATGTGCTCTTGATCAGATAGTATTTTTGTGTATCATATCTTCCATTTCGTGCAAGTATGATTATGATGGGATGTTTCTTCAAGAAAGTCGTCTAAAAGATGGGAGGAAAACTGCGCAAGTAGTGAAGAGTCGAAAGCAATTCATTCCCTCTGTAAATTGAAGAACGTCTTAATATAATAGCAGCACTGAAACCCCACAACCTTTTAGGCATGCTATTATTACTGCTGAAAGGTTCTCAAATGCAGTTTACGGTTAATAATGTGTTCTCAAAACTAAAACTTTGATTTTCGGCTACAGGCAATACCCTTTCAAAGTTTAAACTGTACATGCGTCACCTTCTGGACCATTACGCTTAGCTGTGTTGGGCTGAAATTAATTATCAAATCATTTGATAAAACCAAATTATCTTGAAATTCAACAATCGTGACTGGCGTAGACTATACGAGCAGTCCCATCTATTCGGCGAAGTCCGTCGCGCGAGTCCAAAAATATCAGCGAAAAAAATTGATGTCGATGCGCTGCTGGAACTGTATTCACTGATTTTCTTTTTGGACTCCCGCGACAGACTTAACCCAAAATGAAGGACTGCTCGCAGTCTATGTATGATTGGCGCACTTAGCAGACGTATTTACATAGCGGCCTGCTGTTGCACGGATCTCTTGATGTTCTGTTTCTCGATCGTCAGCATCCATGCTTGTGGGATTTTTATCCCACTGTCCTTGTTGGTGTTGTTGGTAAAGCCTTCCATAGGTCGCCTATTTTACCTTTAGAGTGTAACTGTGGCGATCACGAACAAAATCTCGCTTCTTCCCACAACAGGCGGCCGGTGTCCGTTGATGTAATTGTGTTCTGAAAATCGCGGCAGAGGTCTATGTCCTAATGAGATGAAAACGTAAATTGACCAAGTTTCTAAAGAAACTGTGGAGCTGCGTCGGTGGGAGAGTGTAACAAGGTGCTTTAGTGTTATCAAATGAGTTGAAAACATAAATTGGCCACCGTAAAGAGTTTAAAGGCTGACGTTTTTGAGTGTTGGCCCTTCGTCAGAGCTCTGACGAAGGGCTAACGCTCGAAACATCAGCCTTTAAACTCTTTACGGTGGCCAATTTATGTTTTCAACTCATTTGATAACACTAAAGCACCTTGTTACACTCTCCCACCGACACAGCACCACAGTTTCTTTAGAAACTTACCCCCTTTATTCATGTGCCCTAGTGAGTTGGATATCTCCGTCATGCCTATTAATTCTCTCCGTCTTATTGAGCCGGGTCAACAGCGTCTTTAAGCAGTACTCAATACTCAATGCAATCTTAACGTAGTCTACGACTTGAAAACAGCGCCTATAGCTTGTTGTTGTAAAACCGCAGTGAATTTTACCTTGGTGGCCCGTCTAGCAGTGAGTGGTCCGTTTCTTGATATTTCTTACTCTTTGCAAGAGGAAGTAATAAATAATAATAAAGCGTAGGCTTTCTGTGTACGCCGGTAGTGAGGCGTGTACGCCGGTAGTGAAGCGTCCGTTCGGTCCGGTTCTCTTGTAACTGCGGTGTTAAGGATGGCGAGTGAGCCCACTGTTCTCTACCTCCACGGTTAAACGAATGGAAGACAATTGTTATCCAGATGCTTCTAGTTTAACTGAATAGCCTTCGTGCTTTTCGCTATCCTTGTAACCCAAAGTGTCGTCTTCGAAGCGTTTTCGGCAGATACTAACTAGGCTTATAGGATGATATATTTATTGTCTGTTCTTCAAAACACTCTATTCTTCTTTTAGATTACTTTCTCAAATATTATTCTTAATCATATTTACCCTCAATATTGCTCTTCATGATCAAGAATTTCTCTGAATTTCTTGAGAATTTTGGTGGGAAGAAAATCTCCACTATTTATTGGGCAGCTCCAACTTAAAAAGATTCATTTCTTAGCTTCTCCTCTCCCCTCGTGACTTCTATTGTTTCAGTTCTAAAGGGCGCATTTTGTTTACTGAAACAGGAGGTTAAGGAAGAGGTTACAGGAAGCTGAGGAATACATTGATGTTCTTCAGACACAGCATCAGCTTGTGAGCAAGTAAGCATTTTAGAAATAACGGCCCCTCGAATAATAAGGTTATAAATGGAAAATATAATAGTACCACGGCCAAGGATGATTGTGTAGAAGATTGTTAAAGTTTCGAAAATCATTTAAAAGGCTTTCACGAACAAGAAAGTCCAAAGTAGTTTCGGATTCCTAATGCTACTCTCTTCAATTTGACGTAGTTTACTCGATCAGCAACGAATACCTTTCCCATACTCGATGCCACTGACATGGAAAGCCTACATGGAGAACAAAACAGCTAAGATGGAGGAAGAAATTCGGTCGTTGAAGAAAGAAAGTTTATTAAAGAAAATTGCACTGGACACTACAGAGGAAAGATGCAATGAGCAAAACGATGAAGTAAGGTAAATAAGTCTCTTGTCGTATGGACCACGATGTTAAATTACTTTGAAACTCAAGTCTTTTAGCTGATGGAGTATCTCCTCGAATAGAAGTGAAGAAAATTGCTACACTCGAAGCTTTACTGACAGAACGGTCGCAGCGGCACCGGGAGGAAGTGGCGTCAACCCTTTCACTCCCAAATGCCAATTAGTTATTCTCCTTATTGTCTACGATATAAGTTATATGATGTTAGTTTGGAGAATAAGGTATTGGATCACTTAGTGATCCCCTAATTGATACTATTCTGTATTCTCTTTACTTGTCTGCTTGATGTTTCATTTATACTTTGAGGAGAAATTCTATGTTGGTCACTCATGGGAGTAAAAGGGTTAATGGGGAGGAAGGGTCGAGATGGGCTACCTGTTTCCTGGGGAATATTTCAACATGTTCAGCATTTTTGAGTATAAATATTTATCAAAGCACATGGATCGATAAGACCGGGACACCCAAAAATAGATGCTTAGAAGAGAACTGAAAAAAACATATGATAAAGAGTTTGGTGCAGTGAGGACAACGTTTGATCAACACTCGCTTTTTTTTTCTTTTTTTTTTCAAATCAGGGGAGATAAAAGCTCCTACTAATGAGCTATCGGATTATTTTATTTGCATTGTAGCCCAATAAGTCTGTCAATCATCCCAATTAAGATGAAATTAGTATTATTTTGGCCTGCGGATAAAATATAAGTACTATTAAAGAGATGATCATTACAGGTGAGTTGCAATCAACGAAATTACAGAAAAGAAGCCTGAGAAATCCAGGCTTCGACGGCATTCAAAAACGTGCATCCCAATGCAGTTACTAGATACTCCCAAGTACTAGGTTTCCGGCGTAACTCAGTTGGTAGTGGTGCCCTTATAGTACTATTAGTATAATTACTCCGGGCCGCGTTGTTCAAAGCTGGGTTAAGATATCCCAGGGTTAGTGTGAAATCTAGTTTCAGATCTGAAGCCTTAAAAGAATATTCAGTGAAATTATTTTTGTCTACAATTTAATGCTTGGATGCTCCAAAAATAATAGAGGAAATTATCTGAAAAGGTTTTTGAAGAAAGAAATAAAGAAACCCAGATTAAAAATTAACCCTGGGTTAGCGCCAATCGTCCTCCGAACAACTGGGCCGGTGATTATAAAGAAGCGCGCGCCCTGAGTGGTCGAGAATTGCGTCATATCAGGCTAAATCGCGCTCTAATCGCCTCGCGCGAGGTGAATCTAGCAGGGGCGTTAAATTTCACAATGGTTGCCTTGCGTTTTGTCAGTGTCACCGGGGAAGGGATAAACGTGATGGAGGAAAATTCAATACTGATGAGCACAAACGATGCTACTACGTTTGGCGTAACACTTTCCAAAAGAAAGCTATGAAGTTTTTGCTCACTGCTTTCAATAAACCTGTTAAATTGAGAGACTGGCTGCTTATCTCAATACGAGTAAACAAAACAATTGTAAAAGAATGGTTCAAACAACAAAACGAATTCACAACAGAATTCGAAGCACCTTAGCAATTATACTAAAACAATTATTCACCTCAGGGTCAGTGAATATTGTTGAATAATCCCCGAGACGAAGTCGAAGTGATTATTCAACAATATTCAATGAGCCTGAGGCGAATAAGTGTTGAATATTAGTCAGATACACGGGGTAATAACGTCAGAAGGGAATACAAAAAATGGCCTGTGGTCATAGCGAGAGTTTGGTCAGATTGATGAGGAAAAACAAATTACTGGGTCTTCAAACACCTTTTGTCGGAGCAGTCGTGGCTTGGTTCTACTGGAAGAGAACTGTTAGGTCTGCTTTCCTAGGATAGTCTAAGTAAGAAAGATCGATCAAAGTACGTAAGAAAACTCGTTCCATTCTTTTCTCTAGTTGAAGGCCTTTCATTTGAGTGTCACACAAAGAGCATTTCACAATGTTTTGTCTCATAACAACCCCTCGAGATAATTTATCACTGAGTCGTTACAAAAGCATAAAGCTCGGCAACTTTTTTCCTTTACAGACAACTAGAGGAGGACGAAATTAACCTTCGGAGACAGACTTCAGATGTTCTGAGAGAGTTCTGGGATTTAAAAATAAAACGGGAAGCCGATCAGTTCTCTCTGTTTCAAAAGAATGACCCACCGGACAATTTTTCTGTTACCTCACTTCCAAATCTTTATTTCACGGACTTATGATACGAACAATCTAGGGCTAGAATGATTTTACTCAGTCTAAACTCCCATTCCAACCACTTCTTTATTCCGACGAACATTATGGTAAAACAAGAGATCCTTTCTTAACTCTCCCTTGTATGACCAGAACGCTAGTTTGATTAAACACTCTAAAGAAATTTTTAAAGATTTTCACAACATTAAACGAACCCGTATAGTATCAAAAGCGATGAAATTCAATTGTCTTCATTGTCATTCCTGGTGGCGCAAAACTCGTGATGTGCCAATCTCCACCATTTCCAAAATCAAGAACTTATTCTTAAGTTGGATATTTCATGTCGATAGTGTCACTCTTTGTTGGTTTTAATATTTTTTATGTCCAGCAAGCCTGGAATTCAGATCATATGTAAAAGATAGAAAAGCTACCCTTAAATCAGGGATAAACCCCTGAAATCCCAGGGAGCCTTGTGGAAAACCCTTTCACCTTCTTATCCGGCAAAAGTTGTATGTCTTGCCTCCTTTATTGCTACTTTTAACCCTTTAACTCCCAAGATCTGATTGTCAGTTCTCCTCTGTAGCTATTACACATTTCTTTGTAAATGAGTCACAAGAATTTGGTGCTAGGTCAAGATAACAGTTGTCAGGTTCATGTTCCTAGGCTCCCACCTTTTCGTCCCCTCCAATGACTTGCTTCAATGGCAATGGACTCCCGCTTGCTTACACTCCTTTTGACGTTGGCTGTGAGAATTTTGTGGTCCATGTATATCGGGAAACTAAAAAGCTCTTTTTCAAGTTTTGGTATCGTCTTTGTACCACGATGAATAGCAAAGGCATTTCATGCAGTCATGCAAAGAGACATCTGATAATTACCTCTGTATCATACCGTAAGTTCATAGAAACACCAGCTGTGGCTGGTGTCATCTAAAACTCAACTGTCCTTTACTCAATTTTCTTTATTCGAAAATTATCAGTTCATTATCAGCCATAAATTAAGAAGAAGCTGAGTAAGGAAATTTCGTGATAACGATAGCAACTGTTTTCACAGCTGTTCGAGCTGAGTTCTTTGTGCACCAGCAGAAGCCTACACAACATAAAGGCAGAACCGTTGATTGAACAGTGTAATAAACATCGGAATGGTTTGTATTTTGTAGAAGATAGGAAAGACATCTATACCAATAATAAATCACGGTGTTTTTCTAATTCTTCGAAGATGTTTCTACCACACTAGTAACAGTGTGGGTATTTTTACTGAGTTTGTTCTGATTATCTTTCCTAATTTAGAATGCCTATGCTCGCACTGGTCAATCTCCTCTTAATTGTCAATGCACTCGTGCTAAACTGAAGTACAGTCAGCCTTAGCCAGGTGAAGAAGTGAAGATTCTACAATTCAGTTTATCAGCAGTTAACGACTTTATCTTCAAAATTTACCCTTTTTTCATTAGTGTCAATAACTACAACAGATTTCATTTCCTCGCGCTTTTTCCCGCCACACGCGTGAGTGCTATCTTTCTTTGGGACTAAGTTACAAGGGTGATTTTAATCTGAAGTTTCTTCTCATACACTTCTTCTAGTACTGTGTCGGGTTTTTCAAGCAGTTTGTTAGGTTGCGCCTCTAACCGAAGGCCGATTTCCGGTGTCGTTAAAACAAGGTAATCTGGCCCCGTCTTTTGCTCTTTTTTTAACGACCAACCGTCCCAATTATGTCTATTATCATTCTAACAAGAAAAACAAATGATATGACACTTTGGATACATCAAAGCCGATAATAAACAGATAAATACAATAAACAAATACAGCTAATCAAAGGAAGCAGCGTCGCCCAAACTATGATAAATGCTTCATACAAATTCCATCCTTTTTCATTGCTGGCCATTCAAAAAGGTTTATGTTTCACACTAAATCCAAGTTTCAAATTTCGGTTCCCACGCCACTCTAAATTGAGAGCAGCGCTTTTCTAGTCTGTTTCTTGTATCGTTTGGGCTTTTGTGAGTAAAAGAATATACTTGAACATGGCCCCATTTTCTCTTGATTTGGACTGATTGACGCAAGCTATTTAGTAAACAGCAAGTTTCAAGGCAGAAAAGTACTTGACGTATTTCACCCGAATATGATCTGAATCACCTATGCTAGCAAGTACAGACTGACGATCCTTTGGGTAGCCTGGACGAGAGTCTCTCCAGTTTTAAATAGGTCCGTTTTCGGTTTCCTTTTAACGCTAATTGACTCTAATTTTTAAGTGAACTTATTAAGTTAATCCTCTTTTCTCTCTCAGGTTTATCTTAATTTTTCTTAATCCCCATTCTTGCCTCCTTAGTCGAAAACGTCAGCATTTAGTTGAGATGATATTAGCTTTCAGCTTTAGGGCGATTCCTATGTGTGGTATTTAAATACTGATTTCGCCGGAATGCAATAGTGATACACTAAATGAGAAAATGGGGGAACTGTTTAGTTTCAGCACTTGCCGACATGTTGTCTTGGAGGAAATGTGTGGCATAAACCTTTTATAAAGGAAAAAGGCAGACTTCACCGATACAATAATTCCACTTGAACCTGTAACAAAATCTCCGAAGCACAGTCTCGGACATTTGTCGGACGAGTTAAAATTACTCACACGCCCTACAGGAAAAACCGAGTGGATTATCACAATGATCTGATATAAAGATTTCCCGAATGAGCCGACGCACAAACACGCCTAACATTGAGCCATGTTTACCGAATCACAGAGGTGCCCACTGGTGTATTGTAGAGTGAGATTAAATTTTATCTGTTTATTATCAACATGTATCCCATTAACATACAGGCTATTCCTTTCTTTCCAAGGATTTCCTTGCCTCTCAGTGTAGGTGCATCAATAGGGTCGGATCGGTTTTGCAGGTATCACTACAAGTTAAGTGACTCAACGTTCGCCCTTGCAAGTACAAAATTTTTCTACATAAATCATGTTGATGCCCTCCTTGACCGTCCAATTCAGGAGTTATACGCTCTTTTTGAATTTGCAGAAATTCACGTCTACAGTTTACATCGATCAGAATCAGAGTTACGTGAATTTCGCAATAAGCTCTTTATCTTTATAGACGTTATGGTACTGATTTGAGTGGTTTGAAATTTTTGATGTGGTAAACATATAATGTGATAGATATTAAAAATTTTACTGATTTGAGTGGTTTGAAATTTTTTATGTGGTAAACATGTAATGTGATAGATATTAAAAATTTTGTTTGCCTGATGTGGTATTTTGTAAAGCACGGTATATAAATTTCCGCAGTTGACCATTCAACTTCTCGCGAGATCTTGCGAAAAAAGATATCACCTCTTTCCTTTTGTTTGAGTTAGCTTCAGTGAAGTCCCATTAACAGACTTTAAAACACCGGCGAAAATAGCTTCTTGACTGACGAGAGATCCCGCGTTTTACCTAAGGCTTCTTTTTCGTACATTTCTGGCCAAAATGTGAAATAGGCTGGTCACAACTTTTCAGAAAGTGTGAATCTTGTTTTGCCTAAATCTTTCAAGTTGGTCTTTGGGAGAGAGCACCATGAAATTGGTAAAAGTATGTTGTAATCTAATGATTAAAATATGATTCTGCCACGTCGTTAAATTTCACAAACTATCGTGGGGAAGAGGTGAAAGTTATACTTCTTTTCCTATATCTTTGACAGTGTCCAACATCTTACTGTTTTTGGGGCGATTTTACTTATTTCATGCAGTGACATTGTCATGGCGCTCTGCCCTTAAGTGTCAGTGGATTTCGGCGGCATTCTTGGCTATCTTTGTTTCCTTTTTGTACATTATCATTGTATTTTTCTGTTTTATCAAACAAATATTTTAGTAATGTTCTTCCTCAAGATAAAAAAAAAGTTGTTTGGTATTTCTTATGTCTCAAGAAATGAATAAAAATATTGCTTCATTGATCAGTGTCAGATTCCAAGAACCACAGGGCCACCACTGTGCAAGAAGTCAGACAACAGACATTCAGTTAATCTTGTATGTGTAGATCAAAAGGACAGAGTGATCTACAGAGGAAATTGCCTTGAATAACTTTCAGTTCGGATTAGAAACTTGAATACCTTCACTGAAATGATATGATCAGGGAACAAGGAAATGCGAAATCTTATTTTAATCTTAATGACAGAAATGTGGAGGTTGGGTCACGTAAAACGTGGGAAAGTAATTAGCTCTTAGCGCGAGGTCAATTTGTTATCTTTTATGTTCACAAACAAGAGGAATCTGCAAAATTCCATAGCCCAAACTTCTTCATAAATCAGTCATTATCCCAAAAAACTATTTTGTTTCGAGCTTCGAGTGACCTCAAATGGCTTGAGTTTAACTAAGAGGATAAACAGAAGTTTCATGGTAGGAAGAAACTCAATTAGGAAGCAGACGTTACAAATCACTAACACATGCACTTTTTTTTGGTCGTTGGCACTCTTTCCATTCTACATATAAATAGAATGAGATATCAAAATAAAACTGTGTTAGTGTGCAAAACGTTGCCACAAGGTGTACAAGTTCACCGTTAGCGCTTTTTACATCAAGCAGGAATGCTTTTTATTTAACGAGAAACATCCCTCGTCTCTGAGTACGAGCAAGCGAGTTACTGTTTGACCGTTGGTAAATTTATTGACGACAAAAGACTTTCACTGAGGTAATACTGTCTTGCAAAGTAGGTGGTGTAGGGGTTGTACTTTTGGTAGATAATTTTTCTCAATCCTCTTTCTAAAATACAACTACGCATTGTTCGAGGCTGTTTAAAAACTCATGAACATTGAATCAGAAAACAAATTAAACCACACAGGAAACGAAATCCAGTTGAGGATGTGCAAGCAAGGCCTCGCCTGTCTTTAATGATTCCACGGAGACCACTCACTCCATTTCGTGATCCAACGGAGATAAAATCTGAGGTGAAATAGCTTTTCTGGTTAATTTGAATGGTGGAACATTTTATTAAAAGGAATGTACGACATAGAGTCAATATCAAAATTGCCTGTGCACTTTTCCATATTAGAGAGATTTTATCAGTAAATGAACGCATTTAACTGTCTTCCATATTTCAACACTAATAAAATATCATAAAGATAAGTAAAACCACGGCACGAAACGCCTCACGTTGATAAAAGCCTTTGTGGAGTGGGGCTATCTATGGGGTAGATAATTCTCTTATTAGCGGCCAGACATAGGGGTATTGCCTGGGGCATTCTCACAAAGATGTAACTTCCTTTTTTTATTTACCACGTTAAATTGTGAATTAAATCTGTGTATGAATCGAACTTATTACTGTTTATCACTTCATATTTTATTGTAACTGAAAACAGTTTGCATCTACGCCGTATGATCAAACAACCTTTATGATCTTCAAATACAAAAACAGACAAGCATTTTGACAACAGAAATTATATTTTAACTTCTGCAATTTTATCTTGATACATTTATACTGGATGAATTAAAATCATAAGCGAACTTTCGCACTAGACATTTCATTTATCAATCAAGTAGAAATAATTTATGATCTGTCTGTTCTTTAATCAACCTTAGAAAATCTTAAGAAGTATTAATTCGTCGCTCTCGCAGCTGCCAATTCTGCTGAGGTTTTCTTTCTTTCTTTCTTTTTACCCTTTCAAATACTTCATAACAGTTCTTTTAATTCATCTATTTCTATCGGCTTTTCAGGAGCTTTGTGACCTGGGAAATTTAAAATCAGGCCTGTCTTAAATTTTTAATAAGTTTGTAGCGAACTAGATATTAAAGCTCAACCTGAATATTGAAGTACAGCCTGAATAATAAGCAAAGATCACGGCAGCTAATGCTCTCGGGGTTATCATTCATTTGCTTTCTGAAATTGCTACTTTTCGTTACAGATGGATTTTCACTTTGGTCACAAATTATGTCAAGCACAAATCGCCATGTATCGCTATCTGTTCATTTCCTTGTTCTATTTCGTTGATTGTTAACTAGGTTTTCCCAGAAATGAGACACCGAATGACGCGAATATTCTGCACAAGGAAAAACGATAGATACGTATTTTACGATGGAGGTAAATCGCGAAATTTTTAAGTCTCGCCCCAGTCTCCCCATCTTAATACTTCAATATACATAAGGAAAAGAGTGGAAAATCAAGCAAATTCCAGTGAAAATTGAGAAGGTAGGATGCATTTTTAATTTTTGGTAGTTTTTCGCCAACATTTTGCACAATGATTTAAAACAACAAACTATTTTGAGCGACGTACTCGAATTTTAGGCCGCGTTTAGACAAATTTTTCAAAAACTTAATTAGCAAACATTAGCACAAAGCCACGGCTTTAGAAACATTTCAAGGGCTAATTCATGTCAAAGGAAATTACCAAAACAAAACATCGGCCCATATTGTGGAGCCTTTTAGTAACAAACTTTGTTATGACTCAAAACAAATTAGGTACTACACAACTCGACACACGACGAGTCGTGAAATCGGCGCGCTTTATCAGCAAGGGAAGATGAATTTCAATCAACATGGATTTATCAAAAAAAATATCGCAATTTCATATCTTTGTCGGTATTCAATTAAGGTCCTTGTTTATCCGGGCTCGGCACCCTCATTGAAGTTTAATGCCTCAATTAAACCGATATACCAAAACATTGGGCAGGATCAAAAAGTTTATACCAGACTGGAAGAAAGGACATTAGTTTTGTTAGTAAAAACGTGCAGTAAAAGTTGTTATCACACGGCTCTTTGGACAATTACGTCCACAATGTGCCCGCGTATATTCCATTTACGTACTTTGTGTTGAATCAGTTCAACAAAATTAGATGTTTATTCAGGCGGAAGGACATTTCAAAGGCGTCTTTGAAGTCACGCTTTGACAGACAAGAATGGAAAAAGAACCTTCTCCGCCAGAAGATAATGACATGTGCCATAAAAGAAAGGAATAATTTATTACCATAAAAAGCGAGGAGTTTATTAGCTTTTGAAACTAGAGCACGTCACTTAAGCTAAAAGGTTTTTTAAGAGAAAACGCTTGGTTCAAACAAACGTGATCGCGCAAATTTTATCCTCTTGTTCAAAACAAATCGAGCTTCAACATGTATCTGTTTGGGTCTCCTTGAAAGGACTAAAACCTTCTGTTATCACTGATGAACAGAATTCTAAACGTAGGTTAATTAGAATTCCTTGGGGAAAACGTTCTTCGGTGATAATTGAAAAACATCGCATAAATGCATTTTAATAACTTGCTGAAATCTCCAACAGGAGCGCTTCCTGAATATTAAAAATCAGAACAATTTCCGCTGAACGTGTCTTGTTATACTCACTAAAAACGCCCCGACAAAGACCACAAATTGCGTCGTCGCGCTTTCATCTGGCCCATTTTGCGGAAAACCTTTAATTCCGAAATCTACCGCTTTGATTGGCTGATTGACGAGGTGGAACTCTAGCAAGAATCCACCTGTCTCTGAAACAAAAAGATAATTGACAGTTTGACAGGCGCAGCAGGCATGGTAAGGTTTGACATTCACAATTTCAAAGCAAATAACGAATGAGAGTCATCAATGGATATTACTTGCAGTTGCGGCTTTTCTCTGTGAAGTGACGGATGAGGCTCTTGTTGGTTCAGTCGTAACAAAGATATGAGGCAACTGTGGAGAAGGATTTCGGCCTTGAGCCAATCTCTGGGTCCACTTTTCATTCTACTTCTCGTCTGTTTGCCTGGATTGCTTGGGAAAAAATCAAAATGTCAAAAAATCACAATACCTCTCTGCGCGAACCTCGGTTACAACATGACGCAGTTCCCGAATTTTATGGGCCAGGAGAACGAAGAGGATGCGGCTACAAAAATAAACGAATTCGCGCCGCTGATTGCTGTGAACTGTGCGCCGCAGTTACGATTTTTTCTGTGCTCCATGTTTGCACCAATGTGCGCCGAGGGAGTAGATCATCCGATTTACTCTTGCAGATCCATGTGTGAGGCAGCAAGAAATGGATGTACCCCAGTGATGCAGAAGTTTGGATTCGACTGGCCTGACATTCTAGATTGCAGTCAGATGCCTTTTCAGGGTGACCCTAGAGCCAAAAGCGACCCCAGCAAATTGTGCATGGCTGATCCAAACATGGATCACAAAGCGATGAACATGTCGGAATTTTGGAAAAATATTGATTCTTTGGACCCAAAGTATAAAGAAGTGTTGAAAAAATTAGGACAAATTCCCGGTTCATGGACACCTGATCAGTCAACAGTTGCACCGACTACAAGCGAAGGCACTAAAGAAATATATCCTAATCAGACAGATATTGGGGCCGTGAGCATTCCATCGTTATGCAAAAATAATTCAAGAAACCTGCTCGCCAAGAAGTTTGTTCGCGTTGAAAAATATGACCTTTGCGTCCCCAGGTGCGGCGAAGACGTCTTCTTCACTCCGAGCAACAGACAATTCGTGGAGACTTGGGTCACGATTTGGTCAGTATTGTGTTTCATTTCCACTGCGTTTACGGTTCTTACGTTCGCTATCGACACGGCAAGATTTAAATACCCCGAAAGGCCAATTATTTTCCTGTCGTTCTGTTATAATCTCTACTCGATCGCCTTTATAGTCCGCGCCATCGCGGGTACGGAGAACATTATATGCGACAAGGCTAACCATCATGTAATAGCAGTGGGTTTGAACATTGCCGACCACGCAGGCTGTTCAGTGGTCTTTTTGATGCTTTATTACTTCGGAATGGCCTCAGCGCTATGGTGGGTGATGTTAACGTTCGCCTGGTTTTTAGCCGCAGGATTAAAATGGGGACAAGAGGCGATCGAAGCTAAAGCTACTTATTTTCACATCGTGGCTTGGACTGTGCCCGCCGTACAGACTATCATCGCTCTTATCATGAGAAAAGTCGACACAGATGAACTCGCCGGGATTTGTTATGTGGGTAACAGCGATCAGCAAAACCTAGGGGGGTACGTACTCGCTCCGTTATGTTTCTATCTCATTGTCGGAACGCTGTTTCTCTTGGCGGGCTTCATCGCGCTCTTTCGAATTCGAACAGTTTTAAAGAATAAGGAAACTGACACGAACAAGCTAGAGAAACTTATGGTCAGAATCGGAGTGTTTTCCATTTTGTACACTGTTCCAGTGACTTCAGTCGTCGCTTGCTATTTTTACGAGCACGCAAACATGGAACGTTGGCGGCTTAACGTCTTGCAATGTCAAGGGGACGAGAACTGCATGGAGGATCAGGGCCCGAGCGTCGAACTTTTCACCGTAAAGTACTTTATGCTATTAGCGGTTGGCATCACGTCGAACATGTGGATTTGGTCCACAAAAACGTGCCAGTCTTGGCGAAAATTTTATATAAAAAAATGTCGAGGCAAATCCGAGAAATCTTCCGAGAAAAAACCGCTCACACAACAAAACTCCACAAACAGTTTTAAAACGAATCATTTTCGCGATCGCGGAGCGGCAAACCCACAAGTTCCCTACACGTTTAACGCGCCAGTCCCTTGTTCACAAAGCTCTTCAACAGCTGTCACATCATTGCCAGTTCATTCGCCATCAAGTTTGCCTCAGAGCAAAGCAAGTAGCGTTGCGGCAGGCGCTACTGTGTAAAACAAGGCTTATGTTTCGTATGACTGTGCGGTAAAAACAGAAACCTAATCGCGGTTGAAAGTTTTCTTTTCTTAAAGAAAACAGATGAATGTTTCATACTTGACACCTTCTCACGTCTCAGATGGCTGATTTATGCGATTAGGAACTCTGATATTCACCGCGCCTTCGAGGAAGGAGTGATGTCACTGGTTCGGATGATTTAGCGACAGTGTCACATGAAATAGCCCAAAGGTAAAAATGAATCAGCGTTGGTTATGATGCAGAGAGACGATATCAACTTGAAACAAAACTTGAAAGCGTGTCACGTTTTATGGATTTAATTACTTCCACTTGAGAAAAAGAATCTTTTTGATGAAAGAGTTTGTTGAATATCAAAACAGAGGAAACAGATACACACGAAATTCGCGCACGTTCACATCGAGTCGGAAAAAGGAGACTTAAGCAAATGCGTTTCATACCGCTTTCGCCGTTGACATAAAGATAGAGACAGATTACAACTATTGAATCATTGGTAAATCATTTCGCTTTAAGTGATAACAGTGTTAAGAGTTCCCTTAACTAAATGAGGCGAGAACATTTACAACTTCTTAACTGCACAATACATTTTTAAACGGTTGGAATAACAGTACGTCTAAACGCTGTGTTATCCTCGAATTCACGCTGCGTGGCCTTGTTGTTAGTTGTTAACTTTTGATATGTGGATTTTTCGCTCAGGAGGGGCCAAGTGTAATTACAGAAGGGAGCGTATTTGCAATTCATATTTTTGCTAGCTTGTCAACAGAAGAGATCACTTAATTCACAACAGGTTCTCGTGTAAAAAACGCAGTCATCCGTATTACAGCGGTTCAGTGTTAAATGTATCGAGAATTTTCAGTCATAACTAAAATGGTTAAGGTATGTCGCCTACAGACGAGCTTGTATTATGGAAATGTTAAGGGTCACGCTTTTATTTTCAATTATTAAACACTATTTATATCTGACATTTAAAATTCATCGTGCTATTCAATTTAATTCACCCACATTTGTCATTCACAGCTTGAAGTTTTCAGTACGTCTGATTTTTCGCTTATTCCCGTTGTGATAGAAAATAACGCGAGCCTATCGTTTTCATAACTTAGAGTTCGCTATTCAGATTTCGAGTCAATGAAAATGAAACGACTGCTGTGTATTAAATTTCTGTGGCATTTGAAATCTAGGAGTTTACAAAGTCGGAAAGGGTTTTTCATGAAACTGTCACTAAGAAGCAAACATGACCATTAGGGTGTTTTTTCTTCAACAAGTATGAATGATTCTCCACCTGGTCGAATTGAAACCACGCAATCAAAAACTTTCAAATTCATTGAAGTCAACCGCACTATAGTTTTTTCTTAATATAACCGTGATAAGGGGAGTTACAACTGTGGAATATCAGAAAGGACGGCCTCTTTGATTCCAATCCAATTAATAATTTTCAAAAACCGACGCAAACACATCTTTTAAAGACAGGTCATTCCTGGGTTAGTCCACGGAAGACGTCTGCCAAGCCTTGTAGCTGTAAATACAGAACATTGCTTATATAAATCTTGTTATGGGTGTTATGGATGTCTCCGGTTCTAAAGTGAATTGCTCATGAATATCCCTCAATGTACATTTGGGTTTCCGGCACAAACGCTAGGTCTGGCCTCTTTTGAAGATGTTGTTCTTAGCAAATTCATTAACTCAGAATGAAAGACTAGAAGTGAAGGAGTACCATATTTTTGGTGGGAAATCAAAACGGAACTTGAGATTGTTGTCATACGGCGTAAATGCTCTTTTGACGCCAAGAACTAAAACAGGGATTACAAGCTGGCTTAAGGAGACAGGTCTTGAGAATATCGATTGTTTACGAGGTGGTTTAAGGTTATATTTCACGACTCTTTTGTCTACGTCGAAGCAGAAAATTTCACAATGACGCTCTGAACAAAACTAGAGTGAACGAAATAAAGCTCTTCTTCAGCTATCATTTTATCACTTTAGATACTATCACGTATTTCGCGTTACGACTTTCATTGCATGATTGATACATAATTTCACGTATAGGACTTGCTTAAAGGAAACCACATACATATCTAGGCGACCACGAGGGAATTGACTACGTGATCAGCTGTATCCTTAATCTAAAGCAGCTTGAACTATTTAGCAGGAAAAAAGGCCAAAGAAGAGGAAAACGAAATAATCAAAGGAACCAATTGCACTTGACAAAGATGCATAATCAATCGGATCAAATTTGTTTACAACAGATTTCTTAAAATAGAAAGCTCGATTACCCTGAAAGTCTTTAGCTGGACTTAGAGTTATTTCAGTTAATCGACGAAATTATTTGTTTAGATTTTTGCAAGAACATCCACGCCATCTAAAAAATAAATGAATTGCTTCGAAGGAATTAAGTGCAATTTGGAATCCATTTTGTTTATCTTCAGATCATTTAAAGTTGCTTTTATTGAACAATAGCTGGGATATAAAGCAAAACCCACAAAATCTTCTCTAAAAGTGCCCTAAGGCTCACGTTATTTTGGAAATACTGGCGCCATACGTTCCTAATCCTTTGTGTATGAAGACCATGTCAATTAGGAAATGAAGTGGTGTTGAACTATCTTAAAAATGAATCTCAAACATGCCAAAAAACAACAATGCTAATGAATATGAGAGAAGATAGATTGCCTGAGAGTATATCCGTTACGGGCAATTAAGAACACACAAGAATCGAAAATAAACTTTCAGTCTAACAGCCTACATCGATCGATGCCTTATACTTGTGCTACAATCAAATGGGCAACTTCACTTTTAACGAGCAGATCTCGCCATGGCGATCCACAGTTGAAATTCGGTTGCTTACTTAGTGTTGGAAACTAAAAAAGCTCAAGAAGAAAATCTATTCACAATTGAGACTGGAATGGCCTCCAACCCCAAGCAATTAAGAATCCCGAAGGGCTCTCTCAAAAATATATTTAAGTTGCCGTCGCTGAAATTCTCGATTCATCTGTTCGAAATATCTCCCGGCTGACGATGGTTTTATCACGTCTTCACAATTTGGATACTTTTTAGCCACGATATAATTAAGGAAAAAAAAACTTTCACCATCAGCAATCAAATAATTTTTGTCTTTGATGGGGTTTTGATGAAAATTATAACAGCTGTAGATCATCGATTATCTGAAATTTCTGCCATACGACCCTGAAGGAAAAATCTCCAGTTCTCGCTATTGTTTTGAGACTAAAATTCCGCTCCTTTTGAGTTTCCTGACGTATGGGACGTAAAGTGGTAGAAGAGGCGTTGTGATATTTATCCAACTGACTTTAAAACTGCGCATAACTTTGAAGTTCAGCGGTTTCACTGTTGTTTTCCGGATGAAGAGACAAAGGGGTTGGTAGCCCTTCTGTTGTCACTTGGCGCCTTTTTTGTCTCGAATGCTTTGAGTCATTCGATGATAAAGTTTTATAACTGACATCGATCGGATTCTTTTCCACAGACTTCGAGGAGTTAATGATGTGATACCAAAGGTTAAAAATATCTCAAGATTTCTCATTTTGAGATTACAATGATGGCATAAGACATGCTGAGAGTATGTTTTTTTCTATTCAGTTATCGAATAACCCAAACAACGTTCAATTCTTTCACGAAATCTTTTTGAAAAAAACCGTGCGACTTAAAACAGAGGGAGATTGATATCTCGAGATAAAGAAAAGAAAATTGAGGAACGGAAAAGAAAAAAAACTAGACAGAAACAAAAAGGAAGCAGGCTATGATACTAATCTTCAGAAACAACCCACGTCTTCTTTTAGTCTTCCGGCCTTTCTTTCTTAACCTGATTGAAACATCTCATTAATACGAAAAAAAATGTAAACAGAGCTAAATATTTATGCTCAAAGTTAAAACTCTGACAATGAAAATCTACGAGCTCAGTGTTTTCGTTGTAGAGTTACTCAGATGAATGTAGATCAAAATTACGAAGGAAATACTTCGCGCGGCGTGGCTCCTAGTGTTGTTTATGTTGCAAATAACAAATATTTCAAATTTCTCGTTCCACACTCTGTTGTGTTAGCGCTGTTTTTATCCCACTACTTTCGTGAATAATTATATCCTTTGCCAGTTTCAGTTGCATCAATTGAATTGCTTAAATTTCCACACTCCCTTGTATCACGTTTTCGACCACAGTACCGGCCTTGAGGTCAAAATCAGGAAATATTTGTAACTAATCCTACGCGTTAGGGTAAAAAATATCCTCTTTTAGTCACCAGAAGTTGGGATTTAAACCCACAACTTCCTCATATAGATCGTTCGTAGACAGCGTTTCCCTGAAAAATACCATTTGCGACTGCCCGCAGTTTAATCCTAACAAGGATAGACGAGGAAATATCAAGTTCGAAAAGAAAGGAGCGATCATAGCTGAAATATGTTATCGAATTTTTAGGATAAAAATGAACTGTCCAATTCAACATCCCTCAACTCGCATTGATATCTTTTGTATTTATATTTATGGGTTTGATGTATGTCTAACAAAGAGACTTCAGCACCAAAAAAAAAATTAAAAAAAAATTAAAAAACCCTTCCTATTCCCCCAAAACAATTTGATAACGTCCTTCTTCATATGTAGGGTCAAAAGACAGAGGCAAAACGATTCAGCTATTCAAATCTGCGAAGCACTTCAGCTTATCAATCCTTATTCTAAACTATTTGCTGTTGTATTTAATTTGTTGGAGAGGAAAGATGAGCCTTACACTGCATTCGAAGATGTTCATCATCATTCTAAAGATTAACCGACTTTGCACCAAGCTTATACCTCTCGCGAAAGAGGCCTACCTACTTCAAGTCGATTATGAATAGTCGATTATCATGAATAGTCGATTATCATGAATAGTCGATTATCATTAAATCAAACAAACAAACAAATGATAAATCTATCAAACTGATCATGATTCGTCAGTCAATAAGTCAATCAAAAAGCCAATCAATCAGTCGTAAATAAATTATTTGCCAATCTGTTGGTGATTAAATCAACGAAGATCATTAAAATAAAAATAAATTGAAATAGTATCTAAGAATGATGCGGGAAATTATACTTTATTTGGTTTAATTCGACCTCTGAAACTACCATTTACTGGAAACAATATTTACTCTGGGAGAGAAGGGATTGAAATTAAAGGATTTGACTGATTTTTTTCCTTGGTCACTCATACTTGATATAAAATGATAGGAAGACCAGTAACTTTTGGTTGCCTATGATATGAGAATACTTGAGCATCTTGAATTCTTGTTGTTCTGACAAAAGATAGGTAGTATGACTTACAACATATCACTGTTAGCAGTAACACGCAGCTATTGTTTAAGTGTTGCGAAAAAAAAGATCATTTCATTAAGAATCGTCTAAACTACAATTTGGATGTTAAATCTCTTTAATTTCTCAAGAGGAATTTTTCGTACAAAAATTTTACCAAAGAGAGCGGTTTGCGTGCCTATGCTACAGCCAAAGAAAGCAACCTGAGAAGTAACCTAGGATGCACTAGGCAAATAACCAATCAGAAAGCTGCATTTCACCTACGAGATTAATTGACCAATCGGATTGCACAATTTTCAAATCCGATTCATCTGCGTCATCTTACAAACCACGTGTCAGCTGTAAGATGAAGTTCCCTATCAGGACCCCGATTATAGCGTGGTTGAAGTAAGTCTTTCTGATTGGTTACACATTACTAAATTCATCTACTCATATGCTTTCAGACGAAAAGAAATATTGTAACATTCTTACTTTCAAAGGCTATTTACTAGAATATTTAAATATCCCTTGCTAACAATATTTATTATCAAACAGGCTAATTGTTAATAAGGCATTCGATTCCTTATTTTCCAAATTGATTACCACTACCTTCTCGTTAAAGACCTATACAAATCATCCTTTGGAAATAACCTACTGCTCTCTGTACCAAATATCTCATCCACTTTCGCTCTATTTAATTCACAAAACCTGCGTGTAAATAAAAAACACAACAGCGTTTTAAAACTGATCTACCCTTGAAGAAAACTCAACTAAAAAAATTTCCAAATGACTAAAAAACTATCGTTTTTAAATTACATTTACACAAACCTTAAGAAAAAAATATAGCAAAGACTTTGACTGGTAAAGTTATAGAAAGTTCTTGTAACTGAGGCCGAGCTAGAGATCGCACTATTCGCTCTCAATTTTTTTTTGCTTACTGAATTTTGTATAGTTTCTTACGTGCTTGTTGACAAGGAGAACCCAAATGGGGTTTTTCTCGTGTTCCTTTTAATTAAACACATGAAATGAATTTTCCAGTAGATTTCTATAATTCTTGGCCCCAACAACAACAACTGCATGTTGTGGTTTAACGAAACAATTTCAAATTAGAACATGAAAAAAGGTTATGAACCAGCCGACTAGAAGTCCATGGGTTAGCCGTGACGGAATGGCTTTCCATCCGGGGCAGCAGTATCTTTTCCATTCTTTTTTTGGTCCACTATTACTAGTTTAGCAATGTTTCAGTCGGCCCATGTTTGTATTTTGTGGTTTTCTTTAAGTTTTTTTTCGCAAAGAATGAAAATATGGTAATGAATGGCCATAAACCACAAACAATTTAATCAGGTTCATCGAACTTTTCTTTTCCATTTGAAATGCACCTTTGAACCAGCGAGTTGTCATATCAAAGGGTTTCTGTAAGCACGTGTTTGCTGTATTCATTTCCAATGGTATACTGTTTTACTTGCGATTAATTGCAACTTATCTCCCTTTTGAATTATTGTTAATTCTAGTCATCGACATCTAAAAATTTTTTTTTAACCTTCTTTACCAGGTTATTTACAACAGTATTATTATCCTAAATAACTCTATATTTTTTATCAAACACCATGAAAAGCTACAAGCATCAAAACTTTTCAACAAGAGGAAATAAAATATATATATAATACATAAATATCAACATATTTCATTTTTGTGAGTAAATCCATACTAAAGACCAACTAAAACCTATAGTGTGATGATGTGATCGTCTGTAGCCTGCTCTCAGCTAATGGAAATGAGCTGCCTCGCGAAAAACGTCAAGGGATGTGGGAGGGAGGAGGAGGAATCAAGCAAAATGAAGATAAAGATGAACGGGAAAAGCTTTCTCTCTAGCAGCCACAACCGCTGTTAGTCGCTCGCATGCTCCCTTGCTCATCTCCTCTTACTGAGAGCCAGACACAGTTTGGATCGTCCGGGGTTAGGGAAGTCCTGCAAAGGGCTAGCCGGCTCTGTCGTTTTCAGGACTGCCCATACCTGGACTACCACGCCACACGATCGACAGCTACTCTCAGAATTTTTTAACTGTTTGTATACTTGTTACACTGCATTACAGCCATTTTACTTTCGATGTGAACTTGCATGATACATAATGGTAGAGTGAGTTTGCTCTAACCTCTTGGCCGTCACAACGTTTAGATACCGCCAATAAGATGGCCGCACACTGTGAACTTCCCAGGTGCACTACGATGACATGAACAAATATTAGAATGATAGTATTTTGAGATGGGGGGGGGGGGGGGTGTCAAGTGCCACTATTAGTGCCTAAGAGCACAGGAAGACTAACTGTACCCTAGAATTGGTGCATGACTAAACGGGTGTCGACAAGTCCGCCTGGCTGTATCGCAAAATAACAGGTCATAAAATGAACTAAACACGCCTTTTGACTGGTTTTTACTGATGATCTATTGACAGACGCATAGATGCATATATGAGGTCAACATAAACAAAATTCTGCTTCTTCACCGTCATAAGTAAATCGATTCCACTCATACTACGAACGGAAATCAAAATAGGCTCTAATAGTGTTGTCAAGTTTATATGACGCTTTTAACAGCACAAGGCCTACTCTTTGCAGAGCAAGACACCTCAAGTATGAAAATACGGTTTTCTTACCGCATGAAAGAGGAATGCAGTTGAGAAAGAATACGCTAAGATCTCTGCATAAGGAATGGAAGGAAGAATCCCGGCTGATATACCATGCTTGTACAAAAGCTGAAAGAAAAATTTTCTTCATTTTAATCTACCTGTTCGTACAGTTCATGCCTCTCATCGACTGTTAAGCAGGAACAAAGAGCAAGTAAACGACATTCGGTAGAACTTGCTCGGAGGCATAAGGGTTACTCTGTGTAGGGGCCTAGCCAGGATCTTTCACCCCCCCCCCCAAGCTACGCCCTAGAAGTCTGCTTCTATTCCATTAAGAAAGGGAAAAGGGTGAAGTCACATCGCATCTGTACACTGGAAATGATCCCATCTACATAAAGGCCAATCAAATTCAACCCTCAATGACCAGACACCTGTCTTTTAGAAATTCTTTTTTGATCCCAAAAGTGGCGTCAAATCGCAAAAATATGGACTGTAACTAAAGTAGCAAGGGAATCAATATGCTGAATAGTTTTCAACAATTTTGAGCTTTGGACGTGACATGACAGAAAATGAGTTCTCAATGGATTTACTTCTGCCAGACAAGCAGTGTTCACAAGCATTCTTAAAGAATCGCATTTACCATCTTTTCAGTATCAAAATGTATTTCTTTATAACTACCTCGGAAATTTTAGAAGCTAGGTACAAAGCTATACTTGAACTTCTGTAAAATATCATGGACAGACCGGCTGCTCCACCTACAAGAAGAAAATAGGCAAGTTATGCATACAGATGATGCTTTATGGGTGAAAAATTTCGTTTGGTTCAACTCAACTTCATTAGCCACAATAACACGTACGTTGTTGGTACATAAAGTCAACTTGTAATAAGCAGACCGTATGTCAAGCTTACACTAGCCCAAATTCCAAACTTTCCTCCTTTGATTACTGTAAAATGAATCTGTTTATAGCAGACACCTCGAGCAGACGTGAGCTTCATGACAAAATTCAGTTTCATTTCTATCCAATGACATTGAAGGTGATATTGTTCACTTTTGAAACGTTATTATTCTATTTAACAGAAACGCCCAGATTATTCATTCTATCCTCCTTGGGTTTTAAGTTCTGCTTAGCTTTCAATGCACAGACCCCCTGTAATAAACGAACATGAGCTGAAGTTTTCAAAACACAGATTTCACTAAAGATATACCAATCCTACCTGCTATTAATCCATTCAATTCATCTCTTTTATTTCTCAAGAGTCCTGACACCCATTCAACAGTCTAGAACAAAATAACAAGTTACTAAAAATAAGCAAATTATCATAGCTAAAGGCTGGAACAACTCATCTCTATTAATTACCACCAAAAGAAATCACGGATTTCCTCAAAACCTGTTGAGGTAACCAAAAGGTAAATGTTTAACAAGCATTAGTTGACTTTAAATCAAAGCTTCAGAGGCATTGTTCATGGGAACTACAGGCTCACTAGTGGCTACCCAGGTAAATATAGGACAGGAAGGCGGATAATGTAACTGCAGAGGCTGTTAAGGATTCACATACAAGGTTTGGCAGTGTGGTTTCACAGTTCTCCTTCCCTTTTGTTCTATCCTTAGGGATGTTCTCCATATGCTTTTGAAGGAGGAGACTGCTTAGTGGATTGTGTATCTTGAGGTACACTGGAATGGCTCTGAATGTACCTCTTTTTGAGTGGGCCTCCTGCCAATTCAGTAGATAATTGAGAGTTTTCCCTATGGCACAATCTTTGATATAATGAACATACATCAATCGGAATACCAAACTACAGCAAAATTACTAAAATGCAATGTTTGGTTCACACACCTTAAAAATTGCAACAAAACTTCCCAGGAATACACCACATCTAAGACAGTCCTCATTATAAAACAATCTCAATAGCTTCCCTAATAAAGTAAAAATGGATAGAAACACTAAATAATGCATAATAACAAACCTTGTGTTTTATGAAACACACTGTTATAAGTGAACTTGAGTTATAAAACCTTAAGTATCCACACATTGTGGACAGTATGCATACTCTGCATACTGATCTCTATACATTTCTTAAGGTGCCAACAAGGATAACTAGATTAACAATCAACAACTTATTAAGTTATATTTGATTCAGGGGTGATGACACTTACAGCATTACTGATAGTGCTATAAAGTAATTTTAAGTGTTAGTAATAGAAAGCATTTATGGAAATTAATGGAAAGGCTGAGAAAAGATGACATCTTTTGTACAAACCTGGTCTTTTAAATACATCTCTTATTTGTCCAAGAAGCATGGGCACCAATTGCACAATGTAACCAGTACCAAAGGCCTTTAGTGTTGGTTGTAGCCTGTAACACAATAGTTTTAAAAATAAAAACAATTAAAACAATCCCAAGAATAAGTAAGATTATTCACACACTCTTTTAAGATTTTATGCCTTACACTTTTGTTACTTTGGCATAAATTTAATCATAAATTTACAATTGTAATAAAAAAGGCTAAAAGGTTAAGAATAACAAGCAGAAGTGCACTGCTTGGGTGTCTTGCAGTAACTCTGAAAATGATGTAAAATTTCTTCTTCCTAGTCTGTTCTTCCAACAGGATTATTTGTACAGCAAGGCACTTTGGTTTTCAGGGTTATAAGACAGTGGTAATAGAGAAAGGGTGAGTATTTTGCTTTTTTTGTAGTTGCTTGCTAAGGCAGCTTTTCTACCTAAGATTAGTAGTTTAGCTTAGGCATGATGTCCTTACTAACAATTGTAATACCTACTACGTAAGATGACTGTTGTTATTTGCAGGATGTGAATTTCACAACAGTGAACACCAACAGAGAACCTTGTGACCAAAGGACACACAATACATTTTTGAATGAAGTTGGTAAATTTACAAAAAGCATCCAGTTTTGACCAATGACCCACAAAATAAGTCTCTGCACCACTATTTCTTAATTTATTTTTAGGTATTACTAACTTCTGTGCCATAAAACTGCTCATTCAACATTGCACAGGTGGGATGATGAGCAGAGATAACTAACAACAAAATTTTCCAACCTTGTAGGTTGAAGCTGTGAGCTGACTATAGGAAAAAAAACTGAAAGAAGAATGTTCAAATCAACATGCAACTCAGAGTCCTTCCTCTGCTAAAACTGTCTACATGTTTGTAGTGACCCTTAACCAACAAATTCAAATTATGTGTGGTTTCATTCAACTCCTGTAGCTCTGATTACAAAAAGAGAAAAGGGGTGTTCTACCTATTTAATATCTTCTCTCTGTTTATCATCTTTTTGTATGTTTAAATGTCATAACAAATACTAACCATTTTTGCTGCATCTGACTTTCTCGAATGTTGATTGAGAGACTTGCTTTTAAACTGTCTACTTCTTGGCCAGGACTGTGATCATTTGGACCCAAAAAAAACCTTCAAAGAATAAATCAGAGTACCATGACTTACCCTGAGTTAATCCTTTCAGAAGGTTTTAAGACTAATTTATTCACAAAAATATAATGAACCCTTCAACTCCCAGAGCAACCAAGGCAGAATTTCCCCTTACAATATAAAGGAGACCACTGGTGAGAATAAAGAAAAATTTAAATTGGAACCATTAGTTGATCCACTACCAAATCCCCCAGACTAATTTAATGAGAATTGTATGGAAAATAGTAAGGAAAATTCCTAATGAGATCTTGAGAGTGGAACGGTTAAGATGGTGAGATTCCCCTATCAGATATTTCATCACATACCTTACTAAAGAATTCAAAACACCATCTGTAAGACCTCCCTTCTTCCTAATTGCAAAAGAAATTATATAAATATCCATTACTACCTGTGGTTCCATTCGAAAGACTTAACTGTACTCTAGTTGTATCATGACTACATGAATATATGAAAGTATAAAGCGGTGTTTAGGGAAACTTGGAAGAGAACTGTTGGACAGAGGCTGAACAAAATTGTTTATTACGACAAATTTCCTGTCATCACCAACATTTTACAAGTGTGGATGGTTTGTTGTGACTTGACAAATTTTGGCTGAAGTAGACAAATCTTCAAACACACCACTAACAAAATTTGTCCCAAAAAACTGCATAAGATCAACTAAATAAGCAAAACTGTGATAAATTTATAGATCATTTGTTGTAAAAGCTATGACCACCATGTAATTGAACTGAAATCAGTCTACTAGACAGGCAAAAATTTTCTTTTGTTGCAAAACTTGGGGCTTCTAAAATTTTTAAATGATTTCAGATAAATCCTGGAAATTGGAGGTGGAATCCTTTATGGCTGGTCTTGTGAACAGAACAGGTGCTGACAGAACTTGACAGCTTTGAAATTTTTAATCCGAATGCAACTGACGAAACAAAAATTTGTCATGAGAAAATTTGTCCTTTGATTTTTTCACAACAGTTCTTGTTTTGTCTGCTGAGGTGGAAAGGCCCTAGGTAAAACAGCTATGTATAAAGCAAATTAGCTGGTTAATAAGGCCTAAAGGTGGGTGATGGACACATGCAATTTGATTCTAAGTTAAGGGAGTATTTGAAAGAGATTTTTTAACCACAGCACTACTTACTTATAAAGGTACATCATGATGGCTGTTGCAATACAGAACAACAGAATCTACCAAAACAAAAAAAACCTCTGTAAACATTAACAGCGTTGAATAATATCATTTACTGTCATTATTTCTATTCTCCTCCCAATTGTTTTTGCTCTTCAAAAGCAAAGCTACCAGAAGGGTCAATATATCAGGCTGGTCACATTGAGACCCTCACACATAATTGATGGAGATGATCTTTAAAAATTTTGTGGGAAATTATGACAAACAACATCTGCTTTGCAAGAGTAAAAGTTGGTCAGTTTAGGAAATAAACCCTTTCTTTCAGAATGTACCCCTCAGGGAATTTTCACTGCAAGCATCTTACAAGAAACAATCATATGACAAATGATTTATTTTTTGAAACTCTGAATTCCAAATTTTTTTTTTTGTTTTGATAAACACTTGTATACACTCTAAGAAAATTTTTTTTATATAAAATGGACTGCTAGTTCGCACCTGGGATTCATGATCAATATGAAGGGTTCACACTCCAGCTACATCATTGTTTTGTGTTGTTGGGTAAGACATTTAACCCTCTCAGTAACTCTCTCCATCCAGGAGTATAATTGGTTACCAATTAAACCTTATTACCCTAACATCAGTAGACATATTCTCCATACTGTTCATGATACATTTCTTGTGGTAATGACAGGAGAATTTGTTTAATAATCAAGAGTTTCTTTTGTTGGTGATCATTTCCATTATTCTCATGACATTAATGTTTGATTCAGTGGTTATATTGTAAGGAGAAATTAGATGCTAGTCACTCTTATGGGTTAAAGGGTTAAGAATCAAGGGAAGTTCAGGAAATACATGGAGGGAGGGGACAAGGGTGAGAGTAACATGGGGTGGAAAACTTAGTTTAGGAAATGGATCCTTTTCCTTAGGTATGTACTACTAAGTAGATTTTCACTGCAAGCATTTTAGAGAAAATAATCAAATTTCAAATGATATCAAAGTAAAAGAAAAAGTATCACACTGAAGCAGCAGTTATAGTCTTATTCCACATGTTACAGAAACTGGGATAGGCTGTGGCAGTTAAGGAAATTGGTTCATTAGGCGAACTCTCCATTGTTATACAAAATTGCTAACAAAATTATTTTTTGCAGTTCAGTCTTCCAGTTCCATCATCACCAGTGAGTCTCATGGACATGGACTGGGCACATCACAACACTGCAAGTTGATGGTTATATATACATGTATATTGTATAAAGCATACCTCTCCATTAGGAACAGGATGAATGAGACCCCTCTCCTTTAGCATGTTGTAAGTTGTTTCAACACCCTAAGGTTTACACAGATAGAAAAGTACAGTCATATTCATCAACTGACAAACAAAGTTGGGTTTGAAATGATTCAACCCCAAAACTCTCTCCATTTACATTTTTCTTTATCATTCCCTCTGTCAAACCCCAAAATTGAAAAGAGGAAAAGAGGAAGCCAACAGGCAGAAGATATTTGACAACCTCCATGAACATAACAGTAATGGTTAAACCTTTCCCTTTGTCTCTTTCTTTGATGAAATTGCCTTGAAGAAAAAAAGAGTTGGAGCACAAAAGTACCTGTCATACAAAAAATATGTTGGCAAAAGCATTTTATAATGAAGAAATGTAAAATGGTTTCTGTGTTTACATAGCCTGATGTAAACACGCGGGAGGTTGGGAGAACACGAGATAAGCGTAGTAAAGACTATGTACACACAGAAACCATTTTACATTTTTTTTATAAAATAACTAATGAAAGAGGAACGAAAACCGTGTTTACATATGCTCATGTAGAATGGTTTTATGGCCAATCAGAGCGCACATACTATTTGAATTATTTTATAATGGTGAAATGGTATGCGATAGTTCTTGGAGGTTGGCTCTGATCAAAACAAATCCCCCCAATCATAAGAGTTCACAGAGAAGCCTGGAATTAAGACACCACCATTAACCTTAAATAGGTATTTATAAAAATGTAGTACAAAGATGATGAAAATTATTAAAATATCTGTTATTTAAGGACAGTTACCAAATTTGTCATGTATAGTGCAAGGGTGCCTCTTCTGCTTTTTTTCTCAACTAGAATGGCAGTAAGAGACGCTAGAAATCCAGGGAGAAACACAGTTGATAGGTAGCTGAAACATCCAATGAGCTTCCTGACAAAGAAGAAAAAATGTTCTTCACATTGGGTATTGACCAATGTCCTACTGCCTGCTATTTTAAACACATTTGCCTTAGTTTTATTTCAATTTTTCTTTACGTTATATCCATCATCATAATTTGATTATTAATTGACACTGATTTGAAACATTTCAAACCAAGAAAACATGTGATATCACAAGGTATATGGTAAAAGACTTCAGGAAATTAGAAATCCACATTTACATTATATATCTCTTCTTTACTGACTAAAATAAAATTCCTTTATTCACTGTAATTGCTAAAAATTATTCACAAAAATTATGATAAAATCCTTTAAAAATACATTAAAATGTCTGATAAAAATCTAGGAGAAACTAACGGATACATGCTTTGTTTATGTTTCCTCCTTGAACTTTAAAGAAGGAGAAGATAATAATAAAAAAGAAAGTAATAATAGTAATGTGAAGAATATTAAAAGTTCTAATCCTAAAATCTTGCGCTCCTAATTCCAAAGCCCCTACTAATCCTAAATGTGAGGAATATTAAATGCTCCAATCTTAAAATCTCCTTAGTTCCTAAATCAATTTCAAAATTGTTGTCTGTAATGTTCAGCAGAGCTCTTCACATACACCGTGAGCCTCTCAAGCATAGCAACGCAGACCTCAGGAGGGCAATAACAAACATTATGACACTAAGTCTACTGCATTGGTCTTAACTCTTTAAAACCCATATCAAATTTGTATTTCTCCTTACTGCCAACCATACAATTCTTTTAATGTTAGTTCAGAGAATTTAGTATGGGATCAACTAATTATCTCCAAATTGATATTTTCCTTTATTCTCATCACTTATCTGGTTGATATTGTGTTGATGTTGTAAGGAGAAATTCTGTCTTGGTCACTCACAGGAGTTAAAGGGTTAATCAAGACTATAACAAAATCATCAAAGTAAACAGACCTTAATAGACAGACATAAACCACCAGTCCTCCACCATTGACAGCCAGAAAACAGGATGACCTGATTACATCCAGTAGATACTTATATTTAAAGTACTTTACATCAGCCCTCCTCAGAATACCACCAATCTTCAAATAAAATTGGAAGTACCCAAAGATGATAAACATATCACATTCATATTAATAATAGATACACTGGAAAAAGTGTAGAGCATAAATGGATACAATTTCAAACCAAAAGTTTTATGTCCAACACAACTATTTATTTGGTTTTCCATGTAACATTTCTGAGTTTGCTCTTTCCATCAACTCGAGGGAAAACAAGTCTGACTAGTTTCCTAAGGGACCATACATTAAGTGCTTTGTTACATATTTAGACTTTCCCCTAAACAATCATGTGCTGTTGTAATTGGTGCACAGACAACAACTGCACAACTGTATCCTAGTTGGAATACATTAGAATTCGATCAGGGGCATGTGACCAAGAATCAACCAATCAAAGTGCTTGTTTTGTTGAGAGAAAGTCTAGGTATATAACAATAGCCATTGTTTGTTAGTAGCCTCCTTTTGGTGTCAACTTAAGCAAAGGTACTAGGTGGTATACGAAAACAAGACATAGTTTCTTGGGTGTGTGATTTTCTCTGCTACTAAACAATGCCAATACAGACTTATGGGATTACATAATTTTAATTACATTTGTGATTAGGAAAAACAAAATCACATTGTTATTCCTGGATGTGTCTTCCTCCAACTGGAATTTTAAATAAGTAACAACCTTCAATAAAACTGTATGGAGCCTGTAATTACAATTCCAAGAGGAGATTAGAGAATCCTGTTTTTTAATTCAGAATCATCTGAAGGTATAAGGATGTAATATTCAACAGGGAGAGAATATCCAGATCAACTCCTTCAATTCTGTTCCCTGGGCATGTGGGGAGATATAATAACATTCCAAGACTTAGGAACATAGCATTTTCAATTGATTCACAAGAGAAACTTGACACGCCATTCAAGGCTTCGTGACGATTTTTAAAACAACTTTGCTTCCTTTTACTGTGAACACCGAAAACGTTCTCTAACACTCTAAACAATTACGTAACAAGGAGAAATATTCCTCAGACAAGTATTTGTGATGACCGTATGATTTATAGTTTCCACTAACCAAAGATTTTTGGAGTACGATACTATTAATACAAAAGCCGTTTTTTTAGTATTATAGATATAGACTACCTGATATATAAGCTTACATTACTATGTGATATCAAAAGTCATCAAAATTTGCAAATAATTATTTTTGTAGTGCCATCTTACCATGTAAAGGAGACCATAAATTTTCAAGGATTCCACAAAACACGAACGAAAGATTCCTGCTGCCGCAGAAGAACATGATGGAGTCCACGTATGTGCTAATTCGTGACACGAAATCCTAGAGGTAAAAGGATGTAATATTTTTGAAAAACCAACCATACTGTCACCGTCCGATGACTTGTTCTTGAGACATTAGTGCAATATTACTTGATGTGAATAACCGCCATATTGCACCGAATTGACGGCGAGAGAACTGGGTTAGAGAAGGACAAGTGTTCACTAATATTGCCCGGCAGATTTTGAAAGTGAAGTTTAGTAAGTATCTAACTACGGTCTACTTCCCTGATCGAACTGGACCGTTACCGCGGTGTGACTGAGCTAGAATTCGACTGACTGAAGAGAGACCAGCACCATTCAAATTTAAAAAGATATCATGGGGAGGCAAACAATGGGGAGGCTGTGAAAACAAAAGTCCAAAAACAAGCATACAGCCACGAGCGAGCAAGTCTTTATAAGAGAATACCGAATTTTGTTGTTTACTTCAGTGCAGTTTAGACTGACTTTGTAGAGACCTTATGAAAAAATCCACGTTACAACCCTGGTTTGAAAATCCCTAACAGTCAATTCAAGCTGCGAGAAGAGGGGTATCTGAAATGATTGCAGGGGTCACCAATAGGCGTAGCCACAAGTTGCCGATAAAAGTGCCAAAAAGTTGCCGAAAAGTTGCTGAATTTCCAAAAAGTCGCCGAAAAAGTTCCGAAATGTAGCTGTTTTTTCTGGACTTGTTTGGGCTTAAAGTTGGTTTTGTTGTGGGTTAAAGGTTAGATCCTTCACATTATATGTAGATTTTATTCACACTTTGCTTCTTAACAAAATTTTATTTTTAGAATAGAACGCCTATTCCACAGAATATATTAGAGGGTAATATGCGAATAATCTACTTTTTGTGAGATACTAAGGGCTTGTGACAAGCTACAACGTGCCACGTGATACCGCTGACCTCGTGGACAGGCATCTTACTAGGGTCCCTACACAGTATAAACTAATTGAGTTACAGGTGACCTTTCTTTCAAAAGCTAATAAGTGTAACAAAAAAGTCAAAAACTAATGTTTAAAATTCTTAAACATATCAAACGTTGCCGAGAAACTTGTGGCTTAGCTTAGTCACCAAAACCAGAAACTTCACTGAAATATCCAGTTTCTTTTTTGTCCATAACAGGTCCTCGAATAAACTAATGGTGATATAATGACCAATGATGTGTTGAAGAACGTGGCTCTCACTGTGAGAGAGGAAGTATTGGATAAGGGAAACACCAAAAGCCCACTCATTAAGTCTATTCCTTCCCGGGTCCTCTGAGGTCATCTGCACTGTAAAGGATACCGAATAAATCATATGGAAAGCCTCTTTTGGGCAGGGGGTTTCATTTACAATAATAAGACCAGAAGAAAATTTCTGAGTAAAATTTTCAAGTTTCTGCACAGACTGATCAGCTTAATTATGTTTGGAATGTCGCTTTGCTGAAAAATGAACAGCTGAGTTTTCTCATTGGTAAACGCACAGCAGGATACAAATTGTTGCAAATCAGGATAAGTGGTAGAAGAAGAAAAAGTTGAAGTTTGCCTCAAATCAGTTTGGCAAGATGTTAAATAATTTTGTTTCATATTGTAAAGCATTCCCCATATCATAAACTCATCATATCTTACATAATAATATATATCAATTTACATTCGGCTCCCTCTCTGTTTCCGTTTTTTTTATTCTTAATACAAATAAAAGTAGGTTAAAGTAACGATTTAACTTTGTTTCTACTCTGCCTTTGACTCGTCACTATTCTACCTTTAACCGTGTAAACCCTAAGATTGACTCGCATCTAATTTCTTCCTATAATATCACCCCTGAATCACACATTAAGGTCAAGAGAATGAAGGAAATGATCACCAACTAAAGAAGCTCTTGATCAGTAAACAAATTCTCCTTGTCAGCATCTTAGGAAATGTATAAAGAACAGTATGGAGAATATGGTGTAAAGGGTTAAACTGTGATTATAATATTTGCAACAGGGAGCCCATCTTGTAAAAGGGTATAAAAGCCCTATAGTTCCCAAGGGCTTCCTTGCCCTTTTTTTTTTTTAGCTCTCTCAACCTGATTATTAAATTTATGGGAAAATGAATAAAGCATGAAATATTGGCAACCACTTGAAGGAAAACAATCGTGGAATCCACTGAGTGCTAAGGGAGCCAACGTTTTATAGCCCGGCACTGCTCTGCCGCTAAATTAAATCAGATAGTAGCATCATTGTTGACTTTTCATTAACACATCCCCATAAGGAAAATAAAATTATAAACTCAGAAAGGCTGCCGACTTAAAGAATTAAATAGTTTTGTACCCTTGCCATATATTTTTGGTTCGTTATGAATGAGCGATTCTGTTTCCAGTTTTATTTGTTCTGTCATTTATTGAGTAGGTCAGGAAAGTAACTGGTGATTACAGGTTCTTTCTCTTTCAGATAGGAGGGCGAAACATACTTGCTCGAAATCGGAGGAACATGCTTCAGTTCGCTTAATGTTAAGCGAATTTGCACTGCTTATAGTTCAGTGCTCCAATGAATAAAAACAAGAAAATACTCAATGTAAAGTGCTTTTTTTTTAGGGAAGGGGAATAAATCTTTCTCGAAGCCGCGAAGTTGAAGGACAGAAGTTCGAAGGAGTTATAATTAGTACGAAGATTGATGTCCTGTTAATTAGATTTCGGCAATTCTATGTCTATCCATTTCACAGTAAGGACCAGTGACCTAAGACAATGTTCATTGATTTCTTTGACATAACACTGCTGAGTATGAACCGGAGACAAATCGACCGATTATTAAGAAGGGAAGCGGTGTTCTTTTATGGTTGGAATCCTTTTAGGCTCACCTTGCCGATAAACCTGCAGGGATCTTCCCAAAGGGATTCTTTGAAAATTGAACCCTTGGTTTAAAGAAGCAAATTGGAACATCACAAGGGCACAAAAGCCTTAAAGTCAACAAACCGCAATCCTGAGCCGGCACATATTTTTTCCTTTATTCGGGGAAGGCTTCCCGCTGTTCGCACACGATAATCGACTTATAATGGTGGCTAACGTATCACTCGATTTAGCAAGTTATCTATCAAATTTTCGCTTTCTCTATTAAATGATAAGTCAGCAGATTTTTCGTTTTGGAGCGAAGCTGATTTTAATTTCGTCGTAAATATTTTACTGCATAGCTTTGATTTATGTTCCAAACCATCGATCCGATGAATTGACGACTTAAAAAAATTGAAATCTCTAATGGAAAATTAAAAATATACATACAATACTTTCGTGAGTGCAATGTGATCGATTTTGAGCACGTTTGAGCACGTTTTTTTTCCTTTGACAAACTCACAATTTCTTGAAGAGAGTGATCGCTAATTGAGGGATGGACGCAGGGCAAAATTTTATTACGGTCATGAAAGTTACATACGTAAAAAATAAATTAAGAAATAAATACCTTGACTTTTGATGAGAGATTTGAAAGAGTTGCCAAGATTTTTTAGGAGACGGATATTTTTCATGTCCATGACGGAGCCTGGTTACTGCGCCGTATGCCCTTAATTAAGTTTTATTTTTCTGTGTAATTTTTGTTTAAAGGAATATGGATTTCTCTTGGTTATCAATGAAAGGAAATCTAAAAGAGATGTCTCATTCGAGAACCACTACAACTCTACCATCGATCATACTGCATGCAGCGGGCTTTGCGGCTTGCTTGTTTATTCGTGAAGTGTTTGGAGTCGCTCTAAATTAGTCTTGAGGGCACACGGTAGAAGTATGACGCACTTGTTCTCTTTCTCAGAGAACAAAGGCTAAAGAAAACCTCTCATGTGTTGAAAACAAATGCTGTGTAAATAGAAATGGAGTTTGCAAATTGAAAGCAAGCACCGTGCATTTTACTAGGTTTGCTTTGCTGATTTGATCAACCAATCGCAATTTAGAACAAAATTAAAACTAATTGACAGATGGTTTTGACAGGCGTGGCGTTTAATCAACGCAACGCTCGCTGATTGGTTGCAATGTATATCGGCCGAGTAGAGCACAAAGAACAACACTGCTAGCAATTCTCATGCAGATCAACGATTGCTTACATTTAGCATTTGTGAATTCCGTTCTGGTAAACCGAACTTATGTACCTACATCGAAAACCAATTTAGAGTTTAAGTCTCTAAGCGCAGATCAGCGTCCGAATATCTGGAAACCTCAGGAGCGTGCGCGATTGTACTGTGCTGGCAGAAAGCTTCAAGTGTTGAACTCAGCTGTTGCTGTATTGTATGGATCCGCTTAAGTCTTCTTTACTTGTTGTTGCGATCTTGGCTAGTTCCGTCGCCACTGTGCACGGTCAGGGTTTTAGAAAGAAAGGATGGCAGTGTGAGAAGATAAATGCTCCACTTTGTAGTAACATGGGTTACAACGTGACACGAATACCAAACATGCTCGGCCATGAGACTCAGAGAGAAGCCGAAGTACAATTCAAACAGTTTCTTCCTCTGATTAATTTCAATTGTGCGAGTCAGTTGCAGTTCTTTTTGTGCTCGGCATATTTCCCGATGTGTACCGAAATGGTGGACGTTTCGATCACATCCTGCAGACCATTGTGCGAGTACGTTCGCAAGCAGTGTTTACATGTGTTGGCCGAGTTCGGTATTCCGTGGCCCGCGAAACTCAACTGCACCAAGTTCTTGGAGAGGAACGACGGCCAAAGGATGTGTATGTCAGGACCGAATTTTACTGAAGATGCCAGCCCAAAACCTCCTCTCATAAGAAGCACAGGCATAAAACAGAACGGCACGCGTACAGTGACACCAGCGGGAGCGACATACACTGGTTCGGAAGAGTGCAGGAAATTTAAAAATAGCGTCAATTACTATTATGTAGAGAGCACAAGATCATGTGCAGTGTTTTGTAATCAAGAAGGTATTTTTAAAACATCGGACAAAGAAAAGATGGACAAGTGGATGGCGGTTTGGTCTATATTGTGTTTAGTGTCGACTCTTTCCGTTCTGTGCACGTTCTTTGTGGATACAGTGAGGTTCAAGTATCCGGAACGATCGATAATATGGCTTGCTCTTTGTTACCTTCTTTACTCGATTTCGTTCATCGTTCGTTTAGCAGCTGGTCGAGAGGCGATCTCTTGTGATCGTGAGTACAACACGCCTAAATTTCTCATTCAAGACGGTCGTCGAAATACCGGATGTGCCGTTGTGTTTCTTGTACAGTATTTCTTTAGCATGGCCGCGACAATTTGGTGGGTTATTTTGGCGCTAACGTGGTTTCTGGCTGCTGGAATGAAATGGGGCTACGAAGCCATCGGTTCGTATTCCAACCTCTTTCATGTAATCGCCTGGTCTTTGCCTTGTATCAAAACAATATTTATCTTCATAACTGGCAAAATAGACGGCGATGAGTTGACCGGACTATGCTTTGTTGGGAATCAAGATTTGATCGCGCTTGCCGCGTTTGTTTTGGGGCCACAGTTTACATATCTTATTATCGGAACACTGTTTCTAATCGCCGGATTCGTCGGCCTGTTTCGAATCCGCGCGACCGTACAACGTGATGGAAACACAAAAAGCGAGACGAACAAACTGGAAAGACTGATCGTTCGTCTGGGAATATTTGCGGTATTTTCAACTGTGCCGGCAACCGCTGTTATTGCCTGTTACTTTTACGAGTATGCAAATAAAGAATATTGGTTTTACGGCAAACGGGATAATAGAATCGCCGAACCAAATCTGAGCATTTTCATGCTGAAACTTTTCATGTCACTGTTCGTTGGAACAATTTCGGGAATATGGATCTGGTCACCGAAAACTCTGCAATCGTGGAAAAAGGTTTACTATGTGTTAACCGGGAAAAGGCCCCCACGACCACAGACGCAAAGGAATGGCGGGCACTCCAACGAAACAACAGTTTGAATGTCGCTCCAGGAGCACCTGTCAGACAATTTACTTCAACAAATGCGATAGACGTATATTTTATCCTTCCCAATTCACGTCAAGTTCGCGTTTGTTTGTCTTTTGTTCACTTTTGTGGCGAGGACGAAATCAGTATGAAGGGTCAGGCTTTTCTTAGCTGTAACACACTCAGCTGGTTGCTAACAATTAGCACCTAATTTGCAATCTGAATGCAGCGAGCGAAAATCTATTTTGTACATGGACCAAAAACAACACTGTTATCGAAAGCGTTCTTACTAAGCTCGAGCTTGCTGTTGTTGCGTACTCTTTACAGAAGTTTAGATTTAAATGATATGTATGTATTTTGATTGTCGCCAAAGATCTTACTGTCACTTTACAAGGTTTATTCAATCTATGATTGCTGTGAATTTGCTACCAAAGTTCTGACGACAAGGAAATTTTACTACTGTTGGTACCTTTCAATTGGATACCCCATAGGTTGTCCTCATAAACTTCTAAAGTAAGGTTGCATTTCGTTTCGTGCGTTGATTTCTATATTTATGTAACAATATATAACAATCGAAAATGAAGTTGTAAACAAAGATTATTTTAAAAGGCTTTGAGAATCATCTATGGGTCTTCTCATTGTGAAGTGTTTGGTTGATTGGGGTAGTGAAATTGAAATTGACAATTTTGTTTCCTTCGCGATTTAATTTTTGTCGGTCGCTGGGGCAGAAGTGATTCCCATCTTAAATGTGTCGTGTTAATTTAACTTTCTTGCCTTGAAAATTTTAATTGACACTGGTAGCGTGCACGTATAAAAGTTATCTGTTTTGTGCTAATTATTTACTGTTTGTTTTTAGTTCATACGGAGACCTTGCGGCGCATTCTGGCGTTTCTTAGCGATTTTTGGCAATCTGTAACTCATTGGGTATGTTGATTGAAGATATTTCCATCAACGGCGGAGCCGAAGTGCCTGAGGCTTGAGGCATTAATTAAAAAAAAAATTCACATTCGCAGCTAATGATAAATTCATGTTAACTTTGGCTGATATATTTCGGCATGATCGGCTGTCAACTTGCCTTTTTTCAGCTGTGGAGAGGAATGTTTCCCGTCTTATTTCTGTGTTTACTCTTTTATTTCGGAACCGCTTTCATCTTTGGCATCCAATTATTATTCTTTTTATCTTTTACCTACGGCGGCCCGCGCGACTGACAAGAGTAAATGAAATGACACCCGATATCCGAAGTGCAGGTACAATCAGTAAGCGCAATTCACTAATTGAACGGCCAGACCAAACACGTCTTGATTCACTGTGTGGAATTATCGGTCAATTGCTAATATTGGTTGATTCTGTTTTTCCCTTACTGTCACACGTATTGGCTTTGGAAATGCGGTCGAGGGGTGAATCAGAGTAGAAGGAGTTATTCCAGAAAAGCAATACAGACGGCTGTTCGATTCATCTCGAGCCATTCCAAATTGACAAAAAGTTGTTATCGGCTCTCGTGCCATGCTCAGTGAAATGAAAGTTACTCTTGATAATAAAAACCGATTTAACCTGCGCGGCGCCTTGCTTCTGCTAATTGTTCTAGTCGCAGGTGTTTCAAGTCAGAAGTCACGCTTCGAAAACAAGGCCTGCTGTGGGTTCAGTGGGAAAAAAGACATGTTGGACCTGAAAGGTTACTTGGATGAAAACAAAGCGTAGCAGCTCGAATGTAGCAGTAGAGTAAAGAGAACAGAATTCGCCATAACTTCGGTCGTGCTTGTTCTTTATTACCTGACGCGTGACATTTGAAATGTTCAAGGAATACGATAAGATCGTTATTTTCAAGGTATTCCACCTCCTTCGTCTCCTAAAAGCGCCATGACGCAAGGAAGTAAGGGGATTACGCAAAAAGAGAATGAGATAAGGGTGGAATGGCTTCTAGAAACGTTCTCACTCCGGTACTAAAACAGCTTGCAAAACGTGCAGGCCAGGCACGATTTGTGAAGGCGTGGGCAAGATCTTCCCTCGCGCGCATTTTACGTCAAGGCGAGGCCGGACACGTGTGCCTGTGTCAATTTTGTTCAGACGTTTATCACCTGAAGAGACATTTCTCTTCAAGGAAAGTTTCTCCTTTCGTGTTGAGAGACGTCCATGAAGTGAGGGATTAGAAAGATGAAAATTTAGGGGTCTGATGTTTGTTTCATGAAGCTTAAGCTTGACAAAGCGTCGAAGACGTAGTGGGTTTGTCTATATCCTTAATTGCAGTCAAGAAAAAAAAGAAAGAAATTTAGATTGAAAACTGAGTCGATTTCAACCGCTGAAAAATGGGGTTTTTAAGAGCCCAGGTATTTATAAAAAGACTTTTACAAATATTTTATACTTCAATCCCCGTAGAAGCAGCAACATCCTAGTTGAAGTTGAGGGTCCTTGAACAAATAAAAAGTTGTTTTGGAAAACTTATTTAAAATTAAAATACATACATGCTTATTTCTATTATTTATTAAAATTGATGGCTCATCTTTATATAAAGGTTTCTCTCCTCTTGCTTTCAAATCGACAATTCTAAAGGGTCTCTTCCTGAGGTCAGCCTGGAGGTGAAACTGTTCTACTGTACGGAGGGGGAGAAGGTGTGTACTTGAGTGGGATATCAAATGTACTTGCTACAGTTAAAGTGAAGATTTTTTTTATACCTGCTCGCCTGTCTCTACTGTAGGGTATACTGTTATCAAAACACTGAAGAAAATAGACTGGGAAGAATTTTTTTTAGAACCTCTCTCATCACACGTTACTAAGATGAATGGACATCTCTAGTCTCCACCTCAGACGTTGGTCGTGCAAGAAGTCTTACAATAAAAGGAAAAAGGATTCTGTGAGCATGAGTAAATACCCGTTAATCTGGGACTAGTTTCTTCAGAAGAATAAAGTCTCTTGTTTTTTTTTTTTAATTGATTTTTTTTCCAAACATGGTAGTGGTTTGATGACAAGTATTGCTAGCTCACTGGATAAAATTAGACAAAATAGTCGACCTCGTCGTGCTCGTTTTTAATGAAAGATCAAGATTATTCGTTAAGAAACCAATCCTGAAGTGTCCTGATCTGGCTTTGGAATCTCCGATGAAGTCGTCCGACGTTTTAAACTGTCGCAATTTGATAAATAATTCAAGGTTGCCCAAAACTCGTTTGGAACCTCCAAATAATAATTGGCGCGAAGAAATAGGCCAATCAAAATAGGCTAAATTTGCGCGCCTTTGCGACATGATTCCACGTGAGTAGAAGTCGCGAAACGGTGACAACGTCGTTGTCGCATTAGTCTTACTTTCCTCGTTTACTTGAACTGCTTACGGTATGAAGCGAAAGGGTCGAGCTGCTAGTGCCTCAGCGAGTTCACCTGAAGGAAAAAAGACAAAAGTAGGAGGTGAAAACGACCCCGAAACTTCTACAACGGATAGTAGGATGGTTGACTTCACCACGCCAAAGAGAGTTGCTGAAACGCTTCTTGCAGTAGCGGACCTGGAGACCTTTTTCACAGAAACCTGGGAAAAGAAACCTTATTTCGTTAAGCGAGCGAATATAGACTTTTATGGAGCGTTGTTTTCTAAAAAAGATTTGGAAGCCATTTTAAAAAAGGAAGAAATACACTTCATTGAAGACATAAACTTGAGTCGCTACGTCGAAGGGAAGACGGAGCTGTTGAACGAAGAAGGCTCTCGCATCAACTCGAAACACATCAAAACCACTGGAGTTTCTGTGCAGTTTCATCAACCAGACAGATTTAAGGTTTGTGTTCCTTTATATATCGTTGCACTTATTGTTCGGAATGTTGTGTTTTCCCCCACGCTATTTTGTGTAAAAACCTCTGGAAGACTTCGATGGGTTGGATATAGACGTTGTTACAAATGTCAATAAAGATTTATATGGATTAAGCTACAAGAGCAAGTTTATTTCACACAGAATGTTTTCAATGCGAGGTTTGAGTCATTTATTTATGCCTATGACTGTGAGAAGCAACTCTTTTTTTCATTCGTTTGTTTAATCGAATCTGGAGGATCCCAAGCGCCCATTTATCATGAATTGTTTCCTATGAGATAGGCTTGGTTTACCACTGTTTTCTGTGCATTTCTTCTATAGGACGAGATTTGGAGATTGGTAGAGTCACTCGAGTCGTATCTCAATTGTCTCGTTTTTGTTGACGCATTTGTGTTCCAACCAGGATCACAAGGGCTGGCTCCGCAGCATGATGATATGGAGGTCAGTACAAAGGAGGTTCCAATTTTTTTACCAGGATTTCCCACCTTAATGATGGCGAGAATCTAAACTCTCACCTTTTTTCATTTTTTATTTTCACTATGAGCATCACTAAAAAAAAGGTAATGGGGGTTGAATTTTGTCGGGTACCTTAAGAAAAAGATTTAACTCCTCTCCAACCAAATACACATCATTTTCAGGGGGTTGCTGTTTGAGATTGCAAACCACTTTTTATCTTAATTTCATCACCCTTATTTAGCTAATTTGGGGGAATACCCACTGCTTCTTTCAAAGTTTTCTTTTTTCTTTAATTTATTTAGACATTCTGACATTTCCACTCCTTCAAGAAAAACTCATAACTCAGTATTTGGGAATAGGTCCTAGCTAGTTACATTTTATTTCCATTTGCAGACCTTTATCCTCCAGACAGAGGGGAAAACCAAATGGAAACTGTTCAGGCCTCTGCAGGAGCTCTCTCAAGATGCTAGTCCTGACTTGGAACTGGAAGATATTGGTGAACCAACTGAAGAATTTGATTTAGAGGTATAACACTAAAAAATTGCAATTACCAATACCTTCCAGGATGATAGATTTCTGTCCATGCAAGTTTAGTTACTGTTTGTGCAAATTCAAAACTGGCACCTTAGCTGTCATGTATGTGTTCATAGAAGCTGTAAATACTTTCTGATCCCTCTTTGTCTAACAGGTAGGTTTTGTTGATTCTAAGAAAAATTTATTTAGAAGAGTTCATGCTTTAAGGAGAACCTTGAGGAGAATTGTTAAATAAATAAATAAATAAATAAATAAAGAAAGAAAGAAAGAAATAAATAAATCTTGTAACCTTCATAAGCAACTTTTTGAGGCAGGGAAAAAATCTACCAGGGAAGGTTGCTATTGGTGCATTTGATAGCTTCTAATGTATTTGGTTACAGTAATATTCTCACCCTACTAAATGTTGGTAGGTTGAAATTGTACTTCATACCAAACAATCTTCATAGGACTTAATTTCTGTGCTTGTACTTTGAAATACAGCTTATTTGCACTGAGTGTCTTCAAACAGAAACTTAAGAAATCAGAGGAACCAGACAGAGTTAATCAGAAAAATATAGCTAAGAATCAATGAGAACTCAAAATAAATTTAGAGGCTGCAAGCCAAGCAACTCAGAAAGTTAATTATGGAGGGATGAGATGTTGAGGCCACTACATTGACTTAATATTTTGAAAATTTTGTTTAAGGGAGATAAGGTCTAAACTCTGAAAGCTGGTTTTCAATCCTAAAGACAGTTTGCAAGTGTGGTGCAATGGATAGCACTTATCTCAAGCAGAAGGAACTGGGATTGATACCTTGTGGTGGCAACTTTTTTCTCTCTGTCTGCTTTTTTTCCCCTTTTATTCATCTTCTTCAAAAGCATGAGCATTTTTTTCCATTTTGCCAAGAACATCATCAGTAATCATACGGTAATCAGCATGTGAGAGGCCAATGACAAAAACACAGCATTTTCTTTCCTTTTCCTGTTGTTGAAAACCAGGGAGATTTTGATCATTCCTGAGTACAGCTCATTGATTTTAAGTTCTTTTGTAGTCAGATGTCCAATTTGGATGGGAAAAGTGTGTATACGAGGCCTAAAAATATTGAAATGTGAGATAGCATATCGGCTCAAACCTTTTGCATGCAGACTTAATTTCAGCCCATTGTTCCTCCTTCAATGAAATTTTTGGATCTGAGATAGTAAAACCAACCAAAGCATAATGAAACAATTGTTTTTTGTTTTGCATCTGATTAGTTGCGGGAGTGACACAAGTCTTTTACAGCAAAACAAAAAGCAATCCTCTAGAATCCCAGATTGCTTTAAACAATGACTCTAAATTTTTCTAGGTAGACCATTTAAGTTCTTAAGGAAGGCATTTTCCTCTCTCTACAGCCTGGAGATCTCTTGTACTTCCCTAGAGGGACTGTTTTCTTTCCAGTGCCAGTTGAAGACAAAGATCATACAACTTATTTGGCACTGACCACATTCCAGGAAAGGTAAGGAGATAGGGATAAGAATAAAGTTATAAAAGGTTTTTTTTTTTGTTTGTGTTAGTGATGAGGAAATACCTTACTTACACTTCAGTCACTGTGCTTGCAGGAGTTAAGTAGTGTCTGTTCTTGTTATGAATCAGCCTGTCTTTCTGTGGAAAATTTAATGCTGTTTTTGCTCCCAACTTTTTCCCTCTTTACTGTAGGTTCATTTTAAACATTTCTATTTTTGCCTTGAGTTCATAGTGACATTCATAGAAAACAACTTTAAAAAATTATTTTGTAGTTTACCTTCAAGGAACTTGGGCACCAATTAACTCAGTCTTTTGATTTTTCCTGCATTAGTTCTTGGGGTAATATGCTGACAAGTGTATTGACTAAAGCTGTAGAAAAAGCTATGGAAAGTGATGTGGAGTATAGGAGGGGTCTTCCAATTAATTTTCCTTTATTTATGGGCAATGGATTGGTAAGCATTGTAGTCTAAAATATATGTAGTAAATGACTGTACTGATAAATAAGTTCTATATAAAAGTAGTAATACCCAATATGGACAGTGACTGTTTTTCTGTCTACTTATTCTAAGTCAGATTGGAATTTTAAGTTTTATGAATGGGGGTAAACTAAAGAGCCTCACCAAAAACCATAGTGAAGGATTAATGAGTATTCCAGAAATGGGATCGAACTTGGACCACAGAGTGGTAGAATTTTGTTTCATAAAACTTATAATGTTAAAAATGTATTTTGTTGACAAACTTCCAATGAAAATAGTTCTAACCCTTTAACTCCCAGATCAAATTTGTATTTCTCCTTACTGTCAACTGTTCAATTCTTATAATGTTAGTTCAGATAATTTAGTATTGGATCAACTAATTATCCCCCAATTGATATTTTTCTTTATTCTCATCTCTTATTTAGGTGATAGTGTGTTGATATTGTAAAAAGAAATTCTGTCTTGGTCACTCATGGGAGTTAAAGGTTTAATTTAGCTTTCAAACTATTAAACCTTAAATGCAAACCAAGATAAGATATTGCAATTGTTGCTTTAGTCAAAATATGGATCTTTATGATCTTGTAAACTTTTCAAAGTTTTCCTAAGTTTGCTAAGTTAATTAAATGGATTAAACCTGTTTTGGGTAATTGGGTTTCATAAATTTTTGAAATAGCCATCTAAAGTAAATTAACTAGAGTAGGTGGCGACCTAAATCAATGTATTTATCATCAGAGTAAAAATTTTTGACAAAGAAGGTAGCTGTGAGGGGTTACTGGTAATTCTTACAGACTAGGAAGCCGTATGCAGACATTGCTAGCCTTGTAGGAAACCATGTTACCCCTTATCACCCAAACATCAAATTGCTCATTCTCCGTGCTGTTCTCCAAATTTTTCTAAGGTTTTTGATAAGGAGAATCGTAAAAATATCAAGAGCTTTTGCTGGTGATCATTTTTTGGTTCTCTTGACCTTAATATGTGATTCTGGGTGATATTACTTGTTAGTCGTTCTTAGAGGTTGAAGAGTTCATTTGTTTTCATTATGTTTACCAATAGCATGATACTGACTCTGATCAAGATCCATCTGAGCACAATGACAACCAAAAAAGTGATAAAGAAGAATCACCCATGGAAGCAGCTGCAGATCCAAGAAAAGCTTTCAACAAAACCTTGATTAACCTTGTTCATGGGCTGGAGCAGCATTTGAGTCCTGACAAAGCTGTTGACAACTTGGTGTATGAGTTCTTTAATGCCCGCCTTCCTCCCTATGCAAAAGACATCAAAAAAGGCAAGAAAACAACATTTTCATAAATATATAAATGTATCAAAGAAGCCACAAATACAGTGAACCCTGCTGTTTGACTGCCCAAGGGGAAATATACTTTTTTTCTTTTTTATGTCAACATAAATTCAAGCAGATAATTGATTAGGATAAAGAAAGACATCAATTATTCAGTTATTAGTTGATCCATTGCCAAATTCTCCAAAGTAACATCATAAGAATTCTATGACAGACAGCCAGAAAGAATTAGTAATGAGATCTGGTGGGGAAGGGTTAACAAATTTTTTTTTTCAGTTCATATTACAAAGGTATTGACTTGATCACCATTCTTTTTTTTTCTATCAAACAATTTCTGAAAGTAAGGTTGAAATTTAATTTTGTTCAATTTTTTTTTTTAACAAACAAATATATCTAAAATTAAAACTGCAATATAGAAACCAAATTTGAAGGCTAAAAATGATATTAGGTCGACATCTACACAGACTGATAAGGAGAATTTTGTTTCACAACAACCACTGATATCTGCTAATTAAGGTTAAACTCACACATACAATATGCAATTATATGATGAGGTTGTGCATGATTTCATGAATTGTCAAAACAGAGGTCTGAGTTATAGGTTTGGGCAGGTAACATAGACACAAGGCTTGATGATACCTGATACAATGGGACAATCAAATTCAATAATTGTTTTATTAAACATTATTAAAGAATATGCAAAAGAAGACACTTTTCTCTGGGTTTGCCAAAGTTTGACAGATAATGGGCTTGGAAACTAGGCAGACTTTGAACTCCACATGATAGCCCAATATCCGTTGCAGATATTGGGTTATCATGATGAGTCCACTGATTGAATGCTTTCAACCGGTCAGATTTTTCATAGTAAGCCTATCATATAATAATATTCTTTAAACTCTTTCCATCGAATGTGAGATAAATTGTGCAGCAAGACTTATCAAGTCCATTGTGCAAAGAGTTTCATCATGTTGTGTCTACTGATTGAATGTTCTTAACCAGTCAGATTTTTCACACTAAGCCAATTGACTAATGATATTCTTTAAACTCTTTCCATCGAATGCGAGATAAATTGTGCAACAAGACTTATCAAGTCCAATATGTAAAGAGTTTCATAACTTGATTTTCTTTAAATTGATGCGCCGATAGTGTCACAGAACCCTTTAAGTATTGCCTGCAAAGGTGACTAGTACACAGGAATCTGCATGTACAGCACAAGGGCAGAAAGTCGGGTTCGGAACCTTTCAAACACGAACTTCAACGTTCATTCGGCGCCCCAACCGTCAGAGAATTTTAAAACACCCTTTATGAACCCCACATGTTCGCTCTTAATGACATCCACTCGTGATCTCGGAAAGTTAAATGAAAAGGTAATTCGATTTTTCAGCGCTGCATTTGTTTTCACTGTTGGATGGGAGCCCCGCCGTAAGGCAGGGCAACGAAAAATTGGTCTATAGACTCATTCTATTGTTCTCCTCCACGGAAATCTTTAGTAAAAGGCGAAAGATTTATGCGAGCTGAAGGAAAACCAGAGTTAACAAACGAAGTGTCCAGTCGGACATAGGTTGAACATTAGGTGACAGGACATGTGGGTCAATCAATGTACTTAGTCACTAGATAACGCATGCGCTTTCTAAGTGCGCAGATGAAAGATCAAAAGCATCCCTGTTGAGGATTTGTTTATTTTTTTACTGATTTTTTTTATTTTCTCGTATCCAATTCATATCTCTTTTGCTTCGATGTTGGCCATTAGTCGAATAAACAGACTTTTACATGATCATTTTGACGTGCAAATTTACTCTAAAGTTTGACTTTACGTGCGTGTGCGATGTGCTTATCGTTTCAGCGTGGCGAAATTATATTAAAAATCTCGCATCTTAAAACTTGTGCTTGTATTAATTCGCTTATTTTTGGCGCACTGGATGTCGTTTTTATGAGCACGATCAGGTTTCTGTTGTTGGAATGAAAGTGGCGGTGTTATGTGTAAGTCTGTTAAGTTATTTCATTTGATTCAGTGTTTTATCTTGAAGGTAGTGATTTATTTGTTGACTGTTAAGATACACAAAAACTTTGCCGGAATCTTTAACTCGTGACAACCCTTCAGCGACCCTGGAAGATGTTGTACGTGAGCAAAACAGCCCTGAAAGGAAATTATTTATAATACTTCATTCTGAGTTCACTTGTTTCCGGTGAAATATTAAGTTGACTTGGGTGCTACAAAGCAGATAGGTGATAAGTCGCTTTTGTATTTTTTTTACTTCGACTTGTAAACCAAGTCCATACAAACCCATCATGATGAATTCAAGACAAATTTTTTTTCGTTTTTGAATAATTAGTTTTGCGTCTATTGTAGTAATAATATAACAAAGGAATTATCATAACAACTTGACATGCTTGACAAAGGAAAGCGTAATGCACCTGCGTACCAAGTGACCTCTGATTGGCTTAAATAGTCGTATCGAACTTAAACGTCTAAGAATCATTAACCATATTGATGCGATCGTAATATTGATTCATATGATTTTTAGACGCCATTTTTTGCATACTTACCTGACGCGGGAGGCACCGTGATCAAGTGGGCGGTCCTCTCAAGGCGAGGCCCTTTCATTGCACTTCGACTGGGTTGACCCTTGCGATTATCCCAAATGTGGATAACTCGAGCGTATAATTTCTGGTAGTGGGGACCTGCGTTCGCGCTCGTCCCCTTCTTAAGAAAGTAATATGAAAGTATGGATGCATTTTCCCGTAGGAAAGAAAAAGAGCACTCCCACGGAGGGAAGTAAAATACGGATTTTACATCCAGACCATGTCCGAGTTATGATCGGAGACTTGTCGGACGGTGTCATTGGAGCTGATGAAAGTGACGAGGATATGTCCCAAGCAGAAGAGGATGGGGAAGAAAATAGTGAAGAGGTATGTGTAAAGGGAACCCAAGAATAGCTCGCTCGCTAAAGAAGCGTTCTTCCGCTTTAATAATTATCCAACTGTATTACTCCTCAGAGAAGGCCTTTTTAACTGCTGCTACAATGATTTGTGCTTGCTCTCTTTCATTTTTAGATCAAGCCTTGCCATGTGTTCACGTTCACATTTATAACCATTTAATGTGTTCACGTTCACATTTATAACCATTTATTGGACAGATCTCTCAAAGAAGGTCAAATTTAAATTGCGGGTGAAACAAACGCTAAGCAATTTTATAACGCTATACTGTCGTGGAACTGATATTGTTCGTGGCTTTAAAACTACGCCGACACGTTGAGCGTTGCGTGACTCAACCGAGTAACCGGCTAGAACGCTGAGAGACTGAAAGTTCCCGTTTGGGCATTCAGTGAAAATTTGTTTTTTGATTAGGAGGAATCGGAAGAGAGTGAGAAGGAAGACAAGAAAGGCTCGAAGAGGGGAGCAAAGGAAGATAAACAAGGGAAAACAGAAAAAGGTAAAGCGACAAAACCGAAGAGCAAGAAAGCTGAACAAGAACAAAAAGGCGATGAAGAAGACATGGAGGACGAAGACGAAGAGGAAGGGAGTGGAGACGAAGATGACCCCTTTGACAACAAGGAGGGAGGGGACGAGTACATTTTGCTCCTGCACTCTTACAATAATGACAGAGCTACGCATATGATGGGGAAGAAAACCGTAAGTATCGAAAGCTGTATGAGATATATCATCCCATACTCATTTTCAACTATTGGATCAAAGGATTCGGCTCATTATTGGAATTAAAAAATTGCGAAACCTTTTATCGTCGAAAAGCACGGGAACAGTTAAGTGCAAAAAATAATCGCAGCGAAGTGAATAAACGCCCACAGGACTTTGAGCCGCGGAAAACGTTCAGGGTCGTTAGGTGGACCTTCTTTTTTTTTTTCAGTGTTTTCCGGCCAATATCTCTTCGTTAGCCCCTCTCCTACACACAAATAGAGAAATATATTATTCTCGCTATTTTGTGACTTCGTATTCCCCATAAACGTGCCTCCATTATCACTACTATTTTTTTGTTTTGGCATCTAATGTTATTTTTGTTTCAGTCTTGCTCAACACTGAAGTTCCCCATTCGTTACAAGGGCGCCTTGCGTCAGATTTCAAGCATGCGTGACGAGTTCATCACAGTAAGCAGCCTAGAACTTCCCGAGAAGGAGCGACTGTCAATGGTCAAGTCATTATGGAACGAAGGCTTGTTGGAATTGGAGTAGGAGGGAGTTCTAATTTATAGTCGAGTCAGACCACCGTTGAGTTGGACACGCATGCGTTGAGTTCATTCAAATATTTTAAAACGAGAGGATTTTCCATGCTAACCATAAGAAATAGTTATCGTTGTGTTCTGCGTGATACACATACTACTGTTGTCAAAACTGAGAGAAAATCTGTTGTGTTGTGAATAACCAAACATTAAGGCTTCCTTAAAGAGTCTCAAACTGTCTTCAGTTCGGTTATAAAGTTGATGAATTAAAAAAGGAATAGAATTGGAAAACGACGTAAGATGGTAGCATTTACAGATAAAATTGATATGAGTTAAAGGTCCTGGCTGTATTTGTCTGTGTTTTGACCCGGAATGCCACTTTCATACACACTCAGTTATCCTGAGGCACAGTTCTCCCGGCAGATGTTGCAACGCCATCACCTCGCTTCTGGGATGTTGTTTCTTGTGTCTACGTTATTGTTTTAAGCAAGACGTGCTTGAATGTTGTAGATACTTCATAAAGAAATTGGAATTGATTGTTACGCGAGTGTCTAACGCAATCTGAGTTTCTACGTCAGTATCTTGCCTCTTTTCAGTTTTCCCTTGTAACAAATTGTTACGTCAGTATCTCATGTATTTTCAGTTTTTTCCTGTAACAGGCTGTTACGTCAGCATCTCGCGTATTCTTAGTTTTCCTTTGTGATGGATTGCTACGTTAGTGTCACGTGCATTCCCAGTTTTCTACTGTAATGGAATGTTACGTTGGTGCCTCGCGTATTCATAGTTTTCCGTCCTTGTGATGAATTGTTACGTTAGTATCTCACGTTTTCTCTTTTTGTAATGGGTTGTTACGTTAGTAGATCGCGCATTATCAGTTTTGTCCTGTAATGGATTGTTACGTTATTAACTACAGGGCCTGTAATAGCTTATTACGTCAGTATCTCGCGTATTCTCAGTTTTCCCTTGTAAGGGATTGTTACGTCAGTATTTCGTGTATTCTCAACTTTCCCTTGAAATGGATTGTTACGTAAACAGCTCGCGCATTCTCAGCTTTCTCTTGACATGGATTGTTACGTTAATATCTCGCGCATTGTCAGCTGTCCCTTGAAATGGATTGTTAAGTTAATATCTCGCGCATTTTCAACTTTCTCTAGAAATGGATTGTTACGTTAATATCTCGCGCATTTTCAACTTTCTCTTGAAATGGATTGTTACGTTAATATCTCGCGCATTCTCAACTTTCTCTTGAAATGGATTGTTACGTTAATATCTCGCGCATTCTCAACCTTCTCTTGAAATGGATTGTTACGTTAATATCTCGCGCATTCTCAACTTTCTCTTGAAATGGATTGTTACGTTAATATCTCGCGCATTCTCAACTTTCTCTTGAAATGGATTGTTACGTTAATATCTCGCGCATTCTCAACTTTCTCTTGAAATGGATTGTTACGTTAATATCTCGCGCATTCTCAACTTTCTCTTGAAATGGATTGTTACGTTAATATCTTGCGTATTCTCAGTTCTCTCTTGAAATGGATTGTTACCTTAATATCTCGCGCATTCTCAGTTTTCCGTTGAAATGGATTGTTACGTTGACATTTAGCGCATTCTCAACTTTCTTGAAAGGGATTGTTACGTTATTTCGCCGCGCATTCTCAATTTTCTCCCGTTTTTGTTTTTCACAGTTAGCATCTCGCGCATTTTAAGTATTGTCCTGTGTTCGGTCATTACGTTTAACAATTGGTTCATATGTCAGCGTGCGTTCATCGAGATATGAAGCACGCGGAAAGTTTGGAGAGCACAAAACACGAACAACTCTAGCTTCTTGAGTGCTCTCCAAACTTCCCAAGTGCTTCATATCTCGATGAACGCACAGATGACGTATGAACCAATTGTTTTAAAACATTTTCAACCCGAAGGAAAATTATTTTTTCTCGAGGGATTTGTTTGCTGACGTCATGAGCATGCACAATAGGAATATGAAGCACGCTCGCGCAATTGAATTTGATTAGACAAAGTTACTAGCTATGTTATAATAGTGCTTAGCGCATGGTAATTTTCTTCCTGTTTTCGATTCTTACACTTTATTTCTTTCAGTGAAATGAGGGTAAATTATGTGAAATGACAATAAATGATGCGAAATGACGATGAATGCTGCCACATGACAAGTAATGATGGTAAATGCAAAATAAAGGTGAATGATGTGGACGATGAATTAGATCAAATGACGGTAATTGAAGTCGAGTGACGGTGAATGACGGTGATAGATTTGTAATGACGGCGGAAGATGTGAAATGACTGTTAATAATGTGAAATGATCCCGGCACTCTTCTTCCGCTGGAAACTTTATTTGAAGCAATAATATTAAGTCAGAGATGGGGTGTGACACTCCGAATTCCGTTATGGTAATATGGAACCCCAGGAGGACAAACAACCTGGATAAAAAATTATATCTATGTAATAAAGGTCTCCGAGCAAATTTGTTGCCACAGTTTTGAAATGTTTGTATATCAGTTTGTATGATGTATATAACTAGTAGGTTTTGACAGAAATGTTTTTATTCTCTCGGTTCCTGACTCATGCTTGATCTGAATACATAGTAAAACCATACTCTCAAAGTACAGCTCAATGCCTAACAAATTCCCACAGCCACCACTTAAGTCTAACAAGTTTAAGACATCTTGGGCACACAGCACATGCTTTTTTTGATTCCGTCCAAAATCTTTAAGGACTGTTATCCGAGCTCTGTATTACCGTGGAAAGCAACCTATGGGAGAATTTTACGACACCCTTTCATTTATTAGACGTTGAAATGAACAGTTAAGCTACGTCACAACTATTTCTGGATTTAGTGGAATGTTTCCATGAAGTGAAACTCTTGAAAATTAACTGAGAAATTACGCGCATTAAGACGATTGGTGAAAAATGTATCATTTCTTGCACGGGTAAACCCAAAACCTTTTTTTTCAAAGCAGTAGCATAATAACCGTCCTGGGAGATTAGGAGGACACCTGAAAACTTTTCTAATGTTTTCACAACACCCCGAGCGGGTAAAATGGCCTTGTACAAACCGTTAGAAAGTTCACTTTGCTGCTTATGAGGGTAGAAAAATACGCAAGAATAACTCAAAAAGGAAAAAGGATGGAGGAGATTATCACGGATTGTAAATGACGAATAAATTTGAACCAACCCTTGGATAAATTGATAGTCCAACGCTTCATTTGTTTGGGTCGGTGGGATAGACAGGGAACTGGAAACTAGGAAATGATAACTGACGAATTTCCTATTCGTTTCATGATATATTTGTGTCACCTTTCACTAAACTATTAGATGTCCATCTACATTATCATTTGTGTAGATCGTGGAATGAAATATTAAGATGATTTACACCCTTCTTGACAAATCAAAGAAGAACTCACCTGTTCGATGGAAGACGTTCGCGCACAGATTGCAGTTCATCTGAAAAGGAGAAACATTACAGACATTTTAATGACTTCATATACGACAACCTGAAAAGCATTTCCCTGCAGCGCTACAGGTGCCTTTTTGCAACCACCTTGAAAATTTTTTCCCAGTAGAAATCGTTGATGACTTGTTGATCATTCTGTCATCCATTAAATCCACTGCACGGGGAACTAGGTAATGCAGCTCCACCAGAGCTTTACCTGTTCCCACCTTCCATGACGAGGACAGGGGATTGGACTTGGGATTGGGATACAAAAACTTTTCATTATGACTAAAAAATTGCGACTAGCTGCAAGCAGGCAAATTCATGAATAATTTCAGAGATGTTGGTTGAAGCACCAACTACACAAATCAGATACAAGCTTTAGTTAAGTTCCATAAAATTTGAGATTATTTTCACATATTACCTGTGTTTTAAATACCCAAACACAATTTACACTGGTAATAAAGGATACCAACCTTTGGCAGCAGAAAGGCATCCTGTCGCCATAGCAACTTGTAAAATTTGAGCAAATCTATCCATCGACAACTGGACTTGTTGTGCAATGATGCTGTGACTAAATTCTACAGTTGCTAACTTGTCTATGAGTTTTTTCATGTCTTGAGAGAGTTCTTTCAGATCTGTTCCTTTGATAAGATGCTGACTATCTGACTCATCCATAACTTCTCCAGGTTCCAGTTCCATTTCATCTTGTGGATCTTCTTTATCTTTACCAGCCAGTAGAAAAGCTTGAATTATAGCCAGGTGAAGCTGAGAGCATAACACTCTAGAATCCTTATACACATGTAGGTTGCTTGTGAAGCCATTTAAATGTAATGGCATTAATACTACCCAACGCAGTAAGCCTAACACAGGACCTATGGGGAGAGAAGTGGACTCTGGGGGAGCTACTGATCCTCGCAAACTTCCAACTGTTAGGAGATTGGAAGGACAAGTCATAATACATAGTTCAGGGTTTTCACTGACCCATGATGCTACAACTCTAAGGAGAGCCAAGGGAGGTCGATTTGATGACCCAACTGATAAGCTTTCATCTGAAAACAAAAGTGGCATGTTAAAAGCAGGAGCAGTCATTATAACTGTGTTGTCTTGGATTGAAAGCTTGTATGACAAGGATTCATTGTTTTGTTGAAAATACAGAAAGAGAAAATTAACTTAATGGTAAGAAGTTTTCATCTCAGTAAACTAAATACACAAATTTAAAGTTCCTTTATTATATCACATAGACTATATATCGAAAAGGAACAAAGTAAGAGTTTGGATGAAGGACAGAAGCATAACAAAAAAACAATCAGTGGTGTAATCTCCTGCCAAACAGGTTTTATTCATGATTGTAGCTGCCTTGGTTTAGTTTAGGTTTATCACTTCTTACACAATTTTTTTTCTCACCTTGCTGATTATCTGAACTAACAACAGGATACAAACTAATTAGCGCAATCATCAACTGACAGGCCATCTGTGGGGAGTGACATGCAAGAGTCTGAAGGAATGGCAGTGAAGCTGGCACAAGACATGTGTAGTCTTCTACAATAGATGATGTCACTTTTAACACTAGACTAGGCAGGTGGTGATGTCTCTAATGAAGAAAAGACACAATCAGAAAAAAGGCATGCATTGAAACAAAAACAGTTGAAAAGAGGTGCAACAGTGTTTAATAAATAATTTGAAGGAATGTCACAAGCCAGGGCCAAAGGAAAGGTTTGAGTTCTCAGTTAGGAATGTAAATTTACTCCCTCTGAATTTCTGATTCAATGGTCAGCCTACTGACCTATGGGGACCTTGTTGATTGATCAGAGCATATTCTAATTTCATAAGTCAACTGCTCAGTTATCACAGGGATTGATCAGTAATGTCAAAAGTACCTTGCACTGGGACAAAAAAAAAAGAAGATTATAATGATTTGTGATATGAATTTCTGAGTTTGGTCTTGAATAAAAAAAAGTGTTGTTTGCTCAAGAGAGCATAACACTGTGGTTCTTGAAAAACCAATGAGGCAAGCTCAAAGCAATGACCTCCGGATTTGTAAGAGCACTTGAGCCCTTATCAAAAAAAATACACCATCATTTTTTCTGCCAATTACAGTATACAAAATCAAAATTTGAATTGTTATAAAGAAGTCTTGTTTTCATCTTTAAATAAACAATATGAGGAAATCTTTTAGGCCAGCTTTGGGTGTGTAGAAGGGAGAAAAAAAAGAGGATTGAAAAGTGATACAAACCTGCATCCATATGGCCATTGATTCTAACAAAAGGTTGCATTGCAATGCCACAGCCATAGAGATTAGTTTTGTAAGAATTTCAACTTTCCTTTCAACCTAAGAAGTTGCACAATTCCCAAAGGAGGGTATAAATTACACATAATCAAAATGAAGTTAACCATACAGATTGATATATTGTACTAAATCCTTTAAATGCTGTGGTGTTGCATACATCTTTAACCTTTCCGTTAAAGTGTTCATGCAAGGGTGGTACTTATTTCAAAATTGTATTTCTTAACTCACTGACAACAATCAACAACTGCTCTATTCTATCACATGTACATAGAAAAGCCCTCAGTCAATAATTATTACTATGTTTTAAATTATCACCTGATGTTCATACAACAACCTGTATATTGTTTGAAATGACACAAAATTTAAAAAACAAATTACCACAGTGACTATAAACATTTATTCTTTCTTTGACATGAATCCTACCTTTCCATCTTTGATATCTTGACTTGATATTCCAAACAACAAATAAAACACTCCGCATCTTACAATATCAGATGGTTGATCTTGAAAGCAGGAACATATAACTTCTAAGAGCTGAAGTTCCTGAATGGCAGACAAAGGTTTTGAGCCAGAACCTTTGCTGTGAAATATGTATAAATCAACAACATCGTCAAGAAATGCCGAGAGATAAAGTCCTGGGTTTGGAGGTGTGTCTGGTGCATAAGCTTGGAAATATTTCTCCAACATAAGAATGACATCTCTACTACATTCTGGAAACTGAGAACAACTCAAAAGGTGCTTGACATAAGAAACTTTCCCAGGGATATCTGCCTTCCATGATGCTATATCTGTAAAATAAATAAACAAAATCAAGTCAGTTGATTGTGTAGTAAAAGATTCATCTGGTTGAGAGTATAATAATTCTAAAAGTGATTGTTGTCAGCAGACTGATGTTTAGACAACCTATATTCTAGTCTGCTAGGTAAGGATGGGCCGATACAGTTTTTCAGAATCAATATGATACCAATTACGATATTGATATTACTACTTATACTGTGACCTCAGTGAGTTGTATGGTAAGTCATGTGATTTGATTGCCAACATACAGGGTTATAGAGTTATCTTGCACTGTTAATGTTATGCAGTGTTCAGTACTCTACAGAAGAATGAACAAGACAGTCAAAAATTTAAAACTGGATTAAGGACCTACTTAAGTTGAAACTCACAGTTTTTTATTAGTTCACTGTTGCAGCAGTCACACACTATTTAGATGGTACACTACAGCGATCATTGCCCAATCTTGAGCCCAGAGTCTCTTTGGCTCCTTGTCAGTAGTTGGTCATGAGAGTGAGGTAAAGTGTGGGCAGGTCACATACAGTATCGTAAACATCAATACTTTTTGCTAGTATTTAACAATTGGTTCATACGTCAGTGTGCGTTCATTGAGATATGAAGCACACAGGAAGTTTAGAGAGCACGAAAGATGTGTAAGAGTAGCTCTTGGCTATACCTCGAGTGCTAGCTTCTTGAGTGCTCTCCGAACTTACCAAGCGCTTCATATCTCAATGAATGCACAGCTGATGTATGAACCAATTATTTTATAACATTTTCAACCTGATGGTTTAAATGTTGTAAAAGGGTTAATATTCCCTCTGCTACGATTCAGCGCATTGATAATTTTGTTTCAGGAAAACATTTCTCTACACTGTAAATGATCTTGTCTTAGATTGGTCAAAAAACTGACAGCTGAATTCATGTGTGTAAATGAACTTTATTTTCTGATTGAATACAAAATTCTTGAGGGATTTGTTTGCTGACATCATGAGCGTGCACAATAGGAATAGGAAGCATGCTCATGCAATTGAATTTGATTAGACAAATTTACGCACTGTGTTATAATGATATTTTCTGAGTAGACTTCGGTATTGCTGGCATCTAATATTTGGTATCACTACTGGCCCATCCTTACTGCTAAGAATGGTAGTACTCAATGGGATGTCATGAGTGCAAAGGTAATTTTTCCATGCAAAATGTAGGACAACAAAGGAAAAAATTGCGTGTTAATTTGCCATCCTCTGAACCAGGCCTGTGTCTATCTTCAGAGTCCCAGTCCCGTTCGGGATTATTCTAGGCCCAACAATTCGACTGCATGATCAAAATGTTTATCCTGAGTTCGAACCATTGCACCAAAGTCAAATCAGGCGACACTGACATTTACCGACCAGTGCAAGACTTGAATTTTAGCAGTCTTAAAAGGTATTGATACAGACAAGCGGGGATTATAGTAGGTCCAAATTAGCTTGTAAGTTGCGTATTCTTGACCTGCTTTACTAAATAAAGTTAAGTATGTATGTATGGATCGATTTCTTAGAGATATACCTTAACCCTGAAAGCTGTACCCTCATAAATTCAAAATAGGTTGCAAGACACAAGAGTAGTTCTTTTCTGATCTCCGATGTCCGTCACGGGTGTTCACTAAATTTGAAGCTCGGCCTTTATGCACAGATGCCTTCGTATGAGGTCATGAGGTGAACACGTCATTTATCACTAAAAAATGTAAAGACACAATTATACGATGTTTTTACACAATCTACTGTTTACTTACTCCAAGTGTCTTCTTCATATTCGTTCATGGTGGGGAAAAAAAGAAAATGTTTACAGGTCCTCTTATACTTTATCCCTTGGCGGCCATGTTTGCCTAAGCAACCTGGCTTTTCCATTGAAACCGAGTACACTTTGGGCCAGCCAGGCTGCGCAAAGCCTCGCTTTAGTGTTGCCTCGTTACGGGCAATGCAAGTCCAATAGGGTCAGTTAATGTGCAAAAAGCTTCTCTGAAGTTTACTGAACTAAACATTTGGGCATGATTATTTTTAAAACAAAGTTTAGCCATTGTTCAACAAAACCACGTCCTAAAAAGTCCTCAATTTAGCTGAATCTTGCATCTGAACATTCATCGTTGTGACAGCGTCAAGAGGGCTTGTGTTTGAATCCATGTTATTAACAAGAGATGGGTATATCACACCAGTCGAAGTGAGAGTCGACGCGGAGCAACGAAGGGTTTTAGTGATATTTTCCCCAACGGCGTCAAAACGAGGTGTAACCAGGAAGAAAAAGAAAACAAAGCTCATGGCGACGCGGGCCAAATACCTACAGCCTGGATAGCTGGATAAGATAACTTGACCATCTATGACGACTTTAAAATACGAGAAAATGCGATGTCTAAAGACAATTTATTACATACTTTTCCATAGCTCACAAAAAAAAGAAACCCCAACCCCCCTTTTCTCCCCCCCCCCAAAAAAAAAAAAAAAAAAGAGAGCAAACTCAGAAGATGTAAACTCTACTTAAATTGAGGCGAAGGCTTTAAAAAATCCTTCTAACTCGTTCCTCATCGAATATATATCGATTGATAAACTGCCTACGGAAGCTAATCTAGTTGCGGGGCTGGCTGGATTAATAACTTGTTTTAATTGTTCTCCATACATTTCCTAAGGTGCAGACAAAAATAATTTGTTGGTGATCGTTTCCCATATTCTCATGACTTCAATGCTTGATTCAAGAGTGATCTTGTTGGGGGAAATGAGATGCTTAACCAGGGACCGCGCAGCAAGTTTTTGAGCGGGGAGGGAGGGGGGGCTATTTTTGGCTCCGTTATTTTTGTTAAATTACTTTTTGTTTACTTTATTTTTATTTTTGCAAAACAGTGGGGGAGGGGGCCAAAGCCCCCCAGCCCCTCCCTCTGCGCGGTCCCTGTTAACACTCTTAAAGGTCAAAGAGTAGGGAGTATAGTTTCAGAGAAACTTGGCAAAATGTAGAGGTGATTCTGTAGTCTGATCGTCGACTTACAACAACTTTATACTTGAATCTGATTATGACTTCCGCTCAGGTTGTTGAAACATCATTAACCTCTACCGACAGCAGTCCTTCTCAAGAATACACTCACCCAGACTGGATCAGAAAACACTTAATGTTACCCCCGGGTGCAAACCATTTACTGTAAAATGATGAGGGTAACCCAAAACAGAGCTCTATTCGTCCACGGAGGAATAGTGTTACAGAGCACATAAAAATTATAAATTGAGTGGCAAAAGTGATCCAGGATTGGTTTACTTTTACTTTACTTTACTCTGTGATTGGTTTTTAGAAATATCCACCGCCATCTCAACCAATCAGATGCAAAACTAAAACTAATCACGACTTCATCATTGGAAAACTATAGGTTTCAAAATAGACTGATCAGGACGATCCTTTGAGATTTTCTTCATCAAACAGAACTCAGTTATTTGTTGCTGACTTCAACTTTATAACTTCCAACTCGTCCTAACTTGAGGAACTCCACAGTTTCTGTTTTAGAATTTGGAAAAGGGCAAAGAACAGTTAAAAGCAAACCTTTTTAACTTTTTACCGTTATTTTTGCCCCTAACTATTGCAAACAGGTACTCTGTGAAATACAAAACTACCATTATCGTGCAAACTACGTTGGAAATGACGTGGTATCGCCACTGTTTACTCCTCCACACTTTCAACACGGCAACATTTAGGTACATCGCTTGTAGCCACAACGATACAGTGTTAAAAAATACATCTATTGCTAGACCAGTAACGCAACGAGCTAAGAATTGCCAGATGAGACTCTCAAAGTAACCATCAGGCGTTTGGAAGTCATCTGGGTACATGAAATTGTACAATTGGCTGAATCCTACCGCTGACACTAGGGCGTTTGCTTCGGTTAGGACAAGTTGAATGCTAACGTCTGCAACAAAACGCATACTTCGAGGGGTGCGGGTTATGCCTGCTGGAAAATCTCTTGGGCGTGATCTGCAGCAGCGAGAGAGTAGTTTGTAAGCGTATTCCCAGATGTAATCCCTCATGGAAACTGTTAAGCGCTCTATGAGGTCAACCACAGCATGACCAGCGCCCAAAGCGACAAATAACCAAAAGCTTACCAACTCTGCCTGCATAACACGGAAGACAAAAGCTGCTGCAGTATATAAAGTACCTATCAAGAGGTGCAAAACTCCAGGGTGAACTAGGTTGAACTTTGTTACGGCTGTACGAACAATCACTTTCGGGATCGATAGAAATAACGGGCTTAAACCTGCGATGAACACTTTCTCAATCTCCGATTTTTCGTTATACCATGGGAAGATCTTGTAGACGAGTAAGAAACAAATAGGTAAGCCAAATATAAACTGCAAGGCTAGAAGACCTGTGGTCTTAAATAGGGTCTTCTTCGAGTACAAATGCTCGGGTATAATATGTTTAGCTATGATCACGCTATTCGTCATCACCATTAAGGTAAACAGAACATTTAAGGGGTAACTCATCCATGAGTGTTTGTAGATACCAAATATTTGTAGATACAGGCGATAGCAACAGTCGGTAAAAGCAGCAAGGAGATTAACCGTGAAAAGGTTAAGCTCTTTCATAAATGAAAAACCAAATATACATAACATTATGGAAAAATGCCAAAGCTGAATGAGGAACCCTTCTATCGACTGGCTAGTGACACGGATGCTCTGAATCACTCGTGGCATGCTGTACCATTGAGCTGTCCTCTCGTAGCAAAGATCTGCGGTGTTGAAATCTAACACTGCGATGGCAATCGCCAGCAAACCGATGGAAGAGCCAAACACAAACTGCATTTTAAAGACCGTCTTAAAACAAGTAACAAGGAATTTAAGAGACGGAGGTCGGGACAACTTCCACGCCATTTTGCCGTAATGTCCTGCAGGGGGATCGAATTCTTGAAAGACGGTATCGACACCGCGGGAATCAAATCTTGTGAAATCTGCAAGGTTATCTTCCTCAAGTAAACCTTGGTCATCATCAGCTACTTGACATCCTGTTGGAGAGTAATTTTCGATTACACTTCCAGTGAAGCTTTCAATGATGTATATAAGGAATTCCGCCACAGCGCCTAACATTCTTTCCTCCGCTGGCTTCAACTCGAACGACTGATCAGCAGTTTGATGAACTTTCAGTTTCTACACAGTCGGTTTGGTAGTGCCAAATTCTGCACATTACTAATCCGTTGTGATTGTTTTCCAGTTAAACAATCCGAAATTGAAATGAATCCGTTTCTGGGAATTCGGGGAATGTAATGTGATACACGAGCAACGACATGAAAGTGAAAACAAAGGGATTCTAACGGATTTAAGCTAAGAAAACATCAAACCCTCTCTCTTATTTGAAGGATGAAACTATAGGTTTGTTAAGGGGGTAAATTACATGGCGTTGAGAAATCAAATTCTTGTTATACAGGTAACGTTAAGCCTGCACTCGAGCCAGTGCCTAGCCAGTTGCCTTAGAATAGAGCGACTTGGAGTATTACTACTTCCCCCTGCATAGAGTGCTTGTCCATCGCAAGGTTACCGCACAGCATTTCATCAGGCTTCCCTGTAAATTCCCGGTACCTATTTATACTCCTGGGTAGAGGGAGGGAGGTACAATGAGGGTAAAGTGTTTGGCCAAAGAATACATCACTTTGACCCGGCTAGGTCTCGAGATTCTTGTTTTATATTTGATTCATACGGTTTTCCATTAGTTTTTAACTAAACTGGTAGAATAGAAAGTAAACGAGGGTTTATCCATAGATCAGGGTAATTTAGCATTATCAACTGACTTGATAGCGTAAATTTACCACCGTAAAGAGTTTCAAAGCTGACGTTTCGAGCGTTAGCCCTTCGCTCTAAACGTCAGCTTTGAAACTTTGTGGCCAATTTGAGTTATTAACTCAGATGATAATACTAAATTACCCTGTTATAATCTCCCACCGAAGCAGCACCGCAGTTATTTTAGAAACTTATCCCCTTTATTCATTTATCTATAGTTCCCTGGTTTGTGAATCATTACAAGAGAAGAGTTTTTTATATATATAGATATTTCGTCAATCACTGTCAATATTACGAACTATAAATACCTCCAATATTACAATAAAGTTCATTGTGCTTAAAACAATCATGTTGCAGACCAGGTCAGAGAGGATACCAAGAAAACTACCAACTAATCAACGCTGCTGCTCAAAGACCAGTTTTCTTTCGTATCTATTTTCATTTCCAGAATTATTTATGGTTTTCACAGTTTTTCAAAATCTGACAGAAACCAATACTAATATTTTTTTCCTGTTGTATACTGTAAAAATAATTTGGATGACAATTAAAAGCAAAGCAACAGAGAAGATTTTCCTTACAAAATGACATTACTTTCAGAATAAAAATACATTTTAAATTAAACATTCAAAAATAAATTTACTATGCTTAATTTCTGCCAATTTAAAGTGCTGCTGGAGTCAACACTAAATAGCCTACTGGCTAAGCATAATAAGCTTTCAAAAATGGCCGAAAAATCAAGGGATCGTTCTTGCTCTGAGCCCTCCAATTTATTATGTGGTTAGTAAATCCCTTTGATCCCTAGGGGTAACTAGCATCTAATGTCTAATTACAATATCTTGCTTGAATCACACATCGAGGTCACAAAAATAAAGGAAATGATAACCAACAAAAGAAGCTTGTTTGTTAAACAAATTCTCCTTGTCAGCATCACAACAAGAAGAAAGTGCTGCTAAAAATGAACACTGTTTTGCACATGTTATAATTTCAATTCTGTTTGAAAACTAATTTTCAGATCACAAGCACAACTTCAACCAACATTCTGGCTTTGACAGTTATGTTTTAAGACTGCTCACAGCAGCATCTCTGTATCCTGAACCACCAGAAGGTCCACAGTTTGCGGGACTGCTTGTTAAATGCCAAGAAACACACAGTCGTCAGTGCAAAGAATGCAGTGCTTAGGGATGATGCCACAAATGCGCCAGAGAAAGTGTACTTTTCATATTCTGTTGGGAACAAAATTTGTAGATCAATGTCAGTCAACTGATAACAAGTTAGGAGTAATTAAATTTTGGGCTAAGGGAAGGGTAGGAATGCAGTTGCTCAGTTAATGACATTCATCAAATTTACTTTCATCAATAACCTTACCCAAAGAATTTCATTTATGTTTTTAGTGTGTAGATCCAGTACGCAGGTGAAAAAAAAAAATAAATGTGAGTCTGTCTTATTGTTCACTTTTGATAGACTGGATAAAATTATAGAGCTCATAGTGTAGTTGTTACATACATGTATTACTGAACAAATACCAAGTAAATGATACTCAAAGCACTTGATACTAACTTTTATGACACTTTTCTGGTGGGTAAAACATCAAGCAACGAAAGTACCGATTTATATGGTGTTCCAGAAGGGCTGTATGTTGTTGTAAAAGGCAGATGGGAATATAAGTGAGAGTTACAATGGCTGCATATGCAAACATAAGAAACACCAGGCGCTGAACCAGTTTGTCCATTTTCTTTTTTCTTGATTTAGCTTGCTCACCAGCAACAGTGGAGATGTTGCGTAGCTGAAATGACCAAGAAGAAGGAGGTCACGATTAGTTAGCAGACATTTAATATCCATTTCCCAGCTGTGTGACAATTGAAATCTAATTTTATCAGATACAGGTAATTTAGTGTTAACAACTGGGTTGAAAACGTAAATTAGCCACCGTGAAGAGTAAAAAAGCTGACTTTTCGAGCATTAGCCCTTTGTCAAAGCGATAGCTCTGATGAAGGGCTAACGCTTGAAACGTCAGCTTTTTTACTCTTCACGGTGGCTAATTTACGTTTTCAACCCAGTCGTTAACACTAAATTACCTGCTATACTCACCCACCGACGCAGCACCACAGTTTCTTTAGAAACTTACCCCTTTATTCATTTATCAGAAACAGATTTCTACCAGGACTAGACTTCCATTTACAATTAATTATCTTGTGTTGTGTAAGGTGTTCACCAGGCCATGGATGTAGAAGAATTCTACAATTACTAAGCAGAACTCTTCCACTAAATTTCAATGGCCTGAGCCATTTTCAGTTCAGACTTGGAGAGTATTCTCTTTTTGCAACAAAACAAGTATTTATATTCTCCACACCAATCTCTTCATATTTTCTATGGTGATGACAAGGAATCTCATTGCAACCACTAAGGTTTGGACTTTGGAGTAACTTTAAGTTAAAAATGTAATGATTTACAATGTAAACCTCATTAAAAATTATCTTCTAGATGTGTAAATGGGCCTTCTAATAGTGGCATTGAATAAAAAACAACCATTAATTGCTTACCCACTAAAAACATTTGAACTGTTAGTTAAAAGTACATAATTATTACCATGAAAAGTTTATAGACCACAAAAAACAAGCAGGTAACACCAACACCCAGTGCCAGCTCTGTGATAAATGTAGTTGTAAAATATCCAGTGTCTGTTGATTCAGGAAAGCAGAATTGCATATTTACAACAATATAAGGTGGTGATTCGGAGCCAAGTACAATGCCAACAGGAATGAAAGGAAGAAGCCAGCAAATTAAGGAATACACAATATGCTGTACTCTGTAACAATTTCCCTGGAGGTTTACCAGACTGTCAGAATAGATCATCTGAAAGAAAGTAGTAATGTATTAACTCTTTTAATTCTAGAGGTAATGTGTGTAAGATGATGCCCATGGTGGTGTGTCTTTGTGTGGAGGTGCAGATATCGTGGATGTATCCCTGGAGAGGAGGGTGTTCTGTGGCTGTAAGATTGTATATATAACCCTTGACAGAGGACGGAGACTTTAATTTGTCTTGCAATTCCTGCTGCAGAGGCCATAACAAACCGGTTTAAGGAAAGAGATACACTCAACCAGAGACAACTACAATGATCAAATGAACAAAATGAAGTGATCAAATGCCAACTAAATGTCAGTCAACAGCTAGCCAGGAGCAGTATGTGGGCCTGAGGCTAATTAATTTATTCCCCTTGCTGCCCTTGGGATATGAACAATATGATATTACTATAGTGTAACTGCCTCAATCTCAACCTCCCAACAGTTGGTTTCTTCCACTAACACAGATAAGTTGCCTTTCAGGCTCCAGTTGTTCAAAGGACAGATACTGCTATCTGTTGTTTAAATTGCTATCACACTGATAAATGTAAGCAAAAGCTACTATGCTATCCACCAATAGAGATTTACCCAATCCACCCTTCAAACAACCCAGGCCAGTATCATAGACATATTAATCCTTTCCCGCTCGAGAGTGCCACATGGCACACGATGCCATTGTATGCTTAATATTCATTCATTTTTTCCGAAACTTTCAAAACCAAAAGGTCATTGAAAGATCTGCACATTGAAGGCATAAAATCATGGCTCCCTCTAATACAAGACTTGGTTTACCACCCCTGCAACTTTTGGAACTTTTTGTCTTAGTACTGTTTTGGTTCAGGTGATATCTCACCACAATCAATGCTCTGAGAGCTGCAATTTAAACCATAGTTAAGTGGTATACCCTATATGTACGAGGCAAACAAACAATTTCAAGGTTTTTATTTTTCACTTTGGACACTTCTCAGTCTTTTCAGTTACCTCCTCCACACCTGTTGGTGTCCTTTATAGCATACCCCAAAAAATACCTTTAAAATAATATATTATGCATGGTCTAGTGCTTCATTGTTCTCATTTCAAAAAAATTTGGCATTTCCCTCAGGCAGGAAAGGGATAGACATATTCTGAAGAATGTTCACATTTGTAATCACTCTCAATAGTGATAAACAAACATATTTACAGATCATAACATTACATGAAGATAGTGAATAAATCCCAGATAAAAACAGGATAAAAATTTGATTTGATAAAGATTTTAAGATTTTTGAGACCTAAGTGCTGCTTCAATCACTATAAGAATGCAAGATTTCAGAACATTAGTGACACTTCTTGTGAATTGACCAGTTGAAAGCTCTTGCTTTATCTGACATTAGTAGACAAATAAATAAGCTTTTAGGCTTGGCTTTTACAGTGGTTTCAAATGAACTTATACAACACTTACTTCAGTGGACACAAAATTTTGGATATTTTCCAAAATTGTCAAAAATAGTGGTTGTGAGCTAGCCATTATTCTTGCGTTACTACATTAGAATCATCAATAAAAGCAAATCACGTGACGAATCAAGAATAACTCATGTAAAAGCTGATTCAGAAACACTTTGATAAAACATCTAAGGTAAAATACTAACCTGGATAGAAAAAAATGTGCTGTGCATATCACATAAGCATCAACAAAATGTCTTGCATCTCACTCACCTTAAGTAAATTGATGCTATAAACCACAAACCACAGTGCCAAAGCTACAGAAAAGTAGTGTATCAGGACCCCTTGAGCAGTACAAAATTTGGTGGGATTTTTTGAAGATTCTGCTAAAAACTTGTTGCTACAGAAAGCCTTCTCTTCTCCTATTCCATTGGCTACCGCAATAAGAACAGCTTAAAATAAACAAAAACATTATTCATTACAATACTGTTTTTGACCGAATAAGTACCTTGTCTTGAATAACAACCTCCTTCCTGCTAACCTCACCTTTAAACCAAGCCCCTTTCAATAAATGACTACTGCTACTGGTTCCTTGATATGTTTATTACCAGTAACACATCCCCATTTAAATATGTACTTCACCATTTTGATGTGTACATATAATTTTAGGTATCTTAGTTCCTGAATGAACCAATCAGATCTCAAATACATTTTTAATTAGCTCTTTGGGAAATAAGTTACTGTGTCAACCAATCAGGTTTGGTTTGTAATGTGAAATTTACTCTTCAGCAACTAAGTTCCTCAACAAACCAATGACATGGAAGAATAAAGGTCATGTCATTTTTAAATTAAGGTTTGCCTGTTTTATTTCTGTCAACAACAAATAATACAGACAACAATAGATGGGAAATTTCTGCTTTAAGAGCAGTAATGTTTCACCATAAATTGGATGCTATCTGTGGTAAATTATTCTTCTTTGAGGCTGTATTATTTTCATTAGTGCTACACTTGTAGAAGCTTTTTGTGAAGCTTTGTCACTGTTGTAATTTTGCAGCAAAAATATCAGTTGCATTCAATGTATTTCATCTTAAAAATATATTGAATACTCTGTGGTTAACACAGCAATGGAAACGTACCCAATTGCTTACAATTCTACAGAAATCGCTGACAGAAATCATTGACTGAAATTGCCACACCGTTTTCACTCTTTATCAGTGCCCGAAAGTGATCAAATGACCATTATCTTTTGTAAAGACTGTCAATTCATGTCTGGTGAACATGCAAATAATCATGTCCATGTGATGAAAAAGTAAAAAAATTTCGCAACCTTTTTATACTTGTAAATGTTCTGATGTGATAATGACATTATAGTAGTTGTGACACCGTAACGCTTATTAGAAGGCAAGCAAGGACTTGACCTGTGGACGCATGAGAAACTTATCACCTTCCTTTTCCTTTTCCATTTTGTTACAGGCAATGATTGTGTCACAATTTTGAGTTTTACACAAGATGTATGCTAACTTGAAGCAAATCATGCTACTGAAACCCAACTAATTACTTCTGTATTTATGAGGAGAATTTATCAAATTTTAGGATAATTTGTTTAATTCTGTGAGTACAGAATATGTTAAGTTAGCAGTTCATCTGCCAGTCAGAGATTGAAGTTTAAAAAGAAATGAAAGTAAGTTTTTTCCTTGTAATTCTGAGTTCAGAAACTCACTTAGCAAATGTGTCAGTGTAATGTTGAATGTGCACTTGACAAATACAACAATTTTATCCATGCTTTGAGAAAAAGCATCAACAAAGTTACAGGAAGGGAGAGAATACAGTCATTATTGGTGGCTCTCTTATCATTACAGAACACTTAAATTATTGGTTACACAAAAGGAAACAGTAAACAATAAACAAAAAGGCTATGATGTACTGGTAACTAACCAGTTATGATTAAAGTTGTTTCACAGAGTTATAAACATATTGTTAACATGTTTAAGTGTTAAACGGTTAAGAATACATGAAAGTCATATATTTAAACTGCAAATAAAGATGTGAATGAAAGTGATTCTCGCAGTGATGTGCACTACTTGGGCAGTAGTGAAAATAAGGCCTGAAAAAATTCAGGCCTGTACGGGATTTGATGATGGTTCCAGATAAACCCATGAAGTGATGAATAAACGGTTAAGAATATATGAAAGTCATATATTTGAACTGTGGATAAAGACGTGAATGAAAGTGATCCTCGCAGTGATGTGCACTACTTGGGCAGTAGTGAAAATAAGGCCTGAACCCATGACCAGCTCCCAGTTGGCTTGTTAGCTCAGTTGGTAGAGCGCTGCACCAGTATCGCAGAGGTCATGGGTTCAAATCCTGTACAGGCCTGAATTTTTTTCAGGCCTTATTTTCACCACTGCCCAAGTAGTGCACATCACTGCGAGGATCACTTTCACTCATGTTTGAGTGTTCTTATTTATTGGTAAATAGATTATTGCTGTTTGTTCTTTTTAACCCTTTCAATGTCAAGGTCTCATTGAAAATTCTCCTTGCTGTCTGTCAGACAATTTGTATGCTATTACTATTGATAATTTTTATTCGCATCACTTGTCTGAGTGTTTTACATTGTACAGATATTGTAATGAGAAATTCTGCCTCAGTCACTTACAGGAGTTTAAGGTTAATCAATTGAAATAAAATGAAAGTACTTAAGGTTGATCAAAATAAACTTACCAATGGCTGATGATAGGCCTTGAATGTAAAGAGGAATTATATGCGGAAAACATCTCCTGACAATATAGCAAAGAAAACAGTTCTGTCAAACAAGGCATTTCTCAATAATTGTACACCTGTGAATACTGTATTGTGAACAGCAAAAGGTAATAGTTTGTTGGTATTGCAAGTATCCAGAGCTAGTCTTGTATTTTCATTCATTTGTTTATTTTCATCAAACCTTTCTAATGAATTTTTGGGTGTTATTTATTACATTTATATCTCTGAATCCAAAAGAATATTGTTCAATTAAAATTTAATTTAAGAATTACAGAGAGTTATGACCAATAGGTCACTATAAAGAAAAAAAACATTGCAGAGAAAGAAAATTACAATTAAAGTTATACTATTAAATAAACATGATACAATTTTACACAAAAAAAGGAAAGGGCAACAGCATTGACATTAAACTCACAGTTTTTTAATCCGCATCCAAGTTGACAATATTATGACAAAACCCATCAAATTAACAGCAATAGAAAAGTTTTCAACGACTAGCAAGGCAAATTTTTCTGCTTTTGTCAGCATCACCCATGGGCATGGTGGTTCACACAAATGTGTTTTCTGGTTCAAAATGAGTGGATGACTGCAAGGGTACAGAGGCTGAGTTTGATTACTACAGGAAAGAAAAAAGTGACAAGGTTATCTCAGTGATATGAAAATGTGCACCTACCTTACCTCAAATCTAAATCTGTTTTTACAAACTTTGTGAATGATTGATTGATCTAAAATTGAATTGTTTTTCTGCATACTAGCTATGAAATCCTCTAGCAGAGAAAGCACCCTGATGACAGCTTTCACTTTCCTATGTTGGAGCTTGGTCACAATTCCTTGACCAAGTATCACATGCAGGCTGAGTTTGATGTTTCATTCTTGTCACCCTGTCAACTCTTTACACCCTAGCATCAGTATGCACATTTTACATTCTTTCTCTAAACATTTCTTAAGGCGCTGACGAGGAAAATTTGTTTAACAATCAAGAGCTTATTGCATTGATGACCATTTTCATTATTCTCATAACTTTTATGTATGAATTAGAGGTGATAATGTAAGGAGAAATTATATGCTTTCACACTTAAGGGTCAAAGTTTAAATCCTCCCTCCACAAAAACAAAGTCAGTAATACAGACACTTTCCAAGGAAACAGTGGATTTACTTACCGGTATCTTGTGGATGTGCTAGTGCCAAATTCAAACTTTTTTAATTTATGACTATCATTTCATAATTCACCTCTTTATTGCATGATGGATATTCATGATCATGGTGTTCCCCTTTAAGGTAGCCTTGTGAACATATGTTCATTTTGTTTAGGGGACTACACAGCAATTAACCCAAAAGAAAACCATGAATGTATGAGCTAAGCTACCAGCAAGCTAGATTAACACTTGGTAAGATTTCTACAAAGCCCCATTCTTCAATGTGTACACAGTTCTTGCATAAAAAAAAATCATAGCAAAAATAAAAGGTTGCCTTAATTGCTTCTTCGTTTTAGGATAGTATGGAGCTGAGAGGAAATCCTACATAACACTCAGTTAACTTGCTCAGTAGAGCTTTCATCAAATTCCCTATCATCTTCATTCATCAGTCAGTTGACTGATTTCAAATTATTTGACTTGATTGAGAGGAAAAATTTTTTATTTCTAGTTAACCCTTTAACTCCTAGAAGTGATTAACATAAAACTTCTCCCTACAATATCTATATATTCTTCATCAAACAGGTAATGAGAAGATTCAAACTTATCAGGTAGAAGCTGCTATCTTGATCTGGCACCAAGTTCTCATAACTAATTTACAAGGAAATGTGTAGCAGCTAGAGGGGAGAATTAACAATCAGATCTTGGGAGTTACAGGGTTAAGTTATAAGATTGACTGACTGCATCAAAATCCTTAAAGAATATTTCTTTATATACTAAAAAATCCATCCTATTCTAGAACAAAGCTGTATTCCCAAAGGTATCCTACTGTTTTGTCACTGTCATCCTATACTGAATGCATGCATTATGAATAAATGGGCTGCGCGGAAATCTCCATAAATGCTATACCACTCAGAAAATTTGGAGTCAAAAATCAAAATCAAATCTCTATCAGTTCCCACATTAGACATAAGACCAGAAAATTATCAGCAAAATCTAACCTGATGTTCGGTGAAGGTGGATCCGTAGGAACTGGGAGTTTGTTTGCGTAGAATACGGTGGGAAGCAATGAAACGCCCCATATCAAAAGCAAACAAGGGATTACAACCAAAACCACACGAAAACAACTTCTCTCTTTGAGCACAAGAGGTTTCTGATCGCCAGAGGATGAAAGCGATGTATCTGTTATGTTCTGTTCGTGGACATTTACTAGGCTAGACATTCTGCCTGCACAAAGTCGAAAACAATTCCAAAGCGATCTATTCTTGAATGAAATGTAATCCGTCGATAATAAAATAAGATGAAAATTGAAAAAAAACACCTTATATCTTTTGAATATATTCGATCAAAGCGAGCTTACAAGAGAGAAGCTTGAGCTTCACAGAGAAGCCAGGTGGACTTTAACTCCTGTAATTTGCATCAATTGAGAAGCACAAAGACCACTTTGTACGCCTTCTCGATGAGTGTTTTCTTGGTAATGTAACATGATCTACCAGGATTTTACTGCATGTATCGTTTACCTGACCTTTCCAAATGAAGAATCCCCCAAACATTAATACCACAGAAAATCTGGCATATCACAGAAAACTTAATTTCAGTTTCACATACCTCTGATTAGTCTCAAATACGTCCTAAATCTAAGGATAAACTAAAAGAAGTTACTTAGATTTCTGAGAATTCTGCACCAGTGTGCACCATAACCACTTGCTCAACTTCCGTTGATAAGAGGGAAACTGGAAAGCTAGAATTGGTGATATTTCGTTCAACATAAATGAAGAGAATTTCAAAAAGTTCTTTGGCGCCTTATTTGAACGAAGCGAAGTCAGAAGCAAACACGCTCCAGGAAACGAAAGATATTACTGAGATTTTGAGTTTTCCAGTGGCACCACAAGTCTCAGAAATATGGTGCAAGAGTTTATGATACTGAAGTGTTTTTCCTGTGCAACCTTTCAGGTTCACCAAGTAAGCAGATGTGACTTTTAGAGTCTTAGTTTTTTTCACTCCTTCAGTCCACAAGCTAGTAGGTACATTAGACTATCTTTTATATTTTTTTGGCTGTGATTGTTATTCTGAAGGAAAAGCAGAAAAAGTAGACACATTTCTAAATCCAAAGGTTGGGTAAAACTTTTGCAGTGCATTTGGTTCGACTGTACGAATCTATATTTTACTGAAAATTTGTCAGTAGTACAAGGGAAGACATAATACCCTAGTCTTTAGTGCACCGGAATCCAGCCTTTTTTCGGGGTCGTAAGGGGGTGTTCTTGGAGAGAAACTCACAGTAACTCTCAGATTGCCTCTCTTTACACAGCTGTATACAATAAAAAGGGTTGTGACAAGTTGTCAGGGAGTTGGCTGCAATTAATGAACAAGTATTCAATGTAGGGGAACAGGCAATACTCCTTGTCACTTCACAATGTTACAGTCTGAGCTCTGGTATGAGTTGTGCAAGTCTTTTTTTTGTAACCATCAACAGGTTAAGAAAAGCAACAAGTGGGTTTGCAAAGTATGTGGAGAAAAGCAATCAATTAAAAAAGTTTATGCTCAAGGGACTGGTCTTGACTGCCGTAAGCATGTGCAGAAATTAAATTTGAAACAAGGAGAAGCACAGGAGGCAAGAGATTTGATATCCTGCAATGATGAAAATCCTAATTCTTGTGGCTTCTCTGAAAATACCCCATTGGCTGGCAATGTTAAGATAAACCAAGGTACAAATTGCAACAGCCAGGAAGGTTTCTCCAAAGGAGTAAGCAAATGGGAGAAGTTCTTAGAGATCAGTTCTACTGACCATGATGGTAATTAATGGTTTATTTGATCATGCAGTCTGATTGTACAGGTGAAGGTAGCCCTGAAATGGATTGTTAAGCCTAAGGCTGTCACTTTCACCCATAAACATTCAATTTCAGGACTTTCTCTTCATGGATGATCAGACGACAAGAACTACTGTTTTAAGTACTTCTAGGTTTAGACCTTATACTGGAAGATTTATCCATTGAACCTCATTTAAATGCTTCATTAGTGGTGAGACTTCAACCAAGGTCACCCAAAATTTATTCACTACTCACATGATAGGTTCAAACAACAAATTGAACTTAATGTCATTTTCTGTCTGGTTGCAGGTATGAAAGTTTGAAAGAGATTTTTTGACATTCAAAAAATCCTTAAAATTTACATTTTGACACATTCTCTAATTGCTTTTTCAGGGGGTGATTTGGTCACTGGTAGAAGAACATATAATATAAGAACATATAAGCCATTAGTTGTAGAATGTATTTGTGTTTTATTTAAATTGTCAAGGAGATGGTGATTAATTCAGATATTGAATGTGTGATGCTCCAAGTGGAGACTATAGAAATTGTGAAATCCATGTTGTTGTTGTTATTGTTATTGGTTTTTGGAGTGCCAACCAATGCTTTGTTGTGCTAAACATACTTTTTTTGAATTTTTTTTATACATAAGATTTAGAGGAATTGGACAGTGACGATATAACAACAGAAAGGGATTTGTTTGATAAAGTATATTCAAGAAGAAAGAGAAAGTCATCATGGCAACATTGCAAATCAGGAACTGGCTTCCATGGAAAAAGATCCAAAATAAGTGCAAATGAAGATAGTGTCAGTACATGCTCAGGGTTCAAAACCTCTTTTCCAAATACTCCTTTACATAACTTGACTTCAAACCAAGTTGATGAATTTCAGTCCTATGGCAAACAAGCACAAGCCAATGAGGATTTGGAGTCAAATACCAAAAATAACCCATATAAATGTAACATTTATTTTGCAAAGGCTACCAGAAATCCCTCTCCAACAATGAAAAAGATGAACTCAAGTGCTTTGGTTGACCAGAAACGGAAAGCAATACATTCATCAACATGGAATAGGTTCATGTCTAGTTCCTCATCACAAACTGACATGCATGAAACATGCTCAGAAAATAACTCTCTTTCCTTTGAGCCACACAGAAATAATTGTCAAATTAATAGTGAAAGCTATCCTAGCCAAGTTAATAATTTTATGAAATCTGCTGCAGCTATGAATGCAGCAGATAATCAGTCATCGTCTTCTCAGTTTGTTCAAGATTTCTTTAAGGTGGATGATGAATTAGATGATAACTGGTGGAACTCACTGTAACTTAAAGGAAGAAATTTAGATGTTTTAACCTTGCTGTGCTACATATTTATTTGTAAGTCTTCAATGTCAGAATGGTATACTTAATGTAATCATTAAATGATTAATAATGGTAATTGAACTGAGTGGAGTGCTCATCGAACAAGTGCACAGCGCAAGTTCAATTCGAAATCACAAGTATGATTTCAGACCAAAATTGCACGACACTAGGTTCAATCACCACTTTATTACGTCCATTTTGAAATCACACAAATACAGGACTTGGGCAGTTCAAATATTTTATTGATGCAGTACTGAGCCAGTTTGAAATTGAATCAATCCATCTTGCAAAATTTGCCATATGATATTCTTTATCTTTCATTTTCCTGCAATTTGATTGGTTACTTTAAACAAGCCTTGAAATCTGGTTGGTTGTTTTGTTTTTTGTGTAGCCTTCTCACTGGCTGGGAAAAAGATGCGATTTAAAGCAAAAAATGGTGCGGTTCGTGAATAAATCAAACCAAATAGAGCCAATCAGATTACAGGGACTACCAGTGATTTCAAAATGGGAGTAATAAAGGAAGAAATTCATCTCTCCTGTGAGTACATTTCACATAACCTAAATTCAAATTACCTAAATAATCAGTATTAGATATAGGAGAAGGATCTAGGGGGGTCCATAATCCCCCTGACCCAGACATTAAAACCTTTTGCGGTAAAATTTCCGCACAGCCCCATACTATATTATGCATTCAGTTCTTGGATAGAGAAAACAATGACAAAAACAATAGATTGCCATTGGGAAAACAGATTTGTTTTACAATAGTCTGGGGCTGTGCGGAAATTTTACCCCTTTTGCAACCACAAGGTCACACGTTTGTCCTTGTTATAAAGTATACTAAATTTACTTGCCTCCCATTATTGTTTAGCTTGTGTGTGTTTTCTGGATCAAAGTTTGGACCCTCCCCCCATCCTAGATTCCTGCCCCTGCCCTTAAAATTTGTGTAAGCATAATGGTTTTCCAAACCCGAAGATAAGCCTAGTCTCCATCACAGAAAGTTGTCTGGTCTTGTCACACAACACGCCCGGGAGAGAGAGCGTGTTTCGTAACAAGAGTTTTTTCGCGTAAACTGACTTTTACATTCATATGCAATATTCTCAAATTTTTCGATCCAACAAGGCCAGTCACAAATAATTGCTACGTCATTTTAAGCTGTGAGCCCTGTTTTCTAACGATTTAAGTGGAAACAAAGGAAGAAAACAGCTTTCAGAATTAAAGAAGTACAAAGTACATGATCGTGTACATCGCCCTCTTTGTATGTAAGTTGGAGATAACTTTGCGCGAGTTCACTGGGCACTAGAAATTCATCCGGGAGATTTACTCTAATCAACCAACATGGCGGCTATGTTGAGAGGCTGTCGCATGTTAGAAAGTGTGCCATTCTTGGTGAGTAAAGTGGACAAAGAACCGTCAAAATTGTTGTTCGTCATATGAATCTCATGTTGTTTTCTTTTTTGACAAAATTATTTCGTCCTTGGTCTATGACAGGCTCGAAGTCTGAGTGTCTCGTCTGCCCGATGTGCTGAGCTAGCCGCTAAGGTAAATTTACTAGCACTACATGTTCATATATGTTTACAAGCTTCTGTTGGTTCTGAATAGTGAATTTCTTGACAAAAAACTGAGTATTACTAACTTGAAATGAACACAGCCCCCGTAAAACGATGATCTGTTTACATAATTTGTGGTTGAATCGTTATTTACGATAGTATATTACATGCTTCTTTTTACGTGACTTCGTAGATATTCTTAAGATTTAGACTGATTTAGATGACGAAGTATCGTGAAGCTTTTTCGTGGTTTGCATTTTGTGTTGTTTTAAATCTTTAATAATAGACTAAAAGTAATGGGTAAAATTAGTGATGTGCATGGGATTCGTGTTTTCTTAAGATAAACAAATACAGTAATTTGGCTCTGTGAGAAAGGTCAATTTGTATCACTTTGTGGCTGATCAAACTTGAAAATGATTATAGTGCAGGGGGAAAGAAATAACCAGTCATTCAGAAAAGTCATGACAGTGTAGCAGTAGATGTTAAATTTACTTGCTTGTTGAAACTCTAGCAATCTGTACTAATGAAAAACTTTATGAGATTTGAAGTGTCACCATTACCACCAATGATCATTTGAGACTGAGGTCAAGAGTGACATGATAGCACCCAAACCCTGAAATTGCCAGGCATCCAAACTAATATGTAGAATATTTTGACTTAAAGAACTGATTGTGAAATGAGGGACTCAATCTGGATAGGTAATCCTTAATGAATAATATGCCTGAATTTTAACACAATGATGTCTTGGAAATTAACTTGCATCTTTTCTCTGTTCCCCTCTCAAACCAGTAGAAATGTAGGGTAATGTAAGATTTAGAAATATAATAGTATTGTTGTCCTGTGTAAATTTTGATCATTGTAAAATACAATTTGTTTCTCTTACAGCCTCCTATACAAGTGTTTGGTGTAGAAGGCCGCTATGCACATGCTTTGTACTCTGCTGCAGCTAAACAAAAGCATTTGGAGAAGGTTGAGAGTGAATTACTGAATGTCGATGAGCTTATAAGTACAAATGAAAAACTCTCTGAATATCTTGCAAATCCAACTTTGGACAAGTACAAGAAACAATGTAAGGGTTGACATGCTAATCTGTATCAATGGTATCAGTTTATACAGTCCAGTCTTAACTAAAAGTAAACACTATTTGGTCTTGTTAACAAAGAGTCATATCAATTTAAAAAGGGAAGATTTCTGCCTAAAATTTGCTTTTCAACCTATGTGTGATATCAGGGAGTTTAACTCTGAGCAATGAACTGTTTAATGTGGTGAAAAGGTCATTTGGCCTCTTTTCATTATTGTTTCCTGTTTTGCAATGTAGTTAGACAAGTTCATACTGGTACCCACTTTTACACTTGCCTATTTGTTGCTTGACAAAAAGAAAGAACATGTTATCTGAATTCTTTACTGTTAAAACCTTGATTGGCGAGTTTGACAACCAGTACAATTTTTTTAAGTTTTGATGTTTTAGAATTTTTTTATTAGTTTAAAGAAGCTAAAGAAGATTGTCATTTTTCACTGATATACAATGGTTAGTCTTAATTTGATTTTGGCTCTGACTTTCTTCCTTTAGCACTTCTTACTGATGTGTTGAAATCACAAAAATATACTGATATTACAGTGAACCTTTTTGGTGAGTTTTCTTGTTTTTAAATTTCCTATTCCTTCATGTTATCCTCTTAAGTGAAATTGCATTAATTGTTGCTTTTAGATCTCCCATGTTTACTTCTAGCTTGAGGGTTAGAATACATGTATTATGTTTTTTTCTTTTAATTTTTTATTTTGCAAAATTACAAGATTACAATACTACATGACTAAAATGCTAGTATACTACATCACTAAAATGCTACGATACTACAAGAAATTACACAAAAAATTACTTAATTACAATACCAGCATAAAGACCACACCCAAAATAAAAAAAAATTACAGTATTAATTCCCCTAATTGTACAAAATTACAGCATAGCTGTGAAAATGCTAGTAATATTGAGACATACGTGTAAGCAAGTGTTTGTCAAGCAAGTATTTGCATTAGTAAATCCAATAACACTCTTGTTTTGGGTTTCTTTTTACAGCAATATTGGCAGAAAACAACCGCCTTGGTTTAGTCCATAATGTAGTTTCTGCATTTGGCAAACTTATGAGTGCAGCCAGAGGTGAAGTGTTGTGTTCCATAACAACTGCCAAGGTTTGTTTTAGTTCTTCAGAAGTATATTTGATTACCTGCTATATTATTATTACAAAGCAATATTATGACATGTAATCCCCTACAAGTGTATTTGTTTTTAATGCAGAGTTACTATGAAGGGAGTTCCTACAAAGTACCAGTATAGTGTTGCTTTGTACTTTTACAGTCTTTCTCTCCATATCCTAAAGCCCATTATCTTTCAATTAGGGAAGTGTGAAACCTTCAACTTTTTTTTTTACAATTTCAGTGCTTGATTGATATTGTGTACAGAGTTGAGGGAAGATAAACTTGATGATTTATACCAAATGAGTTCCTGCTCCTGATCAGTTTCTTATGTTCCATTATCATGACAAGATAAATTTGATGTGTAGTTTGTGTGTAAGGTTTTACTCAGAACCCATTCATGGGTCTGATTTATAGTTTATCACTGCAATGGTTATTTCATATCTTGAAATTAATTTTTGATTACACACAAATTTACACATGTATTACATCTTTGTAACTATTACATCTGTGGTCAGTTAAGTCTCCCCTGTTTTTTGTATGAATTGCAGTTATAATGAATATTGGGAAGTGTGTTCAGTATAGTGTTGAGCATCTGTACATGTGAGTGTTACAGAAGTAACACTCATGAAGTTGAATTTGAGTAATGACTTCATCTCTTTCAGTTCCAAGAGCTGTACATTACTTGAATGTACATTTTATTCTAGTGAAGGAATTACGGAATGTCTTTCTTTTTTTGGTTTTCTTCCAACTTAAATTAATACTGTTTTTTGGATCGCAGTAGTAAAAACATAAATAAGAGTCAAGTTAACTAATTAAGATAAACAAACTAGAAACAAAAAATGAATCCAAAGGAAAAAAATACATTGTCCTTACACTGATAAGGCTCAATATATAATTGTAAAAAATCGACTTCTAATAACAGAATTATACCAAGCAAGACTTTAAGTAAACTGACTTGAAAAGGGATTATGTTTAAAACAAACTGGCTTTTAATACAAGAGGACTGCAAAATAGCTTGGGGTATGATAAACATGCAAAAAAGTGTAACTGACGAAGACAAATGCTAACAAACTTAACCCTTTAACCCCCAAAAGTGATTATCATGGAACTTCTCCCTATAATATCTGTTCACTATTCATCCAATACCCAAACTTATCTGATCAGAGTTGCTATCTTAATCTAACACCAAATTCTTGTAACTTATTTACAAAGAAATGTGTAGCAGCTATAGGGGAGAACTAACAATTGGATCTTGGGAGTTAAAGGGTTAACAGAAACACTAACAAGGAGGTATGAAAAGAAAAGAATGTAATAAATAAATACAAATTACATAAAAAATAACTATCAAGCACTTAGATCTTACAAGTAATGTGTACATGTGATTACTGCTTTGCTTTCTCAGGAATTGGATTCTTCTCAATTGAAAGAGTTGCAAGCAGCATTGAAAGGTTTTGTACAAAAGAATGAAACTCTTAAGATTGAAACTAAGGTGAGTAAACCACCACTGGCTTTCTTTTCATCCTAGTTGAGTGGTCTTTTATACTACATTTCTAGTGCGCACTTGCTGTAATCTCTCCATTTAGCACTTTTTTGGCTTACTTTCCTCCAGACACTCTTAAGAGTTACTGGAACTTGTAAGAGAGAGAGAGGGTTGGGGAGGGAGGTGGCTGGCTGGGGGGAAGCTTGAGAGGATATATAAAGTTAGTCAATATTGTTTTTTGAGGTAGCATTATAACCAACAACATTTAATATTTGCTCTTCTGGGTCACTACAAACATAACCTAATTTGAAGTGGACTTTTTGACCAAAGAGATGTCTTCAGGCATCCTGTTTTTCATTTAAGAGCATGACTTTAAGCTTATGGACTGAGGCTAAAATTGCCACATGGATAGGATCACTGTAACATTTAGAGCTTATTAGCGTTGCTCAGGGGTCTGCTAACTTGTTACCTCCTATAGATCGACCCTTCAGTGATTGGAGGAATGGTTGTGGAAATTGGTGACAAACGCATAGACATGTCCATGGCCACAAAGATAAAGAACATCACAAATTCACTGCGAGAAAGTGTCTAATATTTTTGGAGTTGTAAGTTCTGAGATTTCCCAAGTTGTTCAATAAAGGTTCAATTGTTTGATGACTAAAAATTAATTTGATTGTAATGATTTAATAAGTTGTGAAATATCTGCTCTTTGGATGTAGTGTAGTTGAATATATATGAATGTTGAGAATCTTTTTAACTCTCAAGAATGCATTTACCCCCAAGTGTGATTTTCCTCATTGGGAAATAAATGGATGAGAAATTCTTCTGTTGATTAATTATAAGAATTTACTTTGGGATCAAATTGTCTGGTTTCAGTGCTCAAGCGTGGTTTTTTTTAAAGAATTGGTTGCAATATCAGTAAGATTATGCATGGGGGTGGGAGAGGGAGGGGGTTTGATTCAGTAACTAGGATGTCCTGATAAAATGCATACAATAAAGTTTCTTTTACATTATCTTTTTTTTGTATTTGAAAATGTTGTGCAGTTGTATTTTTTCACACCTGATTAAAACCTGATGTTAATGTGCACCTTCCTTAACTTAACAGTAAATAGCGACTACTCACTTGCTGAAGCCGTCACCAAGAATCTGGCAAATTCTATATTCATCAGTTAAAAAGGTTTAACTATCCACCACACCCCATATATTCTCTATGAAAATTATATCTCACTCCCCACATAAAAATTTTAATATTTTGTGACTGTTAAGGGCCATGTAAAGGTAGGGAATTTTGTCCTCTATTTATCAAATGCATACCACTTTTCCATGTGTTTTGTCAGTTTTAAGGCACACATGTTATTAAGAACTGATAAGAATGAGCAACTACTAAGAACATTGTTTAATTTTTTAAAATTACACAATAAAAATACAATGTTATTCAAATGCCAAGCACTATGTATTGCTTTGTAAAATTGTATTTAACATTCTATTTTTAAAATATCTGAAATGATTTAAAACTTGTGACAGATAGTTGCCACACACAATTAAGGATGCATATGCTCCATTTCACAAATGTGGTCTACTTCTGTCTTGCAAAGACAAACTTTTCTTTCATTTGATTATTTACAAGTTATAAAATTCTCTTTTATATCACAAAAGGGTTAAAATTTAAACTCCATTGCATTTCTCTAAGTTGCAGTTCTCTTACTGTTTAGACCGTAGTTGCATTGTTAAGTTACAATGAACTCAAAATGGCAGAAGAAAATTTTTAAAACTTTTAAAACTAGGAAACCTTCTCTTGCTGTTTGAGAATGTGGAGTCCAACTAAGGAAATGGAGCTAGTTTAGAGCACTGCATTCTTGCAGCATCTAATTAAGATTTTTGCTCTCATTATTTACTTCTATTTTTGTTGTCATAAAAGGCAATATTTTCATCAAATTTGATTGGTCCAGATCCACAACCAGCATAAAAATAAAGGGGTACGAGGAATTTTTTTTTCAATTGCTTTGAATTAATTGGGTTGAAGAAAGATGATTGGTTAAAATTGTTGACTAAACTATATCTTATTGGTTAAAAACATACTGTAACTATCAGTTGAAAGAATTAAAGCAAACATTTATGAGGAAATCCCCTATAAAAGTGAACTAAAACACTGTCCATGTACCATACCAAAGTATGATCAGACTCAATCTGTAATGATCAACTAAATTTCCTTAGCACAACAAGCAGATATAGCTCTTTTAGTTATGAACTCATCTTCCATCAACCAGAGGTGAAAACGAACCTGTTGCAAGAAATTTCTAAAGCTGCTGTGCTTAGCAAGGGGAAAGTCTCTCTCCATTCGTGTATCATCATGCAAAACTTCCTTGTTTTCTTTGCCTGATCGAAATGGGCCATATGCATGCACTTGTAGCTCATATTTTGCAACATAGTGCCTCAACACGATGTAGTGTTTTAGCCAGTCATCAGCACAGTAACGGATTGTGCGGGGGTCAGTTAGTATTTTGCGTTGTCTGTCAGTAAGTGTGGACTCCATCTCTTGTAAGGTTTTCTTTAGTTTTCCTGTTACAAGAATTAAACAAGTACAAATTTATTGATACTGTCATTTCTATTACATTGTATTTCATTGTAAGAGCACAGTAAAGGATCAGTTTCTTAAAATTTATGACAAAAAGAAATCTTATAGTTTGTTGAAAATTGACTAGCAGTAGCATTCTCATATTTAAAAACTTTAAGGGTTTTTTTATGCTAGACTGCTATTCCCAGGGTAAGAGTTTGTACTGTTTAGTGAGGAAGGTGGCTAACCAAGTGATGGAGTTTTTTTCGGCCCTTATTTACCTTCAGACATTGTCTCTGTCTCAATTTCAAACTCACAGTTAAATTACTATAGGGATAAAGCCTTCCAGTGCATGATTTTCCAGCAAATATACTACACTTCTTGATTGTTAAATGAACTTCAACAGTTTTGTTCTTATTCTAATGATTTACTATAAATAACTCATTCTTACTTATGTTGTAACCAATGTTATAATTGTTCTCCAGAGCTTCACCACTTGTACCAGTTGTAGATAGTGAGACTTCTGCAAAAAGTTAAAGAAAAAACAAGTGATTTAGGGGAAAAAACAAGACATTATGCAAGTGGAGACCAGATAGAGAACTTGTCTTATTAAAATTTTGAGAAGAAATGTACATGTAAACCATATAACTTTACTCTAATTAAACTGTATAGTACATCTTTGATGTATTTTAATTCCTATTAAGGAATTGTCTATAGATAGGAAAAGGTGAAGAACCATTCATGCTAACCTCTGGCAAGAGGACCTACGAGAAACTTTCTTGTAGTTGTGGAGTGATTATGAATGTAAAAGTTTGTCTTTATCTCAGCTAATTTAAAAGTCACTGTGTTTAATAGTTAAGGGTACCCATTTGGTCATTTGGTGTTGCCAAAGAAGTAGAGTTTCTTGTAGTTACTTGTAAGTTTTCAAAGAAATCATCTTGTGCTGTTTTGGCAGACCAGTGAAACATGTAGTTGACCATCAACTTGAGTTACTTTAGTTGCTCAAAAGCCTAGTTATCCAAAATTCACAAAGGCAGTTTGTTAACCTTTATCAGTTATGCATTTAACTTTTTCATTTTTGTGGAGCTCTGTAAACGTGAGAGTGCATGTATGGTCAGGGAAAGAGAGACTTGATGTCTTCAAGGGTGTGAAGCTGACTGGATTGTCTGTTGGTATTTTGTAAGATAAAGGAAATGTTATTTTTGAGAAGTACTCTGTACATCACCTCTTGGATTTTAAGAAAAAGCTTTGGTTGTTACTGTAGCATTTTCCAAAAATAGTTATTTTCCAGTTTAGATTATGTTTCTCTTTGTCATTATTCTCACCATGTTTCAGTTTGACATTTCATTGATGTCAAAAGGCAACATTTGAGTAAGTAGAAAACTCTTCAGCTGTTTTTGTTGTCACACATATATTGTATACCTACCAGGTATCACTGAATCTTTGGGAAGATAATCAGCCCCACCTGTGCCAATGTAGTCCAATGCTGGGTCCCCTGTTGAGGTCAGAATAACCTATCATTAATATTTATTAGTCACATTGATCACATGATCACATGGTCAATTTTGAGTCAAGATGAGATTTATGGGTTGGGATAAATCAATGAATTTTGACCTCTCCCCCTCCCTCCTTGCCCATGGGTTCACAGTTCGTTGAGAATTAATATTTGATCTTGTCAGTTTGAGAATTTTTGTTTCAGGAAGGCATGATGGGAGGGGAATCCAAATCTCCTGGCTGAACCCTTCCTCTCAATCTGCCACTGAGCATAAATGAGGGTAGCCAAATTAAGACTCAAAGTTTGAAAGTTTTCAAATAAACTGTTGAGTCTCTTTACTACAGCACTTACTTTCCATACTCGATAACAAATGCGTACCATATTGTAATGACTTTTTAACCAATATCTTCAATACTTTCCATTCCTTTGGACTATATCCAAGAGTGAAACAAACTCGTAGGATCAATAGGGGAAGAAGCCTTGGTGATGCCATAAGCTGTTAGAAAAGTACACCCAGTTAAAAAGAGAAATTAGAGTGAGAAACAAAGGCTTAATGGCCCTGAGTGCACTTAAATGTGGGATGTAAGGTTGGGTTTCAATTCAGTTGGCTGGGTCACTGTGTCAAGTTACTACCACCTTACTAGCCTGCAGAACAGGTGAAATTTGTTTACAATTTTCAGGCGAATGGAGACAAACAGGGTTTAATTTTTTTTTTTTTTGCACTCCTCTTAACCTGACTCGCACTTTATGCTCAGCTAGCGTTTGCCTCTGTTGGCCTGAGAATTGTCAAAAATAATTACATTTTTTCTGCTGGGTATCACCTCACCAAACAAATTGCAACAACATAATCCAAGTGTGATTACCTCATCAATGGTTCCGAAGATAGCTTGTGCCATGAAAATCAATAACGTCTTGGGAAAACCATAAGTCTTACATATTATATCACAACTCATCCAGTGGTTGGTCTGATTAACACGTGGTGGAATCTTGGCTGTAAGGAGTTGATTTTAAACTTTTAAAAATTGACTAGTTATCAGTGGGAATAATACTTCATTATTGAAGCTTTCCAAATGTGATAAGTTTGCTACCCAATTTATGACTGTTTCAGGTTGCTCTCATTCACCCTCTCATATTTCTTTGTGAGAGGGTACAGAGGTTTCAAGCACTTTCTCAATTTCAAACTGACAGCTTGTTTGTTTTAATTATTTCAAGAATAGTTTGAATGATATAGTGAAGTCTACCAAATTAGGCCTACCACACAACAAATTACAGCTAGTGAGCAAGCTCTAACTGGTGCTGTGGCATGACTGGGGCAGCAATAAGTGATGTAAAAGCTGATAAGAGAAGGAGGGCTGGGATTAAAATGTTTTTGCTACTCAACATGCTATGAGCACTGATGGTGGCCTATTCTCTGGCTACCTAAGTAATTATGCCACTTACGTTCAAAGCTATGACTGATTGCTTGACAGAGGCACAAAACTAATGTCCACAAGACAGGATTGAAGTACCAGTACATCAGCTGGAATGCATTATAGTATTTCACATGGTTTGACAGGTGATTTGTATGATTCCAACAAGTTTCACAGTTCAAGCTCTGCGGTGCAGAATTCTTCACTGCCATTTGAAAAGTGATGTTTGCAAGAATGTACATGACAGCCAAAGGCACAATCATGAAAAACTAAAAGAAGCAAATTAAAGGAAAATTATTATTTTGGCAGGGGAAATTAAGAGGGATTTAGACAATGGTATAAATGTGGTTAAAAAATTAATGCAACACATACAATGACAGAAGTTTTGTGATTCCTGATGGATTTTAAAAATGATCTTGCCCCGGAGATTTATGATTATAAACTAAATGAGGCATGATGCTTCCAGTCACAGGGCCAGTTGGGCTAACCTTTAACACTGTAACATTGGTATTCATGTTCTCCATACTGTACTCTGTACATTAACTAAGGTGCTGAAAAGGAGAATTTGTCTAAGAATCAAGAGTTTCTTTAGTTAATTTCCTCTGTTCTCATCACATTAATGTGTGATTCAGTGGTTATATTGTAAGGAGAAATTAGATGCTAGTCACTCTTAATGGTTTAGGGTTAACACTTGAGAACCAGAAGCTGTATGGTGTCCATGCTCTTCCTATTGGGGAGGAACAAAGGAGCAAAGACCTGACATGTGAGGGCTGCAAAATCAAGCCTAGTTTAAGAACTCCAAAAAAAGGTCAACACTTTGGCATCTTTAGATTAATGAATAACCCTAACATTAAATTTCATTTACATCAAAGTCCACTGAAGAGAATATCAATTGTCGATATTCTCTTGTGAAGGTTTAATTCTATCACTTCAAGGATCTCATCAGGTATTCTTTTTACGGTCTGCCATATGATCCTTATGATGTTAGTTTGGAGAATTTGATATTGGATTGACTCTTAATCCCTTAATTGATATTTTTCTTTATTCTCATCACTTGTTGGTTTGATACTTTTAATATTGTAAGCAAAAATTATATCTTGGTGAGTCATGGGAGTTAAAGGGTTAATGAATTTTATGAAGACTACATACCCCCATACAAGGTGTTCTTTGGATAAGACCCCACAAACAATACCAGAAGAGAAGAAAGAAAGCAAAGACAGCAGCTCCATTCCAAACAAGCACTTCAGTGTTGGCTAATGTGTAGCAGTCACGATCAAATCTCCACTGGGCGAAGAAACATAGCATCATCATAACAATCAGTGGCTAGGAGAAAAAATGTATGAACAGAAATGTCACTCTTTAAATGGGCTCATTGAAAGTTATACACAACTTAAAACCTGAAAACCTTGCCGAGACAATGTTAACTCCCTTTAAGACCTCTTGGATAGGTGACGCTTAGTAACCTAACACCAGGAACTTAGAAAAAAAATCCAAGAAGTTCAGTTCAATGGATCCCACTGGGAAAATGCTTAATTTCCTTTTCTGCCTGTTGTTTGCAAAGTGACACATATGGTCTATTGATTAAATGATAACCATGTAGCCATATAAATTGGGTGAGTAGCAACCATGCGCCCATGATTTGGGCATGTAAAGACCTAATCTTGATTTTTCTACAAGCTTGTGGAAAATAATACTGGCCTTGACTTCTTGGAAAAAACATAACAAAAACAGAGGTGCTCAATTCATACTGGCCAATACTGGGTCTTAAATTACACAGAATTATTTACACCAGAATTTTGGTAATGTGATTAACATGTATTCATAATTAGAGTGTATGTGATAGCCATAATTACAGCTACAATTAAACCAAACCTAGAATTACAATCAAAGTAAGCTAGAGCCATTCCACAGTTACCAGTTAATGAAAAGAGGAATGGCACTACATATTGTTGGAGTCTGTAGGACAAGTCCATATTAATCTAATGCAAGACACTATACTTTTTTAAAACCTACCATGAATAAATAGTGTCCAAGCTTTGTTTTAAATCTTAGGTGAAATATTTCAACAAGGTACAGTTGATAGTACAGACTTAAACCAGTTACATTGGTTAATGGTGCCACAAAGAACATGGCCAAAAATCTTGTGAACCAGTTTTCTGAACGCAGGATTGGATCACAGCAAGGCCGCCAACAAGACATCTCCCAGGAATCTGGCCAGTAACGTTTGGCACGTGGTGGTTGCTATGAAAACAAAGGAGATCTGTAAGTAAGTTTAAAGATATACTGTTTTTATTACTGACTTGATCTTAAATTGATCTGTAACTCTCTTATTGATATGACATTTTCAATCATGAAATATGGTTGAGGTATATGAACTAGACTTTTAAAAGGGAAAGAAGATGATGACTTAATCAATTCAGTAAGTTTTCTTTTCTGCAGGATCACTGATGTAAAATTAAGAGCAAGATGTTTTGGTCACTTAAATGTCGAAAGAATCTGCAAGACTTATTGTCAGGTAAATATCTAAAGAAAACATTTGTGAGGCATAATGCAAAAAATAGAAGAGGAGAGACCAATTTCTCCTATTCTATTTACAAACATGACGCTATTGACATTGCTGATCCTTGCAGTATGCAGGACGCATGTCATATGAACTTTGTAATAGACCTCACTCACTGAAGAGTCTCTGTGGCTCAGTGGTAAAGTATTGGAGCATGGAATCTGAAGGTCTGAGGTTCAATTCTTTATGGGAACTCAGAATTTTTTCTTTCTCCCACACTTGTGACAAGACAACAAACATCTTTCTCCACATATAGAGAAGTTCTGATATTTACCCCTAGCAGAGGGTCCAGTTCATGTGTTGCACTTAAATACTCTAGACTACCACTTGTTCCAGCTTCAGCATCTACTTGATCCATTGGTCCCTCTATAACTGCAGATTCTCTGGCTCTGTGTCGTGCCATGGAACCATATGTCCCTTCAACCAGTCTTGTTGATGTACGACGCTGAATATCATCTCTTATTTCCCCGTTATGTACTATTAATTCATCCCATATTGGATCTGAAAATTTCATAATTTACAGTTTTTTGTATGTTCTACCCATTAATTGCAAAAGTAGTTGCCATGTGCTACACAAATAGTAGCTGTGATGGCTGAAATCTACACTTCTTCTTTCATCTTTCGAGGTCAAAGTAGCTGGATAGTAATAGGAACAGGGAGAATTACATTCATTGTCAATTTCAGAAAACAAATTCCTCCACACCTCATCACTATACTTATAATAACAGCCAAAGTTTTTTGATAGCTGATGGGTACTTACGATTGTAGACTCTGTGACTGGCATCATATTCATGATCTTGTTCAGTAATTACGCCCAAATACTGACCCTCACTGTCACAGTATGGTATAGTAAATTTCACCAACCCACCAGGCTCTCTTAGAATGTCATCTGTCATTAAAAGTTTTACTTCTGAGCGGTAACTTGTACAATTTTCCTCTTTTGGTTTTATCCTTTTCAAGAAAGCTTGGAGTCCTGCAAACTTTATCTGCAACAAAAATTTTAAGAATCATTCTACCAGTGAGCAGGGGAAGCTACAAATTCTAAAATAACGAAGTAATCATGGTTATAATATTGCTGATGATAATAATGATACATGAAGGTGGGGTGCCTAAGATAAAACAGGCTGGCTCATCCTAGGTGGGTTAATGTGGAGGAATTAGGCCTGACCATTTTTTCACAAATCAGATTAAATATGTCAATGGATAGTGATTTAAGTGTGTAGTCTACCACTGAGTTACTGTAAAATAATATAATAAAAACATGAACCTGCCTTCTTGTTAGGTTTTGAATGAGTAGTAGATTTAAACTAAAAATAGGAAATAATTATTTTCTCTTGATTTCCATGCATGAGAGCTGACTTGTGTCTTGCTTTTATCAACCAACACCCAATAGAAATCTTCAGCTTTTAATCATAAAAAAAGAAATGAAATCACTTTTCAACCTTAAATGCTGCACTCATGTCATAGAAAGTAATGGTTTATGGTAGAAAAGGTATCATAGTCTATGGGGTCATAAAATACCATTTGGTTGTCATCCAACTAAAGAAGCTGTTGGACAATTACTGCCTGTTGGTTGGGTGTTTTAGGTTTTGTCCTTGTGGGTATATTAATGACTAGAATTTTTTTGGAAGACCACCTTCAACATGTAGTAAAATTTTTGTTAACTCTAGAACACCAGGTTTGACAAAGACTTCTTAAGTCTCACCTCATATTGTGTATCCTTCTCACCATGGTGACGCTGATCAGGCCACTGTGGTCCTGCAGTAGCCCCACCTAAAGAGTGAGCCTGATTTCTGCGAGGGAGTGGCTTAAAATTTTTGCCAAAATCAACAAAAAGGACAATTTTATCTCCAATATCAGCAAAGTTGGGAAAGTGATTTCCTGATGAACACATTCGTACCAGTGGCTTGTTCCGATGTTCAGGAGGTTGGTGCTGTGGTGCAGTGCAGCAGCAACTTCCCATTGTCACACCTCTTTCTTGAAGACACTATCTATTGATGACACACTTCACTTTATCTCTACTGATAACTAAGGATGGTACCAGTTACATTGTACAGAGGAGGATGGAGTAATATATGTATTTTTTACTATGCAGAGGGGAAATATAGGAGGCCTTGTTGACTGTATGATTAATTTAGTACGTTAATGTTGAACAACACTAGAGCTCATCGCTCCTCATGTTAAATGTGCAATTTGTTGCACTTTGCAACTTGTGGAAGACTAGTCACAATCGCTTCCAACTTTTAAAGGACGATTTGAGTATGAATAAGTAATTTAATAGGAAAATGTTATTTTTTTCCGGTTTGGAGGTAAAGAGATAAAATGTGACGGAGAAAAATTGATTAGGAAGATAAAAATAAATATCGCAATGATCTCTTTCCACTATTTCCACTATCATGTTCGATAACCGGTCGCTTTTGGAAAATGGGTCCATAACGAACTCGACAAACGTGTCTGCGGCATAATTGTGGAAAGCGGAAGCAAATAACTGCGCATTCGTCCATCCATATCGGTCAGCTTCAAAATTTTGCTTACGTAGTCAACTTCGGATATCGGTTTAAACACGTACCCTTCGATTTCTTGGGTGATGAACAAAACACAGACCCTAAGTCCATGGACTACCCCGATGGACTACTAGATTTGGACTAGCCCCGCAATGACAATGTATTATGGAAATGCTACTGAACTAGTCGTTTTAATGCAACAGAGGAGAAACCGTCTGCTTTGCGAATTTCTCTTAAAATAAAGATTGACCCTTTTTCATCGTAGGAAACTGAAACTTATGGTAAATGGACAATAACATGTGTTTGATGGCCGAGGCCAAGCATCGAAAATTGCATCATAATTAATAATCAAGGGGTCCACTTAAAAATTCACCACGGATTATTTGGATGTGCTTTCCATTTTAACAAACCTTTGAATGGACTTTTAAACGAAGATTTTACTTTAGAAGAAGGGCTGTGGGATAGTTTGTGGAGAAAAGATGTCAATAGAGCACGCAATTCTACAGAACGAAAATGTTGCACAAATCTTGATCCCGTTAAATCAAAATTCGTTTGCACAGTATTCTCACCTTAAAAGTTGACCCGCTGGAAAATCTTGCTTAGCGCACTGCGCTGAGTAGTTTTCCCTCTTGATTCGATACACACGATTGATGAAGTATTGTCTAATGTAATGGAACTTTATACCACGCGGTAATGCTATTATTATGATTCTTCATGGAAAGACAGGAAGACGTATCGCATTACGAGATTACTACGCCATTCACAAGGAGTCATATGATCTCTCATGTGACGGAATTTATTCCGGATTCCTGTTTCTGGGAAGATCTCGGAATTAAGAAGAACAACAAGTAATGCTCTCGCCTAAATTAAAGATGCATTCCGTGGAAGTGAAAATTTAAATCCAGTCTTTTTTAATGATACGAAACTTCGTGGAGGTTTACAATGACGAGAAAAATATCTTCTTTAGAGAAGTGCGTATCAATTTCCGCACGAACTTAACGCAGGGGATTCCCCAAGTTTTGCGTATGGTTCCAAACTCATTACCACAAATCAGTTCGAGATGGAATGAGTCACTACTTTATCACGAGTTCATTATGAAACTGCAATTGATTTAAAAGCAGTTTTATGCATTTAGGCATATATTTTTAGGAAAGTTGCTAAATGTGACCCGATGGGTTACCCAGTAGCAGTCACGCAAGAAGTAACTTTGTGCATGGAGAAAGAAACAGTAAAACGCATTTTTCTTTTTTTTAAACGAAGTATTTCAGGGCTTTCAATAACAACCTTCTCGTCACTCTTCATTAACCTCTGCTGACTCATTTTCCTGAGCTGGAGGCTGGTCAAACATCACAGATGACAGTTATTGGCCTATGTACTTTAATGTTCCTCAATAACATCAAAGTACGTAAGCCAATAAACTTAAGTTTAATTTAGAACAGTAAGGCCTTTGCACTTTTATTCATTTCTTTTTTTCTTGTATTTGTTAACTCAAACAATGACATGCTCTGACAATTCACACCCTCCTTTCTTCACCTTTAGACCGTTTCGTGACTTAAGTTCTATTCAGTTAAAGTGACGCTGGGGATTCCCGAGGTTTGCTGATGCAAGACGCATTTTCCCCAAACAAATAGAAACTGAATTGATCATTGTTATATCACGAGTTCATGTTTGAAATAGTTCTGGTTTGAAGATGAGGCTCTTACATCATTGTATACACGAAGGGAAAAAGACGTATGATATGATTCCTGAGCGATATCGTGAAAAACGCGTCTTCTTCAGTTTGAGGAGAGTTTCGCATGCTGTTTTAAAAAAAGGATTTTATTCGGAGGTTCGTCTGTTCTATTATTCGCCATTCTTTTTTATATTTTACTTTAACTTTGGCCCTTGTGCAACTCTGGCAAAATCATCTTGTTCTGTCAAGTGCTTCTCATCGGGGTTAACCGTTAGCCTTAAAACAGCAAACCAAAGTTTAGCCATCAAGCGTAAAAAATGACAAATTTTAACTGTTATTCGTGAAAAAAGTTAACCTTAAAATTCTTTCTTAAATACCATGTGTCATTTTAAAAGTGTCAAAACTTAGACTGTTATAAGTCTTGGTTTGTGAATTGTAACATTGTGGGAAACAGGAAATTATTCTATATCAACCTAATAGAAGCTCGATCTCGAATTACCCTTGTTGCTTCACTCTAATGGTAAAAAAAGCGAGAAGTAGATGTGTTTCAGAACAATTAAAAATTAATTTTTAACATTTCTGTTGACCGTAACAGAAAGAAATTAACCGTAAAATGGCCAAAATTGCAACAAAAATTCTCGCACTATTTAAGCATTGATCACGACATTGTGTTCATTACTTAAGACATGAGCTGTCCCCTTCGCTATCAGTTTGATTTTCACTGCTTGAACACAAGTCGCTTCTAGACCACTCCCCTTTTTCTAGCCTTAGCATATCAGACAAGCGGCTAATGCGCCTCTCGGCAGAATCAAGTTCCAGCTCAAACCCATGTCTCTGAATGAGCACCTTCGCTTCTTCAGCCTTCTCGATAGCCATAGCATTGTTTTGTTCAAAACAGTACTGATCAGATCGCAAAAGCAGCAGCTTTATTCTTGTCCCTAACGCCATTTTACCATCAGCAGTTCTAGATTCAGTAGAATCAAGGTGCCTTTTTGCTTTCATGACGTCTTCTTTGCAGATGTGGGTGTTGTTGTTCGCTGCCTTAGAGCAGGACTTTAGGAGCAGAGCCGCCATTTTGACGTTAATGTATTCTCGGTTGATTACAGCGTACTGACATGCCAGCTCATAAGATTTGTACGCTGTAGTTTTTCGGGTGTCCCGAGTTATATTCGCTGCAGGTAAAGAGTTAAGCAGTGCGCCATAACTTTGATAGAGTTCCGCTTTGTCTTCATGGGAATCCTGAAGTTCAAGAGCTTTTTGTGCCTCTTGCACGCATCTCATAGCGTTTCCAAATTTGCTCTGACGCTTGTACACCGCCGTCAAAAGATTCAAGGCTCGTCCGATCAGAATTCCCGGGTTTTTCAACTGCGGCTCCAGTTTCAGTACAAATTTTAGTATTCTTTTGGCATCTTTACCATTGTTCTGAAAAAAAAGGGCCATTGCGCGTTCAATCTTTAAACTCACTTCCATGTCAACATCTTCGGGCGATCTTCTTGCCAACTGTTCTCGTATTATTTGCTCATGTAGCTCAAACTCCCCTTTATCTTGTAGATCGTGTAGTTTTGTTATAAGTAAGATATAACCGGAAGTATTCATACATCCGCGCTTTGGAATGACTGGCATTGGAGAATGGACAGAGTTGGGTTTGCCTAATATCGAGTAGACTTGGGTTCCTTGACTGTCTTCTTCTGTCTCTTGAGTTTTTGTGACTGAATCGTTTTCTTCATCAGATGAAGAGGGCAGATTCTTGCTACAATATTTACAAGTCGGTACTTGACACGGTGTGCTGTTAGAGCCATTCTGGATATTGGAAAAACCTGAAACCTTGATACGTAGAACTTTTTGGGATTGTCTTATCTCTTGATCCTGATCTGTTTCTATTGCTTTACCTTTCCTATGATGTGATTCACATTTTCCATGAACGACTCCGCCTTCCAAGAGAGGGTGGATCTTCCCGTCATAAGAAAGAGTACACACCGGATCTCCATTCTGAACTTCATCGGTGAAATCTTCAGGAATATCCTCGTCTAATTCTGTGAGAAAAACTCCAAAGGAAAGGCTATTCTGAGTGGTCATTGTTGAGGCAATTGACAGTAAGTGATTTTACTGCCCAGTAATTAAAATGTTTCCAGTGTGACTTGATGATAACGAGTTAATAATAACCGTGAATCAAAATAAGGGAATGTTTGAAGACAATTTAAGTGCACCTGAAAATAAAATAAAATGACAAACACAGGTTATGTGCGAATATGTAATACGAAACCCAATGAAAAACATTCAATATGCTTGAGGAATCAGAAAACCTGCTCGGCAACCTGACCTAAGTCACACGTAACAGGACAGAAAAAATGGAACATGATACAAAGCGTTCAAATTTCGATCGAGGGTCCATGTTATACCGAAGTCAAGAACACCTCTCATCACACTGAGGAAAGGAAAAATATCTCAGCTAGACTATATAGGCGTACTCAGACACCCTGACTGCCCAGAAGTGCGTTTGATTGGACGAGAAGGTAGTGCATATTTTCTTGACCAATCACAGAGCGAAGTATAGCAAAACCGGTCCAATCCGCATTACTTTCGACCCTCAAATCTCAGACGGATGTAAAGTTCAAAGCAACTGCGTCTCTGGGTTTTTTCATCATGATCCCTCGGAAGAAGAAAGATTGAACCTTTGGGGACATAGTAAGGTGAAGAAACTTCTCTAAGGATTTTGAAAAAGTTAAAGATTCTAATCAAAGGTCATAGTGTCCGGAAATAAAAATATATTTTATATCTCACATATCACAAAACTCAAAGCTCTGTGTGTGACAACCTGAGAGAGGAAAATCGTAGGAAAGTCCGCGGTCTCGACAAAGCCGGTTTCAAAATTAGAGGAGCTAAGACGTTTTAAAAGTTAGGACTGATTTTTCCCTATGTAGATAAATATTCGACTTGATCTGTCAATGCGTATAATCTTTATCATATGACTCGTAAGATCTAGTTTGACTAGAAGAATTAAGGAAAAAATAAGATTCGAATAAAGGAAACTAAAAGAAACAAACAGGAAACGAAACACTACTTACTGGAGTTATGGGCCTGAGGGAAACGAAAAACGCGAAATCAACTAACTGAAGGCTCATCGTCCAGACCATAATAAGTAAACTGAACCCAGTACCGCGCGGTAGGGCAAACAAAACGATGTATATTGCGGTCAACACCATACCTTGTTTTTAAATCTGTTATAGGCTGAAAAAAAGGTTTATAACGGGCAAATATTTTGAAAAAGCTAATTATTTACTTAAACCTTCTTTGACCGCATCATCATTTAAAAAGGTCGGTCACGAGTGATTGAGATAGGGAAGGAGGAAGTATTTGTTTGTTAACACGTCAAAATCATCGGAAGAAATACGCTAAATATTGTGCGTATTCCATCAGTTCTGGAAAAATCATCTTTAATGTATGGCGTCTGTGTTGTCAAGAATCAAACGCTTGTAAGTCGAAAGACTTGATTACAAATCGCCTGATAAATTCTTCTCATGAAACTGAACCTTATAGATTGTGGCGTTCTTAAAAAATTTTCACGCCATGATGGAGATCATGCCTGTAAACCAACATTATGTTATGGTATCGGATCAGAAAACAAGAGCAAGACAAATATCCATTTTGGCTTATTTATCTGAAACCCTAAAAGTACACAAAACGGAAGTTGTGAGGACTGAACGTTCCTTCCTGTTAAACAGCAATTAAAATTCCTTTTCCTTTCGATTTTGATTGTGAACCATAGCATCGGTTAAAACACCACTGCACGCTATGGGGATCACTGATCATGATCTTAAGTTGAAGATGAAAATTTTGTTTTCATTTCGGCAGTGATACCATTTTGTTTATGCGGAAATTTTTTGCCCGAATTGTCGAGCGCGTGAATGAAAGCTGTCAACTGGAACCATAAACCTAGGAAGTATGACCTAATGAAGACGTCAAACATAACTTACCGTGGTTTAACAAGTAATATCCGTTGAAATGAAGCACGAAATGTTAAACATCTCCGCGCTGAAACACTCACAGACCTTCCGTTTCGTGAATACAAAATTTCCTTCCAACCTCGTTCCCAAGAGCCTCTCATTTAGCAAGAAGGAGAGCCCGGTAAAGCCGGACCGCAATGCGTACAGATGTCTTCGTCTGCATACCACTCATCAATGGCGGAACATAAAAAGGTATATCGAGGATTCGTCTCTTAGTCCCTATTTACATTTCCGCTATCCAAAGGCAAAAAGCAGTGAGGGAAGGTGATATCATGAAGATTACGACATATGCTGAGATGGGAGCCATTCAGTATAAAATAAACAAATCACAGACAAACAATAAAAGACCAAACGATACCATACAGCATCGTCAAATCCTTCTTAGAAACGAATGAAGACAAGTCAACCTCCGAGCAGCCGGATCAAAGAAAGACAATAAGAATTGTAAGACAAACAAATTATTCACCCCAACATTCAAATTGTTATATTTACATTCTAACAACAATTTTACGAAAAATATGCTGAGATATTTGCCAGAGTGTTTCACAGGCATATTCCAGATACACAGTATGCTGAATGACCGGTCTAAAGAAGACAATATTAACATAGCTGGTCTAGTATGTTAAATTATAAAATTCTACGCCTGAATTGTTTATACCACGATCTTAGAGGAACTGCAATGATGAGTAAAAGAGCTGCAGAACTTTGCCCTTTCTGTCCTCTTCAAAAAAGAGCAAACGAATCGCAGAAAATTATTCTTGGCGCACTCTACCCCACCCGACCCCCCCGCCCTCTGCCCCACCCGACCCCCTCGCGCTCTTCCCCACACGACCCCCTCGCCCTCTCCCCCACCCGACCCCCTCGCACTCTGCTAGATGTTGTCTAGTCCTCGCGCATTTCACAACTCCATTTCTCTTCGGTTGTATGCCGAAAAAGTTAAGCTTAAATCTTTAAAGTTCCCGCAAAACTTCATTGTAATCTTCGCCATTTTCCTATTCTCTCTTTTCCCCTTTTCTTATTCCTTAATAATAAATTTTAAATTTAAAGTTTGTTTTATCTCTCAACCGCATTAGTAAGAGAGTAGAAGCCTCGTGCTCCTACCTTATCACTGAGTTAGACAGTTTATCCATTATGTCTTCGCACAAGTTAAGAGAAAACGAGCAAACCTGTAAAGAAAATCAAGCATTAAGCGATCAGTCATTTCCACTCCACTTGTCAATTTAAATATTTCTGTGCACATTTCAGGGAGAAGGCATTTCACTAATTTGAATCGGCATCATCACCAATCACACAAGGGACTCAACTGTATTCCTATGGACAATACAGTTTACCTCGCAAGTTTTAATCCCGGTCTGACGAAGGGCCAACGCTCGAAACGTCAACTTTGTAACTATTTACGGTAGCCATTTTACGTTATCAACTCAGTTGATAAAACTAAATTATCCCTTAACGATCATAGCACCTTTGTCCAAGAGTTCGCGATTCTTCTGGATACTCAAGAATGATCGCTCTCTCATTATTTCCAAAACTGAGTCGTGCATAATGGGTATCCTCATCTGGTGTACAAAATATGGACTTGCTCGCAATTCAGGCAAAACAGAAGTTCTACATTGAACATCGCAGTTTGCAAAGCATCATGGAAAAATTCTTGGACATAATATAAACAATGTAAATATTGCACCTTCACTAACTGTTCGTGATCTGAGAGTCATTGTTGATTCACATCTTCAAGTGACAAAACATGTTGACAACATTTGTAATTCTGATCATCTTGCTTTGAAGAACATTGGTAAGATCAGAAACTACATCAGTCAATCTGACTGCGGGTGTTCGGTGCATACTTTTATTACTTCTGTACGATTCGTTGAATTTACTTACGGTCTATAGCGCCGCTGAGAGTTTTCCTAGGGCGGAGTTTCCCACGCCGTGTGCGTTGCTTGAGCGTCGTTTATAGCTTTTTTTGCCATTTCTTTGCCAAGTTTAGTTTATAGCTAAGGGATTTTGAGGCTATCCTGTAAGAAGTAAAAACTTAAAAACGTTGCTGGCCCCTACAACAGCAGCACCAAAACTATAAAACTCATGCCTGGCAACATCTGCTTATCAAATTTTAAGTAACTTTAAAAGTTCAGTTAAAACGTATCTTTTCAATAAAAAACTTCTTTGAACTTTTTTTCAAGGGCTTAAACAGCAGCACTAAAGCAATCTATTTCGATGCCAAGCAGCATCTGCTTATCAAATACTTTAATTAATTTCAAAAGCTCAGTTAAAACGTATCTTGACATACATATTTTATAAGAACTTTATTAGTTAAGTTGAATATGCACAGTCGTATACATATGTAATATGTGCATTCCTAACTGATTTTGTGACAAAAGCGTTTTCTTCAGCTTGAGGAGCATTTCGCACCCTGTTCCAGCGACAGAGGAGAAGTTTAAAATTTTGTTTCTTATGCATTTTTTTTAATTGTCCGAAGGTTCGTCTGTACTATCATTCGCCATTTTTATTTTCTCTTTTACTTTGAAATTTGACCCATGTGCGACTTAGCCAAAATCATCTTGTCCTGTCAAGTGCGTCTCAACCAAAATTCCCACACTCTTTAAGCAGAGATCCCGACATTGTGTTCATTACTCAAGACATGAGCTGTTCCCTTCGCTAACAGTTTGATTTTCACTGCTTGAACACAATTCACTGCTAAGCCATTCCCCTTTTTCTAGCCTTTGCATATCAGACAAGCGCCTAATGCGCTTCTCGGCAGAATCAAGTTCCAGCTCAAACCCATGTCTGAGGGTGAGCAACCTCGCCTCTTTAGCCTTCTCGATAGCCATAGCATTGTTTTGTTCGGAGCAGTACTGATCAGACCGCAAAAGAAGATGCTTTATTCTTGTTCCTAACACCATGTTACCATCAGCAGTTCTAGATTCAGTAGAATCAAGGTGCCTTTTTGCTTTCATGACGTCTTCTTTGCAGATGTGGGTGTTGTTGTTCGCTACCTCGGAGCAGGGCTCTAGGAGCAGAGCTGCCATTTTGATGTTAATGTATTCTCGGTTGATTACAGCGTACTGACATGCCAGCTCATAAGATTTGTACGCTTTAGTTTTTCGGGTGTCCTGAGTAATATTCGCTGCAGGTAAAGAGTCAAGCAGTGCGCCATAACTATAATGCAGTTCTCCTTTATCGTCGTGAGAATCCTGAAAATCAAGAGCTTTTTTTGCCTCTTCCACGCATCTCATAGCATTTCCAAATTTTCTCTGACGCTTGTACACCGCCGTCAAAAGATTCAAGGCTCGTCCCGTCAGAATTCCCGGGTTTTTCAACTGCGGTTCCAGTTTAAGTACAAATTTTAGTATTCTTTTGGTACCTTTAAGATTGTTCTGGAAATAAAAGGCCCTTGCGCGCTCAATCTCTAAAATTGCTTCCATGTCAACATCTTTAGGCGACTTCTTTGCCAACTGTTCTCGTATCATTTGCTCATGTGCCTCAAACCTCCCTTCACCTCGTAGATCGTATAGTTTTGTTACAAGTTGGATATGACCGAAAGTATTCATAAATCCGCGCTTTGGAATGACTGGCATTGGAGAATGGACAGAGCTGAGTTGACCTAATATCAAGTCGACTTGGGTGCCTCGACTGTCTTCTTCTATGTCCAGAGTTTTTGTGACTGAGTCGTTTTCTTCATCAGTGGAAGTGAGACAACTCTTGTTACAACATTTACAAGTCTGCACATGACACAGTGTGGCGTTAGAACCATTCTGGATTATGGGAAAACCTGAAGCCTTAATAGGTAGAACACTCTGGGATCGTCTCATCTCTTGATCCCGATCTGTTGCTTTTGCTGTATGTTTCCTATGATGTGACTTAAATTTCCCATGGACAATTCCTCCAGTAACTGGTTCTCGAGTCTGAACTTCATCGGTGTAAGCTTCAGGAACATCCTCGACTAATTCTACAAGAAAAACTTCACAGGAAAGACTATCCTGAGTAGTCATTGTTTAGGCGCTTGAAAGAAAGTGAACCAGTAACTGAAACGTTCCTAAGGTGGGCACGACTTGATGATTACCGTTATTCAAAGTAAGGGAACGTTTGAAGACAATTTAGGTGCACCTGAAAATAAAACAAAAAGACAAAAACAGGATATTAACAATAGACGGATGTATAAAACGAAACCTAATGAAAAATATTCGATATGCTTGGGGAATCAAGAAACCCGCTCGGCATACTTACATAAGTCGCACCAAACGGACAGAAAAAACTGAGCATGATAGAACGCGTTCAAATTTCATCGAGGGTCCATGTTATACCAAAGTCAAGTAACCACAACTGCCACCACACCAAGGAAAGGAAAAATATCTCAGCTGGAATCTATAGGCGTACACAGGCACCCTGCGTGTTTTCTCGACCAATCATAGGGCGAATTAGAGCAAAACTGGTCCAAGCCGAATTACTTTCGACCCTCAAATTTCAGACGGATTTAAGGTTCGAAGCAATTACGTTTCTGGGCTTTTTCATCATGATCCTTAAACAAGGGAAAGATTGAACCTTTGGAACGTAGCTAGGTTTTGAAACTTCTCAAAGAACTTTTAAAAATTAAACATTTTTCTCATAGGTCAAAGTGTCCGGAAATAGAATCAATAGAAGTTTGGTTATATTCCTGTACTAAGTCTCGTATATAACAACACTAAAAACTCTCAGTGTGACTACCTAAAAGAGAAAAATGTAAGGAAAGTGCAAAGTCTCGGGAAATTTTATTAAATTTTTCATGGTCCCAGGAAAAGCTCTAGTACGGAAGCACATTTTAAAAAGCCAATCATTGACTTAGGGTAGCTTCGTTGTTTATTAGCGATATTTATGCAGGCTGGCCCAGTTCAGCTTCAAGCTGGTTTAAATAGGGGCCTGCTTAGGACATACTGAGTAAAACAAAGTGTACATAGAAATATAAAATACAAAAGGAGCCGACAACACAAATTACAATTTACACATAAGATAGACAATAATAAAATGTACAATGTTACATTAAAAAGTACATTACATCAATAACTGAAATGGAGTTTGAGAAGTTACGTAGAAAAGTTATGTTTCGTAGTTTGCTAGTCAGAGTATTCCAAGCCTTTGCACCTTTGTAGCGAAGGGAACCTTGATATTTAGATGATTTTAGCCAGGGGCAATCGTAAAAGGTCTCTATTTCTGGTATTGTTAACCTCCCTTCAGAGCGAGAGTTACGAGAGGAAACCTAGTTACTTTTTCTCAAAGTTTTCCCTTAAGATATTTACTAGTTCGGCTGACGATATAATACGCCTTCTGCTATGGGTATCAAGTTTTAGACTTGAGTCGTAAACATTACTTCGAATGACAGGCAGAGGTATTCCAATTTTTGGCCTAGATACCTCAATATCTTTACTTTCCCATGGTGATATGTCTTCATTCTTTGTCATATTATACAACACTTTGACAGTTTTACAATATTCTCTAATTTGTCATTTTTCTTAATGTATTCGATTAGCTCCGACAGATTTTAACAAAATAGGCTATTTGATAGGAACTGTATGTGGTTATGACTGAGCAAATTTTTCAAAAAATTTACCGAAGGAAACGCGATAAACCTTATTAGAAAGCCTTCCTTTTTTCTTATTCCCAAAACATTACGCCATAAAATAACACTTCATTAAGATCGATATTTTGAATCTGTTGTCGATTCTGTCGCCATTTCGCGGCAATCTTTCTCTCGGTGTTTCCTTTTTGTTTACCTCTTTTTCAGGCGTAGAGGGCCAATGAATATCGTGGGTATGGTTACTAGAAACTCTAGAGATCATTCGATAAAAGTTGTATTTTGTTATACTCTTTTAATACACGTTTTTAGATAATAATCGCGCGGTCGCATCGAGCTGCCATGTTAGTTCACAGCCAGCCCAAGCTCCAGCTGTGAGATAGTCAGAGAGTTATAGAAATTATAAGAGTTTGTATGGGAATAATTACGACTGCTCTTAGGAATAAGAAAATACAGTCAGATTCTCAATTTGAAATGAAAAATAAATGTTGGTCATCGGGGGTTGAAGAAAATATGTTCCATTATATTCTCTGCGTATTCCACCAATTATGACAAAATTTTCATGTTTATTGCTTCCTTGTTGTCAAGAGTCGGTCATTATCTAGTCAAAATCGCCTAAATAATTCATCCCTTAATTAACACACGAAACGAAGCCATATAGATTGAAGCGGTCTTTTCACGTCATGATGGAGATCGTTCCAATAAAACTTCTTGATGCTATGATATCCAGAAATAAAGAAAATTCGTTTTGGCCTCTATCTGTTTCCTTTAAAGGTATACATAACGGAAGTTGTGGAAACCGAAAATCCGTCATGGTAATAGGCAATAAAATATCATATTCTTCTCGAATTACATGTTAAGTGAAAGCATCAGTGGAAACGTCTCAGAACAATTTAAGGAAGGAATAAGGAATACTATGTCAACATGATCTAAAGATGAAGATGACAGTTTTGTTTTCATGTCAAAAGTGATGCTTATACTAGAGCTCAGTAGTATGAAGGTTACCCTCGAGTATTTGAATAAAAGCTGTCAACTGGACCTTAATACTCCGACAATGTGGACCAAAGAACTATAACCTGATGAACACGTAAAACATATCTTACCGTGGTTTGACAGGTACATGTAATGCCCGTTTAACTGAGGCCAAAACTGTAAAACATCCTTCTAGGTGAAACTAAAAGACTTTCTGTTTCGTCAAAACAAAGCTTACGCACAGCCTCGTTCTCAGGGAACTCACTTTCAGGAAAATCAAGGGACCTGGACCTCAAGCACACAAAGCTCGACTTCAATGCATATGATGTGTGGCGCTTATTAGCTGTGGATGGTCCTTATTTATAATTTCTATTATCAAAAGACAAACGGCATTGAGGATTGGCGATGCCATGAACATTGCGGTGTATGCTGAAATGGGAGCTATTCATCATAAACTCCCAAACAAATAAGCAACAAAACGATGCAATACAGTGTCATCAAATCCTTCTTAAGAACGACTGCATGAAAACGAGTCAACAAGTCTATATCGGCCGAAACAAAGATGGGAAGGAAGAAGTGTCACGTAAAATAGAATTCTTTATTTCTAGACTCGAATTGTTATATTTACAAGCTAACAACAATTTTGCCAACAGTGTGCTGAGGTAGTTGCCGCAGGGTTTCACAGGCATCTTCCAGAGACACAGTATGGTGAATGACCGGTCTAAAGAAGAAAACATTAATATAGATTTCTAGTATGTTAAGTTATAAACGTCTGAGTCTAATCGTCGTTCAAATCACGATCTTAGAAGAACTGCCACTATGAACAAAAGAGCTGCAGAACTTTGGTCTTTGCGCACTCTTCCCCAACCGACCCCTACTCAAATGTAACACTTCCTCTGTGGCACTGTTCACGAACCAGAAGTTTACATCGCACTGAGTGCATTTCGACATCAAAAGAGAGAACCAGATCTCTGAGACCGATCTTGGAGTCATTACAGCCATGTTATCTAGTTCCCGCATTTCACACCATTAATCTACCGTTGTATGCTAAAAAAAGTCAGGCTCAAACGTTCATCTTCCCCGTCTCCATTTATCTCCTCTATAATTCTTTTCCTCTTTTTCCCCTTCCCTTAAACTTAGATTCGCGTAAAGTTTGTTTGATCCCTTGAAACTATTGAGGGAAGAAGTCTTCTGTTCTTACCTTATCACTGAGTTAGACAGTTTATCCATTATGTCTTGGAGGATGTCTTAACACAAGTTAAGAGAAAACGGGCAAATTTCGGTCAAAACGAGCAATAGCGTCTCTCTGATACGTTGGACCAAAAAAAAAACACAAAAAAACAGAAGAGACACGAAAAAAATAAGGCGGCGACGAGAAAAAGAAGGTTAAACCGCAACATCACTCTTTGTAGGGAGACATAGGTCATATTTTCTTCACTTCATGATATCAGTCGAAGGTCAGATGTTAAGGATTGGAAAAAGGACAGTGAGAAAGTCAACGGTTCTCAGAAGGCCCCTTGAGGGTTTCATCCTCTTCAACTTCTTCGAATGACTAGTATCTAATTTCTCCTTACAATATCACCCCTAAATAAAACACAAAGCACACGAGAATAAAGGAAACGATCACTAACTAAAGAAGTTCTTGATCGTTAAACAAATTCTCCATGTTAGCGCCTGATGAAATGTAAAGAGAACAGTTGAGAGAATATGCATACTGATGTTAGGGTGTAAAGGATACGTAGGTATCTTCCTTGTTGACCTAAGGAAAGGACAGACTCAAAACGTAAATCAAAGGCACCAGGGAACCTTTTTTCAGCAATCACTTAACCATTTCCCGATAGTGATTGTCAACTGATGAAAGCAGGTTTGACTGAAATAAGGTGAACATCCACGCAATTTACTGTCCTCCATAAATCCCTACCTTTTGATAAAGTCCATGAATGTTCAAAGAGAAAACTGATTGCAGCTCCTTTTAGGTAAAGCATCTGAGAATCAGGAGGGTCCAACTGGATGTAAGAGAAGGGTTAGTAGTATTTCACAATTAGTGATCACATGGAAAATAAAAATTAGATTACACTTCATCTTGTCTATTGTAGTAAGTATGCTAAGAAAGTTTGAGAATTCTGAAACTCTTGAATAAAGTGCACCTTTTGATTGCATATCATAAAATCAAAACCAAAGTAATCACAGCAGCTGATCACAGAAAAGAAAAATGTGCAACAAATGTAAAATTGTCCTTAGAGGATTCTTACCTGAAGATCTTGATGAGAAGTGATCCATCTTCCAGCCACTCCAAGACAGGAGATCACATCATGTTTGGATGGCACTGAATTTTGGCCAGGTAGACCAATGCCTGTTCCCTGAATTATAACATCATCATCTTGACGAAGAACTGTTCAATAGGAGATTTGATTGGTTCATTTTAAATGAACTCAGAAATTAAACAGTTCATTTAATTTTGTTTCAGATCTGCTATTATTATTTTTTTTTAACTAATATGAATGTACCAGTAGGAAATGATAATCAGAAGGAAGACATCATTTTAATTCAAACTCATTAAGTTCTAACAGAATGGTACCATATAAAAATAACCTGAAGTGTGTGCAGTGATCTACAATTTTGCTGGACAGCCAGAACAACAAATAAATCGCAGCATCCCATTGCATCAAGGGTTAATATGAAAAGTGGCCACTCAAAACCAAAACTAAACTCCTGCAAAGGGTTAAGGCTGACCCTCTCAACAAGAGTTTGTGTGATTTTCTCTTACCTCCATTATCAATCACGCAATCCACACCAAGTCCACCAGTTTCATCCATACAAATATCTACTAATGACTTCTTTGTTTTCCTCAAGTCTATTACATTTGCTACAAGAAGACATAGAGATTGTGTTAACCCTCCACAAGAATAGAAAGCCTCCTTACTGTTCTCTACATTTTTGCTACATAAAAAAATGCATCTGTCAGTTATGGTTCTTAAGATATATGTCTCAGGACATATGTTTTAAAAAACATGACAGCTGAACACTAATTCTCTTTTACTTTCAGGATGGTGACCTGAAAAAGAAGGGAAGGAATGAAATGGTTCGAAATATCTTGTTATCCATGTATGACACAGGATGAAGCAGGGATATTGTTAGCCACGTATCAGGACTGTTAATTCACTTGACATGCCCACAACCTTGGGGACTTTCGTTCCATCAGATATCACTTTCCCTTTTATTACAAATGGTTAGCCCAATAGTGGAGTAATGCCCTTACCAAGTGGTGGTTGAAGACTCTGCAGGTAAATAACTTCTTCTTCTGATGATGCTGTTGCAAGAACCTGTCATTAATTTTGAGGAGAATACAACTATTATCATATGAATGTATGGCCCACCAACACTCTAGCTGGAAAAACAAGACAAAATCCCTCTTGTAAGGGCTGCACCCAATAGCTGTACAAAAGGCCATTTCACCCCGAAAGATGCGAGAGGCAAGAAGAAAGGAAAAAAAAAAGAAAGAGCAGGAGATATATGATAAATGACTTATTGACTGAGTGGGAGGGCTGGACCAGAAATGTTTTGAACACCCTTGATTATAATGCGTGGACATCACTGTGCTCAGTTTATACTTTATGACCTCAAACTAAGTTTCCTGTCCAGCCCTCCCACTCAGTCAACAAGTGAATATTACTTTTTGTTAAAAATTGATGTTGTCAGCTCTCAGATTGCAAAAGGATTAAAAAGAACTCTGAATTATCTTATGTCAACCCTACCTTGGCCCCCCAAATATGGGCAAGTTGGATAGCCATAACACCACTGGCCTGAAATAAAGAAATTCATATCATGACCATCATACTGTGAGCCTGGTAATCAAACTGTATTTTTGATTTTGATTAATGTTAGATTAAAATGTATTTTTGTCATGCAAATCACTTGAAAACCTTGACTGTTCCTTTGGCAAATAATTGTCATATAAAATCTTTCTTAAACTGTGCCTGAATGTCAAGAATAATGGTAATAAAACCAAAACAGTGACTTTAAAAACAACTCCTTTGTATAAAATACTCACTGAGGCCCCGTTGAATATCAGTATTGTCTCTCCTCCACATACTCTGGCTTGGTAGTATAGTGCAGTGTAAGCTCTAACAACATCACCAATGCAACCTGCTGCATCTATGTGATCCACTTTCTCTGGTTTTCGGGCTGAACATAAATTTCATGTGGCGTATAGACATTTTTTTATTAGTTACAATCATTTCATTAATGTAAGGCAGAGAGAATGAAAGATGGGAAAAATCAAGAATTTATACATGCCACTAGTACAAATACATTTTTGAATAGATCAACACAAAAATTTTGCAAGTTAATATTATAGGATTCACTGCCTCGCACTGTAATTTTGTCAAAACATGGCACTGACTTAAAAACTGAGATTATTTAACCAAATTACGCTTGATATCGAAATACTGATTCTCCAAGCAGTATTCATACATATCTTAAAATTAGTTTTAGCTTTGAGGGTTTGTGTTAAATGAAATCATATCTCCTAATTAATGTTTTTACTTCTTGACTTATTTCTGCTTGAAACTATATTGAAATTCAAGGAGAAATTCCATTTTGGTCACTCCAGGTGGTGAAATTGTTGATGTGAGACTAAGGAAACTATAAAAATTTGGATTTGATTCTACCAGATCAACTGTGTACTGTCCAATCACAGTAAAGTTCAGGGTCCAGTTGTTAGAGGGCCAATTAGCACTAGCTCAAGGTTAAATTGTAATCTGGGTTTCCTTATTCCTTTATTCAAAAGCCATTTTGGAATAGTTTTCTGTGTTCTTTTTAGAGCATCAAATAGTCATATTCCAGACAAAAAGAAATTTGACTGAATTTTTTTTAAAGCTTTCAGATCCGAAATCATATTTCACACTAAGCCTGGATTAACTTAACCCAGCTTTGGACAACCTGGCCTGGGACATTGGAGTAAACCTTAATACTACAAACTGCTTAATATTGATGTTTGTGGTTTACTTTTCTCACTTCTTATTGGCTTCTCCTCAAGAAAATAGTAACATTCCGTAAATATTTATGGTGTTCCTGATTTTTTTAACTTTTACCGTACTAACCAAGTTTTGCATAGAGCTCTGAGTTTGTATATTGCAGTATGCAATTATTTCCCAAATACTCACCAACATCATACTGTGATAAGATGCAAAAGTTTGCACATCCTGCTGAAGCTGAATCTAATGGAAGCAGGCCTGGTAATGTGGAGTACATAATAGTAGTTTATTTATAATCAAAACCAACCCACTACTGCAGCTACTATAATCATCACTCGGTTACAGCATTCAATATAAGGATCTGTACAAAGGAATGTGGTAGAAGGAAAATTCTGTAAATTAACAGGAGAATAGTCTTCATTTCTGAGGAATTTTGTGTAGTTGCAAGACAATTCTATCATTGCTGATGCATTGTGAACACTATACTATAAGAAATACAATGTTAATACCCATTCTTATGCTGTAAGTCATCATAATATCCATGCTTTGTTGTACATTAAGCCCATGTGTGGAATAAGAAACAAGACAAATAAATTTTGGATACTGTACACTGTTTTTGCACAGTGACACCAATTTTTTTTCTAAGAGATCACTTCTTATCTGATTCCTTCCACCTTTCTGAATTTCTGAATGCCTGAAATTTTAGCTATTTTTGGACTCCCCTTAATAAGTGACATGATTATTAGAACAAAGAAAAACTCACCAGCCACTTCATCTCCAATGCTGACTCTTGTGACTGCTGATCCAACTGAAAGAAAATAAATGATTAAACATGGACTCAAATATAAAATTTAATATATTAAATGTTCAGAATGTTTATCAATGTTTGATGAAACAACTGTGTCTTTGTGTCTGCTACTACCATCTTATGAATAATGGATTTATTGGAAGTACCTCATAAAAGGAAAAAATTGAGTCCAAAGTAGAAAAAATTTACTTTGACATAACCTCTTTCCATGTATGGCCCTTCTCTAAAACTGAATTTTGATAATTTAAATATCGTGCTTATTTTAAGTTTGGCAATGTATACCATTTGTAACAACTCCTGATATTTCTCTTCCAAATGGCTGTTCCTTCTTGCGTATCAAGTTAAATTCCTCTAAAATCTGCAACAGAAAAAAACACACTCATGTCATCAGCCTTAACAATCGGAATATGAAGCACTCTTGTACAGAAGAAATTTATTAGTTATTTAGCAAGTGTTATTCAGAGTTTTGCACCTTGTTATGGTGTGGAGACAAGCCGCAAGCTTTGACCTTTACTGCAACGCTGTTTTCATCTAGTGTTGGGCACTCAAACTAAAAAATAAATAAAACATATTTTTCAAAACAAACAGACTCCAAGTTGGTGTGAAAAAAAATGGCCTGCAAGATCAGCAGAGTATGTTACTGATGTTCTGACTCATTTCAATTTGACGTATTCTCTGATCTATTGCCGAACATAGCACCATGGAATTTTTTTTTAGAATACAAAGGGAAATACTGTGATGATGGTGACGTAATCTGTGCGTCTGTTCTGCAGTAGATCATGGGTAAGAACCAATGAAAATGCACAAATCACTTCAGATCTTAGACATCTGAAGTTCTGATTCAGTCGAACGACTCCGGTCTCAAAACATAACATATGAATAGCAATGTCAATTTTCTCCTGCAGATCTCACCGATTCACGTAGTTCATAAACCCTTTGACCATTTTCGTCCTTTCTCACCACGACAGCTCTTGTCTGCATCGTAAAAGGAATAATTCAACAGTACCAATCATATGGGAAGTAGTGTTCTGAATACCTTAGCCCTTTATTTGTGGTACCGCTGTACTATTAACAAAGATAATGCTGGCGCTCCTAACCAGGTCAGGTAGACGGTCACGCACTGATTTTCTCATTGCGTGACGTGACAAACTGAAAGAAAAGCACAGTTATCTGTTTTCGATCTCATATTTTTTTAAATTGAGAGGAAGTGCGAAAAGACGGAGTTTTATACATTGCTGAGTAAAATTTGTTTTTTTTTCCTGGCTAATTCTACATTGGGAAAACGTTTTTTCCACAGAAGGAGAATGAGAATGATTTGTAAGTTAATGAATAATTTAAAATATCTATCAGCAAAAATTTGTCAGTTATCAAGATTTCAGTTTCAAAATAATTCATAGAAATGTGATGTAAAGTGGTCTTAATTCTTGTTGACGTCAAGACATGTTTATTTTCAAATTAGTAACCCTATGAATGCTGGGTAATTTAAGCAAGATGGCGCCCGCTACCTTACAGAAAATTCGGGATACAATCACGGGTAAAGAGACTCAAGACGATTCATTGATAACAGAGGTAACACAAAGTGATGCTACCTATATCGTTTTCCTGAATTATTTTTTTGGGCCACGAGAGACAACCTTTTCATGCCAGAAACACATCACATGTATGCTAGGTTAAAAAAGAAACCGTTGTGTCGTGGTTGAATACCGTAATTTTAGTACCGACACTTTGCGTTAATTATAATCAAGCCTATGAGAAAACGATAAATGCTCACAACTGTCTTTAGAAATCCACTAAAGAAGGTGTTAAAAGGTAGTCAACCTCGAATTTTTTGACAGAAACAAGATCAATCAAATCTGTTGTGAAGACATCGTTTGGATCCCCTTCCTCTTTGCATCTGATCTCGCATTTCGTTTCTTACCTTTCTTATGTTGTTTTTAACATGTTGAAGGGGTGAACCATGATGTATATGTAAAATAATTTTGTAATTTGTGGTTTAGATGCATTTTTTGCCTGTGGATAGTTGTGTTTCTCTCTTTGGGGTTTGATCTACCTTTGTATATCTAAGAGCCTGTGAAGATTTTCAGCATTATTTCCGTATAGCCCCATGCTCATTGTGCATGCGGTTTCTTGGTAAAAGAAAACAATGGCTAAAAATTAGTTTATCTTGAGGCTTATGCTTTGTGTTAGAATACCAGAAGTACTCCATGGTGCGGCTTTAACGTACTTGACTGAGCTCACTAGTCCCTATGTTCCTAGGCGAGCTCTCAGGTCTGCTGACCAACTTCTACTGGAGCAACCAACACATAAGCTCAAATTGACTGGCCTGAGGGCTTTCTCAGTGTGCATGCCTTACCTCTGGAAATCGGTTCCATTGAGATTAAAAGCAGCGCATCTGTCTCTATTTTTAAAGCTAAGCTTAAGACCTATCTTTTTTGACAAGCATATTTTTAGACTTTAAATTTTTATTTAATTATAGGTTATGATAATTTGACACTGTAAAGCGCATTTGGGTGTTAGGAAAATGCGCTAGAGAAATAAATTATTATTATCATTATTATGGTATATTTCTGATTTTCATTAGTTAGTCATCCTTTTTTTCTCAGGCCCTTCCATTTTGAATTATCTGCTTTCCGTGTTCTACTTCACATATGAAAGTAACAAATCTTACATCAGGGTTGATCCCTAATACTAATCATGGGTATAATCTATTGATCTTGGATATTAACAGGTCAATGTTAGTTGGTTGAATGAAAAGGGTTGCCTCTCTAGTCTAAAAAAATAAGATCTCATTTTCAGCATAGTTATTGTCCTGGTCACTAATTAACTCCAAAAATCAGAATTATTTATTTCTCCACCTTAGATGCGATCCATTTCTGTATTATATGAATGTCAATAAAATACAGAGTGAGCTTTTGTGCAAAAACATGATATCTCCACACATGTAGATAACATGTTATCTTCACATGTGAAAAGATTGCTGTTGTAATGGTTCCATATAAAAATGCCTTTTGATGCAATGCCTTTGATTTATTATTTCATTGGTGCTTATATGATAGATAGAATATTACATAGCCGCTTGGAGATATGAAGATTCTCTTCTTGTGTTGAAAAATATTTCACTTGTTCTCTTAGCTCACTTGAGAAATATTTTTCAACACTCAAAGAGAAATTCTGTATCTCTGTGTGGCCATATGATATCCTCTATGCGTTAAATAGTTTAGAGAATTCATTGGTTTATTAACATAATACCTTCTAGCTGATAAGTTTGTCTCTTCATCACACACTTGCTGTACAAGTCAATGATTTTGTAAGGATGGGCTAAATATTTAGTATTACTTTAAGGAGTTGAAAAACTTGTGTTGCGCTGAAAATCATATCTTACTGTGGACCAAAATTCTTGGATTTCTGTACTCTGTTAGAGACCTAGGTCTTTAAAAACCCACTCCTTATAGTGCCATACAAACTTATAGAGCCTGCTTATGGCCATGTCCCATCCCTGCTCCTGATGTACAAATGAAATTAAGTGAAACTTGATGGGCTTGTTATTTAAACAAAGTTATGCCGTTGTTTAACAAAACCCTGTCCTAAATAATCCTCAATTTAGCTGGACCTTTTATCTGAACATCCATTTTTGTGAACAGTATCAAGGGTGCCTAAAGCTAGCAGTGGAAGGACATTTATTCAATTAAACCTTTGATTCCCAAGATCACATTAGTAATTCTCCTAACTGTCTGTCAAACAATTATCATTATGTTAGTTTGGAGAATTTGGTATTGGATCAATTAGTAATCCCATAATTGACAGTTTACTATATTCTCATCACTTGTCTGTATGATATTGTATAGATATAGTAAGGAGAAATTCTGTCTTGGTCACTCATGGGAGTTAAATGGTTAAATCAACCCTCTTATAGAGAAAGCCTGAGGCCCCACTGACTATGTAAAAACCATGGTTTGGGTTAGAACTTGTGTAAATAACTGGCCCTATTGGTTTATAATGATGGAAAAGAAAGAATCGCAATTATTAAGGATAATGTTATTTAAGAAATTTAAAGCCCCTTCCTTTCAGTATGTTTGTAGGCTGCATTGAGTTAAAGTCAGTTTGGGACATTGATTGATTTCTTCTCAGATTTCTGATGCAACCACACTGAGCTGGTCCACAAGGATCAAAGGATTTATCATATGTTTTATTATTGGTGTGTCTTTCTCCTTTCTGGTAAGTTTTGAATTTGCTGAATGTTAGATTCAAAATATTATCAATATACAGCTCTTGTGGTGGAAGAAGATCAAGCTATCTCTGAGTTCTGGCCTTGTGTTGGATTCATGAGCTGAGCTTAACATTTAACTCACCAGATTATGATGATCAAGTGCTCACATCTAAAGAAAGGGTTTTATCAAGCACAGCACCCCCTACTGTATGATTTAAAAATGGTGTCAACCTACCTCTAATAAAATAAAATAAAAGGAAGGATGGTCTTACCATGTTTACAAATTATTTTTCACATCTTCTTCAGAAATTGTAAAGAATATCCTGGCTGTTTTAACCCTTCAACTTCCAAGATCTGATCTTAATTCTCCCCTCTAGCTGTAAGACATTTCCTGGTGAAGTAGTAACGAGAATATGGTGTTAGATCAAGATAACAACTTTTTCCCAAAAAGTTTGAGTATTCTCATTTCCTTTTTGTTGAATAATTTATGGATATTATAGGGAGAAGTTACATGTTTAATAAATTCTTGGAGTCTAAGGGTTAACTTCAATAGAATATGTTTTTTTCCAGGGAATGATTTTGTTATGGAGAGATGTAAAATTATTTGCTGTGTTCTACTCACTGGGTAATGTAACAGCTCTTGCAAGGTTAGTAACACACAATTTGGTCAAGTCCAGCCACAGTTTGATATTTCACTAATTGAATTGCAGTGTAGATAAAATCAATGCTTGAATTGATTAAAATATAGTATAAAAGATAATATTTGATATCTTAGTTTCCTTTCCTTTGGTAGTAATTGAGCTATATAAGGCTATACTCTCACTTAGGTGCTAAATTTTCCTATATTCTGTGTGGAAATACAGCAAGATTGTTATACTACTGATGTTGCCTTCCTTTGCAGTACATGCTTTCTTATGGGTCCTATGAAACAGCTACGAAATATGTTTAAAGAAAAGCGTCTGATTGCTACCATTGTAATGCTGGTAAGATGTACACATCCTCCACTTACTTTGAGTTATTGTTATATTATGTACAGACTACTTTGACCTGATATCCTGATATCTTTTAATTTCATTCATACTGAGATTTACACGCTGAAGTACGATTGTTTGTGTCTCTTGGATGGACAATGTATTTTCGTGGTCATCGGCTTCCAATCTTTGAATTTGTCAGTCAGTTTTAAGAATAAATTTAGTGTTGTATCATTCCATACTATATGAAAAGTTTGGCATAATTATAATGGTAAGGGTGATAGGGAAAAAGAACATTGTTGGTTAAAGTGACTGATGTTTCAAAAACCAGCGCAGAAGTCATTCCAGGAATCAAGTGAAGATACATTTATTGAGCAAATGTCACCTATTCCATTTGTGAAAACTTATTTATTAGTTTTTTTGTTGGGTCTTTGGTTACAAGTTATAGAGAAAAAGTGCATATCAGGTGTGATTGGTCATTTAACATTCTTTGTTAAAGTTAGATTTAACTGTTTGTTTCTGGTTTCCTGTTCTGAATGCTGGTTTATAACTTAGATCAGACTCCTCTCAATGATTAGTCTGGCACACTACATATGATTCATTCACAACATTAAATGATTAACATATTGTGGATAGTTTGCTTGAAAAGAATGACACAATGACAAATAATTATTGAGGCTTTGGCAAATAAGACAGTGATTCCCATGTTTAACTTTGTGACATTGTTAATTAACTGTTAATTTGATTCATTTTTTATCTAGACCTGTCTGATTCTTACTTTGTGTGCAGCACTCTGGGTAAGATTTCACTTGGTTTCTAAGATGTACATGAATTACAAAGACTTTATTAATTAACTGATTTGACACTACTTATTGAGTTTTAGAAGGCTGCCAGACCATTAAATTTGTAGTACGATGAGTATTGAGGTATTTTTGAATGTTACAATCTCAAGTACATTGGTTCTTACCTCAACTGCTTCCTCAGTCCCTCTCAATGTCATTCTGCAAGATGGCATAAAAACATTGGCAATTAACAACATTGGATGGGGAGACCTGATAAAAGACCATCATTGACACTTTTTGGTGAAGTGTTCCAACTAATTTTGTCTGGGAGTGTAGTCTTGTTTTGATGTGATATATAGTTTATAGGGAGATGCTGTAGCCTAATGGTCAGTGCACAGGACTCTGGGTAGAGAGGTCTAGGTGCAAGACCTGGCTGGGTCAGTATGACATGTTCTTGGGGAAGACACTTAATTCTCACAATGCCTTTCTCCACCCAGGAATATAAATGGGCATTGGCAAACTGTTGGGGATGCCTAATGAAATGCTGAAGGGTAAACTTGCGATGGAGGGGGGAGTTTCAATACTCCTAGTCACTTCATGTTACTTGGAAACCTGGATTAGCTCCAACCGGGTTGTGCAATAGGCTCAAGTACAGACTTAACCTTTATAGTTTATAGCATTGTGCAAGGGTAGGGCTCACCACAAAACTTTCACAGCAACCTTTTGTACCCCCTGTGAAAGCTTTTAGTTGGATGAAGTTATAACACTAATAATTTTACCTCTTAACTGAGTTACTGACTGCAGGATCATAACATATTGTTGTTGAACTTATTCTATATTTTAGTGGAAAAACAAGGGACTGGCCTTGGTTTTCTGTATTCTTCAGTATTTAGCCATGACATGGTATGTAAATTTTGAATAGCTGCTTTTATCAAAAATAATTTCTCATGCTATTTGAATATATACATAATTATCATAATTGTGTTTTTGCAGGTACTGCCTATCCTACATTCCATTTGCAAGGTGAGAATTCAACTCTTCCAAGTCTTGTGTTCATGGTCATTAGAACAGTGATTTTATTGTTTTAGGGTAGTGTAGTCCTTAGTGATTGAACTAATGGTTGTTTCCACAATGAACCCAGAAATATCTGCATTTGTGTTAGACAAGTACACATTAAAAATTATCAAATGAAAGGTTGCATGGGATGAAGCTCTCAGAGACTTTTGGTGTAGCATCTGCTTCTCCCTCTGTCTCAGAAGGGAATACATGACAATTTGCAAGAGAATCTAGCAATCTATCAAAAGTTGCATACGGATTTTAACTAAGTAAGCCTTCAAATAATGCAAAACAGTTTGAATGCTGAAAGTTAGATGGAGAGGTCTGTGTTAAATACCAGGCTGGAGGTCATCACAATTCTCAGGCCACTCTTCACCCAGGGAGTTTCAATTGGCATCACCAAACTTTTGGGGTACATTGTCGATTGGCAGGAGGCCAATAATTGATGATTGGCACATTCCTTTTTGCTTTGTGGAAATTGGGATACCCTCTGCCAGTTATGAGCTGCTAGTCTTGTAGAACTTAACACTATTTCTTTCTGTCTTTTTGCATCTTGTTTTCTTTCTTTTAGAGATGCAGTGAAGAAATGTGTCACAAGTTGTATGGCTTAATATATATATTTTTTTGCCAATGGAGACATCAACCAACATGTTCAAAATGTGTACTTACCATTAAAAATTATCTTAATGATCATTGATGTGATGTTAATAATTCCATCCTAAATGTTGAATGAGCATTTTGAATGTCACCTAAATAACAAAGGGTCCAAACAGACCAAAATAGAACAAGGATTATTTGAAAAGGTTAAATTAGTTTGCAAATGTTGAACATTACAAAGTTAGGTTAAATTTCACAAGTTGGATTAATTGTAATGTAGCTCCTCTAAAGAGTTTGCAAACAGCACTTTAGCTTGTGAGCAGGTTGTCTTTGGCAGTTCACCTTGAATAGCAAAGGCTGCAAGACAAGACTCTTGTAGGCATTAATGTACATGCCTTGCTGTTTGTGCCTCAGTTTTTATGAGAGCATGCTTATAGGATACAATTACCAATTAATTACAGTAACTGAAAATCACAAGCATTGTTTAAAGAGGAAGGTGGCAAATGCGACATCAACCTCTTAATCTTTTTTGTCAGAGCAAGTTGTAATGTTCAATGTAAATAAAGCAATTTGTTTAATGATATTTTACAGGATGATGGTGTTTGGATAGAATGGTCAGCAAAGTGTGGGACAGCAGAATATTAAAAAATTTAGTCTTTTTTAGAAGGGGACATGATATGAAGGCATTGCAATGTGTTTGGTTTGAAATACTTTGAAGCTTTATTTTTCTACAATTCAGAACTGTGGTTGGTTGGTTGGTACAATTTATGGCACTCCCCCTTGCCACCTCACCCTTTGTTTACCTAGATGCCAATGCCTGCCTCAATCTTGTTTCGTCTAAAAAATTGAGTTGTTGATTACCCAAGGTTTGCGTTTTTTGGTTGGTTACGTTGTTCTTTTTTGTTGTTATTGTAAATAATTAAAAAAAAAAATTAAAAAAAAATATATACGGTAAAACACACCAAGAGACAACGGATCAGAGAATAGGCCAATTTATAGTTGGGTACTTAGTTGCCAAGCCTTTGATTTGGAGTGAGGCTTAAGTTGACCATATTCCGATAGAAACTAGCATCTAGTTTGCGTAATAACAAAGTCAGTGGTACATTTGAAAAGCAGCAAGGTTTGTATCATAACAAGGTCACTCTAAGCCTCATTCCTATTTTCAAAGGCTTGGCAACCAAGCACGCAACTGTAAAATGGACTATTCGAACTGTTCAAGTATCACCTAAACAAAAACACTAAAAGCTATGTCGAAAAAGCGAGCATCCTCACCGGAAAATGACGAAAGGAAAAAGCAAAAGCTTTCATTTAGTCTTTCTGGGGTCAAAGCTGTGATTGTGGAGGTTGGTCTCGGAAAAACTCGGGCATCCATTTTGGCAAAACAGCTGGAAAGACATGGTGGTATGCATCACAAGAACTTTGAAAGCTCAACAACACACGTGTTGGTTGACAAGAAATTAAAAATAGAGAGACTGAAAAAGTGTTTGGGTGTAAAAATTATTCCTGAAGAAGTATACTTAGTGGATTCTGAGTGGTTGAGCAAGTGTCTGTCCGAGGGGAAACTCGTAGATTTAGAGCAGTACACTTTGGGTAAGGATGAATGTAAAGTTGAAGAGAAAGCTGTTAAAAATGAAGCGAATATTAAAACAAGCGATCAAAAGCAGGCATCAGAACAAAGTGTTGATGAGCAAACTTCAACCACAATGCTTAAAACTGAAGCAATTTCATCAAATGACACAATGACTTTCAGTAAGTCCCCAACAAAACACTTGACCTCAAAAACTCAAGTAGACGATGACAGTGATTTTACCGATAGTGGTGACGAGGGAAGCAAATCAGACAGATCTCCTGTTATTACACCCAACACCTCTCCAGAGAAACTTGGAAATGCAACCTGGGTATGTGCTCATGCCTCTGCTTCACAGCAACATAATCACAACCAACCTATAACTGACAAGCTTCAAGTTCTTGCAACGGCATATGCCAACACTAAAGATCAGTGGAGAGCTCTGGGATATAAGAAAGCTATAGCATCAGTCAAAAATTATCACAAAAGACTTGAAACTTGGGATGAATGTAGCAACCTTCCTTTTGTTGGAGAACGTCTTGCTAAGAAAATCTGGGAAATAGTTCAGACTGGTCATTTACGAAGGCTTGATCTTGTGGATCCTAGACAGGATGCCCTAAACTTGTTTGTTGGTGTTTGGGGTGCTGGGCCTATAACTGCAGAAGCTTGGGTCTCTCAAGGACTGAAAAGTCTTGAGGATCTGACACAGAATGTGAAGTTAACTAGACAACAAGAGATTGGCCTGAAATACTATGATGAGTTTCTAGAGAGAATGCCAAGGGAAGAAGCTGGAAAGATTGAGGAAGTTGTTAAAAAAGCTGCATTTGACATTAACCCAGGATTACAAGCCTTTGCTTGTGGATCCTACCGCAGAGGGAAACCAACATGTGGTGATGTGGACATCATTGTATCACACCCAGATGGGAAATCTCAGGAAGGAGTTATGGCAAAACTATTAGAAAGTTTAAAATCCTCAGGATTTCTTACAGATGATCTTACTTTATCTGACAATGGGGAGCATAGAAAATACCTTGGAGTTTGCAAACTTCCTGGGGAAGATACAAAGCACAGACGTTTGGATATCATTGTTGTGCCTTACAATGAGTGGGCTTGTTCTTTGTTATACTTTACTGGTTCTGATTACTTTAATAGGTCCATGAGACTTCTTGCTAAGAAGAATGGCATGTCCCTCTCAGAGCACTCCTTGAATAAAGATGTTGTCCGGAAGGGAAGTGACAAGATTTTTGAAGGAACTCCACTTCCAGTATTCAGTGAGAAAGATGTGTTTGACTATCTTGGCCTGGACTACCGAGAACCTCATGAAAGGGATTGGTAGTAACATCACAGAGTTTCCCTAGTTTATATAGAATGATAATTCACATTAAAAAACACACCATACTTTTTGACATGCAGACATTTTGATGCTAGCAGTTTAGAGTGGAGCAAGTCACATATGGTATATGCATCTTGTTGTGATGCCTTTTAAAACTGGATAATTTACAAGAGCATCTGCCCTTCATGTAAGACATTTTTCATCAGTTTTCCAAAGCATAGATAGTGTTAGCTCTGGAAATATCACCAACCACACTATACACACTAGATCTTTTTATTTTTTATTCTGTGAAATTTGCATCTAGTGGACAAGGGTTCAGTAAACAAACTACTCCATCCACTTCCTAGTGTCTTATCCTCCAGGTAACATTATTCATCCTTTAAACAACCAGAACTTGATGAGCAGTCTTTGTGCTTAAAATTTTCCTCTATTCAATTTTTGTTTATACTGTGATTCTGTGATGTCTTTTCCCCTATTTGAATTTGGTTTCTTGGTTTTAGTAACAACAGATAAAAGAAATCTCTAAGAGATCCCAAAAGTGTCTGGTACCTTAGCCTTATCACTTTACCTTTGGTATGAATCTTTATACTCAATTGAGTTTCAGTTTGGGTATATTTTTATTCTCTGATTGGTCCTACATGTAGTGACCCTCTCATTAATTTTAAAAAGTAGTTTAGGCAGTCACATGTATACTTATATTATGATTTTGTTGATTTTTATCCAGTAGGAGTTAAGTTATGTATTGAAATATGTTGCAGGCAACAGGTCTGACTTGATGTTGGACATTAAATGATAATTGAAGCATATTTCACATGCTTCAGATTTTGATTAATGTAATGAAATGTTTTAAGACTAGGATTTATTCAACCATCAATATTACGTTACAAAAAACATTTGTATTTTATACTCACACATGTTGTATATTTACTCTTACATTTACCAATTACATCTCTTTGCATGGACAAATTGTATTTTTTGAAGAGTAGTAATCTTTAGAATAAATGTTCAATAATGCTTTAAAAAAATCAATTATTTAACTATGTGGCTGGTGTTACACATACACAACAATAAACAATGGTAAATCTAGGGAGTTGTTTGATAGGAGTGGTGCAACCTTTGATTCTTAAGGTACAAATTTTTTTTCCTCATTAGAGCCTAAATAAACTGCAAGAGATTCCAAGACTTGTAACTATTGGTTATTGTTGAATTTTCAACTCTGAATATTATTTTTCTTATTTTATGATTGGTTCACCCAATTCTGGTTATCAGGTTATATTCCAAGTCACTTATGTTGAAATGCATTACGTCAACTGTTGTGGAGCAGAAGAATGCTCCAAATATCCAAATGTTTAGGATTTAATAAATTTAGTAAAATGATTCCATAAATTTAATAAAATTTATGATGTAATAAAATTTTAATAAAATAATGAGGGGGTATGTACCTTGTTAGCTAATTACCATCTCATATGCAATGCACGCTCATGGAATGATTGGTAAATAACGTGAGCCTGTCGTTGCAAGAACTTTGGTTTTGGGAAAGATTTTTGTTTAAAAAACCTAACAGTCCTATAGGGGAGCTGAATCCCTCTCCCTGGAACTTCCTCTGGTGTATACAGATTATTGGCACAGTTTATGAAAGCCATTAGACATCATAAATTAGAACAATAGATGAGTGCTTGTTTGACAATCTAGGAAATAAGATAATTATTTGGCTACTATTCAAAATTCTGCTCCTAAATTTTATGACTTGAATATATCTCTAACTACTAGTTTTATTAATTCTTCCTCAAAATGTGGTTACTGGTATGTTGATGCATGCCCTCTTTTCATAGAATATCAATTTTAATTTAGGAATTAAATCAGGCAAATTAAATACAGAGATTAACAGAAGATTCAGCAATAGGAGGCACTCATGATAAATTGGCTTTTTCTTTGTAATTGTTTTTTATATGTGACTGTTCATGTGATGATGGCTGAAGAGAAATGGTTTCTGCAACTAAATATATTCTGTACATTATGATCTGCAAAATAAATATATAATAAATATATATATATACAAATATATGACTTTCATATATTCTTAACCAAAATATTATTGATAATAATTTTGTTATTTTCTCTGAGCTTCTAGGTAGCTCAAAATATCTTCTTCCAATTTAAGAGCTCTGGGGAGAATGAAATTTACGTCCACAAAGGAGCCTTGACGGCTCCCTTAAGACCTTAGTGGCGCTGGGTACGCGTTCCCTTCCGGGGTGTTACTTGGTTTAACCCCCATCCAGGGGAGGCCTGGGGTCTAATTGGGATTGTCGACATGGCGGGCAGATAGCCTCGAATCCTTAAGTTTTTTTAAAATTGCGGAACTACAGGAAACTCTGAAGAACCACCAAAAATGGGCTTTCTTTGTGTCAGGGAGGGTGAAGAGTCTCTGATGTGCAATGGAACTTTATATGATCGTCACGAGGAAGCGCTAAACTACAAGGACGGATCATTTTGGGTTTACCTCGGAGTCTACATTGCCTTGGTGTTGTTTGCAGGCGAGTCAGCTTATAAATTATATTCTTTCTCGTAAGAGACTGCAATGATTCACATTTAAGGCGATTTTCAAAGGTAAACGCACGAACAAAAATCGAAGTAGTTGATTCACAACGAAACTAAAGGTATATAAATTCTTAACGACTGGGCGTTATGGTTTAAAGTTCAGAAATAGCTGTCAAGGAAATTTTAATAATTTAATATTCAAGGTTAACTAAAGCTAGCAAAAGTATGGGGATAAAACTTGAATTTGTTACAAAATTCCAGACAAAATTTGATTTGATTATTTTTTTTCAAATATTTTATAATGGACACGAAGATTATTTTTCATTTTTACATTTATGTATGGAAATCTGGAAGGACGAGGTTACGTTTAGTGTCTTTTAAAAGATCCTTTTAGTCTCCAAAAGCTCATAATTTTATGAAAAAGGTTGATTTTCGATTTAAAAATCATTTAGCTTTCAATCTTTCATTCTCAGACCTGGCCTGCACTACTTTTAATGACATATCATTTATGTTTAATTATATTTTTCAGGTTTGATGTCTGGACTGACCATGGGCCTACTATCACTGGATATTTTGAGTTTAAAAGTTCTGCAAAGGGGAGGGAAGCTACAAGAGAAGAAACATGCTGCTAAAATTTTGCCATTGGTAGAAAAACATCACTTGTTATTGGTCACTCTCCTGTTGGCAAATGCTGCTGCAGTGGAGTCTATGCCAATTTTTATGGATAGGATCTCCAGTCCTGTTATTGCCATCTGTGTTTCAGTTACTGCTGTGCTGTTTTTTGGAGAGTAAGAGGATATATATATAAAGCCTTTTTGTCAAAGACAAAGAGAAAACTTTGGGGTGACACAGCTATTTCTATGTCATACACATGAATAGGTCTGTTTTTCTCAGAGAGTTGGAGGATATGGAGGGCTTGATCATGATTATGATCAAGATCTTTTAGAAAACTTTGCAGTGACATGGAAATGTTGTTTGTGTCTCTCTATATATATATTTGGCAAATTCCTTTCTGGAAGTGATGCTTTATTCCAAAGATTGTTTACCTGCTTGTACATGTCGGTGTCAGTTATTTTGTCTTGTATTTTCCCAAATAGATTCAGTAACAGTAACAGTAACAGTTCAAAGCAGATGTTGGCAGGCTCTGTGTGGAGTTTAAGTGAAAGAACTGTCTTAATATGCTGATATAGACAAAGCCGAAGAACAAAGTGAGAACTAAGTAATGCAAAATTTAAGATGCTTTCTTATTGTGATCTTTGTGCATTTTATTGACAGAGTTGTTCCTCAAGCCCTATGTACCCGTTATGGCCTGGCTATTGGTGCAACACTGGCACCGTAAGTTGTTCATCTGTGTTGTTGAATGATGGGTGGAATAACTGTTGTTAGTATATACCACACAAGTGAATAGTGCTCATAGGCACACTGATTGGTTAGTGCGGAAGTGAATAGCAAGTACCATTCACCTCTGAGCAGTGGATGAGACAAAATCACACATCAAAGTTTAATTTTTGACCATTAATGGGTATAATGGAATAAATAAACTAATTTTTTAGTTTCTGTGTTATATTATAAAACAACCATTCACCTCAGTGTTTGTGAAAGTGGCAAATATCCACCACTATTCACTGCCACTGAGGTGAATAATTGTTAATTTTTTTTTTTTTTTTTTTATCAGTGGGGTAAATCCCTCTTTTAAAAACAGTTCATTTGTGATAAAGGTTCATGAAGGAATTTATATAGGCTTTGTGTGATCCTGCTTTTGGGAACTATATGTCAAGTAGTATATTTGCATGGATGAAAATGTATTTCTTGTGATACTTCCTCTCACCAAGTATGTTCCAGACAGTGTATGTTGAAATGGTTTCCAAACTAGTGTGATTCACTCTCTCTCTGGTTCCAGATATCTTGTGATAATCCTTAAACAAGAAAAGGAATATGAAACTCACTCTGAATAAGAAGATAATGTTTTAGTTATGTTTTCAGGAAGAAGTATCACTTAGTTTTGTGGACTGCAATTTCCTGCCTGCTGACTACCTGTGAAATTGTTTCGCTTCGCAGGATGGTGAAATTGCTAATGTTGTTACTGTTTGTGATTGCTTGGCCCATTTCTAAACTTTTGGACTGTCTTCTGGGACATGAGCACTCCACTTTCTTCAGACGAGCAGGTACTACTACTGATAGTTGTCTTGTTACACAAAATGAGCATCCTTTTTAGCTTGGATCATGATAATTTAGCAGTTTTTGAATGAAGAATTGCCTCTAATCTCTATTCTGTTAGAACTACGGGAACTTGTGGATCTTCACAGAGAGTCTGCAGATGCAAATGAAGATCCCCTCAGAGATGACGAGGTCCTGATTATACAGGTATGTTATTGTGTGTGTGGGTTCCCTGTGTCTAGGCACAGCTGAAAGAAAATGCAAGGATATTGCATCCAAAAGGGAGTTTTGGACTGAGAGCTTTTATGAGATGGGGAACTTTTTCCCAGCTTGAACTTTTTTCATAAAGTTGTGTCATCCACATAAATGTCTTATATCAAGTCACTCTACTTAAAGGCATGTTGTGGACAAAAAAGTAAGAGAGTGGGTCCCAAGATCAATCTTTGAGACACTCCTTGTAAAAACTGCTTACTGGTGGAACAGCAGCCATTAATATGCATTTATTATTTCCTGCTTGTAAGATATGACCTAAACCACTTTTTAAGAGTTTTTTGTTAACTTAAAAGGCTTTTTCACAATGACATGGTTGATACTTGAAACTGTTTTTCCAAATTTACTCGTTCACCATATGAAACATGTACAGTATAAATGTGCAAGGCTGGATTAGAATTAGTGTTCAATTTTACACTTGCTATATAGTCCAAGTATTCATCTATGGAAACAGGGATGAGGAGAGGTAATGCAATTTTTCAAGGGTTTTTCTGCTTATAAGATGGTATATTATAAGTTGAGTTATACAGAAGGACAAGAAAAACTTTATTACCACCAATTTAAAAATGTTTCGAGTTGTACTTTCAAATTTGAAGCATTGTGCCATCAAGCAGTCTTGTCTAATAATGGTGTCCTGTTGCTGCAGGGAGCATTGGAAATGAGGAACAAAACAGTGGCAGATAGATACACACCTTTGGAGAATGTTTTCATGCTAGATGCAAATTGCAAGCTGGATCATGACACAATGACACAGGTGAGTGTTCAAGAATTTGAAAAATAGAGCACATTTTAATTGACAGATTTAAAATTAAATTATGGCACAATTGAGGTTATTTGGAACTAGTGTAAAATATTTCCTTCTGTTCTGTCTCACACCATGACTAAGCGGAAACTTCTCTAGCCATAATAAATGGTTTTATACATGAGAAATTTAAACAAAGTTTAACTTTTAGCCCCAAGTGAGTGCCAATTGTATTTCACACTTATGCACCAAATGATTGAGAGGTGGTAGACATTTCCTGGATTACAAATTTAAAATTCTCTATATTTCAATGTTCTTTTTAACTTTTAGACTTGGATAAGTGCCAATTGTATTTCACGCTTTTGTACCAAATGATTGAGAGGTGGCAGACATTTCCTAGAATTCAAATTTCAAATTCTTGTTATTTCAATGTCCTTTTTAATTCTTTTGTTTGGACTCCAGATTAGTGGAAAAGGCCATTCACGTGTACCTGTGTATGAGGGAGACAAAGAAAACATTGTGGGGCTTCTGTTTGTCAAGTCACTTATCATGTTGGACCCTGACGAGGCCACACCCATCAAAGATGTGTACAAAGCTGGATCTTTTCTACGTTCATCTACGACTGAACCTCTGTTTGATTTACTAGACAAGTTTCAGACTGGAAAAAGTATGTATGTGCCTCCAGTGTTTGATTTTGTTTCAGGGTATGATTCAAAAGCCTACAAAATATGAGAAAGTTGGGGAGAGTTGTGGGGGAAGGATTACACTGGGCAAGAGGTACCATTCAAAGGCTATCCGATGTTAAAAAAACCCAAAATTAAATCGAGAATGTGACTTTTTTTCAAGTCTTCTTAATTCAGTTTGAAAATTCCAAGGATGTTCCAGCCGTTATTTGTGAATATTTTAAGTGAGCTCAAACCCAACCCAACTAACTTTTTTCCAGGGTGTCTCTGGTGTTTACATTCTGTGGTACTGTTTATCACGAAAATGAGCCATTGAATTCTTCAACTGAACCTCTTATTATTTTAGGAAAATCTGTAAATGAATATTGAATTTGAAAGCGAAGAATTTTCCTTTTTTTAATCCAGGTCATCTTTGCGTCGTTTTCAAGACACAGATAGACGAAGGCAACAACATGAAATCGGTAAGTAACTGACCTAAGATTGAAATCGTGAGTGAACAATAAGTTGTCCTGTCGAAGGGTTATGAATCTTGAGGTCGATTAATCGAATCTTACATGCAGGAGCGTTACAGGACGTTTGGTTTTACCTTACGTGACATAATCATACGGACTACGTCACTCATAATGTGTTTTCCTTTCACACTGGAATTTTCCAAAGTTCAGCGCATCCATCAGTGACCTTTAGTTTTTTTTTTTTAACGAATTCGAGATTATCTTCCTCTCCCGTCTAGAATGAAACATATATTTAAGAGGAATTGGCGTATTCCAGGCAAGGCTGCGAAAGTCCCTCTTGCTCCCTCATTTTCTCTTGGTTGTGCTTACAGTAATAATAGCGGAACTCTTTTCCTGTCTCATGTTCTGGACTTGAAACAAAAAAAATGCTCAAGTTAAGTAAGAAATTATTTATTAATTACTTCAATTTTGGTTTCTGAGACATATGGCTATTTTGGCTCATCTATCAGAACTGGTACGCTCAAAGGTTGGTACATGTATTCAGTTGGACTGAAGAGAATGGACACGCGCTTGCTACGCCCTTTTGTGCAGCTAGTGCGCGGGTCTAGACCTCGTGACATTTCTTTTCACAAATCTCAATTTTGTGTTGTCTTCGTAGCGAGTTGTTGGCATTATAACTCTGGAGGATGTGCTTGAGTTGTTGATACAAGAGGAGATCTGGGACGAGGCAGACATAACATGTACTCGAAATCCACCTGACGTCAGCAAGAAGGTGTCTTTGGCCAAAGCGAGGTTGAGTAGAATGAAATCAGTCGATGCTGAAAGATCACGAAGACCGCTCAGTCCTGGTTTCAAACCGCCAGAGGTAAGCTGTGGAGTGTAACTGTCGTACTGTTGTTGTATAACACGGTGGAACCTCAGTCTAACAAACCCATTACATAGCATACATTTTTCTAAAGCTGCTACACCTAGACGGGCTGTCAGTCCATCGAAGGTAACCTCCTTAGCTTTTAACTGTTTGCTGGTACTCCTAGCTGGAGAGAGGCTATGAGAGAGTCAAAAGTGTTGTCAAAGAACATAACAAAACGATTCAGTCAGGGTTCGTATTCGGACCTCTCGATCCTAAATTCACACTTCGAAGTCAGCTTCTCACAGAAGAGGGTGGGTGGGGGAGGTGATGCTCAAACCAAATACCGTCTGTGGTATGGTTTAGATATTTTCCCTGAAAACTACCCGATTTGATTTTCACAGGAGGTTCCGGAAAGGACACAAGATTCATACAGTGACACTCAACCTCTTTTAGGGGACAGCCGGGCAGAGAAATCCTGATTCATCGCGATGTGGAGTGGGAGTTTTGTATTGTACTTGATCATTGGTACGTCATACTTTTACGGACTTTTAGTGATTAACTATGGATTTTGCATCGGAGTTGACTGCTATGATCGAAACATGAAATATATGTTGTTTGTCATTAGGCATGGTAGAAGGGTGATGCATCAATAGAGTTCATTTCTATTTAGTATCGTGAAATTGAAACTAGAACAATCACAGAAGCAAATCAGAACGATGTTAAGTTACAGGCAAGCGCGGGAAAGTGCGAGTAACCAAGTTGCGAGTGATAGTTTTGCATCTGATTGGCTAAGAAGGTGATTGATCTGGACCGGAGTTCTCTATGAATCTCCTTCGCTGCTCTCCACTCTTTTCCTCTTTATCTTCCATTCAACAACTTACGTGCATACACACGTCTACGTACCTCTAACTTGCTTCTCTTTAAACCTCTTTTATTGCTAACGTTACCACTTAAAATGTAAAATTTGGGCAAAATCGCCCTTTCGCTTGATTGATACTTTCCTCTCTAACTATAGAATTAAATATGGACCATAGCTAGATATTGATGGACTGTTGATGGACTGTTTCCATAAACCTCTTTACAACTATATTCCTTTCGTAAGAACGATAAACTGATATTGTCTGTCGCGAAATTGAAATACAATAATTTGCATTTGTAAGTTTCACGCTTTACCTGATTTATAGCTTAACGAAAATGATTTTTCCTTTCGAATATTTTATATGTTTCGCGACAAATTTATGGATTAAAAAGGAGTAAATACGAGTAACAAATACAATTCAGCCTTTTTAGGAATGGCTAGATTTTGTATATTATGTTACATGTAATTGGTACTCTTGTTTCTTATCATAACACCTACAAGACAGGTTAAATTTTTGTAAATGTACCTAAATAAAGGTTTCAACACATTGTAGTTCTCACGTTGTCTTCACAACCCGAGGTTTCGCCTATCGATATACAGGAGCTACGATTGTAGCACACGTTCTAGAAACAAGTTGAAAGATATTCGGCTCTCAAAGGTCAAGAAGCACTTATCTTCGTGAAATGTTAGGCTCTGTTTATAACGTCTCTTTCTTTTTTGAGAGAAAGGAAAAATGAGATAGCGAAATGTAGGTCTTTTTAACCCCTAAATTGAAATGTTTCCACTATTTACAATCAACTGTACGACTCTTATTGACAGCTGCTGTTATCCGCAGCTGTATGAAAATGATTGGTTGATTCTTATGGTGATGTAGTGGTGTTTGTAAATGACGTAGGACTAATCGCTGCAGCTTCGAAAGACTCGTCATATAAAAATCCTGAAAGGTAAAATGGAACATTTAAAGTTGCAGTTATGCGCGTGCGTTCAGTTTAGAACCTTAATGAAATATATTGGTATACATCTACTTTATCGACTAGCGTTCAATCACAAATGGTGAGATCTGATTGGTTTCGCTACACGCTATCTACTCCGTAGAACATAGTGAGTAGCCTGACAAAAACGAGTTTAAACGAAAAAAAAATTTTTTTTGTCGCCGTAGACTACAACTAGCTACCTTATGTTCAAATTTATCCAGTATTCGAGGTATTTTAGGGAAAACACTTATCGGAATGCCTGAAAGGAGTATTTGAAATCTAAAAGTTAAGGGTGAAAGAATATGGGTCAGCCAGACCTTAAAACATGAGAGATATGACCTTATGGCTTACCAGCAATACTGGCCGTCATAAAGCAGGCTATTGTAGCTGCAAACAGGGTCCTTATAGCAATTCTCGCCATGTCCCCCTCTCGGCTACGTGCCATTGGACCCAGTCCTCCAAGTAACACACCCAGGCCGAGAAAATTTGTAAATCCACACAAAGCATAAGTTGTAATGACTTCCGATCGACGCTATAAGAAAATGAGAAAATGAAAGAGTCACAGGAAAAAGGTGGAATTACGCGATAAAGAGATATAGAATTTCCATTTTTAGAAGGTGTTGTGTGTACTCTGTAAATAAAACTGGTCAGGTGGCCTCTCGGTAGCCTTCCGTAACCTTTCTAACCAAAAAAACTTCGAAATTTCTTAGGAAACGTTCAGCTTTCCCAGGAAATAAGCAAAACATCCGCAGACTATCGCAAGACTATCAAAACGACCATCTGCCCACTTCCTAATTGTGTAGGTGAACTGCTTATCAGAGAATTGTTAAATCCACTTGGATTAAACCCTTTATATCCTAACATCAGTATGCAAGTCCTTCCTACTGTTCGCCATACATACCCTTAGGTACTTACAGGGAGAATTTGTCTAACAGTCAAGAGTTTATTGAGGTTGCGATCATTTCCTTTGTTCTCATTACCTTAATATATGATTCAGGGGTGATACTGTTGGGAGAAATAAGACGCTTATCACTGTCAGGCGTCAAATGGGAGTTACCATGAAGTGATTTCTCTATACAACGTCAGTACATCATTAAGCAGAAAAGTGACGAGAATGACGAAAAATATCAACTGCGAGATATCATTTGATTCAACAACAACTTCTCAGAAGTAAACTTTTTGAGAAGTTTATGGTAGTGAGTGGGGAGAATCGCTATTGAGATCTTAGTCAATGGTGTTACATTCTTACTGATATCGTGGGTCCTCCATTCATTTCGTTTCGGTTCTTTATGTATGGAGCCATCTCAAGGTAAGCCACGAACTCGTTGAGAAATGTTTTTATCCCGAGGAACCTCCCCACAGTATTGCAGTCGGCCCAGTCTACTCCCATGAGAAACGCAAACGGCATGAAAAGGTAGGAGCAGATTACCTGAGGTGGAGAGGAAAATAAAAAGGTCCGTTCCTTCAAAACAAGTCATTAGGACATTTGGAAGCAAGAATTAATCAAGAGAAAAAGAAGGGAACATAAATTTGGTCTCGATTGAAGTACATTTGAACAAAAAGGTAGAAAATTAAGTATTACAAAAGCAAATTGCCATCAAATGTCCATGGCTATTTGTTTACAGTAGACATAACTACCGTGTTTCAATTTTAATCAAAGTTGACTCTCGTAACTAATACCTCGCGAGAGAAAGCGCGCATGGCAGAGTAACCTTAAAAAAAATTTTGAACTCATCAAGACATATACGAAAGAGTAAAACCAACTCTGTTGCAGTTATTTCTGACACACACCGAAGTCGCACAAGAGTTGCGCTTGGATTCGGTTGTCGCGTTGACCCCAGACGGGAGCACGCCAAGTTTGCATTGGATCGCGCTAAGATCGCGAAGGTACGCGCGCAACAAGATTGCATTAACTTCACTGCTCTAATTTTCCCTGATGCCTTGGTTTTGAATACATGGTTGATAATTTACGATTTGATTAAACATACACGTAATCTAATTAAATTTATACTAATGGTTGAAAAATTATGAATTTTTCACCTGAAAACTAAGTTCGGAGTATCCCACCATACTTCCAATATAAGACAGCACCGCGTTGAAGAACGCGATAAAAGCAAAGAACGTGATCAACATGGCGGCAACGTTGGCGACCAAAGAAATTGCGGTTGATGCTCCTTTGGCAGCAGCCTCTATGAGATTTCTTTCCTCGCTTCACAAAATTAAATAAAATAAATTGGGCACTGAGAATAATGAAAAGATTATATCGCAAAGATTCTTTTAATACGTGCGAGTTAAAATTAGGGGAACATGGGAGATGACCTCGCGCAGGAAGCGCGCGTGAGTGCAAAGGGTAACTCCTTAGCCTCTCAGTTACTTGTGCGATTTAACTTGAACACAAAATTAGTTTTAGGTCTTCGCTCTTGATGAAGGGCTCGTTCAAGGCATTGAATTATAAAATAGTTCAAATGGTACGCGCGCTCTGGTTGGCCATAAAACCATTTTACATGAGCGTATGTAAACACGGTTTTCGTTCCTCTTTCATTGGTTATTTTATAAAAGAAAAGTAAAATGGTTTCCGTGTTTACATAGCCTGATGTAAACACTTGGGAGGTTGGGAGAACACTCGATAAGCTGGAAATCACTCCGCTTCGCGTCGTGGTTTCCTACGCTTATCTCGTGTTCTCCCAACCTACCGCGTGTTTACATCAGGCTATGTAAACACGGAAACCATTTTACATTTCTTCATTATTATTTCAAACTTTGATACTACGAACTTACGGATTGTCGAAATGTATATCGCCCTGTGAAGTGGTCTGGGGTACTTCTGTCTCTGGGTACATGATTTTAGAAACAGCCAGAGCAGCAGGCGCTGACATTACCGAGGCTGCGACCAAATGTGAGGCCTGGATCCCAACACCGATATATGCTGCCATTATTCCCCCTGCCACTGTAGCCAGCCCTCCTGTCATGACCGCATGGAGCTCGGATTGAGTTAAAGTTGCAAGAAATGGTCTTATCATTAAAGGTGCTTCTGTCTAGAAAAATTCAAGTGGAAAGAAATTGACGTTAGACGAAGAGAAACCGAGGTTATTGGGAGCCACACTCGATGCATTCGCTGGGATATGGTGACACCTCAATTGAATTTAGGTTATGACATGTCCGAAATGGATGAAATCCTTTTTTTTTTATGAACGTCTGCAATGTGACTTCTCGCAAAGGAAACACCATTTCCCTTCTTTAACTGACTTAAGAGTAACTAAAATAAGCTAAGATCTGAACCAGGAGCCACCCCCACCGTCCAGTCAAGTAAAGTCTTAAGTGTCAATCCGTTAGAGAGATACATGAGATGCAATTCACATGATACCATCAGGAAAGGCGCTCAAGAGGGTTATCACATTACCTGTCCGACGAAAATATTTCCAGCGGCCGAGAGAGACTCGGCAGCTGATGTCCCCATGGTGACCTGCATGAGCCAGGCAATCTTGGTGATGATCAGCGGCATCACACCCAGGTAGTAAAGAACTGAGATGAAAGAGCTGAAGAATATGATGACCGTTAGAACCTGGAAAAAAATTGTAGAAAGCTCCATAAACAATGAGGAATACTTCAAGAAGGATTATTTAATATCCATTTTGCAAAAGAGTGGTGACGCAATCTCAACCCATGCAAAATACTTCGAAGCGAAGATTTTTAGGTATATTCGGCTCGTAGAAAATGTTCATTTCAAATAATTTTTAGTCGAGACAAGTTGGAAAAACATCTTTGCACCAAACTTAATTTAGTGGTCACAGAGAGAGTAAGTCTCGATTGAGTTTCGATAGCATTGCTTTGGTTTTGCTTTACTTCAGTCTGTGATTGGTCTACAAAACTTGAGTCATACTCTGAACCAATCAGACGCCAGACGCAAAAAAATCGTGACTTGGTCGCCCGTTTGGTAGTTTGTTTGTTTTTACTTTGAGTGCTCATTGACTAATGATGACGCAGACCTTTGCTATGATCGGCCGTTGTGATTATTTTGGTATTGGTATTTCGACTGCGAATTGAAAACTGCTCTATGTCTGGAGGGCTGATATTACCACACTTTTACATGCAAGAGTTTCTTTGGGATCTTTACAAGCAGTTCGTTTTAATACCTTAAATGCGATATAGTGGGACGCAAATTCATTTCCGAATACAAATGCAGACCCAACATCCGTGTAGTCGAGAAATCTTGCCACAGTGTCTCCGATAAATTTAAAGACTGTGAATCCTTGAGGGGTCCTGAGAATTATCAGAGCGAACACAAACTGCATTCCCATCCCCCACAGGACCGGCCTCCATTTCACCTACGAAAAAAGTACATTGAAGTGATAAAAGCGTGGATCTCTACTTTCTATTTCTAGTTTTACCCCGACGCTTTCGAATCGTTTTTTTACTAATTTTTCCTCTAAACCTTTTTTTAAGTGTCTTGCATTAAAAGCGTAGCTCGCAAAATTCTTTATTATTAGAGTCTTTAATACTCTCTTCATCAACCAAGGTACTATCAGCCAATAAGGAACAAAGTTATCAAGCACTCGTAACGTTAACACCATTTGATTCAGGGAACTATTTCCACGCTTTTAGCTTGCCATTCCTCTGTTGTTTTTGCCTAAAGTCTTAAATGAATTATAAAAGAGAAAATCCTCTTTTGGTTTATAAAATTTGTAATCCTGCCTTTACCACAGTTACCCCCACCATCATCATCGTATTCCCCCCTGCCCCACCCACGTGCGTCTCAGTGCCAACTACAAACATAGTTTTCCATGACGTATGCGCATGCGCAATTGTTACTGAGATTCCGACTCACTTTTTTTCGGTGCACCGAAAACGCGTAACTAATTCCGACATAGACCAGCATTCCTAGCACGGATATGAATCTTCTCGGCTCCTTAGCTGTGTCGAGACCAAACCACAAACCAATTAACGTCAATATCACGAGAAGCACAATCCTGTGGGAAGATTAATGAGTATCAAAACAAAACAATGAAAGAACTAACTTACAAAAAAGTTGCATACCGCATTTTTACAAAGATATAACGCTCTACTGTACAAGATCAGTTATTGTTCCTGAAGACTTGCTCATTGCGACAAACGGGCGATTGACATCGCCGACCGCGCAGGGCTCCCCTATACGATAGACTTTAATGAGAGTTAAGTGCACAGGTGGTATGTTGAGGACCATCCAGCGGATAAGTTTTAAAGCTGAGCCATCCCAGAATTGCGTTTACGTAGAACGCTTTAATTCTAAGGATTTATAGTCTCATCTCTAGTGAAGAGTGGGTCCTCATTCGGATGGTTTCAGGTGACACTCTTCTTCTTTAGTACCCCGCCCAACGATCACAAGGAAGTTTCCCTTTGAGCGATCCAACTTTCGACCAATCGTTACCTCTGCATAAAAATTGCGCACACATCTTGGGTAACTCATCTGTATACTAATTATTCCATTGAAGTTATTCAAGTAACTTACCATCTAAGGATCCTCCATTTCTTTCGAACCAGTGAAATAACGGGTAAACAACATAAAGTGTAAATTTCCCCTCCACAGTGGTCACGAATAAACATGTAGATCACGCAAAACCAGAATACCAGCGAGATGGCGAAGAGCCCTCTTACATGGTGAAATCCACTGATACTGATGGCTACAGCGCCCGGTAAGAGAGAAAAAGGCACTCAGTTCTATCGAACTAATTTTATCCTGGTCTACTCCAATACACTGCGGTAGTAGACGTTCTTGGGATGATCTTAGTAAAATTTTCCCCTTTTAGAATTAATACCAAGGGTCCATTTGTAAAATTTATAAATTAACATCTGATTTCTATTCCCTGGCCTTGTTCCCTTGATTCTGTTGTCTCCTTGCAGCCGTCTCCGGGATGTCACGCAACGAATTTAAGGGTGGGTGGTTGCGTGATATGTCTGAAAAAGCTGAGAGGGAGAGAATTGATCCGATCACACTTTGACTCATTCGCTTCACCTCATTCACCCTATAACTAATCGCTTTACCTCTAACCTATGACCCTGTTGTTTGCTTGTGACTCAGTGGCACTCACCTATAACTGTGTAAATAAGCAGTAGAAGCGAAATGACCACAACAATGACCTGAAAGGAGTAACGGTCCCAAAGGACATGCAAAGTCCTTATCCGTCTACGCAAGCCTTTTTCCTCAGAGGCTGCGCGTGGCCTTCCACTCTCGAGCGCGTCCGCAATGTCAATGTTATCCATAGCCGTGGAATACAAAACTGAGACCTGAAACAACGAAACACAAGCACATTTATTATGAAAAAGAACACCTATGTTTGAAATTCAATCTGCTTTATTCAATCGCTCTCTAATTGGCTCAAAGGCTGCGCGCTGGTATCATGCGTCTAGGAGAAAGAATGTAGGAGTCTACCATTTTTCTCTCCTTTGCTGCCGCCGGTAGTTTGGTCATTCTCGCGACACGCTCCTTGGCCCTCATCAACTGTTGCAGAAAGTGTGCTTTATGGCTTGCTAGACATACACTTCCGTCATTAATGGTCTGAGCAAGCCTTGCCGGGGAAAAATAGAGTAAACGTGCTTTTTAATCAAAGGTGATTTAATAGTAAGGGTCTGGTAAGAGTGGTATGGTATGTTTACATCATCCTTTCCCCCCGCAAATACATACACTCTTTTATTCAAACTCGTTCTAAATCGAAATCCCCTTACCTGAATCAAGCTCGTGTCAGTGTGTATTTTTCTCTTGTGCGGTTTTTACGATTAAATGCGATGATGAACGGGTTATCTTCACAGGATTATCACAAGCTTCTAGCGGAGCTAGTTACAAGAAGGGGAAACTAATTACTTTTCCTCGCCCCACCCAGTCTCTTGTTTACTTAGAGGAAAGGGGTAAAACCTGTACCTGCTATAGTACGTCGATGTTTGTTCTTGTTATGCATAATCGTAAAATTAGAAATTCATCGGTTATAGCCCCCCCCCCTTCTCCACTCAGCTGCAAACAAACAAACAAAAACTAGATAAAAGGAATACACACTCGTCCCCAACAGGAGAGGGGGGAAACTTTAAAAAGCGGGGTTTGTTATGTCGAGCTGCTAAAACTCCAACCCTGTTTATAGGTAAAACCAAAATCGTTTCAATTCGCCTCCCAGCCCAAGCGAAAAAATTGCTATGGATTGTAGCATATCGATGTCAGACAGGAGCGTCTAGCATATTGCCATGCATTTTACCGCAGCCAAAGAGTACTATACCGTAACAAAAGAGTAGCTTCCGGGCATCCGCAACATCGGACATCAACGCCGCGAGAAGAAAAGTGTCACCAGGGCGGACAAACGAGATTGGCTCAAGAGGTGTTGTGGAAATGTGTAGAGGTTTGATATTGAATGCTATCATGCTTTGATGAACATGTGTTTTGGTCTGACAAGCAACACGAGGTGATAATTAAATGATGATGTTTTGGTGGACGTTAATTAACTTCACTATTAGCATGATTTCGTAATCACATACAGAAGATTAAACAAAGTTCTTCCATAAAAAGCCAAGTTACAAATTTTCTATTACTTTTTTACTTGATGATCTCTTGAAGGTTATATTGCAAAGAAGTTTGCTACTTTCAAAGTAATCATGGTTGTGTCAAGAGTTCATATGGATTAAGCAGTGTAATAGGCCTCTACTCAATGTCAGCTCAATGTTGTGACTTAGCTTCTATCGGCGAGATTTTACTTCAGCTACCCTATTAATGTAGATGTGCGATCATGCCACGTTGTTGATGAACATCGCTGGCTATCTCTATCTTATTTAGAACTAAACATTTACAAGAGCCACAAAATGGACCCACCTGATTATAATCACGATTCATTGCAAGTCGATGATTAGTGAAATCCGGCGCTCTGCCACGTGGAAGCCTTTGATCGATGCTTTCTCTGTATCTTCAGCGTCTTAGATCAAAGATCACCTCGACAACAACTTTACATGAACGCTACATGTTCTGCGTTTTCAAATCGATTGCAAGTTTACTTAGACCGAGTGCAAGCAATTGACAAACCGTTCGCGGCGTCAACTTGTGATGGCTTATTAATAGGTGATTTATGTGATTAAAAATGCAAATTTCTTTGCAGCTATGGTGATGTATTAGATACGGTTGGGTGCGCTAGGTTTGTTGAATGGAATTGGAAAGTTTATTTAATTTTGCAAAAAATAAAATAATCCCGTTGTTGGTTTAAGATCCGCCCTTTAATAGATATTCTTGAAACTTGTCCAAACTTCCGTTCGTCGAGTGGCTTATGGACAAAAAGCTCCTTTCGAGAATTAGTTTCAACATTGATTTAGCCGTAGTGATCTAGTAGCCTTTCTCTACTGGAGTCAAGAGTCTCAAGAGTCAGAGTCATCCGTCTTCGCCTTAGAAACCTCTTCAGTAATATTGTTTCTATAAAGATTTTAACAGTAGATGAGACCTTGTACGGTAAGGCTTGTTGGTACCTCTTCAAGAAATGGGAAAACTAAAACTAAATGTAACCTTTATGTGGAACACGTCTAAAAATTCCTGGTTGGAAATTTATGATTTGGACTTGTTTCAGGTTCCAAGACCTAAAGAAGAAATCTCATCGAAACTCTTCGTCGAGATCTATACAAATAATGAACACAAATTACATGCACTTTTGCCAGAAGTGAACACATCTACTTACAGCCTCGGGAACCAAAGACTACATAAACTATCAAGATGTAGGACTGAACGTTGCAAGAACAGTTTTATTCTAAGTCACGTTTTTAATAACTAGATATTTAATTAATTGCAATCATATTTTTAATTATATACTATATTATAGGGTCTTTATAGTTTTCTTATTGTATTTATATATATATATATATATATTTATAGGAAGTCTGCAAGTCGATTTTCGCGTGGAACAGTGCTCAATACGTTGAAGCAGAGCAGAATAAATATTATGAGAGGAAAAAAGGACGCAACTACATTTCCCGACAAGCCTGTTTCGTGAATTGCTTCACTCTTCAGGGGTTTAATGAAAGAATATTCATGTGAGTATCGTGTATATACTCGGAAAATTTACATAATACGCGGTAAACTTAAAAACTTTAAAGTTCAGCTGTTGCGTAGCAACGCTTTGTTTCTGTGTCGGCATGAAGATACGAGTTCGTTACGCTTATTTAGTGATGAGAGGTCGGGTCGGTAAATTGCATCTTTTACTGGAGCTGTTGTAGGGAGAGTTAGATAATAAGACGCGCCATGAAATAGAATAGTCAATGTCGTCGTTCTTGAGTGTCCAGATGTGTTTGCTAAGTTCGGTAGAGTTTTTGTGCTTGGCGTGGCAAAAACAAGACAAAAACAAGACACAGAAATCACACCGCATCATTCCGCCAACAGCTCCAGTAAAAGATGCAACCTCTGCCTAAAAGAAAAATTCCTGATAATTTACCGACCCGACCTCTCATCACTAAATAAGCGTAACGAACTCGTATCTTCATGCCGACACAGAAACAAAGCGTTGCTACGCAACAGCTGAACTTTAAAGTTTTTAAGTTTACCGCGTATTATGTAAATTTTCCGAGTATATACACGATAGTCACATGAATATTCTTTCATTAAACCCCTGAAGAGTGAAGCGATTCACGAAACAGGCTTGTCGGGAAATGTAGTTGCGTCCTTTTTTCCTCTCATAATATTTATATATATATATATATATATATATTAGCAATTGTAAGCTAGACGTAATTCAGCCTATGGATGCTATGTTTTTAGTCAATAAAACTATCTGTCTATCTATCTATCTATCTATCTATCTATAGTCCTTCGCGTTTTCTTTTCAATGAAGGACTAAGGTACGTGCAGATTGCTGCTAACCCAAACCATGCTAGTAGTCAGAAAAGACGATAACAAAAAAAGGTGAGATCGTAAAACAGCTGCAGTCTAGTCTCATCGCCACCACAGGTACATGTATCTACCTCAGGTACGAGACGTATTATTTAAAAACACTTGTGCTTGTCATGTTGATGACCGTTTATTTTCATCCATCTAGCTTTTAATTCATATCAATCCGTAACAAAACTAACCGAAATAAGATGGACATGTCTGACTCATATGCCTTAGATTTTCCATTGGTATTTTTGTAATTTTTCAATATCAAACGCATGTGTCTGAAATTGGACGGAAACGTCCAAAATGGGACAGAAACGACCGAAATGGGAGGGGAGTACCAAATCATTTGTGAAGTACCTTTCCTCTTGTGTCAGAGTCCCATCCGACTCTATCTCGTGTAAATTTAAATCCCATGATTCAGTGGGCGCACATGAAACACGTGGTAGGACGCTAACAGTTTTCTTTGTAACAGTTTTCTCTCCGTAAAGGTGATGTACGGTAGGTTATTTATTTCTTGACTTCTAGCGAACTGTCTGGTTATTTTCTAAATTCTTAAAGCTAGTTAACCACACAAGGAGGAAATCGTTGTGAACTTGCCTCAGCTCATTTACCTCACTACTGAAATGCATTTTTCTCGTTTTTCCTTAGAGTTTTTTCCTTTTGTAATCCGATTGACTGCGGTGATTAATTTCGTTTTCGTTTTATGATACTTAATCATATTTCGCTCTAAAGCCAGATAACTGTTTACTAGTTGTGAAGGAAAAAACGCATAGCATTTTGGCTCTTTCACTCTCTTTCACTCTTTCACTTCCAAGATCTGAATTTCACTTCTTTGCAATGTTTGCAATGCATTCTTTTTTATTTTGAGCTGTTAAAAGTTTGGTGTTAATTCTAAGAACATCTCTCCGTTTACAATTTCTTTTTGCATATCAGCTTTCTGCTCAAAAGTTTATTGTTATTATTATATATAGGGAGAAATTGCTGTTTGGTCACTCTTGCTGGCTAGAGATTTGATAACTTTTCTGTAAGGCCCCCACATTCTATCTGTGAGTGTTTAGGATAATGAAACCTTAGAGAAGGGGCTCATGATATTATGTTCAGATCATAATTATATTCTGTGTTATTAAATTTCATTCACATTGATGAACAACGGTGAAGTTATGAACAGAATGGATGATTATTCCATTAACTCTCTTTCAGAGTGAATGAACTCAGTAAGAGAGTTCAAGAACAGAGAATGGTTCTTCAGCCTAAGACTCACTTTATTTTGTTTGTCTTACTAGGATACCTTTGTTGATTAAGACTTAAAGCATGGGGTAAAGGAAACAGGTAAATTAGTGATGATTTGTCCTTGTTTTGTTTGTGGAAGAGACTATTTACTTAATAAAAATGATTTCTTGGTAGATAGTTACTCATCACAGGGTCTCCCATACTTGGAAGACATTTCAGAGTATTTGCAATAGCAATTTTACCCCTTATCACCAATTACTGTTCTTTTTACTATGTGTCTGTGTTAGCTTTGATGAAAGTGCAGGGGTCCTGAAACCAGTTACAGATGTGGACTGGCTGACATAGCAGCACTGTCTTTGCACTTGTGGTAGAAGGCTTTGTTGATGTGTTGGGATTCTGCATGTGCTGAGCTAACAATTCTTAACCCTTTACACCCTGACAGTGGTATTCATATTCTCCACATTGTTATTTTTAAATTTCCCTCGTAGTACTGACAAGGAGAATTTGATGATCTTATCCCATATTCTCATGACCTTTATATTTGATTCAATAGTGATTCTGTAAAGAGAAATTAGAGGCCAGTCACTCTAAGGGGTTTAAGAGGTAATGGGACTTGTTTATCTACTTAGTTGTTCCTCCATTATTTTATGTAAATTTTGATTGTGGTTTTCTCTTTTTTTTTTTTGAGGTCTATGTTGCTGCCATCAGGGACTTGAAAATGTAACTTGCAGTATGTTTTTGAGGCCAGGATATTTTGCAGATTCTTGTAGTGAACAGCTGGGCAGCTGAAACTTACCACTAAGAAAAGGTTCTGAAGACTATTCTTGATGTCAGGAGATGCAAGTGCTAAAACCCTTAAATGAAATACTTTCAGTGCATGCCTAACTGCAGCCATTTTTATCAGTTCTGTTGCAATGTCATTGACAAAAGCCTTTCTCATGACCCTCTACATTCAGACAACCACACTGTATCATTGAATGGTACTTCCATTGACAAATAAAGTTTTGTTGAGATTGACTTGTGTTTATCTATTATTGACAAAGAGTTTTACCAATCATCGACATAAAATCCTCTCTGCCTCAGGGTTGCTGAATGGTAGAATGATGTTCATCTCTTCATAAGGTTTGAGGCAGAGATGGAAGAAAACTAAACTGTTACTTTGTATTTCAGAACTGTATCTTATTATTAACACTCAACTTGCCTTCAAGAGATAATTATTACTAGTAAGTTTGCACCACATAGAACACAAGTGTATCAATACCAATGCTACATACCTGGTGTACCAGTAAATTGAACTATTGTGTTCTCTTTTGTCTCTGGAAACAAACAAGACTGAACATTTTAAAACTAAATTCCAATGTTGGGCCTTGCCAGACATGGGGTGGGGTTTTGAGGGATGCTGATAAATTATTTTATTAATTTTACCTAGTGTGATACCACTGTACCATATAGCAAAGAAAAAAAAACACTACAAAATAACTTGGTTGATAGTTTGTGGTTTGTATTTGTACACCAAATATCAAAATATCATAAAGAGTGAGATAAACTTATGCCTGAGTAAAAAGAATCCAGGATACCTGAATACCTGGGCCTGCAATACAAAGGCACCAATCCTACAAGACAATAAGGTCGAATGCAGGCAGAAGGACATGTTTTGATAACAAAATTTCTAAAAGAGTGGATGGACAGGATAGCAAGCTATGTTCACGAGCAGTATTTTTTTCTTAGTGGCCTCTTGATACTTCATACACCAAATTCATGGAGTTTTCCAGCATGAAGAATCTCTATCACCAGAATATTTCTGTATTTAGAAATTCAATGTTGAGCACTGAAACTTCAGCACATTGTTCTGGAAACTGAACTATAGAGTTTCTGAGGCTTATTCCTCAGAGCCTTTCAGTAATGTCTAATTCTTCCACTACGTGTTGTTTTTTTCTTGCTGTCAATTTTACTGTGTCCTTTTGTGTAGCTTTCTATTGAGGGTTTTGGAAGGATTTTTAATCAGTGTGTCCTATGCCAGAATCAAGAAGCTTGCATGAGATGTTTTTCACTCCTAATCACCACTTTTAAACCCTAGGAGGGCAACTGTCAATATGAAATGTAGCCTTAGATTCCCTTTTTCTTTGTTCATGCCCTTTCTTTTCCAGCTTCCAATCAGTTTATGGGGTTACAGTCCTACCCTTGCTACCGCTTGTGTCTGGAGATTACATTGAAGGCCGAGGGATAGGGAAGTTGATTGGGATCTGGATCCTAATTGTGTTCTAGTGCCATTCCTACACGGTAGAATTGCCTTGTAGAAACTTTGTTTTGCACCGCGTAAACAGGTAAACCAGCTTTCAATGTAGTTCACCCGCGAATAGTGCGTTTTACGGTCGGTTTTAGAATGACTTCCATTCAGGAACTCGAACATTCGGCCGCCATAATGATGGTAAGAGTTCAGATTACTCCTTTTAGCCCATTTATTTTCATATGAACCGGTTTAATTCGCACGTGGGTTTTCAGGCTCCGCCAAATGCTGTGACGCATCAACAGCGCCAGTCCGCCGAACAAGTGTTCCTGAGTTTTAGAAGATCAAAGTCACCTTACCTGGCATGCAGGCAGATCCTAGGTAACCAATATTGTGATCTCCTTTTGATCAATTTAATTCTTAGTTTAATTGATCACACAATCTTAAAGTCATCTTTCAGTCTCTCTCGTGTCTTCTCCATCATGACGATAGAAAAAGGACAAAAAAAATATCAACATTTTATTACAAGCCCTACAAGAGCCCAGATTGAAGAACGGTTTTAAAACTAACTTATTCATATCAGTCTTGAGTTAAAGTTTCCGCACAGCCCCATACTATTGTAAAACAAATCTGTTTTCCCAATGGAAATGTATTGTTTTTGTCATTGCTTCTCCATTCAAGAACTGAATGCATAATATAGGATGGGGCTGTGCGGAAATTTTACCACATACCTATTGCTAAAATTATTTTATACCAAACTAGTGTATTTTGCCTCTTAGTATATTCCACACAGGTGAATAGTGCTTTTTGTGTGTGCTGATTGGCTAGTTTAGAAGTGATCAGCAACTACTATTCACCTTCAGGCAGCTGAAGAGACACAATAATGCATCAAGAGTTTGGTTTTTGACCATTTTTTGGTTTTTTGAAAGAAATGAACTCATTTTTGGTATTCTCTGAGGTGTATTCTTACCTCAGAGTGGGTGAAAGTGGTGAACATTTGCCAAACAGCATTCTATGCTTTCATTAAGACTGGGCATTGGCTGGGGCTCCAGCAGGTATTTCTGTCTTGAATAGCAATGTCTGCTGTATTTATTTGAATAGCAATGTCTGCTGTATTTATTTGAATATAAAGAATAAAAATCTGCCATTCTGGTTATTTGATATCCAGTGAAAATATCAGGGGAGGTTTTTCAGCTTCAAAGGTTGTTTAATCTTGAGAATTTCTGTTTTTTGTTGTCTTTCCTTCCCTTTTACACCTCAGTTTCAAGTCATCATAAAAGAAAGCTTATTGTGGGTGTTGTCTCTCACTAATGGACACTCAAATTCACTGAGATTATTGTTTTATTATAGTTTGTTAATTTTCATATGTTGTTTTATGCGTGGAGGGTAAGTTATGAAAAACTTATGAAATTAAGTTTTTCACCTTAAAAGGATTGTTCTTTTTATTTGTGCAGAGCAAAGCAAGAATGATTATTTGCTGTTCCAAGCTGCCTCAACAATCAAAGAAGCCATCCTTCGCGAGTGGACAATTCTTGAAAAAGCAGATGTGGAATCCTTGAGATCATTCCTGTTGACATTTGTGACTCATAAACAAGGGTAAGAAGAAAAGCAAAGAATTTCATTTGAGTGAAGAACTTTGAAAATACAGATTGGGAAAGAATGGTGCATTAAATTGAGACTATTTTGAGGATTCATTCATGTGTAATATTTAGCAATTATTACTCTTGTTTGTTGAAGACACACAGGCCTTTTGGTATGAGTACTTGAATCTAGATCAGGAGTTAAGGCTTGGAGCCCTGACTGTGTCAATTTGTTGTTGATCTCGAGATCTTGTTTGTAACTCTCCTTGCTGTCTGCCATACAGTTCTTGTGATGTTAGTTTGGAGAATTTGGTATTGGATCAACTTGTAATCCCCTAATTGATATTTTTCTTTATTCCCATCACTTGTCTGCTTGATATTGTATTGATATTGTAAGGAGAAATTCTGTCTTGGTCACCTATGGGAGTTAAAGGGTTAAAGTATCACTTATGTAAACTTGGAAAAGTCAACATGGAGGAGAAAACCTTGGGGGGAAACCTGATGCAGTACTGAGGGATGAAGTGTCTGTAATAGACCAGCATTCCATCTGGGAAGAATAAATATACTTCCACTTGCTTGGTGGTGCAGAAAGGGGTCGGGGAGGGGAGGGGAGGGGTGGGGTGTGATAAGTACAGGCAGCTATGGGCTGTTAAGCTACTATTGCACAATTTGTAACTGAATGCCTTGTTGTTCCTGCAGTGTTCAAAAATATGTGAAGGAGCAAGTGTTGCAAGTAGTGGCTGTCATCTGTAAGAGAAGCATAGTAGAAGATTCACATATAATACAAGAATCTTTGCTTAAAGATGTTACTCAGCTAATGACTAGCAACAATAGAGGCATGGTGAGTGTAGCTACCCTGGTAATGAGTATCTGTTATATATTGGTTTTTACTAAAGAAAACTTACATACCACCCTGACAGGGTTGTAGATAAGAGCCAGCAGCTGGTGAAGTATGCTGGCTTCTCTGCAAGGTTTCACCGGCTACTTCCATTGCTTCAAGAGCCCATACAGAGATGATGTTTATCAGGTCTAAACTTGGGCTCAATAAAAATATTAATTTGCACTGCCTATCTTTTCTGAAAACATGAAAAGACTTCTGACTCAAGGTTAGTTTAAAAATGTTCTGATGGGGACTGTCTTTTTGACAAATCTTGCTGCAGTGGCAGGAAAGTACGAACAATATGATGTTTTGTCCGCCATGTTGGATTTTGAGACCTACAACCATTTACCTCTAAAAATGCTCTTGCTACTTAAAACCTTAAAGAAAACCCTGTCCTGATGTTTCATGTGACAGTGTATTTGTAGTAAGAATTACAGGTCATCTGAGTTGAATTTACCTCTGTGCACAGAATTAGTGACAAGAAGATATTAAGTTGTATAACAGACCCACTTGCTTGAACTGATACCTTTAATTTACTAACACATTCACCAAAATATACATTTTTCTTCAATTTTCTCTCTTTCAAATTTATTTGAGGTAACTATGATGTTTTAGTAAGAGCTTTTTAGAGATGAAAAATTGATCACAATTTTAAGGTCATATCTAATTAATTGGGATTTAGTTCTTCTTTTGTTGTAGTTTCCATTTAAGTTTTCTTCAATTAAGTTTTTTATAGATAAACTCTAGGACTGGAAAATGTACATGTAGTGTATATACAAATTTACCACAAATGAAGAGCTAATCTGAACTTTCTAGTGAAGAGCCTGATTTGTGAAAACTGAAGGAGGAATAAGATAACCATTTTTTGATATGACACATGTATTTCTATTGAAAATTGGTCTTATTTTTATCCAGATTAATCATAAAATTTCTTTTTTTAAAACAGCAAATTCTGGGCTGCATGATTTTACGTGCACTTTTGAATGAGTTTGCCTTCCATACACGTAGCTGTGACATTGGCTTGAGTTGGGAGTTTCACATCCAGTGTAAGAAATCTTTTGAGGTATGATAACTTTTAAGATATTTTGACTAAGATCACTTTCAAGATTTGGCCAAGGTGCAAGCTTGGACTGCTTTTGTTGCCTTTTGGCTAATAAATGTGTAGCTTAGGTCACTGGTTAGGAGATCTGAGTTTAACAATCATGTTACATGCTGAAGTGTTTTGTATCACTTAGTACTCTTGGTTTAAAGTTATGCCATAGAAATTTACTTGGAATACTCCTAATAAGATTAATGCTTGGTCATTCTTTTAATAAAGATTTTGCTCCCTCTCCTTTGTTGTCCATGGGATGTCTCATGAACCCTTCAAAACCAATTACCTCTTTTATTTACAGTGACTGACCTTTCATTTTTGGTACTGATTTTTAAATTTTAGGTCAGTAAATGGTAACTGTACAAAAAATTGAACTGGGAGCTCATTGATTGGAATTCAGAACTCTCCTTCTCACTCCCTAATATCCAGTTTATTTTTGTAAAGCTTTTTATTTCTTGTTTAGGCATTCTGGTTGCCATTACAGTATAGATAAATCTTATAAATTTATTTTGAATCAAGTTATCTTTTGTCTTTCTAAACTTGCTGACATCAATGGCTATATTCTTTGCTTCTTTGCTGCCCTTAAGCTTTGCAGCTCAGTGTCAGTTAAAATTTCAACCTTTTGCCCCACATTTTGAATTAACTGACATGATTGCTGAATTTTCTTTGTTGTTGTTGTTCTTTAATTTGTTATGTGTTATTTTATCAGGTTCAAGTTCTTCAACAAATCTTTATGCTGGTAGTACAATCCATGCAGCAGTTCTTGGCAACGGAATTGAATCAACTATCAGCACAAGACATTTCTGCTTTAGTACACTTGTCATCTCTGGCTGAACAGATTTTGAGCTGGGATTTTTCAAAGTTTGATATCCTTTTACACTTTGTTGTGTTAATACACTCACCCTCCACAAAAGTTTACTTCTTGTGTAAAAGCAATGTTGAGCACAAAGGAAATTACATTTTCCATTAGTCAGAATGAGTTGACTTGTGTTTTGGGATTTGACTCTAATAAAAACTGTCTGATGTTATTTTCCCTGTGATTATAAAAGTTTTTTTTTATGTACTTAGATCACTAACTGGCTTACAGAAATTTATTTTCATGGAATCAAAGAGGCAAATTCATGGTTGGTAGTTAAAACACACAAGGTGCTTCATCTTACCCACTCACAGAGCTAGCCATACAATATCTTGTCATTATATTAATTCTGATGATGATGACAATGATGATGATGAAGAGACTTTCTTAACTAGTGTACGTCACAGAAAAAAGCTTGTGTCAGGGGAAGCAGCAGCTGTGATCCTATTTAGACCAGGTACTTCTTGGAGAGAGCTTATCTTTGATCCTGCTCTGGTGGGCTTGTTTTGCAAGGTACTGTTCATATAAGAGAAAGGAAAAACAGGCCTGAATTGTCTTCATTGGAAAATGTGTAGTAATTGTCAATATGTGATGTTTCCTTTCTGTGTGAAATGATGTGAATCTGTGAACTCATCTATGGTCTCAGTGTAGGTTTGTTCTGCCATAAGACTTCTTGTGTGTTGTAAAAATGGTAGATCTACCAGTTGGGTTCTGTGTGGGTTGTTTACCCAAGTTGGATACAAAAAAGGATGTGGGAAACTACATGTAAACTAGAGAATTTCTTACTATTATTTCTATGTCCTATAACCTGTTTTCAATTATTTGGTTGTTTGGTTGTTTTTGTTTTTCTTTAAGTCTACTTTATCAGGCCATAAATGAAACCAGGAGCCTGCAATAAAGTCACAATTTATTTGTGCCCAAAAATGACTGAATTGTCATTATAGGAATAAGTTCTCGGGAACTTAATTGAAACTCTTAAGTAGCAATTTATTCACTTCTGAGTAGGGTGTTAGGCATTTTATTCAAACTTGTGGTATGTTATAATTTGGTTTTTGTTTACAGATGGGTAATTTTATTTACAAATGGCTTAACCCTTTAACTCCCACAAGTGACCAAGACAGAATTTCTCCTTACAATATCAATAAAATATCAACCAGATAAATTATGAGAATAAAGAAAAATATAAATTTGTGGTAATTAGTTGATCAAATACTAAATTCTCTGAACAAACATTATAAGAACTGTATGCTTGACAGTAACAAGAATTACAAATTTGATCTGGGAGTTAAAGGGTTAATATTTCACATAGTTGAGCTTGTCAGTGGCAACATGGAGACCTCAGGTTTAATTATTTTACTCCCACAAGTGACCAAGGCAGAATTTATCCTTACAATATCCACAATATCAAACAGACAAGTAGTGAAAACAAACAAAAATATCAAAAAGGGGATTACTACTTGATCCATTGTCTAATTCTCCTAACTCACTTCAAAGGAATTTTATGGCAGTCAGTTAGAGGAATTACTAAGGAGATCTTGGGAGTGAAAGGGTGAAATCTCAGTGAGACTAGACTTCATGCTTCTTTATCCTGATGCATAAACTGTCAATTCAACTACATAGATCATGTAGTGACTTTCTGATATTTGTAAATACTGCATTTTCTCAATAGCTTCAGCTAAGGATGCAGGCCAATGATGAAATATGCCACCACTGTGGTCAGTGCTTAATTCAGCTTGCCTCCCTCTGTGGAGAGGTATTTCAAGATACTCTGTCACAAACACAATACATATCTAATTTTATGGAGGGATTTCTACAAATCTCTAAAAGGTACAGTGTTTGTTCTCCTTCTCTAGCAACAACAACAGTAACAACAACTTTATGGTCCCTTTATCAAGTTTTTGCAATGTATTATATAGAAAATAATAAGGAATTGCTTAAATAATAGTTAATTAAATAATAAAAGGGTGCTAGCATCCAGGAATAACTAAGCAGCTAAAAATGACTGAGAGCTGGATTAAGTTAAATAATTATAAAAATAAATATTTGTAGCAGAAGTACAGTATGGTTAACATACACACAAAATACACAAACATCAGATACTTCCTATTTTATAACTGTAGCATTACGATAGACATTGGGATTCAATAATGTACCTGTTTGGATTGTGAAGTCAGTTGTATATGAGGTTCAATTGCTCTTGGGGGCTCAGAATTTTTCCTTTGTCCCACACTTGTGACAAGACAAAAAACCTCTTTCTCTATTTCTTTACCAAACTCAAAACTTACCATCTCTCGGATTCTATTTACAAACATGATGCTATTGACATTGCTGCTCATAGCAGTATGCAGGACGTGTGTCATATGAACGTCATAATAGGCCTTGCTCAGTGTAGAGTCTCTGTGGCTCAGTGGTAGAGCATTGGGGTGTGGAATCATTAGGTCTGAGGTTTGATTCCTCATGGGGACTCAGAATTTTTTCTTTGTCCGATGCCAGTCTTATATGTGTTCTGAATTTTTTTTTCACAAATGTAAGTTCTGCACTCGTGTGGTACTGTACAAAAGTAAAGAAGATATCCAACAGACTGCCAGTCGTTATCTCTTGTTTCCCAAACAGGCAAATTTGTATCAGTGGTTTGTGAAGATGTTACTCCTTTGTTGACTAAAATAATCCACTTAGAATTTTTTTGCCCTTTAAATAAGCTGGCCTTAAATCAAGGGAATAGTGGTAATTAAAATTTGTCTAACATATTAGTTATGTTTAGCATCCTAAGTTGACTGTTTGTTTATGTTAGTAATATTAGCTTTTTAATACTCTATTATTTGGTGTTTGTCCTTTAGCTTGGAGATGAATGGACAAGCGGCATTGTGCCTTGGTAGCATTGTGAACCGTCTTCTGTGTGTGTTTCCTATTTATGCCATCAAGGCTTTACCTGTTGATACACTAAGATTGTTTGGAGAATCCATGACTGACCTGACATGTTCCTTTTTACAAGCTGTTGCTAAAGAAGAAGAGGTTTGTCACTCAATATTTTGTTACTTCTACATTTTTAATCCTTTTCCCACTACATGTTATCTTGATAGAACATAAAATTATCTCTACTTGAATGTAAAAAATGTATATAAGTTCAAAGGGAGAATTACAAATCAAATTGTGGGGGTTCAAGGGTTGAACTGCATCAATTGCTCTATATGTGTTTGTCTTAAAATTTACTCTTGTAACTTGGACTTTCTGTTCTTTACCAAGATGCACTTTATGCCTTTAACCCCTGAGAGTGACTGGCATATAATTTCCCCTTAAAATATCACTCGTGAATCACACATTAATGTTTTGAGAATAGAGGAAATGATCACCAACCGAAAAAGCTCTTAATAGAGGAATTCTCCTTGTCAGCACCTAAGGAAATTTATAGGGAGCAGTGTGGAGAATATGTGTACTGATGTTGAGGGGTTAAGCACACATTTTGTAAATCAATCTCATACTTGACTATGCTCATTTTGCTTTCAGCTAAACACTGAGGACACAAGCTTTATAGAAGCTGTAGAACAATTCTTGGAAGGATGGGCTAGCCTACTGGAGTACTCAGGACTGTTTCCTAAGGGAATATTCAGTGATAGTGCCACTAAGATATTAAACTGCTATGTTCAGTGTCATTTGGCTGCTCCAGATGGTTTGCGTGGGACATTTTCACATCAGATTGACAATGGCATTCACCTTGATGAGATCTGTGATTTGGATAGTGATGACAGAGAACTTTTTGTCGATCAATTATGTACTATTGGCAGCTTTGGTCGTCTCATACCAGATCATGCTCTCAACCTTCTCACGAAACTCTTAGAAACTAGAGTTGATCAGTTTGAAAAGTATCTCTCTGCCATCAAGTATTCAACAGGTATGTACAGTTGAACCTGTATTACACAGTCACGTTGTATTAGTTTGTTTCCCCTTAGTCACCATAATTTTCACCTCTATTGAGTGCTCACCTCAATAAGGCAGTCGTTGTCACCTTTGACCGAGTCTCAACAGCCTTTTTGTATTGTCTCATAATACCAAATACAGTCAGTCAGTCAGTCAGTGGGTCAGTCAGTCAGTCAGTCAGTGGGTCAGTCAGTCAGTCAGTTAGTCAGTCAGTCAGTTAGTTAGTCATTTCATCAGTCAGTTCATCAGTTAGCCTATCAGTTGGTCGGCCAGTCAGTCAGTTGGTCAGTCACCTAGTCATTCATTCAGACTGTAAGTTGGTCAGCTGGTCAGCCAGCTAGCCAGCCAATCAATCAACTATTCAATTCATTAATCAATTATGCTTATCCTTTTTTGTTAAGGGCCTTTATCCTCTGGCTTTTCAGGCATGGATAACCTTTATGAAGACCTACATTGGTTACTTCTAATTTCTGGTTACTTTCTTGCTGATGATGGCAACGGGGAGAAACCACTTATTCCAAAAGAAATTATATCATATTCGTCAAGTTTAGAAAGTCATGTTGATGTGCAGGCTACTTTTCAGTGTCTCTGTTCATCACAAATCCAGGGTAAGTGGAGTATGAAAGCTTTAACATAGATGCAGCTTTCTTCCTTGCAGCAAAAACAAACATCATGAAATCTGGTGCACTCTTATAATCTTAGTTAGAAAAAGGGATCCTTAATGAATTTCTATAATTTTCCCTGTTGAAAGAACTGTATTTTATTGATCAAAGTTCTTGCACTGGTTCTCAGTTTAAAAAATTTAACACCAAATTCTCAGAATTAGGATCACACAAAATGTTTTGCAGATGATGAAGATAAATGAGATGGAGATCTCACGAGCAAGATGGTTGAAATATGTCCTGGGAGGAATTAGGGAGGAACTTGACTGTTAGCAATGTTTTTCAACTTTTATGCCTTACCTTTTCAAGTATTTTTATTCATTATTTTTCTCAAGCAATCACCAAGAGAGAGTCATGCTTAGAAAGTGAATTATTCACATAGCCCTTTTCCCCCCCCCCCCACCATGTTGTTTTTTTGACTCAAGACGTGTAAAGTTCTTCGTGTATTTTACATGTGTATATAACGCGAGATTAGCTTATTTCGGTGCTTCTGAAATCTCCCAGTCTCCTTTGCTGCCGTTGTTTGCTCTCGCCGGGCGACGCGTGGGGGGGGGGGGAAGAGAGGAGGAAAGAGGAGGAAAGAACGCGTTGCGTGACGAGACTAAGAAACGGCTGTGAAGGAGGCTAGGGATCTCCTAGAGCAGGTTCAGACGGCTTTTAGATAGACTCTCTTTAGTGTTAGTTTGATCCTCTCTTGGAATTATTTCCCTCACAAGATTTTTTCCTATCATAGGGGATGCAAACAGTATTCAAGACTATTCCAGAGTTGATCCAGTGGTGAGACTCGTGTCGGTTATCTTCCGCTTAGCAGACCTGGAGAAACATGCTCTAGGATCTGGTCTATCAGAACTGTTAAGTCCCCAGGTTGGGCGGAGTATTGTCTGGTGCCTGAGGCATTGGGCTAAGTCATATCTGTTACCAGACGAAAAGGACTATGACAAACTTAGTGTGTCTCTTATGTCTGTGTTTGGACCATGTACTGATGGTGGAAAGTGGGCTCTAGGATTCCTATTGGATAAAGTTAGGACCAATTTATCTGGATGGTCTGCGGAGTCACAGATTGTTGAGGACGCTGCTTTGTTGCTGTTAAGCTTGGTGGACAGCAAAAACAGGTAAATGACATATTAGGAGGTGAAGTAATGGCAATAACCAATCAGAGCAAAGATAAGTACCCGTAAGTACAAATTGGAACTCAAGGAAAACAAGCAAACTGCTTGAAGGGCAGGAAAATATGAGTGATCAAGTTGTGGTTGAATTATCCACCCCCCTCCCCCTCCCCCTTTCCCCCTTTTTTTTACCCCCAGGAGTGATTGGCGTCTAATTTCTCCTTACAGTTTCACCCTTAAATCAAATTTAAAGGTCATGAAATTAGAGGGAATGATCACCAATTTAAGAAGCTCCCGATTTTCGAAAAAAAATTTCCTTTTCAGCATCTTAGGAAATGTATAGAGAACAGTACGGAGAATATGCATACTGATGTTAGGGTGGAAAAGTTAAAGGGTACATTTTATTTGTCGGGGGGGGAGGGGGTGGTGCACTTAAAGAAATCACTGAGCGACAAACAAATCCATCTCGAATTACTAAAAACACTCAATAGAACATTTCTTTGTATCCCTCAAGGAAGAGTGTGGATGCTTTCACAATTTTTGAATGTAATATTACCCCCCTCGCGATTGGCTGTAGTATTTTTGCGAACGAGTGTCCATTGTTGACGAGTCTTCTGATTTTCTCTTACCTTTTGGTTGATTGACAATTTAGGGCAGAAGTGGCCATCTCCTTCGACAGTCTGTGGCTTCTAGCACAAGAACATATGTCTAAAACTTCTGTTCTTCACGAGCTTCCGCCTGAAGTGTTGCGCTACCTTACACAGGCTCTTGTACTGGCAGGATCAGTCGGGGACGATACAACTGCGAGAAAGAAATACTTAGATCAAGTGAGTAACTTATTTAATTGAAAGTGTTTGCTGTATCTCTTGTCAAGATCATTTGTCGTGTTACAAATCTGCCAAATCTTGGCTAGATGTGATGGTTTTTTGTAAGTGAGTTTTGCACGTAAACTACGTAAGTGGTGTCTTGGTATACGAAACAAATCTCAAAAAAGTACCGAAGAGATGGCCGCAATTATGATCTGTGAACGATAAGTAAGTAGGTTATCTTCAAAGGTAGACTACAGTAAAGGCAACTGATTTTAAATGTATATTTTTTGTTCCGACTAAGTTCCAACTGTTGAAACATCACCACTTTAAAACTCATGACAGTAGTTTCTCCTCCTTAAGCAGCTTGTAGCTAATAATCAACCATGCCTGCCGACGCAGCATGGCGGTTTCTCTACAAAGTAATAACTTTGTTTGAAATTCTCTCAAACGCAATTCCGGAATGAATTTCTTTTCTTGCACCTTCGAGGTTCAATAAATAAACTAGCAGCTTTCTTACACCTTTTCCAGTTGGTGTTCAGGACAACCGCCTTTACTTAAGTATTGGCCACTGAACCATTACATTATTTAGCGTCTTTTTCTCTTGAAGCATAACCCTTTCGAGATTGCTGACCTTAGCAATGTGTGGAACACTTCTTACCCATGGGCGCCATATACAGCTTAGCTGACTACCGAGTTCTCTGCAGCTTAGCTCCAGTAAGAGAATAGGAGCTTGCTGCGGCTTGATTCCTCACAGAGGACTGGGAAGTTTTCTTTTCACCTCAGTCACGCTTGTAAAAAAATTACATTTCCTTCTGTAGGCAATGACAGGGATATAAGTTAACCATCTTTCTTCTGTACTGTTTACAGCTTCTACGGACCTTACAGTCGCATTTCTTGGGCACTTGTCACCAGCCAGACTTCACTAAATTGTCTCAAAAGGAACCAGTACGAAGTCAGATGCAGTGTTTGTTAGAGTCATTCAGAGGAACAGCTTTGGCGGCAAATCGACACAATGCGAACACGCTGTTTAACTACCTCCTCCCTGTACTCTCAAACTGCGTGCCCCTGGTGAATGTGTATCAGAATTGTCCCGAATTAGTTTTTCTGATTCTTGAATTGTTTGTGGATGTAGTCGACTCTCAGATTGCCTATATTGAGGAGGTGAGTTTGTTCAGTTAACTTTCCTTCTTGTTGATATACATAAGCTCTCAGTATGTCGATACTCAAGTCCCCTTCGTGAGAGCATGATAACCGAGCCTGATAACTGAGCTGACCCCTGAAAGGAAACGGAAACGGCTTAGTTACCGAGTTGAACCAGACGTGATCTTTTAATTTTCTTTCCTGTAAAGGGGCATGAGGGGTCACCTGGGAAATTTTACAGCTTGGTAAACGTTGCTACTTAAAATACACCAGTATTAGTCTCGTAAAATACACCAGTAGTAGTCTCGTAAAAGAAATCTGAATTTAAGTAAAGAAAAGAGAAACTAGGTGAGGCCCAAGTGAGCCCGTTTGATCGTAACCCTTATGAAGAGGTAAAATGATATAAAAAAAGGTATAACGATTGTAGGAAAACTCTCATAAAGAATCTATGGGTTCATGGGTGACATAGCAGAAACTGAGTTCAAAACGTTCTTTGTGGATCCTGGCAATGTTTCTTCGTTTAAGGGTTGAGCAAAATCTCTGACGGGTTATGTTGTTCTTTCTGCTATTTTTTTCTGAATTATCTTTAGCGTGAATTACCAAGACTTTATGAAGTTTGTATGGGGCTTGTGCAGACGTATGGGAAATGTAATCTGGGTAAGTACTTTGAAATCTTTTTGGAGAATCTTTCAAATGATGTACGGTACTATAGTTAGCTCGCACGTCATCGTATCTACCTAAGGGTTGCCATGCTTTTATTGACTCTCAAACCGTTCTTTATAGGAAAAATAAGCGAGGAGTCGCTGGCAGAAGAGGAACAACTGAACGATCTTCTTCTTCTGATAAAACTCCTTTCCAGCTTGCTGTCCAAGGATAGCCTCGATTTTGGCTCTGGTAAGAAACTTGCATCAAGTGTCGCAGTTCTAAAGATTAAAACGATTTCTCGGAAAGCTCGATTTTGGTGTGACTCGAAAGCAGGGAATTTTCACCGTTGACGGAAACTGACGTCAAGAAAGATGTTGGCCATTTTTGTCATAGGGTGACAAAGGAAAAAATCAAGTGTGTAAATAGTATTACGGGTGTAAATAGTGGTAAATTTGAGCTTTGCGTATGGTCGAATGAACTAAGATATTTGCTATTTTGGTGAAGAACGTAATACAAAGATAAACATATGAATACCCGAAATGATATCAATCACTAAGGGCGTATGCTTCAACTCTTTCTCATAATGGACAACGTTAGGAATTTGTTCCCTTGTTACTTATCGGTTATAATTTGTCTAATGTTTGAGGATTTTGGTTTTGTAAGGTTGAAATTTACCTAATCCCCCTCTCAGGCTCTATGATATTCTCATGGTCCTACCCCTCCCTTACTGGCAGTCAATTTTCTATAGTCCCCCCACCCTTGATACTTTGTCGGCCTGCTTACCCCTCTCCGTTCCTCCTGAAAGCTGTGTAATCCCTTTCAAACTCATTCTCCCCCCCCCCCTCCTTAGAGCGTTAATAAAGACTGGTCCCTTAACCCTCTACCCCTGGATATCAGTATCCATATTCTCCATACTATTCACTATACATTTCCTGAGGTGCTGGCAAAGAGAATTTGCTTAATGATCAAGAGCTGCTTTAGTTGGTGATCAGTTCCTTTATTCTCCTGACCGTAATGTTTGATTCAGGGGTGATATGGTAAGGAGAAATTTGATGTTAGTTACTCTTAGGGGTTAAAGGGTTAAGGCTTCCAAATATAGCGCTATAGTAAATGATTCAAACTGTCTTTGTTTTATCAATAGGTGAAGATCAGAAAGCGACACCATCTGACGTGGCGTTCTATGGTCTTCATGTTATCATACCTCTTATGTCCCCAGAGGTTCTCAAAGTAAGCTCCTCTGCTTTTGCGATTTCCCACTTGTTTTCAGCTCGGGTCTCTTGTTAATTATTCACGCAACTAAGACAGTGGGTTTTAAAGCTAGCCGATAGCTTGATGGGACCTCGATCAAACGCTGAGGCGTCAACTGAACGCTGCCAGCGTTTTCTTTGTGTATTGGCAGGTTTGCTCAGGCGTTTGTATGAGGCTGGGGTTTAATCAGGTAAACGTGATATAAGATCTGTGTGTAACGGGAGAAGTTATAATTAATGTCTTCGAAAATTACTCAAACTCAGTATTTTTTGGCAAGGTGACTTCACTAAAATCAATCTGTCGGTCTTTCAGTAAATGTGAGTTGGAAACTCTTGATGAACTTAACTGTTTCAGTTTCCAACGCTGTGTACAGAGGTTTTTAAGCTGACGACCTACGTGTGCGAAATGTACCCTGAAAAGATGTCAGCTCTGCCAGACGAGTTGTTCAAGAGCCTCATGGCCTCATTAGAAGTGGGATTGACAAAGTATCCTTATTTACTAGTAGGGTCTCAAGCCCACTGGTACTCACCTCAAACTGGTGTAATTTAGCTTGACGTCGCTTAGAGTATTGCTGCTTTTTCTGATTAAGATACTAGTTCACAACTATTTGAGTGTTGTTCCTTGACTGTTTGTTTAGTTACGGCACTGATGTCACAAAAATGTCCTTAGAGGCTCTTTCTTCGTTAGCAACCTACTGCTTTGAAGAGGCACAGAAAAATGTGAGAGTCCCCATTCACGAGGTTCTTCAGCATTTCTTGAAGGTATTGAATTACGTTTGCTTTTCTGAAGGTGAAATGGAGTGTTGGTCAGCCTTTACTTAAAATGTGCCGGCACTTGTGATTTAAAAACCTCTAAGATTTAGATGCTGGTTATTCTTCCATTTAGCTGCTACTAATACTCTTGTGAACTATTTAACCCGTTAACTCCCAATATCTGATTGTTGTTTCTCCCTTCTAGCTGCTACATATTTCCTTGTAAATTTGTGACGAGAAGTTGGTGTTAGATCAAGATAATAACTTTTACCTGATAAGTTTCATTATTCTCATTACCTATTTGTTGGATAACGTACGGGTGTTATAGGGAGAAGTTACGTTTTCATCACTTCCGGGAGTTTGAGTGAAGAGAATCCTCTGTCATATCAAGATGACACCGCCCTAACTGATAAGTCCAATAAGTGTCCATCAGTTTGCTTGATAATTCATCGATTTTGCTGAGAAGAATTACAAGTGAATTTCCATACGAGTGAAACGCACTCGAGGCGACACGTAACCGTACCCCGTCTTAAATGTTTCAGCATTTTCTTATTCTTTTTTATTTGCAGTACTCTCAGTTATTTTCTTCACCCTCTTAGAGCTTATGTCAGTCAAGTTGTTTTAAACCTTAACAATTTTTCTACAGTGAGTCCTCAATTGTTGTACCTCGTGATGTCATCCGACATTGTGCATCGCAAAAACCGTTGCACAGCTCCTTCAACTTGTTAGTGTATTAATTAATCCTTGTTTCTGTTTTGGACAGACTCTGTTTGATATGCTTCTTCTAAAGTCATTTGACATGGATTTACTTCAACCAGCAGCGGAGGCCTTTCTTGCTTTGATTTGTTGTCATCAGGTGATTTTGAAATTCTTTTGGCGTTGACTGTTCTTGACCTTCTTTTCCAGCTTCTATTTCAAACAAATTTCATCTTGCAGTTGTGCGTTTTATGGCAAGATTTGTTTTTAGAATGTTGTATCTTAACCGCGCGCCGCGGAGGTCCTTTATCTCTCGCATGTTAACATATCAATGTCGTCAAATCAACAAAGTTTTTTTTTTGCTAAATAAAAGGCTTCTTCGCTTTACCAAAAAATTGCGTTATCGCCATGTGTCAGAATTTTGAAAACGTCTTCAAAGCTACAGCTTACATTCGGGTGATCCCCTCATTTCATGTTGTGTTTTTAAATGATATCCTCAGTTTGAATATTTCATTAAATTGGATGTAATAGAGAGAACCTTTCATGGCCGCTGGATATTGAATTTTTTCTTCTCATAGTAAATCTTTGCTCCGCTTCTAGTGAAAGGTACCATCAGCACTCTTAGGTAGGACTCGAGTACCAGTGTCGCTATATCATATCATCTCCATTCTTTTTACTGTTCAGATGTATTATACCGAGTTGGTACGTAACCTTTTGGCGCAACAGACGGACCGAGTTTTAGGTCAGCGGCTTTTAGACGCCTTCAATCAGCTAACTCCGAGCAACATGAAGTTATCACTGGACAGACTCAACAAGATGCAGTTCAGGAAAAGTCTGGACTTGTTTCTCAGGAGTGTCAAAGGTTTTCTTTGCGTCAAGTAGAAACTTCCTTGATGAAGTAAAGAAATCGCAGGTTCCGCATGCGCAGCTACAAGTCAAATTGACGCTGAGCACACCATTTGTAGCAGTTCATAGCACCGACCAGCTTTCTAGTTAACCCACTCTTTCGCAACATGGGAAAACGAGAAAGAGCTAGGCAAGAGTTTAGGAAAAATCTGCACAGCCAGTCTACCTTGTCTCTGATGGAAATGTGAAAACTTGGGTACAAGAAAAAAGAGAAGTATTTTTTTCGTTCAGCACCATTGCGTAATACAATTACTCCAAAAAAGAGGAAAGAAAACACGGGTGGCGCAACTAAACCATAGCGTGATGTTTGAAAGCTAAAAAGCCTTCAACTAAATTAACCGAAATCCATTATTGCCTTATAAATTTATTCTGAAACATTTTAAAATTACCAAGAGGAAATCTGAACATGTAGAGTCTGATGCACAAGTGGCGACAATGTAGAGGGTTTTTAAGTTGTAAATATATTTTAGTGACATGATAAAGTCAGTAAACAAGATAAATATATTTTTTATATATATTTTTATTTATTTTCAAATTGACATTTAACTTAGTGGTAAACAGTGGACAACGCAGGTATCTCTTCGCTGTTGTGATGTCTAAAACGGGCATAAATATGCGTTTTCCAATTATGTTTATGGTCATGTCTCTTGATTACCCTTTCACTCCCAAGATCTAATTGTTTATTTTCTCCTTTAACTGCCGCACATCTCCTTGTAAATTAGTTGTGACAATTTGGTGTTAGATCAAGAAAACAACTTCTACCCGATGAGTTTGAGTATTGTCATTACCTGTTTGCTGGATTATGTATGGGTATTTTGGGGAGAAATGGCATGCTAATCACTTTTGGGAGTTAACGTTTAAATAATGTGTACATGCTCCACAGTTTGGGTTCCCAAAGATTGTGAAAAGGTACGAATTTTCTCGAAAACGTCTCTCATAGATCTGTGTTTGAGCTACCGTTGCAGATTGATAAAATCCTCTTAATTGAGCTGACTTTCTCTAAGGCAAGATATGCATTAGCATTCATTATTTTCAGTGAGAAAACACTGTAACTACAAAAAAATGGCAAAATTACTTGGTAGGCCTTCTTTAAGTGGGTGGTCGACAATCTTCCACTCAACAAAATAAACAACAACAAAAAAATCTCGTAGTTCATTTGTAGTAAGCTAATTTAAAGTCCTCCCTTTGTGCCCAAACAGTGTTGCCTGAAATTAGTGAGCATTTTGTGAAGACAAGGTAATATTGGGGGAGAGGGGGAGATAAATTGAAGTTAGAGAAAAGAAAGTCTAGAAGTAGTAAATTGTGCAAAGACTTTTGCCACACAAGGTAGGACGATATGTTGTGTGAAGCACATAAGGTGGTTCTCTCCAACATCCCCAAGTTAACCAAGGTTTTCATGCGCCAGTGTATGCGTATGATCCTTGTAAACAAATATTCCGCACTTAGGCCCAAGGTGTAACCTTTGTGTTCTGGTTCAAGCGCGCAGAGCAGAAGAGGGTGGGAGAGAAGAAACTATTCCTGTAGTCTCTCTGGTAGTGTAGAAGGTCTCCTGGAAGCCTGCCTGAAAGAAGGAACGGACAAATAAGCCAAAGCTCTCACTTTCTAAGCGATGCTAAGCTCAAAATCTGTTATGTAAAAATGTGTTTTGTACTAATGGGAAAACAGAAAGTTGATTTTCGTATCAACGGCTTTGTATTTACTCTCGTTTTAGAGTGGAGGCTGTAGGTAGCTCGTAAAAGGCCAATCAAAATGGAATTGACAGGAAACTAACTTTTAAATTGCAGACATATCTAAGTTTTAACCTTCCCTGTGGTACATCCCAAGCCGTTAAAATGGAAAAACGAGATCTTGTTTAAAAAGGCAGATGTTAAGTTAAATAAATCGTCTTTCTAGATCGTCCGGAAGGTTCGACCTTCATTGGGAAAAACGGAAGCTTCTTCTCGCTGAGTTTCAAGCGGGAGACTCGAGTTTGAATTGCTATTTATTCGTGGCCAAAATTGAGAGAGAGAATGAACGATGGTAACCAAGCTTCTTACTCGAGAGTGGACTGACAAACATTTCCCATCCATTGTAATTTCGCAAAGGCAGGAGTCTTCTCTCTCTCTTTCTTCCCCCCCCCCTCCCCCGACAACATCGCTCCAAAGAACTTTTTCCAAACGATTAATTTCCTTCTGTAAGACTTGTTTAACTCTCTATTTTTAAGCACTCAAAGCAGAGTTTTTGTTCTTCTGCATAAGACATTAACAACAATAAGTGCGTACTACAGTCTACATTGTTTCTCATGATTGGTCGACTTAATAAACGAAACTGGACCAATTTCGTAAAACATCTAGTTTTCAAGCATCGACAGTGCAGTGATACAGTGGAACCTTAATGGGTCGAAACTTGTCATTCGAATGCTCATTCGTAGCCCTCATTTGGTCTCGTGACCTGACACCTCTAATTCTCCTCCGCAAGAGGACTAAACTACGGCTGCATAGGACACTAGATTACATGCAGCATGGTTTGCTTTCTAGTCCCTCTCGAATGAGGACTCGGAAATAAAACACTGTTTCCCTAAAGCGAATAAATAGATTAAGAAAATATTTCCCGTAAGAGAATCGACTGTAAAAGGTACGTCTAAGCTACTGATGTGACGACAAGAATTTGCGGTAAGAAGAGTTATTGCACACACGGCAACATTCAGTTTTTGCAAGCAGTTAAGTCAACTTGGGGAGCAACAATATTACGACTCGTTAAATTCACGCAAGTAAGTTTTTCTCTCTGGTATATGTGGCTAAGAAAAATCTGCGTTCAGAGTCTAAAACGACGAAAAAGAATAGCTCCTCCGATTTGCCTCTTTCTCAAGGTTTAACAGGTTTACGAGCCTCCAATGGAATAGAGAGTCAATGAAAACAGCTGTTTTAAGATAGATACGTACGAATCTTCTCTATTATCGGTCCGCGGCACATAGGACAGAAGTCCATTCCACGTGCACAATCAGGACAGCAGCTCAAATGGCCGCAGGGCAAAAACACCATTCCCACTTCAGCGTCCATGCAGATCTTGCATGTGCGTTCTTCTTGCATTCGCTCCAGCTTCTCCTCAAGCGACTCTTCAGTATCCGATGATCCTGATGCAGGCGCACTAAGGGTTCTTCGCAGATTGTCCCTACGAAGAACTGGAGTAGTGGGAGACGTCACAGCACTCAAACAGTTCTTCTTTCGGAGATCTTCATCCTCTCGAGGACAGGGTTCTCTCTCGGGAATGTTGAGATGGGGACGAGGAGGCCGCTCTTCACCTTCTTGTGGCGTGTGCTGCGCACAGGATCCAAAGGTGGGTGCTCCTGCCTGCTGCCTCTCTAGGAGAGCGGAAACGAGCTCAGTAAACGTGCTGAAATTGGATCCTGTGGATCCAATTTTAGCGGCAACTGCCTCTTGTATGTCACGTTGGGTGAATCCCATCTCCCCTAGTTTCTCCATGTCAAGTTCCATGGCAGTGCTTCCCCTGGGAGAACAAGACCGCGGTTCCTGCGTTACTTCGTTGGGTGCTCTTGAACTTGATCCTCCAGTAAATCGAGTCTGACTCTCATTGGTCATGTAACTTTCATGCGATGACGTAGTGACTGTTTGATTATGCCACTGTGAATAACGCTGTTCCGTTGAAGGATTCCACCCATTGGCTGAGTTAGGCATGGTGCATGCTGGGTACTTCTCAGAGGCATTCCAAGTTCCCTGAAGGGGCGATGTGTTACCACTTCTAATCGGCGTATGTAGATCTTGTCCGCTCTGACTCTGTCCAGGGCGCCAACTCGGACGTTCATTTTGCACCGAAGGAACACGCTGTACAGCATGTTCGGCTGGAGTGCTTGGAGTAGGTGCCTGAGGACGCTCTCTTAAGTGCTCTAGTACTAAAGGACACTGCGTAGACCACTTCTGATGCTCCCCCCAAGGAGTGTCACTGGGTTCCCAGTTGTGCAGCATGATGCCGCATTTGAAGCACTTGACGGAATCGCCAGTACCCAAGTAATAGAACCCGGCAGCCGAAAGATCCCACGGACGAATATGGTGATTATGCGGCCAATCCACATATGTCGTCAGACGATGATGTTCATTAGACAAGTCAGATGGTGACGACACATGGCGAGCGTATTCCTGTCTTATCAAAGGCAGCTCTTCAGTCTGGAGGCTGGGGTCTTTGACTGGAAAAGCTGGATGATACCCTTGGGATTGCCTTCTTGAGCCAGGAACATTTCGACCCGGCGGAAACTGCTGCCAGTTACAGGGTGGTTGAGTGGGTCTTGCCTCGACAATATCGTTTTCAGATTTGCTCGGGTTCTTTTCACTTGGGTTTCCTTTATGGAACTTCACTGGACTTTCGTTCGTTACACTTTCTGAACGCTGATACCCAGTTTGATTTGGAAACGTTCCAGAATAGCTTGGTGGATAAGATATGACGGACTGTTTAAACTGGTTCATGCCTGACCTTTGCTCATCCGAAATGTACCGGTAAGGGTCTCTGGGAAAAGGATGTGAACCTGTGAAGTTCGTCTCCGTCGATGGTGGCACTCGGCCTGTCTGTTGAGGCCCTGGGTATACTTGTCTCAAATCTCTCTCAGTCCTAATCTGCGGGTGGAAGCCATGCTCTCCTTTTTGTATGTTAAGTTCGTCCTCTGGGTTAAGCTGGTAGACAGCCGGTCCCACAATGTGAATCTGATTGGCTCCCTGTCTCACCACAACATGCTGATTTCTTTCTGTAGCGGTTTGCTCGTGCTCTGGACAGCGTTGAAAATCAACAGGCATGGGGTCTTTTCCGAGAAACTCTTGTGGTCTTCTTCTAAGATCATAATAATCCTGCGGGACACCGGTTCGAGTTTCCACAGGGTAATGCAGATCCTGGGTATCAAACATACTCCCGTGCGTAGCATACTGTGGCCTTTCGGGATATATCAACCTCTCACGATTCACTGGGGGATCTCTTTCGGTAAGATACACATGATCTCCATATCTTGCGTGCGTTACTGTTGGAAACGATGGATGGACTGGTTCTCGAACACCTGTTGAAGCTTCTACAGGGTTACAAGTTACTACGTGACCGTTCAAATTTTCAACTTCTTTAATAAAAGGGCAGGAAGGCCGAAGTCGTTTGTGTTCCATCCACGGATCATCTCCTACGTTCCACTGCCGTAAATGCAAATTACACCTGAAACACGCAACTCGATCGTCTAAATTGACACTATAGAACCCGGCTGCGGCCAAATCGGTGGGTTTTACAGGGCTGCTGGATGGCCATCGTGTAAAGGTTTCTAATCTTTTTTGATAGCTGACCAAATTCGGTTGTTGATTAAGCATTTCAGATATGTTGGCATTGTTTATGTGCTGCGAATTCTCTTCGAACCCATTAAAGCTGTTGCCTCGATCACTAAATTCAGCAGAACTGTAAGACATTTGTGAATTCATGCTTTCCGCTTCCATTGACGGCAAGTCTTGAGTCTCTTGTCGCTTCTGCATAGTTCTTTACTACAGAAACTCTCTATCCGAGCGGACAGTCTTTGTAGATTTCGATTACGGCACAGAGTAATGCACGAGGAAAATCGGTTCCCGTGGGTTGACTTCCCGTCTTGCCAATTGATATGACGATTGTAGAAAGTTGCTATTGTATTTCAAAGCTTTTTAAGAATGCATTGGAAACTTCCCATGAACTGTTTTGTGTCCAACTCGAAGAAAACGCCACCAAAAGATCCTCTGTTTTGTAATTACGCTAAAACCAAGCTGAGAGCACGGTGAAAGATGCTATTTTCGTCGACTTCCGCTCTTGTTCTAAGAAGTGTGCATGTTTTCAAAACATTTCTTTAGTACGCATGCTGGATGATCTACATAACCATATAATATTGCGGGCTCTAGAAATATTGAGGAGGCCTGGTTGCAAACACCTTACATAGAAGATGGCGTCCGAGGAAAAGAAATCTGGTGAAGAAAGGTTGGTTAAAACGACAGAGACTAAAGACGCGAAGAAACACCGGGGAATTCCAGAGGCACTCTTCCTGGTGAGCATTTACCTCTTCATAGTCATGCCCTCCATTTTTGATGATAGTGCGAGTCGCACGTACCGGGAAATTCCCTCCATTAGCGCCCAGGGAATTTTCGTTTCTACCAGTCTCGAACAAACGAAAATAAACCAGTTCTTATTCCTGGAATGTAGGAAGATGTCGACGATTTCATGAAAAAGAGTGGAAATGAAACTGCAGAGTCTGTTCTTAAAGATTTAGATGAGCAACATCAGAAGTATAAATTTATGGAACTGAATTTGTTGGCGAGAAAAAAAAGGTACGAACACGTGACTTTTGTGAATCATTTTTCAATTCCTCGGTAAATTTAAGATTACCCTTTGGGTTAATCCCCAAGTTTTCTATCCTTTTTCATTTTTGGTTGGATTGATTCCTATCCTTCAGGGCCCAAGCAGTGCTGTAAACCCCTCACCCAAGGGCGTATTGAGAAATTTGATAGGCCTCCACAATTTTGTCTCCTATTCCTGAAAAAGAAGGAAGCTGTATTTTTACCCTCCCAGCAACTAATCCTTCCATGTTTTTATTTTTGGCCACAAAAGTCATCATGCACTTAATTTCCAGTACTATGCACAACCACCAATATTAAAGGGTAACTGATGGCAAATTTTTCCCCCTTTTTTTTTTTTAGGTTAAAGAATCCTAAATGAGCAAATAAATGATATGTTGAGCAAAACCAAATATTCTACAATTTTTTTTTATGCTTCATCCACGGCAATTTTAAAAATGTTTCGATCCAGGTTACTTGATGTGATACATCATACATGTGTAAGACAGAGAAAAGGGCCATGTTAAGACCTGAAAGTAACAACTTTGCTGCTACAGAGTGGGACAAAAAAGATTTGTTCCATTTTTGTACAGGCCACCATTTAGAGACTATGAAATACAAAGTGAGAAATGAAATACTTCCTGTAAAAAGATTGAATTATGGAAATGCGATGAATTGCATATCTGTATTCAGAGCTACAGGTAGATTGAATGCCATACCAAACAGCAGTAAAATATAAATATATTTTTCCTATTGACCATTATTTAGTCTGTTACTTATAGAAATATTTTTTAGTCCAGGTCAAAAAGTATTTAATTTAAGATTTTGTCTATTGTATATCACTTTCAAGTCCACTGTATATCTCTGTCAAGCCCATCGGTTCTGAAGTGAGTGTGGCATAAGTGTTAAGTGTTGTTGTGTATTACAGGGGGTCCTTATCTGGTTTTGTGAACGAAATTCTTCTTCCATGTTCTGGAAATGTACAAGATTTATCCTCTCTTTATCTCTTTTAACCCTTTAACTCCCAAGATCTAATTGTTAATTCTCCCCTCTAGCTGCTTCACATTTTCCTTGTAAATTAGATTGAGAACTTGGTGCTAGATCAAGGTAGCAGCTTCTACCTGATAAATTCAAATATTCTCATTATCTGTTTGCTGAATAATGTATGGATGTTATGGGGAAAATGTTCATGTTATTCACTTCTGGGAGTTAAAGGGTAAATGGAGAATAGTGAGCAGCACAAAGGAAAAACTTCTTGCTGTTGTACCTTTTTGTTTATTTTTTCCGATCGGTAAAAAATAAACAGAGTCAGCAACACAGTTGTGCAACGCAAACAACAAGCTTGTAATGTTTCTCAAATTATGACCTGGACTTTAAAAAAAAATATATATATATTTTTTTTTTACACTTAAGTCATCCTAAACTGTACCACTCTTAGCCCCATTGACATTTACAATATGAACAGAAAACAACAGGATTTCAAGCAAAGAAAAAAAAAACCAGGGAAGGGCTGTGTACTGATGTTTTATGGCATAATAATTTACATGAAAAAAAATTACTCAGTTCTGCTTGGTTAAGATAAATGCAGTTTTCAGGTAATTCAATGCAGAAGAGGGTTAATTCAGTGCAAAGAAAGTAACAAACCAGACATTCTGGTTGGTCAATAATCAAAGAAACTCACAGATAGCCAATCAAATGTGAGCCTTGGATGTCGCAACATTTGGCTACGCTGAAAATTTGTGAGTGAAACAATGGCCAATGCTTAAATAGGTTTTCTTTTGCCTCTGCAACAGCAATACAGCTGCTGAAAAAAGCTCTAACAACGGAAACATTATAATAAGCACTGGTTGTTGGTTTGGAAAAGTGGTGTTTAGAGAAGGGAATTGCCAAGGAAATCAAAATTGTGAGCCAATTCAGCTTAACAAATCGCTCAAGCAATTCCATGCCAAAATTAAAAACAAAGATAGTTAAACCTCGCAAACAAAAATTCCATTCCATTGAAAGTGATTTGGACACAGGCTGAACAATTCCTTGAACTTTTTAGCTGGACTTTGAACTTTTTTGCACCTTAAATGAATGAATTATTTTTGCACTTGATGTGCGTGCTTTGCTTCTGTATAATTATGATAAGTTATCTGATATTTTTTCATGTATAAAATTTACTCATACTTATTTATTCCAAATTGCACTCAAAATCATGTGATTACCTATACAAACAAATGCAGATGGATTTAGCCCTCACCAGTTTCCAGCTGATGAAAATGAGCAGCCAAAGTGGATTGTATTTGTGCAAACAAAAAGAGAACCTAATAGGTAGTTGAACAACAGGTTCGGGTCCGCACATTTGCAGCGACCATTTCACAGGTGATAACTATGAAGGATTCTGTGCAGGAATAGCTGAATTTTAGTTCTAAGCTAGTATTAAAGAAGTCCTCAGTTCTTTCTACTGAAGCGTCTCCTACTCAAGGATGCTGTACAATGCATCTGGGTTCTGCCTGCAGCTGTTCCTCTATAACAGCCCCCAAATTTTTATTTCTCACTTCATCTACTTCTTGACAACAAATTTTTTCTACCTCTCTCCACCTTGATTGGCAGTTTCCACACGGCATCTTGTAATAAAAGAATCAGTATTATTATGATGTTGAAAAGAATAAATAAAGAACACAAGTTGTATGATTGGTTTCGCCAAAATGAACAGTTATTAGTTCTGTAACTGTCGCATATGAGAGAGATGACTCACACTTTAGGCTATTAACAAGATACAAAGACCACAAAAGGGGAAAACTAAGTTAACAATAAGTTAATATTAAGAGAATGTTCACTTTTATATGTATGAATGATTTTTTTGCTGCATTGTGTTCTACGGTAAAAGCTGAGAAATCTTTGCCAAATTCAATAAAAGAAAATTCAAAACCGTTACAAATGTGTCGAAACATGTATATTGTGGAAAACAACTCTTGAGAATGAATCCATCCAATGCACCTCCACAAGCATGTATGTTTATTTTTCACAGTCTGTGAAAAATAAGCTTTGGAAGGTGTGTGCGTGTAGCACAAAAACACTTTGCTTCCATGGAATTCAAGAGTCTGCACATTTGGTTTTCTTTACTTGATTATTGCTATATTCAATAAGTGACTGATTTTCAGGTACTTTATTTACAAGGGTAATGCACTCACCATTCTTCTCTTTTCTCATTAAGACAGCTGCTATGCATGGGCTCTTGATCCTCTTCTGACTCTTGTACTCTATTTTTGGTTCGTCTTGGCGTTTCAAAGCGCCAGGGCCTGATTTACCAAACAGGCTCATAAGCCCTATCATTATTTTCACCTTTTAACTGCCCTCACTTGAACTACTATCTGCCATATTTACTGTGCTAAGTTTACACACATGCGATGTATCAGGTCACATGATCAAATTTGAAGCATTTATGGCAGATGACTCATGAAGCTGCAATTACAACAGTTTTTTGAGCCAAAAAAGCCACAAAGAGGCTTTCTAAGTACCTTGTGTCTGTTTCAGTGTGTTACCTGAGGCATTTAGACAGTATTCCAAAAATGTGACCTTTTAAGCTGTCAATTACCCTTTTTGAAAATATGTCACAAATTAGGAATCAATAAATTTGTTCTAGTACTCACAACCCCCCTCATATGCAGTCAAATTTTATAACCCTGGATGGTGATTTCTTTAATTGTTCAGTATTTAGAGGGTTTTTAGGGAGGAAGGTGAGAGATCCATGTGGGAATTTGTCTTCTATTAGTTGAAAGAAATTAAGATGGCTATCTTGGCTGGTAGTTGGTTGTAGTTTGTTAAGTCATGCTGAGTGTTAGTTTATCAAGATTATGAGGTGGAATTTTGATTTAAAGTTTGTCATATTATTACTACCAAGGGAAACCAAAAATTTGGTCATGTAAGCAGGGGTTCAAGTTTTCTGGATTGGTGTTGAATTTCAATTCTGTCAATAATTGATTAGCAATAATGATTTTACAATTCTTGCACAATCTACAATCATTTTCATATTATTTTCTTTGTTTTATAAGTGCTTTTGTTTAAGAAAATTTAGTTTGGGAAGTTTAGTAAATGTATTACATTATCTTAAATGCTATCAATTGCAATTTAAAGTTGGGACATGTTAATCAGCTATGCTCTGACACTTTGGCGTTTATTGAACACTGATTTTTTCAAAAAGTTTGAGTCATCAGGTAAGGGTAAATTTGAGTCAAGGAAAAGTAAAATTAGTTTGAGTTAACTGAGTTTGAGTTAGCTGATAGTAAATAACTGCAGAAATGGGGTCAAATCCAAGGGAAATCAGATCTTGTTAGCAGTGGGTTTAAGTTGACTGGGTTTAAGTTAGTGTGGCTCTGATGTATATGGCAAACAGCTGAGGGGAGTCTCGCACTTAGAGAAAGGGCAGACTTGATTATAAGCTAGTATTTGGTAAATGAGTGCATATTTCTCTTGTGGTGGAGAAGATGATTTAACATTTCATGTTGAATGATGTTTATTTCTATCAATTTACTTTTCCACTCCACCAGTTTCCCCACTGATTATGGTAAACACCAGCAAATAAGCCACACTTTTTATCCCAAAATTTTTGTATCAAATCAGGGTTGTAGCTTATCTGTCAGGAGAAAATGCCACAAATTTGCATCAAGTGACACTATTCACCAAAAATTCTGTGCAGTAAACTATCAAGAACTTCATAAAAATATACAAAGGTGCACGTTCATTATTTCTTTTACAAGACTGGTGGCTCCTTAAAAAAATGTGTTTGTTTATAAGCATATGATAATATTTCTTGCTGTTGAGTGACTTTGCAACCAGTTTAAAGTTGCCTTCCATGAGTAGCCAATCATTACTCAGCAAGAAATCTCCATTCCACTGCAAAGCTGCTTTCTGTGTTGCTGATGGCAATGTTTGTACTAGGGAATAAATGTAATCTGTAAATGTCAATATATCTGTTGCTTAATCAAGAAACCAAGGGGTTATGTAGCTAGGTAACTGGCAACTCCACAACTTTGCTGCTGTCATAACAGGAGCCAAGATGGATTAAAAGCAACAGATTCATAAACATTTACTGTGCTGTGTTATCTTGTACATTGCAGATTACAATCCCAAGTTCCAGATTTGAATTCAAGTTTAGAGATGGTCAAATTATTAACATCGAAAAAGGTACTGAAATGAAACTATAGGAGTTTAGGAGTTTAGGAGTTTACCCAGTAAAGAAGGTTAAACAGTGGAAAGCAAGTAGCAAAAAAATATGTATATTTTTTTTGTTTTAATTCTTTGAGCATCTCACTTTAGTCTCTTTGATTTACATTTTCATATGGCAGTTTGCATTGATGGTGAAGGCTTTTTCAGGAGTAAATGTGGCAACATACATACAGACTGCTATGCCATATTGAAAATCATCTCAATTTGTCCATGAAGTGTATGTTGTGATTTTACTCCATAGGATGGTTCCAAGCCCCTTCAGAGCAGATTTTTGTTGTCGGATCAGGTATATTGCACTGCAGAAGTTCCACCGACAGAAAAAGTAATGTTGTGGCTTGGGGTAAGATGTTATTTATTTATTCTCCTTTGTTCCTTTCTCTTCTCTGTTAGCCTTGAGATTCTAGTTCTGGTGGGGGAGGGTGGTGGCTTAGATTTACTCTTTTGGTAGGGTGAACCCAATTTGTTGTACTGTTAGGGTTTACTGTATTTCGTTGAAAAAGCACCAGGTGCTTATTTGAAATTGCTCATTTCAAATTTTGGCTTAAAGCAGGGACACTCAATTGAGGGGGGGATTCAACTAACTGTACCTTTATTTTGGCAAAATCTTAAATAGAAATACAAAACTTAAAAAGTTATAAATAAAGAAATAAATTGGCAATAGAAACTGGTCTTTGTTTTACCCCTATTTGAGAGAGGAGGCAGAGAAGTGCTTGTTTTAGATTATGGCATAGTGAGGAGGGTGCTTATTAGGGTGTCGGCAGTTATTCAATGATATACAGATATATATATATTTTTTTTTTACTGTAATTTGTGAATGCAATTAATGTGGACCATAGGGGTAATGCTGGTATAGGTGAGGTGGGTGAACTTTTCAGGGTAGATTTACTTGGAAATAATGCAATTGTTACTTGCAATCATTGCACAATACTTGCATTTGTCATGACTTTGCCACAAGTCATGTCATCTCTGAATCATACTTAACTCCTGTAACATTAGAGGTCACAGTGACCATTAATTAGTCCTTTAACAGCCACCCTTGAATCACACATTAAGGACATGAAAATATAGGAAATAATCACCACCTCAAGAAGCTCTTGATTGTTAAACAAATTGCCCTTGGCTTGTAAGCACCTGTATAGAGAACATTATGAAGAATGTGCATACTGATATTTGGTTGTAAAGGTTTAAATTATGTCACATTTATATATTTTTTTATTTATGTTGACTTAATTTAAATTCATATTACTGTAATGTCTCTGATTTTCAACATGATATCTGGAAATTAATGTTAATTAACTTTCAAAACATTTTACACTCTTCTCAAGAATGAAGTTGATTGTCATTCAGAGTGCATCATTAAGTACAAAGAGCTTTGTTGATACTTACTTGATTAGGCAAATGTTATGTTGGAGTACAGCATTGAGGAAGCTGGAGCTTTGCTGTCTAAAAACCTGAATACTGCACAGAAAAACTTGAAGGATATTGAAGATGACTTGGGGTTCCTGAGAGATCAGTATACCACAACTGAAGTCAGTATCCTTCCAAAAAATACTGTCCTAAGTAGTGTAAATGGTTGTTTTTATTATGGTACATTTTGTATCAGCAGGGGTTGCTTGTGAGTGTGTCTCTCCTTCAAACCACGATTTTAACTTCCCATGTTAGTGGGGAGCTCTTATCTGCTTTAGGTGTTAGGATTCAAATCTGACAAGATTTACAATTTTAACTGGACATTCAAATTATCATTTTATCCTGGGGTTGTAAGGATTTGTACTCAAGGGTGGTGCATTTGGTGCAGCTCTGTTTTAGTACTACACCCAGTGAATGCATGAGTTACTGAACCTAAAGCTAAAAATACAGTGCTGATTTCACCACGAGAAGCATAAATTTTGTTTGATATCAGAAACTGGTTCAACTGCATAATTGAAGCAGTTAGGTGTTTGATGCATTTCTAGTTTTAGAAGAGCCTAGTGATGTTTTCATGTGAGCCCTTTCATCAGGACCTTATTGGTTTCTAAATCTTGCATTATCAGCTCTCTCCTTTTATTTCTAGATTGTAACTATCCCAGTTTTTTTACTGAGATCTGCTTAACTGGGCTGAAGTATTTTTTTTTCAATACAACATGCCAGTCATGTGACTGGGATGGAATTTGAGAGGTGATTCCTTGTTTATATTCATGACAAAGCCAACATTCATCATATGAATAGTAACCATGCAGAAATCTCAGCTTGTCAGCTGAAAGGGATGATTGGTTTACTTGCCCTCTTGCATGTGCTTGCTTCCATGTGCTTGAAATATGACAATGCTATGCTACCCAGGGTGGCCTGGGGGTCAATTTTCTTTGAGGAGTTCTTGAGTCTGACAATCCATATGAATGTTGTGAAGTCGTATTCCTTCACTTGTATTTAGACATGGCTAGAGTGTACAACTGGGAAGTCAAGAAGAGACAAGCACAAAAAGTTCAGTCAGAAAAATAGCTGCATCCTACACAGTCCTTAATTATCTTTATTTTCATTATCATTATTATTATATAATTATTGTCCTTGTTATTATTGTCATTTGTTATGTTTGTGTATTTAATTTTACCTTTTTAAAAATAAATTTGAGGCCTACATCTCGCCTGGTACAATATACATATTTGATAGAATTTTACTACCCCACCCTCCCAGCCTATCCCTTGTGTGACAAACTCAAGGTAAATCTTCCTTTGGTATCACAATCAATTGGTAATATTGTCTCTCAGTCAATAACCCCAATTTCTCCTTGGGCAAGGACCCAATTGCTTAGGAGTCTCCAATAATATTTTAGGCATAGATGTAAAATGAAAAGTGAATTCTGTTTTTAGCAGACCCAATGTGGACACCCTGTATTCAGCAGATTTGTCTTTCTATGTTTACTGTAAAACTAACCTGTATTTGGCAAACTCCTCCATGGTGCAAATAAAGAGAAAACGTTGAGCCCTTCTGAAACCCAACACCTTTATTAGGAACCAGTTGCTTTTGTAATTAAGTTTGACATGGTTTTAAGAGAAACTGCACACAGTTGTAATTTTTTTTTTTTTGGTCCATGTTGATTAATGTTATGCAGAGTAATAGAGCCTCATTTGTTAATTGGCTATGTTAAGCCAAACTACAATTTGTTTTCAACTATATTTGCAATCAAGTTATTCTTTAAGCAATCTAGCACACTGACAAGGCAGATACAAGAGTCTAAAAACCCTTGACTTTGCAGTTGACAATGAACAATGTGCTGTTTACCCAAACTCACACTATTAGATGGACACACATAAAAGGTCTCATGTTTTTTGACTTGACAGTTTCAGTCCAATACTAAGATTTTTTTGGTCACAAAATTTGGCCCTGTCCTTTCTTATTTTGCCAATCTATCAACCTGTGCATTGCAAAAGACTCTACAGAGTTTTCCCTTAATTTAACCGTTTGACTCCTAATGATAATAAGCATCTGAATTCTCCCTACAATATCACCCCTGAATCAAAGGAAAAGGTCACAAGGATAAAGGAAATGACCACAACCAAAGAAGCTCTCGATTGTTAAACAAATTCTCCTTGTCAGCACCTGGAAATGTATAGGGAAAAGTATGGAGAATATGCACACTGGAGTTAGGGTTTGAAGTATTAAACACAATGTGTTGAAATGGCCAGGACTCCAACCCAGAACTCTTAACCCTTTAACTCCTAAGATCTCATTAGTGATTCTCCTTACTGTCTGTCATATAATTCTTATGATGTAAATTTGAAGAATTTGGTATTGGATCAATTAATAATTCTCTAATTGATATTTTACTTTATTCTCATCACTTCTGTGCTTGATATTGTATTGATATTGTAAGGAGAAATTCTCTCTTTGTCACTCATGGGAGGTAAAGGGTTAATCAGAGTTTAGCACCCTGACCACTAATTATAACATGTAATTCTAGTCAGTTGCTTGAAAAAACCCACCACACCACATCTGTTTTAACAAATTTTAATGTCATTTAAAAAAATTGACAATTGCTTTCTTCTCAGTATAATATGTGGTTGATGTTAAGCATCAGCCAGCTACTTATATAGAACTTCACCAAGTGGAGTTAAATTCCACAATGTTGTTGTCGTTCCAATGTAAACTAATTTCTTACACTCTCACAAAGAGCATTCCCGATGTGAACTTATTGTTTGACCCCATGTCAAATATTTTCTTAAATGGAAGTGTTAAAATTTGCAAAAATTAGAATAAATTGTTTGTAAGATAGTATTCTCTCCAGTGGCACAGATAAGAACATTTTCTTTGAGTTCCAGTTTGTGACCATATCCTCACCAGAGGGTACATTTTAAATATTCACCACTAAGTGTTGAGGAAATTGCCTCATATTTTAAGATTTTTGATAATCCACTCTCATGAGAAAAAAAGTTAACAAGTGTATATAATTGACTCAGCAATATTAAGGGTTTAAATAACATGAAGTCAAACAATAAGCTCTGGAATATACTAACATACCTACAAAAATGATATCAAAATCACTTCACATTGCAAATATTACAAAAAGCTGAACATCAGAGAAAAGCTGATGAAAACCTGTACATGACCAGTAACACCTTAAATACATTAACAAAACTTTCTTGCATTCAAATTCCACTCCATCAGAACAAAGTAGCATGCCAAATTATGATTTTAAGTCAACTTAACCTTGACTACATACCACTTTACCACTCTTAGAGATTAATTACTGATCAAGGAAGCTACATCAATATTTTAAGCAATTTTTTTTTCAACTCCAGCATGGTAGATCATAAAAATAAAATGAAATGTCTGGGGTGAAAAACATCAAACATTGCATGGATGGTAGGTACAAGATTGAAAAGATTAACTCAGATTACAGACATCACATTGATGCACAATTGACATAGTTCCCTTAACCCTTTAACTCCTAAGATCTCATCAGTAATTCTCTTTCTGTCTTCCATACAATTATTATGATGTCAATTTGGAGAATTAGGTATTGGATCAAGTTGTAATCCCATAAATGATATTTTACTTTATTCTCATCACTTGTTGGCATAACATTGTCTAGATATAGTAAGAATAAATTTTGTCTTGGTCACTCACAGGAGTTAAAGGGTTAAGGTGCTGCCAAGGATGATGGCAACCGCATGCATAGAAAATAGATATTTCCATTTAAGAATGAGTGCTACAAAACTGCTCGACCAGCAAGGATCTCTTGGCTAGCAAGAAACCATGTTCTGACCCAAAAATTTGATCAATATGTTCTGCCTGTAAAACCCCTTCCATTATTTTCCCAGTATAAAATATTGACTGTAAATAGATTATAAAGCCTTGGCATCCTATTTATAAGATAACTGGATTACTTCATATGTTGATTAAAGGCACTAAAAACCATACAAAAAACGTTTTTCTCAATTGACCATGGATCATTACTTCTCAGGCATTCTCTGATCAATGTTCCTTCCACTAACCATTTCCAACTTAAGTTATTTTTATTGTATTAAAATTTTAATGAGTGTGTATTTAAGACCTGTCCTAATAGAAAAATTCCTTGTTTAAAAATATTACTAGCATGTCAACATCAAAATGCATGAACTTACCAGTTCAACTGCTATCCTGCACGAATATTTAGCTAAAACTTCAATCACACCTCATAAAAATTTAAGGAATAATGGCATTTATAAAATGACAGACAAGAAAACCTTTTTACAAATATCCTCTGAACATTCCCAGAAGTATACAGATGAAATCTCTGTAAATGCCACCTTTGTCGTTTAAAACAATAAATCGCTGAAATTAGACTACGCTAAGATACCAAGAGAAGGTTTTCTCCAAGTTGCCTACTGGAAGCATGGCTTAAATTTTCCAATATTAACAAAAATTTTTTAATGAATTCAAGATCCAAACTTAAGTAGGTGAGTGTGAAGAACACACAAAAATAAGCAGACAAATTCAATCAGCAATGTTGACATGCTGTAACCACTCAACCCTATAACTTGAGGAACCATCACTCCCTACAAATTCTAAAAATTTCTTGTCCAAAGTCTACTTGATGAAGCTCCAAACTTAAAAATTATCAATAAATGAACAGAAATTACTACACCCTCACACTAAATATACATGTACCACACCATCGAATGTACCAGATATACTTTTAACTTGATGATATCAAGCATAATAAAAAACGTGTGTTCTCTACTGAAGTTAAGTTGTTCTGCACAAATTTTTTGGACAGTTCCTTAGCTTTTTTTTTTTTTTTTTTTTTCATAAAAATTATGATCTGTAACACTGGTTAATTTTTTCCTCACTCATCTACATCATCCAACATGTGCTGGGTCAATATATCAATACTAGTTTCATCAGAATACTTATCAAGGATCTTGAGAACTTTCTCAACCTCATCAGGGAATATTTCAGAAAGCTTTTCATAGGCCTTGATTCTAAGATCCTCATGTGATGATGAGTTATCACCCTCTTCAGGATTATCTGTCACATCTCCAGAGATTCCACCAATTATTGGAGGGGCTCGTGAGCGGTACATGTAGCTGTTGTTCTGTCCATATGGAGTGCGACTATAACTGTAAGGTGGAGCTGGTCCGTAATGATGATACTGTTGTGCAGGAGGATACTGATGGTGTGCCTGAGAGAAAGGTGGAAGATTCCAGTGGTTCGGTGGAAGGCTTGCTGGTGGGTGGCCTTTGTAAGGTGATGGACTACTGACAGGTGGGTTGGAATGGTACTGGGGTCTATAATGGTATGGGCTCCCTCCAAACATCTGCTCTTGTATCATCCAATCACCCCCAACCACACTCTTTTCATTTTGCATTCGGGGCAGTGTCATAGAGCCACGCACCATTATATCAGGGTGTCCTGTTAGGGATGAGTACTGCTGAGGATGACAGGCGTGGGGTAGACTTCCACGTCGCAACATTGGACTAACAGGGCCAACTGGAGCCCCACCGCAAGCTTGGTCTTGAACACTTCCAATGCTGTGAGTTCTCTGAAACCGGTCTTGCATTGCTTGCACATCAGGAGGGAGTTGTTTTTGACGTGGCAAAGGGTCGGATCTGCGCTCTCCAATTCCCACGACCTGGCCTGTCCGCAAGGTTGGTGGAAATACCCTTGCCATTTCTGCAGGGAATTCACTATGTGGTGGTAATGGCAGAGGCTTTTGGTGAAATTCAGTTGGTGTGGCTGGGAGTGGCCTTGGAGGGCATGGGGGCAGTGGTTTAGGTAACCTTGAAACTTGACCATAGGGGACCTCTGGAGGTAAATGTGCTGTGTTAGCTGGTACACAGTTTGGTTCCCTCACTTGGTTTCTGTCAGGGTGCAGAAATCTGCAGCGCTTTCCATATGTGCAGTTGCGCTGATATGGACACAATTTTCCATGCCCCTTTTTGAGGAACTCATCCAAGGTAGGACCATGCCTCCCACTAGGGTCATCTGGTGGCATGAATTTGTCATCAACAAATGAGTACATCAAAAGACGCTGTTCAATGACTTTCTTCCACTCATGACTCTCTGCCATCAAATCGCGGAAGTTGTCATTTGAAACAATAACACCATCGTTGTCAGCAGCATGCTTGATGATGTAGCGGTCATCATAACATTTGATGATTTTCCCATTGGCAGCTGTTCTGCTTGGGGTCCACACAAGAATGCAGTCCTCTTCAAGCCTTTTCAGAACCTCTTGATTGGTAATTGGCGAGTCAGGGCGTGGTGCATTTTTACGCCACATAGGGACAAAAACTTTTATGTTGAGGTGATTTCTTGCAAGAAACCAGTCCACCACAAGGCCAATTCCCCTACAGGAGAATACTTTCTGATTCCCATGACTATGAGAACAATAAAAATAAAATCACTCAGAAGGATTAAATTTAATTGAGGTTATTGATGATTCAAAACTAGCTTCTCTTCATATTTGGAATAATGGATTTTAATTTAAAGAGTAAAAGAACAGATCCACCTTTAAATGTCCAGAATTCAGTTAAAAATAAAATTGACATTTCATTTTCATGCAGAGGATTATAATCCCAACACACAGCAAAAAGCATAACCAAGCTTTACTGGACATGAAACATTATTGGAACTAACCAAGTTCAAAATCACAACAAAAAATTATAATTCTCATAAATATATCAATCTTGTCAGGTAGAAGTTATCTTGGCCAAACAATAAATTCTCATGACTAACTTACAAAGAAATGTGTAGCAGCTTTAGGGGAGAGGATCTTGGGAGTTAAAAAGTTAAAACAAATTGGCCTGTGCACACCAATTATGTTTCAACTTCTACCTCTTGACACTGAATTTACTATTTCAACAATTATTTCATGCACATGGCCCCTAGGTAGTGTGTCAAGGTCTTGACAAGGTTGACAACATGTTATGATTTCACCCTACTATTTTGCCAAGCATCAAGCTGCAAGCCCTCAAGAGTCATTCTCTAAAATTTCAGGACTGTGGTCAATTATCCAGAGTCAAATATTTGAAATATCTGAGATACCTTTCCATGTCAAGGAAAAAGCCAGAAGACATATCGGATTACTTTAAAATGCTTCCTTTCGACAAACTTGTTCATATAGCCAGTCCAATTAATAAGCACTCTAAAAGCCTCTTTATTTCAGCAACAGTTTTGTAGCCTTTTGGGTTATTTCAAAATTTTTTTGTTCTTATCTGGTTGATTGCTAGCATCATTAAAAACTTAAATACCCTCATTCCAAAGTAGCCATTTAATTCTGTTACTAGGTTAGCCTTGCCAAAGTCAAAGTAACACAAAATGATACTTAAAACAGAAAGGGAAAGTTTGGCAAGCAAAAATAACTGCAAAGGTGCTGTGAATTTCTTTTTGCCTTGGAAGTTGTTTGACTTAAAGATCAATAGAGGCTTAAATCAAAGAAGTTTTGTAGCAACAACCCCAACCTTTTAAAAGAGGATATCTGAGGGTTTTTTATGAGGAACTTTTTTTGTAGAAAAGAAATACTCTCGATATGCTAAGCTCCAAAAAATGAAAGCGTACAGGAAAATGTAAGCGAGACTTTGGTAACGGGTGAAGGTTGTGTGCATATGAACCAAACTTCCGATATCCCACATTTATCACAAGGAAAATAACCTTTCGGAAATGGCTTCATTCTCTAATTAAGACCACTTCAGCAATTTTATCCATTCCTATTCAAATAATTTTTTTTCCTCCGGAAAGTATTCACTCCTAAGTATGTTCTAAAAACAGATTATTCCAACAGTTCCGTTTGAGAAGGATCAAGAGAACATTTTTTCCAAACTAAACCAAAAAACGTCGATAACGAAAATTTGAGCTGCAAAGAATTATTTTGGGCATGTTCGGTATGGAAACTTAGGAAAATCTCAAAGTCCAAATTCAAGTTTTGCCTAAGACTGACTAAAATTTTCGAGACAACAGCCAAATAGAAACCGAACTGTTCTGATTTATACAAGACTAAATGATATATACCAAATCAAACGTGCGACGAATTCAAATGTGATTAAAAACAATTGAACTCGAAAACAATTTTGCTTGCACACACGTGTGACTATTGCCAGTATCACTTCCCTTCCGCCCTAAAACACGCACAATTATGCAAACTCAAAGACCACTAATTGATTTAAAGCGATAAAACTTTGATATATCGCCAGATAAAACGAGTGAAATCTTGTACCATGCAATCAAATTATGAAATCCCTCATGGAAGTACCTAAAATGCATAACTAAGCGAAATCGCCATCTTGCATGCCTCGTTGTGCAATGTACGTCGTGGATAAGCTTATATTTGTGCAAACAGAAATGTCGTACGAGTGAAGTGCTCGATTGTTTTGCTAGTAGTGATTCCGCGAAAGATAAATCTGATATTTACAACAACAAAACTTCAATCCAACAGCGTAATAGCTGAAGAATGCATTAACCATGCGAAACAACCGCAATTTGAAGATTTAGCAAACGTTACATACCTCATAGCAACATTACTTCCATCGATGACGATTGGTCTCAGGTAGCTCGAGTCTTCAGGGACAGGAACTGGTTTTTCGTAGTTGAAGGTCGACGATCCCTCTTCCAACTGTTTAACAGAAGATTGAGCTTTCACGAGTTCTGACAACAGTGAATTGGTGTCCGCTGAAGGTCCTAGCTTGCTCAGCCCAGTTGTGATCGTGTCTTCATTGTAACCGAGTTTCTTCGCGAAGTCTCTTAGCGATTCGTCACTAACCGAAGAATCGCAGCCTTTTTCGTCGCCTTTACCTTTCTCGACGATAACGCTGGGTTTTTTAGCTTCAGTTCGATTCACAACCATTTCAAATGCACTTCGAGAAGCAAATTCTATATCGACGGACGGCGAAGTCTGTTCTGCTGTTTCAGCGCATTCCTTTTCGGATACTTTTCCCGACGAAAAATAATTTTCGGCGTTTTCACTCCGATTGACCTGATTTATTTCGTTAGAGTCTAATAACTTGTCAGTGGATTTCTGAGCCAACTCTTTTTCGTCTTTATGACAGTCGTTGTTATTGACTTCGACCACAGATGTGTTTTGTTTGGTCAAACTGCTGTCAACTGGAGTCGAGGTAATGTTATTTTCCTTCCAAACAATCTCTGCTTCTTCAAGGGAGCTGAAAGTCCGTGAACAAACCTCTAAGATGTAATCCTATAGAAAAACACGTTCAGAGTTAGAAAAACAAATCAAAGTCGAGTAATCGCGGGGAGCTAATCATTTCAGAAGCAAGACTTTTTGCGAACCTTGGCGCGCCTAATATCATGTTCGCTGCCTTCGACTTTCACCCAACATCTTTCGCTATCCTCTTCCTCTCGAGTCAGCTGTACGCCAAACAAATAATTTACACTCTTTTCGACTGACGCAAATTTTGGATCGACTTGCTCTTTTAACAACACAAATTCCAGAAACTTCTGTACAACCATCTTTCTATGATCAACCCGACCACGCTTTCGAGATCGTCATCGTGTTTTGCTGTCCGCTTCAGTGAGTACAGAGTGGGATCAAGTCGAGACACCGGAAACACTGACACTTGTCAATGACGTCATTGAGCTTGAACTACTTCCTTTGCAAATAGTACAGTAACATAGAACAATCGAGACTGTACTTAGATTTTCACGCGTAAGCTGTTGTTGTTTAAAAACGTTTACTTTACAATTTCGGGGTGTTAGGATGGAAGTAGATCTGAGAAGATTTGACGCCACGTTTCATATAGAAAACGAACCGGAAAAGGGCCTCCTTTTTTCCACAAATGCCAGACGTGCCTTGTCCTAATTTGGGTTCGCATTCTTGGATCTCCGCTTAAATCATAGCTAAAAAAGAATGAGGGATGTCGGAGAGATAGAATATCAGCCAAACTACACAAATTCTGGTAGTGGTTAAAATTACCCTTAGGCGCAAGCCAAAAGCTAGGAAGGTTATTTCGTGTTTGTTTGTTTATATTTGACACTACATCGTCTAAACATCGCGTCGCCCATTGCTCCGGCATCCTGTAGAGACTTCATGCTTGTGAGCACGACGCTTTAATTACGCTTTTTTTGAAAGCATCGCCTCTAAGAAATTGTGATGAAAAATTAAAAGAAATTATGCCCCTGTTGCTAACTTTTCTTTTTTTTTCTATTTGGAAACTAATATCGTCCACAACGGACAAACATCTCGCGCACATTTTTCTGCTGAATTTTTTAGAAATGATTGTTTCTCCGGCTCTGTCTAAAAATAATCGGTTTTTGCAGCTGTTTCCAATGCCTTCAGGCAAGATTCATTGTGCCAAATGGTTTCGTTATACGTTCCACGTATAAGCTTAAAACAAATAGTCGCCTTTTCTATTGTTGTTTATTTTAATATTTAAAAACATTTTTCTCTCCTTTTGAAAAAGTGGCAGAAAACTGCATTGTTATCTTTATACAAGCACGCTTCTTAGGAATCACTTACATTCTTTGTTACCGGTTGCTACTGGGCATGCAGCAATATTCCATCCCCTTACTGAGAAGAAAAACACCTTTCCTTGGTTTAGCTGTTGGTGAACACTAATTCTTGGTCTGTTTTACTTCAAAAATTTAGAGCACAAATGTTTGCTGTCGATGTCTTCCTCAAAGAAACTTACAATTGGAGACGGTTCCCACGTTTTCGCCTCATGCGCAGCGGTTAATGATGACATTGCGAAAGGTTGAGCTAAATTTAGACAAAGATCCTAATTTTGGAAACATCTTTACATTACCTTGGCTTGCTCAGCAGGCCTCTAGCTGATACTTATCATCAACGAAAATCTCTCAAGAGGCGAATTTTCTCATGTTGCATATTTCTTGATTAAAAAAAAACAGACAATTGAAAGACAACGGAATGAATTGTGCTTTTAATGCTTGAATGCCGGAGCTGTTTAATTCTTTATCAGTTACTGTTTCTCAAGGATAAAACGAATGAAAAGATGGTGAGTGTGCGCGACATGAACAACTGAGTAACACAAGTAGGAGGGCTCCGCATTTTGCACGTTTGAGGCATAGTTAGAGAATCAACTGTTTCTTGTCAAATTTTAAATTTAACAGATTTAGAACCAGATTATTGGGGTGGAAGTGAAGAATTATTATCCTTCCTATGTGAATGCTCAATCATTATCTCAATTGCGAGTACTCATGTCCTGTTCATATTTTAGTGAAAGGGAATTAGTGTTGTTCTTTACTTCCTAACTGGGCATATCCCACAAGTGAAAGCTGCTTAGCTACATCCTCAAGGAAAATAATGATGTGGCATTTTTTGACATTTGTTTTAGGGAACAGAGTAAACCACCTCTTAGGGTGAGCGTCAAGTGGATTAACTAATTGACGGTGTCCGCGCCATTTGTGGTGTGGCCAACTTGAAATGCCGAGTCATTTCGAGCTAAAGCATTCTTGTGTGTACTAAATCGTTGGGACTATTTAACATTTTCCTTCTCATGAATTTTCCTGGATTTCCGCAAATTCCTACGCATGACACATATAAATAACCGTGACGACATTGAGATATGGAAGACATAGGAGAAGATTTATACCGAATTAAGATACAAAGACTTTAATCTTCTTCCCGCTGTAGTTTTGTGTTTTTTGGGGCAGTTTGCGTTACCAGGCAAACAAGGAAAGTCTGATTCGATAAGGATCATTTTGGACAAAGCACAAATTACCGTTTCAATATTGCACTGTTTTGTTATTTTGTCAATGTGTAGTTACTTGATCCGCTACAGTCTTCTTTACAATAAACTGTTCTCATCTTTTGAACTTAAATCTCGTTAGAAAAGTTCTAGAAAGGAAAAAGTTCTTCTTGCCTCTCCAAACATCATGCGTTGGTGGTGACACCCAATGCCTCTCATTCTACTTCCATTGCTAATGGACTTACTCATTGCACTAATAGCGCGAAGGCGGGGTTTGCCAATGAGCTAAGAGAACTGTATAATTTGATAAGCCTTGGGGCGATATTGAGTCATTTCATCCGAAATTAAACCAAACCACTGAAGACATTTTTGAGTCTGAGCAAAGGTGGCTGTCGGTATCGCAGTAAAGAAAGGCAAGAAACTTCAGTCAGTTGTAAGGTAAAAGAGATATTGACTCATTGTAGTTAGTTTCTAATATATAATCCAATCAAAAGAAAAAATAACCTGGAGACACTAAAATTAGATCCAAATTAGAAATGCAAGTTTAATTGCACTGTTGTTTTCCGCTCTACAAGTTGTGGGTTTTTTTATTGAAATCTCCTTCGTCATTATTTCCTTTTCAATCAGTATTAACTTTCAGCACATGCATGCGGACTACTCCTGCCGAAACGTTACTGATCTTCCTTGAGGTTGCGCTAAAACATACAAAAGGAGCGCTTAAGCCGGATATTCCCTTCGCAAAAGTTCACTCTAGCTGATGGTTACTCGATCGTGTGTGTCCAAGGCTGACCAAATCCCAGTTTTATATTATTGGGCTAATGGCCTTGCCTCTTCATTACGCAGCCAGACGTAAAGCTTAATTTGCTTAAATGATTTCAATCCATTGCCTGAGGAGCTTGAAACTAATGAAAGTCAGAGCATTTATTTTACATCTCATCACAAAGAAACAATAAAACTGTCTGCGGTTGCACATTCCATAAATTTGTGACTGAAAAATTTTGATCATGAGACTGAAGGCAAGTGTGTTAAGTACATCTGATCCTTTCAATCCAAAGATCAGACTTTGAATTCTCCATTATGACTTCAATATAATTTTTCCTATGTTCGAAATGAGAATTTTTGGCTCCCTATCTAATCTTGGGTCAGCTGCTTGACGCCGATGTCTCCATTGATATTGAAAGGCAAACTTACATACTGATCTCTTTTTGTAGTGAAGGGGTTGAGTATTGCATCTCAATCGAATGTTGTTGCACCGATCAAGGAATTGTTTTCTACGAAAATAAGTTGCTTATTCGCGAACTCCAGCTTGTTCAGTCTGTTGTAGACAGAAATTTTTTCGTCCAATAAAACTCCTCAAGCAGTTTGATCATGTTATCATGTTATGGAAAGGGCATTGGTGAAACTTTCACCAATTGGATGTATTATTCTCATCTAAAAGACGGTTTGTTGTATTAATGAAATCAAACGCGTGTCTCTTCATCCCAAAAAGACCACAAGACGCAAATATTGGTTAGAACATGATGTGGTTGGAACATCAATAGGATGTCTTATCACGTTCTCTTACGTTCAAACGATACCAGGCGTCAACTTGCTGACCTGGTACATGCTGAGAAAAAAAATTTGAACGATAGCAGCTCGACACCGGATCCGACAGAAGTTATCTCCTAATGGGAAGCTTTCTACATGTTACACGAGTTTCCGAGATGTTATCGCGCTTAACGAAGGAGGATAATGAACAGAATAAAGCAAATCAATAGGAAAGTCTATAGACAGTGAATGACCTTATCTGTTGTATCAAACTGTTGGCTTACCCTTCCACATTCTCCCGTCCGGACAATAGCGTCGATTTGTCCATGATATGGAGTCAATACGGCGCCGTATCTCATAGGGTAGAAAATTAGTTCAGTATTGACCCGATTGAGGTTACAAATTGGCTTTAACAATTGAAACAGGAATGAAAGGGCAAATACAGACTAATCACAGATGATCTTTGTGACTAACTTCACGATATTCAAGTATCTTTGACAGCTCGCTTTGCTGCTAAAACGACGAGGTCTGAGCAGGATCACTTGAAGATGCACGCGTACTTATCGACGGGCACGCGAAGAACGAATTCAGCTCGTGTTAAAATATTCCTGACTCTTCATTGAAACTTCTCAGTAACTTTGAAGGCAACAACCCAACTTCTTATGCAACACTAAACATCGTTCAATTTAATCTGTTATCTATTTGATATCTATTTGATATCTATTTGACATAACCAGCTAAAACTACTCTTTTTCTTCTTAAGGAGAAATACGTTGAATTCTTGAGTCGGCAACGCAGACAGTCGGTGGCGGACAACACCCCCTTAATATCGCTCCCCGCTGTTATATGGTTTTCGGCCGCACGATATCTTACGGATCTTTTCGCCAGATTTTGTCAGGGCTTGAAAGAACGTCCTAATCTAAAAGTTGTTGCATAGAAAGTTAACACGTTCAAGAAAAATCACTGGTTTACAACAAACAGTTTTGAAGACTGAAATGAAGTGAAACTGTTTTATGAAAGTTATAACGTGCAGGCTGCAGACCATGGCAATTTTTCCTGTCGGTAAAAGGAATTAAAAAATTATCCAGTATCTGTTAAGCATCGTTGTGTGATAAAACGATGTCCATCACAACACTGACAAATCCAAGGATCTTTGAGTGATCCAAATCTCTAGTGGAACACCTCCTTACTATACGGTTGAAAGAAACGGCTACGAGGTCTTCTGATCACTCAACTAACACAGGCAAACACTGTTTTAAAGGTTCCGCGCTTTCTTTACGAACTCAGTGTCACAGTGATAGTGTTTTGACGTTTTATGGCTTTTTGAAAA